TGGCAAACGCTCAACATGCCCGCAAAGCCTCCAAGGGAGCCCAGCAGTCCCAAAACAAGATCAGTTCTGCTCGTAGTCTTTTCGCCTTTGTCATTCCCCTTCTTTCCGCTGAGCGGGATTCCATCAGGAGTGCCATCGTGGTGGCTCTGGGTGCTATCCACAAGAACCTCTACCGCACTCTTCTCGAATCTTTGCAGTACGCTGTCACTACTTGTAACGAAGAAGCGAAGATGAGAATTGGCAATCACTATCGCAGCCCTAGCAGCCCGCGTCGGAACAGAAAGACTGATCGCCTCCGCACTGAAGTTACGAATGTCTACAAACTCACTTCTCATTTCCTTCAAGAACCCGAGGTTTACAATGACGACTGGATCGTCAATAACCTGGTTACATACGCAAAGGATATTCGAATTTTCCTCAGTGACGCCGAGGTTCAGAATGACTGGGAATTCCAGCGCTTGCGCTTCCATTTCTGTGGATTGATGGAGGAGGTATTCGAGGGGATTAATCGTGCGAAGGATCCTTCTCGCTGGATGCCCTTCGAGTCTCGAAAATCCGCTTTCTCGCTCATGGAGGAGTGGTGCGGATACTCGCCAAACCAGTCTCAAATCTCTGAAAGGGAAGAAACTATGCGGAAGTATTCTCTGGCACAGCCCCATGAAGCTGGCGAAATGAGGAACACGGCTGCTGCTATGGAGATTGAAAAGAAGAGTCTGCGGGGAGCTGCCCTGAGCGCCATGGCTTCTCTTTGTGCTGGCCCCATTAGCATCGCCACTGAAAGTGGTTCGGTTCTTCAATTCGATGTCATGCGCATGCTGTCCTGGATTGAGATGATCTTCAGCACCGTTAGTGATAAGTGGCATGCTATCGGCCGTCGGGCCCTCAAGAACTTGATTATTCATAATCAAGAACACTCGTATCTGATGGAACGATCGATTGAGATGTGCTATATCACTGAGCGACCAAAGACCATCGAGAGTTACTTCGAGGTAGTCACTGAAGTGCTCCTTGAGTACCCGGACTATCCTCTCAGATTCTGGAGAATCCTCGGTGCAGTCTTGGTAACACTGGGCAATGAGAAGCGTGAGATTAGAATGAAATCTGCCAAGCTTCTTCGGAAGCTTGAGGAGCGTCAACAAAAGAACTCCAGGCTTCAAGACTTCGATATCAGTATTTCTGATAAAACAACTGCTGTCTACAAGCTTGCCCAGTTCGAGATTTCCAAGAGATTGGCTAGCCAGCATTCCGATTTGGCTTTTACCATCTTCTCCGAATTCTCTTTGCATTTCCGCAATCTTCGGCCTGATAGTCAACGGAACATGGTTGCTGCCATCCTGCCGTGGGTTCAAACAATGGAGCTCCAGGTTGATCCTAACGGTGGCCCTACTGCCAGGTCATACATGTTGCTTGCAAACCTCTTTGAGATCACCATTCGGTGCAGCACAATCCTGCCAAATCAAGTGCAAGCATTGTGGCAGGCTTTGGCAACTGGCCCTCACGGAGGCAATGTACAGCTAGTGCTAGACTTCGTCATCAGCATATGCCTGGAACGCAAGGAGCAAAACTTCGTCGAGTATGCCAAACAAATGGTCGTGTTCTTGTCTGGTACTCCGGCTGGATCAAAGGTCATTGAGTTCTTCCTATTGCAGGTTGTGCCAAAGAATATGGTGCAAGAGCGAAAGGATCTCACCCCACCTCCCCCCGACATTAAAAGCCTACCATACGTTGCAGACCTCGCAACGGTGCTCCCTGTTGGCAATAAGCAAGCTGGTCTTTCCCTTGGACAGGTCGCCCTGATCTTCCTCGTTGATCTTATGGTCGCCCCGGTCACCCTTGCCCTGGAAGATGTTGTCAAACTCATTCACGTTGTCCTCATTCTTTGGGACCACTATACAGTCACTGTACAGGAGCAAGCTCGAGAGATGCTGGTCCATCTCATCCATGAACTGATAGCGGCTAAGCTTGAAGATGATGCCCCGGCTGGCGCCCGGCAATCCGTCGAGGACTTTGTGGAGTCTATCCGCAAGAGTGACCCCGCCGTTGTGTGGGAGTATGAAGAGAATCATGGCAAGGATGAGGAATCCGATGATCGTCGGGTGCCTGCTTCTATGGCTACTGTTACTCGTGATGTTGTCACGTTCTTTAGCTTTGCCTATGAAGGCATTGGTGAGTTGTGGGCTAAGGAGGCTTTGAACTGGGCTACTTCTTGCCCCGTGAGACATTTGGCATGCCGTTCGTTCCAGATTTTCCGCTGCATTTCGACGTCTTTGGACTCGAGGATGTTGGCGGATATGCTGGCTCGGCTTTCGAATACTATTGCTGATGAGGAGACCGATTATCAGACTTTCTCGATGGAAATCCTCACCACCTTGAAGATCATTATCAGCTCATTGAATCCATCGGACTTGTTGAATTATCCTCAGCTGTTCTGGACTACGTGTGCTTGTCTCAACACAATTCATGAAACGGAGTTTATTGAGAGTATTGGCATGCTTGACAAATTCCTTTCTCGGGTCGATCTCAGTGATCCGGCTGTCGTGACCACGTTGATTGAAGGCCAGCCACCGAAGTGGGAGGGCGGATTCGATGGTCTCCAGGACCTTGTTTTCAAGGGAATGAAATCATCTGAGTCCTTTGATCGCACCCTTGATCTGCTGCATACTCTGAGCGGCCTTCCAAACAATGATCTCATTGGAGACGGAACTCGACAATTGTTCACAGTGCTGGCTAACCTGCCTCACTTCCTCCAATGCTTCGAGCAAGGTTTCACCGACCAAAAAGCTATCACTCGTGCCAGCCTACTTGCCCGCGTGGCCGAGAATGAGCGATGCCCTCGACTCGCAGCGTCGTTGTTTGGTTTCGCGAATCAGCAGTACAAGACCGCTGGTGTCTTCTTGGATCATATCATCACTGAGATCAAGTCGTACTACTTCCCGCAACTGGACTTCCAGTGCTTGATCTTCCTCATGGGCCTTCTGACCAACACTACTGACTGGTTCCGCGTCAAAATCATGAGGATCCTTTGTGTCTTGATCCCTGAGGTGGACATGCGCCGGAATGAGGTCACCTGTCATGGCCCGGATCTGATCTCCCCGCTGCTTCGTCTTTTGCAAACAGACCTCTGTCCCCAGGCTTTGGAGGTTCTGGACCACATCATCACCGTCTCAGGCAATCCAATGGAGCGCCACCATCTTCGCATGAGTATGGCATCAGCAAGCTCTTCTCGCGCCATTCGTAAGGAGTACGAGCGGATCCAGAGTCTTTACGGCATCCCTGAACCATCGGGATGGTCCGTCCCTATGCCTGCGACTCAGTCAAGCATGACCCGGAACAACGTCCACGCTGTCTTCTACACCTGTGTAGAAGCCGATGACATGCACGCTGAGGATGTCATGGCTTCTGAAGTGGCATTTCATGCTGATGAATTCAGCGACTCGTTCTTCCCAATGAGAGCTGATACCATGAAGTCAATCGACACACAGACCGATGGCAACATCGGAGACATCGTGCAGAAGCTGGACAGTCTGGATGACTTCTTCGATGAGACCGACCCAGGTACCCCTGTCATGAACCCCGTGGCTCCACCAATGCTGCGAGGATTTACTGGAAGCTACGTCGATACCAACGCGCACCTCTACGACCAGCAGACCGCGCCAATCTTGCGAAAATCTCTCGCTCGGACAGGTTCTACGTCGTCTTTCCACAATGGTCTAGCTGAGTCTCGACCGCCTAACTTCCGCTTCGATGGACCCGCCGTGTATTCCCCAGCAACTACCACACCTCCAAATGCTGCGCAGATGCTGCGTCCAGTGTCTCACCATACCCGCTCCGTCACCTCTCCCGCCAACAATCTCTACGTCCACACTACCAATGCACCTAATTCCACACCAAACGCGGGACTGACCGACTCTGCTTTCATGTCTGATGACGAGCCAGACGAGGAGCATTCGGATCTAGACGAACGCCCAGTAACCACAACCACCAAGCTAGCACCTCCTCCACCTATGGTCCGCAGTGCCACCGACGGTCCCCATTCCCTCGAATCAATGATTCGCAGCGGCATGCGGCGACTAACGGGCGGCGCAGCTGCCAACAGGGAGAAAGAGCGGCAGCGTGACCTCCTACGTGCTCAACATCGTGCTATTGTACAGACGGCCAATTCACCGCGTGTTCCAAAGGTTCCTGAGGAGTATCTCTCGGCACCGACCAGTCACCCGGCATCGCCGAGGTAAATACCAAACACTGAATATTCAACACTAGTGTTCAGTTTGATTTGTTTCCTTCTCTCTTTTTGTTTTTCATTTCGGCTTTCGGTCTTTCCGGGATGTCTGGGCATTTCTCGGGAGTTTGCTTCTTTTTTCACGTACCATACCCTATGCCTGTCCATCTACTTTGCAATTGGTCCTGCTTGTCTAGCGTTGATCTGCACATCCACGTCCGCATTCTTGTATAGTATCATGTCCTGGGAATCTTTCTCCATTGGGATGTTGGCATTTCGAATTCAATCAATCATGTTGATATATTTCTGCCTTACAATCCTTCAAGCGCGTCCCCGGATGTCTTGTCGTATGCCTCTGAAAGGTGCTTTGGATGCTGAACTACCTCTTCACCATGTAAAATAAAGAGCCCATAAAATTCTATTATAACCAGCATGGCTCTTTAAGCATAGTATACCCCACACGTGACCCGCTTCCCCACGGCTTTCCCCCCCCAGCCTCCCCCGCATTTCGACCTGTAATGATGCAGACTCACCTCTCACCCCCTGGAGCCTCGGAAAGCCGCGGCGGAAACCTGTGGGAGTGGCATGGCATATCCTGGGACTTTTAAATACCCCTCTGCCCCCGTTCAGGCTTCCCGAAGCTAACATTCCACACATGCTTGTTCCTTGGACTCGGCATTGTTGGCGCGAACATCATTTCCTACGTCTACTAAGAAGTCACCACGCTCCTCTCTTCGTCACATTCTAGAGGGCACACATAATTTTCCAAATATACTAAGCAATGAGTCTCCGAACAGCTCTCTCACTCCCACGGCGGGCCACTCTCTCTCATACATCCGCAGTGGATCTCCGATGCTGGCCGTCCAGCTCGGCCCGAGCTTTCTCAACGACAGTCCACCGTGACGCAACGTGGGGCTTCGTCGGTCTAGGACAAATGGGTATGTTTTGGTATCTACGGGAATTGCGAAACCTCGGATTGTGGGTGTTTGCATCGGGCTTGTGCATTAACTGTGCTGCAGGATACCACATGGCCAAGAACCTGCGTGCCAAGATCCCGGCTTCCGATACTCTGATTGTGCGCGATATCAACGAAGATGCTATGAAACGCTTTGTTGCGGAGGCTCAAGAGGCTGCGCGCAGTACCGGCGCTGGCGCCGGTGAGGGTCTCGTTGAGATTGCTGAGAATGCGCGCGAGGTCGCTGAGAAATCGGTATGGTTTGTTCCTTATGCTAGCAACTGCGGATCTGGCCCGCTTTCATGCAGCAACTATGCCCCATATTTATACATGTATTGCCCAGTCTGCTAACTCTATCTTCTGGTCATGTAGGAAGTGATGGTCACAAGCTTGCCCGAGTCTCAGCATGTCATTGAGGTGTTTCACTCTATTCTCAAACACGGCGAGCTTCCACCGCTCACACAAGAGCGTCTGTTCATCGACACATCCACCATTGACCCTGTCACGTCTAAGGACATTGCAAGCGCAATCCACACCACCCAAGCGGGCCGTTTCGTTGATGCCCCCGTATCGGGTGGTGTTGTCGGCGCTCGCGCAGGAACGCTCTCATTCATGTTCGGCGCCTCCTCCCAGACAGGACAGCTTCTTGAGCGCGTGCGCGGCGTGCTGTCGCTCATGGGCAAGAAAGCGTGGCATCTTGGTGACCCTGGTGCCGGTGTCTCTGGCAAACTAGCCAACAACTACATTCTGGCTTTAAACAACATCGCCACTGCTGAAGCTATGAACCTTGGTGTTCGATGGGGTCTGGAGCCCAAGGCTTTAGCTGAGATGATCAACTCTTCTACGGGCCGCTGCTGGCCTTCCGAGGTTAATAACCCTGTTCCTGGTGTTGTCGAGACGGCTCCTGCTTCCCGTGGTTATGAGGGTGGCTTTGGGGTCAGTCTAATGCACAAGGATCTGCGGTTGGCCATCACAGCTGCGAAGGAGTCTGGCACTCCTCTTGCTTTGGGCGACAAGGCTCGCGAAGTATATAAAGCTGTTGAGGATGCGCACCGGGGTAAAGACTTCTCGGTGGTTTATAAGTGGCTGCAGGAGAAATCCGAATAAATTTCTCTATCTTGTGTATGCATCCATCCCCTTTGCCTGGGGTTTTTATGGTCATTCTGATTCCCCTTGTTACAATGCATCTTCGGCTGTCCTGTGTTATAGATGTGGCCTTGATAGAAGCATTCTGTTCAATGACATTATTTCATGGTTTTCTACAATTTCCTCGCTTGATCCAGTGTCTGTCCAATGCCACAGACTGGAGGTTCGTTTTCTCTTACACAATGGAGGTGGTTTGGAACATCACCTCTGCCCCCGTAATTCCTTCCCCGTCGCGCCTTCTTCTTCCTTTCTCGCCTCTCCCCACCGCCATGGCTCCTGCACCTTGCCCTGTCCTGTATATCTCGTGACTGGCTTCGGCCTCGTCTTATTTGTTTGCTCCTTCTCATCTCTCTTTCCATCCTATCCCCATCATCATATCCATTGTCCCCCCACTGCCTCTGTGCAGTCCATCTGTCCGATCATCAGCTTGACGTTTTCTAGACATTCATTGTCTTTCAACTCTTCCCAACGCCCTGGATCATTGAGCCAGAGCGTCCTATCATCAGAGCACAGCTTTCTGCCTGTGTCAGTCAACAAACAGGCCTAGTCCTGCACCGAAGGTAAGCTACTCCCCGTCCCACTCCCAGTCCCACTCCCCGTCTCTACCATGTTTCTGTCTGCGGTTGGTCTTGTTTTGTTGTTCTTTCCATCCAACGCTGGCTAACACTGGACCGACATGGCTGGACAGGGCCAGACCTCATTTGTCAAGGCTTATATAGATTCGTGCAGGGAATCCAGGTGAGATTCCTTGTCACTGAGTCTATAGCCTCCACACCTTTTGGTCCATTGGAAAACTATAGAACCCCTGCGATGCCTCTCATGTGCCCCCATGATCACAAGACCTGAAGAGTCTGCTAACATGGTCAATCTCTGTCAGCACAGACATGATGCCATCTCAAGGCTCTCAACACACCAATTCGACTGGCTCTGCCCAGACATCCAGCAGTCAATCAGCTCCATACCACCAAAATGAGCCTCGTACTCCCTATGGTCCGAGATGCCAGCACCCTGGCAACTCTTCCCAGGAGACCAGCGTTTCATCGCTTGCCCACAGGTTCGGAAACATGAACCTGCAGAACTCTCGTCCGAAGTATGGTGGCCAAAATAGTGCTGCACCTGTGCAGGTCAATACAAACATGGACTGGTCGAATGCTGGCCGTGCTTACAACAGCCCATTTATCCTTGTTCCCAACTCTACCATGTTCAATGGCGTTCCAGCCGTCTCGTCCTTTGTTCCCAATGGCGTCGCTGGTCAAGCAGACCAGGTGGGTCAATTCCCTTACACTGCTGGCATGTATCCAAACATGGGACCTGTGGTTCCTGGTGGGTATTCGTGGCCCTACATGATGAACTACGACATGCAGGACGCCAACAAGCAAGCTACATGGAATGATGGTCAGAAGGGAGCGCAAACGGGGAACACCAGTCAAATCCAGTACTACCCTTCTAACTACGTTCCCACCATGGACCCTTCCATGTCTGGATACTCCTATGGAAACATGATGCCACAGATGGGATCAATTGCACTTCCCCTTCAGATGATGAAGACCCCCAACGGGTACGTTATCCAAGACCTGGAGGCCCTGACCCAGCAAGATCCCCCAATTCCTCGCGCAGTGCCTGCTATGTGGACCAACCCATCTGAGTTGACACTTGCCAAATGCCTGGAGAACCGCGAGGGCATTACCAATGTCTACATCCGTGGGTTCCTGCCCGAGACCTCGGATGAGATGCTGCATGGCTATGCAGCTCGGTTTGGAAAAATTGAACGTTGCAAGGCCATCGTTGACCTGGACACCAGTTTCTGCAAAGGGTATGGCGCCCAGAAGATCCCCGTTACGAATCATGCTGACTTCACCTAGATTCGGGTTCGTTCAATACTACAGTTTCGAGTCCTGCGAGAACTGTATTCGCGGTTTCTTCTATCTTGGCTACCAAGCTAGCTTTGCCCAGAAGTCTCGTAATTCTCGTCTCAAAGACCTGGAAGATCGGTCTTCTACCAACATCTACTGCACGAACATCCCGATTGACTGGACCGAAGCTGTAAGTGAAGGGATCTTTGCAGCCAGTCTGTGTGGATATTAACCTTGACCAGGACTTGCGACGTCATTTCGAGCCATGGCGCGTTGTCTCCGAGAAGATCAGTCGCGATGAGAAGACTGGTGTGAGCAAGGAAGTGGGCTTTGCACGGTAACGAAATAATCTTTCGTTTGCATGCCTCCCCATACTAATCTCTTGGCTATAGTTTCGAGAACCGCGATGTTGCCGAGAAAGTGCTGATGGAGTTCCACAACGTCACAAAGGATCATGGTGTCAAGCTGCTATTGCGCTTCGCAGATACCAAGGCTCAGAAGATTCTGAAGCAACAGAGCAACGAGCGTCGAGCTTACCGCGCCGGCGAGTATAACTACTCTGTTGAGGTGGTTCAAGGATCTACTCCTTCCCCTTCGATGCAACGTGGCCCTCTCCTTACCCCTAACTCTCAAGTGAGCTATACTTCTCCAGCTGGAGTGGACTCCAACTGGACACCAGCCACTTCGATTTCTCCTTGGTATGTCTCCCAATCCCAACATGATGCTGCATCAGAATATACTGACCAAAATTACAGCCACCCCCTCATGAAGAACCCATCCAGCTCCCTGTCCTCTCGGAGCCTCAATGCCCTTGACAGTACGCCTGCATACCGCGGCCGCGGCTTCTCCAAGGGCCGTCGCTCAATCGCTGATCTCTCCGGGGGTTCCTCCAAGACTGTTATGCCTGAATCTCCAGAAATAGAGCCTTTGATCTACATGTCGACTCCCCCTCGCAAGGAGAACGTCAGGGCAGAATCTATGTCGCCCATGCCTTCTCGCATGGAGGTCTGTGTTTCTCCAGCCCGCTCATGCACTTAGCCACATGTAATCAGCGCTCTTGCATATTTATCTGTCTGGGTTGCTTTATGGAATCTTAACAGCCGGTGAGATTGCCCAGTGTTCCTCTCGAATGCTCTTCAATATTCAACATTCGTGGCATGTTTTACCATTCGCATAATGTACGACGATGTATCTCTCGGCCTGACGTCTTTTTTTATTTTACCGTTTTCGTTTTATGATATGGATGGGTCTCGGTTTGTGTTTCTTACTTTTCACATTATTCTTATGGGTTCGACTGTATGCTTTATGATGCTTGATGGAAGGATGTCGGGCTCGCGTTTTCGTTTCTTTTTCTTCTTCTGATTTTTCTATGTTTTCAGCTGTATGTACCAGGATGCATGTTTCGAGGCGTTGTTTCAATAAGGTTCATGACCAGAGGGTTGCGCAGTCTAATATGATATGATTCATGACCTAACATCACTGTCCTTGACTAAATTCCAAGGTGCGCGAGCACAACTGTAGAGTGCAATCTATAAGAGATCAAAGAGGGCTTCTATACACAGGACACACCAGCCCCAAATCAGACTCAGACTAAGACTCAATTCCTGCCAAGCCTCTCCTCCATGTCCTCAGTAAGTTGATACGCAGGAAGATAGTCCTTCTCCTGTCCATCAGCACCCTGCCTCAATCTCGGATTGGGATGCGTATCAGACGTCCCACCTAGACTAGTATATCCCTCATCATAAAGCGAACAATACCGCAAATCAAGATGCCGAATAAACGCCCAGATCTCCGCATAATGCCAGTCAATCACGGGATGCACCCGCACAAAATCAGGCCATCCTCCATCCGTCCGATCAAAATGCGTCAACTGCGCCCCATGCGGATCCGTTCGTCTCGTCCCAACAAAAATCGCCTTAATCCCAGGGTTCCGCGACAAGTAATCCTCAAAACTAGACCGCAGCGTCGTCGTCGGCGGCGCAGTCGTGTATTTCATTATGGAGAGGTGATACGCTTCAGCAGAAGTTACGACAAAATCTTCAACCGCATCGAACGGGTCAGGCGGGAGTGCGTAGATACACGGGATGGAAGTCGCAGCGGCGATCTGGGCCTCGGCTTCTGCGAGCGCCTGTGCTGAGAGGGATGATGGTTCGGTTTCCTCGGAGGAAGAAGTGCTGTTCATGTTGGTGCTATTGGCGGATGGGTGCAGACCCGCCAGGAATATGATTAGAAGGACCAGACAGTCCTTGCCGCCGTTGTATGAGACTGACAGTTCCGAGAGTTTGTAGCGCTTTAGGGCTGTGGCGACGACGTCTAGGGAGATGCGGGTTTGGCGCTGCACTGAGGCTAGGAGGGAGTCTTTTGGGTGGGATTCGGCTAGGAAGGCTTGCACGCGGGCGTGGATGCGGGCGACGACTGTTGGGAGGGGTGGAAGGTTGTTGTTGTCATTTGGGCTGTTGTGGGAGGAGTTTGGTTCGCCGCAATGTGCTGTTCCATTCTCGGTTTGTGTCGGTGCTTTGCTGGATGGGTTCAATTGCTCGGTTCCTGCTGTGCTTGTGCTTGTGCTTGGGACTGGTGGGAATGGCGCGAGGTGGTCTTCTGGCCGTTGTGGCCGTGTGGTTGCGGCTCGTACTGGAACGGGTTCGGCCATGTTCAAGGACGATAGGCGAGAGGGCCGAGGGTGGGATTTTCGACAATGGATTAGTTCTGGAGATGCCACATCTGCATGTTATGTTCGCGGAGACAGGGTTTGAATATATACAAGATGTATGAAAGAGTGAAGTTCGGGACCCCGCGTCCCCGCAGCTTATCTGTGGAACTCGGTAGATTCTCGTGGACATGTGTCTCGGCTACTTAAGTATATACTACGAGGTCAAGTTGGAGATACTGAACCTATTTGGAATGCTTGAAATGCTCGAGATGCTTAAATTGCAATTGTCGTGTCATTCGTGTGGTGTACATCCAGAAACGCCAGTACCGCTCTGCGGGAAAAAAAAAAAAAAAAGAGACAGAACAACATAGAGAAAACAATCATCCTAATACCTTCATCTTCTTCTTTTTCTTTTTCTCGTCTCCACCCTTGCGTCCCTTCTGCCAGTCGCGCCAGCTCCCAATGCGCTCGTCCCGAGTATCCTCCCACTTCTTTTCATGATCGCGCTTCCGCTTCCGCGCCTCGATCTCCTCATCCTCCTTGCGCTGCTCGCGACCTTCCTCCTGCATGCGCGCCTTGATCTGTCGTCTCCGTCGCGCTTCTTCCTCCAGTAGAACAGTCACAGTCTTCTGCCGCCATTCCTTCTTAAACTCGTCCGTCTGGAGCTCCGGCGAATCGACTGTCCACTTGTGCTCGCGGATCAGGAGTCGTCGCGCGTCGGCAATGCATTCATCTAGGTAAGTCCGCTGCTTCTCGTCCAGTAGGGCAGTCTGCGCTTTCTTGAGTTTGTCGAAGGCATCGGGCGCGGCGGGGTTCTTGGTTTTATCGGGGTGGATGAGGAGGGACTTCTTGCGGTATTGGATTTTGATGTCCTTCTCCGGTACACCAGGCTGGATGTCTAGGACGGCGTAGCTGTGGTCGTTAGTCTCGGCCTTTGGGTACAAATTGGGGGGCTTGGGCTTGGGGTGTGTACTTACGCATCGAGAGTGAATGCTTTGCAGATGCGGTCGATCTCGGCATCCTGAGCTGTTAGTCGCAGTACACGTGCATTGTCAGGGGAACTTACCTTCGCAAAGTCGGAGGCCTCACGCTCCAACGAGTCAAAGATATCCTGGTCCTCGTCCGCCATAGTGAATTGTTGAAGCGAATGAATCGAGAAGCCAAGGGCAAGATGATAACGATAGCGACATTTTGGCAGGCAGATCGTCTCTGATTCACCGCCTTTGCCTCTTTACTGTACATCCATCTTTGGCTTGTTTCTTGTGTGGCTCTTTTATGCTGTGGTGTTTAAACAGCAGATCATATTAGTGGAATATATCTCTATAAGTTCTATATATCAAATAAATAGCTACTAACGGTGACTGGTAATCAAACATCTAGTACAATCATATTTAGCATACAGATTGCGATGTTTATAGTTTTACCTTTCTTATATGTGTTCGGGGCTGTAAGATTCTCAGCCCGGCTCTTGGTTGAATAACGGGCAAGTCCAATCTCTGCAATGCGGTTCGAAATCCTTGGGTCCCTTCTTCTGATTTTTAGAGGTGGACTTGTCTTCAGCCTTCATCTCTTGGTAGATAGATTGGTAGTCCCGTGATCATCTTTGCATATACATATACGACTTAAGCTTAGATGTGTGGACTGATCTCCATCCTTTATATCCTCTCCGTAAATTACGGATATATTGTGTCACCTAATATCCGTAATCCTTAATTTTATGGATATAGTATACTACCTAATATCCTCTAGATATTTAAGGATATCTGGTAGATATACCGTTACACCACAACGCTAGGTGACGGTAAAGCCACTTTCGGCCTGCGACTTGCACTCTCATTGAATACCGTGTAACCTCTTCCAATGTTCTAAGAAGGTATCTGACTAGGTGGCGACCTAGCTTGATCCAAGCCACCTCCCTTTCTTCGTTTTCCTCCGCGGCATTAGTCTACATCTCTTTCATGTCGAAGACTGTGCTACTGCTGTAGAGGAACTAATCCGGCAGGCCACATGGTTCATTTTTATGCTTCCCATGGCTTTACTTCCCCCTTCGTCGCTATATTCATTATTGGGCGTGTCTATCCGCTGCTGGTGGCACCCCACCCACTTTCGCTAACAGATCTCTAGGAAGTTGATCGTGATAACTGTTCCAAGTTGATTGGTTATCAGTGCCATCTTCCCCCGCATTAGTGCGTTGGCCTGAAGGTTTCGTAACGTCGTTATTTTAGACTCCACTGGCCTTTCTCATACCTCTCGCCGCTAGCATCTCCACAATCCGATCTGTCAGCCTCTCCACCATCTCTAGCTCGGGATCGTGATCCGGATTGACCTCCGCGACTGTCAATCCTCCTACCCTCTCACAAGCTAAAAAAACCTTCAATGCCCGCATCATCTGCTCAAATGTCACTCCCGTGAAGTTAGGCAAGTTTGCCAGCGGAAAAAGCAACGGATCGATGGCGTCGACGTCCAGATGCACCATGATGACATCGACCCTGCTCCCCAGATACTGTAAGGCTTCCTCCGCGCGCTTCTCAGGCTCATGTGCCACGGAAGCTGAGCTAACAACCTTATAGTTGTTGTCGAAGAGGTACGTGAAGTGCTCGTCCTTGTTTCCAGAGTAGGACATGTTGATGCTGAAAAGGACTGTGTTGGAGGCGTCGCATAGTGGCTCACCGGAAGGACGTGAGAACTGATCCATGCTCTTTAGTGCACCGGGAGACCGGATAAGGTGCGTCATGTTCATTCCTGCAAGGTTGCCGGTAGAGCCAGGGTTAGTCGGAGAAGCAAGGTCAGTGTCGGCATCGATATAGATAAGGCCGACGCGTAAAGGCGGTGTCCGGGACTCTGCGTGCTTCCAGAAGGCGGAGAGGATGGCTGGGGACATGCAGCATTCGCCGCCAAGGATGAGTTGGAATGGGGGTTGAGCGACGGACGAGTTGAGGTTTTGTGCAACGGTGCGACGGACGCGTTGGCAGACCGAGATGTTCACTTCTTCGTTGCGGACACTGCCTGGAGCGAAAGTTGTTGCTGAGTAAGTCGCGGGCGTGTCTAGTGGGTGGTGCTCTGAGACGGACGGGAGACCTGCTTCCCGCAGCTTGCTCGCAATGCTGACATCTTGAAAGGCTTTAGGTGCTTTTGATTTGCCTGGGATGATAGAGCCACAATCGGCGGGCACGTAAGTGATGGAGACTGAACGTGAGGCAGCCATGGTATGGTTGGTAATGAGACAAATTTAAAGTTCTGTCCAAAAGAAATATAAAGAGTAGATATCATGAAAGTAAATTGCAGGGGTCAATCCGAATGAAAGATGCCGAATACTGCATATGATGACAAGGGAAGAGACTGTTTATATGACATCTAGGACACCGGGCTGATTATTAATACCTCTAATAGGGGATCAAGCATTTTGCCACGAACCCAGGCGCCAAGTCAGGCCTGGAAGAGGAGATCTGGGACTGCCGAACGAGCGCATATTCTTGCGTATATTGGTGACAGAACGCTCAGTACACCTGCCACCTTGGCGATTTGAGATTTAGTGGCTTTTACTACTGCGTATCATATAGACAATGATATTACGCTGCCAGGGTTCGAGATTTCGTGCCATCTTGTGGTAGGTTGGGATGTCGTTATTGCTTAGATGTGGGACGCTTGGGTTGGGACGCTGAACTCAATTATGATGAAAGACGAGATACCGTAAAGCAGGAATTGTTTATCGGGAAACCAAATACGGACTAGTGCGGTTTCGGGTACAAGTCGGGAAACAATTGCGTGTGTCTAAGGGAAAATGTTTTCGACTTTCAATGTAAACGGATTCATTCATTCGTTTTCTTGTTAAACGTAGTGAAAGAGGTAGGGTGTTCTTGAATATTATTGGCCAGACAACAGTTCCCACTCTAAATCACGCGCATTTCCTAATCCCTAGGCGCTCCCCAAGTCTACTGGTGAGGCGCGCTTCGCACGCTGTGGCCCTGAAACGAGCGAAAGCGTGACAGTTGCACAGATAAGATTGTAACACCCCGCGGCGAACAGAAGTAATTCTTGGCAAGAAAATGTACCAATCAGCGTCAAGAGCTAGAGTTTGCCGGGTCACATTGAAGTGGGGTAGTGGGTAAATACTTATTGAACGGGTATGTACGAATGCGAGTGGGGCACACGTCATTACCTTGCACCGGCTCTACGAGATCGCAGCCTACGGTTGTCACGCCGACAAGCACAATAGCCTTAGTGTAAGGATCAATTGGCTGTTGCAATCGGAAATTATTTGTAGGTACGTTTAAGCGTTTCAACAAATGCACTAATATATAGCCCGCTTGTTTCAGGGCTTGGAGCCTTTCTCGGTCAATGGCGCCCGTGCAATTTTGTCCTCCCCAGTCTCGCCCCCAACCATCGTCCTCTTGTCTCGCTCGGATATCAAAATATCATTTTTGTTTGGCGACTGGGCGCGAAATGCGAGCCAGCTTCCTGCTATAACAGCAAGCACACTCAGTATAGCTTTGTTACGGGTCCTAAAAATATTTCCCCCATTCGTAAGATACTGACCCTGTGGCCACCTCAAGTTTGAGTGAGGTTTCAAGGTGCGGGACATACCAAACAGTTGGCGCACGCCCGTTGCTCATGGCAGTTGGCATCTGAATGAGCGGAGCTCGACTGATATCTAAACGTTGTAGATATAGACGCTGAGTACCAGAGCGCCAAGATAGGGAGTAGAAAATATATAGAAATGATGAGCTCGGACGGTCGCCAGAGGAGTCGATATACAACGGTCCGCCACATGCCCGTGGATGACCTCACTCTGACCATGAATGCGCTCTGCTTATTGACGCCACACTAGTTGACTGATCCGTCGGAATAATGTTTGCCTCCATTACCGTACAATAATAACAACGCGTTTCTTCATCCCAACTGGGGAATATATGTCTTAAGTGACAACGAGCATGATACAGGCCGAGGTATTCGGCTCTCTAGCGGTTGAGCAGGACCTTTCAGGAATTGTCCCGAGAACGCCCATAGCTCGTAAAGATATTTCTCAGATCAACTCGACCCCACTCATCGGGGGCTTCTAGCTGATATACTGTCTATTCAGGAGGTGTCTCGGTAGCTTATCTTGTGTGGCTAATACTTTACTACTTGTGGCGCCTACTTGTGTGGACAGGCGATCTGCAGGGTTCTAGCCGTTTGAGATATGTACGTATACGGTATGACCTACCCCACACTATCGATTTCAAGTCTATTAAATGAAACTTTTGCTACGCGCCTATGTTATCATTACGTCTAGACGTGACGCGGAAGAAGGTAGCGAGAAAGTTATTATCATCTATTGGAAGCCAAATATGATAATGACCTCAACACGTCATAATTCAGTCCTTGCGTCCAATCACCTTGTCACATTCAAAGTCATTTTAACTTCGTGTTGTGACAGGGTGCCAGCCCAAGTTCTTGCTGCCTACTGAATAAGAGGTCTATGACATAGTTCCAGAAGAAGACGATTTTGGTTGGGTACACTATTCGCCGCCCCGCGCTTGGGTGAAAACAATAAATGTCCCGAATCTTGGCTGGTTCCATTCAAAACGCAGGGTGCGTTGTAAAATAGCGCCATTGCACCTTGAGTCTGAAAGTATCTTTAAGATATTCTTGATCTGACATTCACCATGTCTGAAGAAATCACCACCGCTGTCGAATTACTGGAAAGTATCGGAACCGCTGTCAATGCGATCTCAGACAACCTTGGGGCCAATAGACTCGATAGGGTGGCTTTCCGAAAATGTCTTTACGATTACTCTGATCGCGCTGCGTCCGATAGCCGACTCATCGACGCTGCGAGGCAAAACGTTCGATGTGCCAACCGTGCCTTGTTTCTAGCCCAGGCCCATATGGAGTTGATATGCTGGCTGGCAGAGAACAATTATACCATCTCATCGACGTCTATCAAATGGTACAGCTGGAAGAAATTATTCGCGAAATACCGCCTGCCCCTACTCGGAGTTTCGTCACAGACGTCCCATTTAAGAAGCCGACTGCAGAGTGTGAAGAATATAGCAAGTCAAGTATATACAGATCTTGACGACGCCAATGTAAAGTCCCGTCTCGTTAGACTTGTGGTCATTATTTAACATCCAAAAAGATCCCGACCGTGCTAGATTCTATTGTTAAATACCGCAAAATCCGGGGTCCGCCAGTTGAGTCTCCGCCAGAAGGTGAGTATATATTTTGAATGATGAAACCCCAGTTTCTAAATTTACTTTCATTTAGCAATTCAAGACCTTATTCATCGGGCCATCATTGCCCGCAAGCAGCTCTCCCAGTGATCAAAAGTGTCGCGGATCTTGACGTTTGACTTTCCAGCCTTGAAGGCATCACACAAAAACAGCGCACTCTTTAAAATCCAGTATATTTCGCAATATCAGCCTCAAACAGGCTTTGTGTCACAAGGGTGCCATAGTGCAGCTTGATTAACGGACATTACGGTGACAAAATGATGAACCTCATATAACGCTTGTCTAAAAGCAGTAACCAAAAGCGCTGAGGAAGCAATGTTGAGAAGCCCTATCCCACGGGGGGTGGCCCAGTCTGGCAGACTGGGGGTTATGGTTTTCTCTTAACTATGGGAGGAAAAGTGGATCGTACGACTGCCGGAGGGTTTACGTCGTGGCCAGACTGGGAAGGTGTATGTTACGCACGACTATCGGGTCGTCGCTATATTAGAAGATTCCTAGGTTACGTATACTTGCCTGAATGTCTTCCTTGCTTCTAACGTTAACGATCTATCTCTTAACCGTACTGTCGCCTAACAGGCCTTATACGGGCTAAGTCCTTTTAAGGGTATCGAGGAGCGATACTAGGTAGAGCGCCGAACCAACTAATACTACACATATACATGACACGGTGAATGGGAGGCCAGAAATGGGGGCTTTTGACGCCGTTTTAAGCCGCTCCCTCACGGTGGCCGGTCTCGGCCGGCCCTGAACCCAGAAAGACTCATCTTTGCGGAAACCATAACTGTAATGACCTTTGAGACAAATGCCCAGTCTTCTTGCGCGGTTTCCATCACTTGCGCGGATTGCATAAGGATAATCATGTTGGTGTCTTTCACCTTCGTAGTGCGCCTCTAATATCCGTTGGAGATGCAAACCCTCATGTAAACCCAACGACATGTGAGGGCCTTTGATTCTGAGGCATGAATTTCTTCGCAGCATCTCTTAATGGTGACCTCACGGACCGGGCGATCTATCGTCCTACCGAGAGCCGCAAGGACGCCCTCTGCATTATCTGTGGTCCCTTCAGAATGATCTTTCCGGTAGCTAGTTGAGGCTGTAATGAAAGAGTCGTCAATCAATAATCAAATAGTCTCGGAGTACTGGTATTTTGTACAGAGTAACCTGAAAGGGTGTCTCTTGATCGCCTACGATCCCTCCCATCTTCTGGTCGGTCCAAGACTCGAGACGCCATCCATAGAAGTTTCCCTTTCACAACCCGACCTTCGTCCGCAAGCTTCTTCTCCTCATGCTAGGAAACTACAAAGAAGGCATTACTGCCATCAGCAGTCGCTGCGCGATAGCATTGGGCTGGCCTCAGGCTAAATCTTGACGCGCGCAAACCAAGCAAATCGATATCACCCGATCAAGTGAAACCCAGACGAGAAGACGAGAATTATGCATACATCAGACTTGGCTTGATGTAATTCAAAAGAAGATTGATTACTTCTTATTTCAGTCGGGTATATTTGACTTTTTCTCACTGTTAACGACTGATCTTTCTCTAAATAAGTCATCAATAGTTTCCATCACATATCTTGAACATCAGCTCTCGATAAGAATCATCGAAGAGCCCCCTCTCCAATTCCTTTCTCAAATTGCACCTAGTATAACGCAGCCTCATCTTTCCAGCCTCGAACAGAGTTCGGTTCCAATGAGCCCAGACCATAGTATGATTGATGGCGCGTATGTTATTCGCTCGATTATTGATGGGCCACAGTTGGATGAGACAATCCCGGCTATACTGTATGGGATCTTCTGCCCATGACAGAAGCCACCGCAAAGTGAGCTGAAGAGCACCCGTGATTTTCTTTTCTATGTAATCCACGAGGCTAATGGCGTAAATTGCTTCAAACTCGTCCATCAGGGCGGTAAGCCTCTCACGTGAAGACCTGGCCAGGATATCCAAAACATAGTCCATCTCTTCGCCTTTTCGCCAGATTCCTTGGTGCAAGAGTTGTGCGTCGACGCGGATGCTTTGCGCGTCGAGTGCATCGGTACCATCTTCACATCGCACAGTCTCCAGGTACTTAATGAGTAGCTGCCCGGTTAGCTGCGCGGTACTCCCCCAACAGCGATGTTTGACAAGCCATTTGACACATTCGATCAATGACTCCGAACATTTTTGAGCGTACATCTCCTTAAGTGCTTCAAGCTTGGCTTGGGTGCGGTAAAAGATGATCTGACATAACACGAAATTAGTCATGTCTTCACGTTCCTCCAAGAAGAGATGTCGCAGACGCTCAACATCAGACCAAGTTGGGCCATTTATCATTCCCAAAATGGCATCCTTGAAAAATGAAGGTATATGTCCGCGAATGTCCTCCTCGAGGTCTCGATGGTACAGCTGCGTATAGGTCTGTTGAAGCAATGCCATTTGCTGTGAATCTAAAGACACAGCTGGAATAATTCGGATTAGGGCTTTTTTGTCTGTGCGAAAGCCGCTTGTCGCCTCACGGAGGGCTTTTGCGTCGTCCATCGCTCTGCTAATTGACGATGGTTCGTACGCTGGCAAGGCGGATCCTTTGCTGGTTTCTTCTAGGGGGCTCATTGTGGCTGATGGGATGCTAGGATCGAGGAATCCAATACGGCTTTGTTATGTATTCCTCCAAATGAGGAGCGGACTGGGTTACTGTGGCTGAGTCAAGCAAATACGAGGGCCAAATGTTTTAGCGCTGCCGATCATGTGTCCCTTTGGCGCGATACAAGAGACACCAGTGCTCCTTTGAGGAGCGATTTGTTCACGCAATCCTGCTGTAGCTGTCCAACCTACATCTCCTCTACAGCCAGATCAGAGTGCCGAAAGTGTCCCTCTCGCGCTTTTGCCCCTGGCATCAACCACATCAACATACCATTCGAGGAAAGTAAATCCTTAGTTCGGATTTTCTTCGTAGGACTGCCAATATCGCCGAATGAAGGCTTTCAACTAGGTTTGGAGCCATTTTGGTTCGACCTCTCGTGATTGATAGTTAAAGATACCGCTCTCGGGAAATTGTTTTCGAGGTGAGAGAGGGATGTCGAATGTAACCCCCATCCCGAGGGCACTTTGATGGTTTCGCCGCAAAGCTTGAATTTGAAGTCCCAATAAGAAGGACTGACCTGGTGGGCTGTGACACGGACGGAAAATACTTTGCAGCCACATTGTAGAACCATTCGCATCATCGCCGGGCTTTAAACGTCATGTCGACTGGCAACGCGTTTCTGCATAACTTTATCCTTCTTGAGACCCCCGTCATGTTGCGTTCAATTCTTTGGTTACGTAGATGAATCCCAAAAGAAACAAGATGGGTGAACGTGAAAGTGGAAGGAAAGTGAAGAAAGAAGCCCAGTGCTTATTTTGGAATAGAACCTGATGGGACTCCGGGGTCCTGCAGACAAGAGAGTGTGGACAATTTCCAAAGGGTGACATTACCACTAAAACATTTAGCACCTTCGGATTAATGTTTTACTGAAGCTCCGACTGTGGCGGACCCACCTACTGGCTGTCACACATACGCTCTCACCGACTCCACCGGGTGGGCCTTATCAGCTGCTGAGTCAGCTCAGGAAAAAAAAGCTATTGTCACCGCCCGCGACATTTTCAAGATTCACCACAACAGCATCATGGCGCCACGGACAGTGAAAGGCAAGAAGCCTCAAGTTTCAGGGAGGACCCTGAAGCGCAAGCGTGGGGAAGACGAGATCTCCTCCCTCGTCAAGCGAGTCGAAGAGCTCGACCTCAAAGCCTCCATCAAATCCTTCTCCGATCTTCCACTCTCCGAACCAACAGCCGCTGGACTGTCAGCCTCTCATTTCAAAACCCTCACAGACATCCAGTCCCGTGCCATCAGCCATGCGCTCAAGGGTCGCGATATCCTCGGTGCCGCTAAGACCGGCAGCGGAAAGACCCTCGCCTTCCTCGTCCCCATCCTCGAGAACCTCTATCGCAGGCAATGGACCGAATTGGACGGCCTTGGTGCCCTTATTTTGTCGCCGACCCGCGAGTTGGCAATTCAGATCTTCGAAGTTTTGCGCAAGGTCGGACGTAATCACGCTTTCTCAGCCGGTCTGATCATTGGTGGGAAGAGTCTGCGCGAGGAACAGGACCGATTGGGACGCATGAATATTTTGGTTTGCACGCCCGGTCGGATGCTGCAACATTTGGATCAGACTGCCATGTTTGAGACGAATAACCTTCAGATGCTGGTGCTGGACGAAGCCGATCGTATCATGGACATGGGTTTCCAGAAGACCGTGGATGCGATTATCGACCATCTCCCGACCAAGCGCCAGACCATGTTGTTCAGTGCTACACAGACCAAGAAGGTTGGTGATTTGGCACGTCTGAGTTTGCAGGAGCCCGAGTACGTCTCGGTTCACGAATCTGCTGCCGCTGCCACCCCGTCGACTCTCCAGCAACACTACACCGTTACTCCTCTGCCACAGAAACTCGATACCCTCTGGAGTTTCATTCGCAGCAACCTCAAATCCAAGACCGTGGTCTTTTTGTCCTCTGGAAAGCAAGTTCGTTACGTCTACGAGGCCTTGCGACACCTGCAGCCTGGTATTTCTCTGATGCACTTGCACGGGCGACAGAAGCAAGGCGGTCGACTGGATATTACTACCAAGTTTTCCCAGGCTCAGCACGCAGTCCTCTTCGCTACTGATGTGGCTGCTCGTGGTTTGGATTTCCCCGCAGTTGACTGGGTCATCCAAATGGACTGCCCTGAAGATGCCGATACCTACATTCATCGTGTCGGACGGACAGCCCGGTACGAGCGTATCGGCCGTGCTGTATTGTTCCTGGATCCCAGTGAAGAGAAGGGCTTCCTCAAGCAGCTTGAGCACAAGAAGGTGCCGATCGAGAAGATCAATATCAAGGCAAACAAGCAGCAGAGTGTCAAGAACCAGCTGCAAAACATGTGTTTCAAGGACCCAGAGCTGAAGTATCTGGGTCAGAAGGCTTTCATCTCCTACGTCAAGTCGATCTACGTGCAAAAGGACAAAGAGACCTTCAAGATCAAGGAGCTCCCCTTGGAAGAATACGCAGGTAGCTTGGGTCTTCCTGGTGCTCCCCGTATCAAATTCATCAAGGGTGACGATGCGAAGGAGCGCAAGAACGAATCTTGGAAAATGGCACACATGTCCGACGACTCAGACGCCGAAGGAAAGAAGGATCAGAAGGAAGAGGTGCGCACACGCTACGACCGTATGTTCGAGCGACGAAACCAGGGCGTCCTGGCGGACCACTACTCCAAACTTATCAACGACGACGGCACCATGGTGGCCACGGGCGCGCCCAAGGACCAGGCTGCTGACGAAGAGGCCGACGAGGATGCCGATTTCCTCTCCGTCAAGCGCCGCTTTGCTGCAGGCGACGAAAACCTCGGCCAAGGCGCTTCCTCCGACACCGACGAGTCCGAGACCGAGGAGATCCCGAAGGACGCCAAGGTGGTGCATCTGGACGGCCAGGACCCACTGGTCATCGACTCCAAGCGCCGCGAGAAGCTACTCAAATCCAAGAAGAAAATGCTCAAGTTCAAGGGCAAGGGTACGAAGCTGGTCTACGACGACGAGGGCAACGCCCACGAGGTCTACGAGATGGAAGACGAGGAACAGTTCAAGGCTCGCGGCGACGCCAAGACCCAGCGCGAGAAGTTCCTTGCTGGCGAGACGGAGCGTACCCGCCAAGCCGATATCGAGGACAAGGAAGTCATGCGCGAGAAGCGTCGCGAGAAGAAGGAGAAGCGAAAGGCCCGCGAGCGTGCCGAAGCCGAAGCCGAGGCTGCGTCGGACGACGAGGAAGGCGCTGTCAGCCTCTCGCATCTCCCTCACGTTCCCTTCGAGATTCCCGGCGACTCGGATTCTGGCTCTGCTTCCGAGGACGAGAAGCCCCGTCCCAGCAAGAAGCAGCGTGTCTCTTTTGCCGAGCCGGACAGCGACAGCGAAAAGCCGGCCAAGAAGAGCAAGAAGAGTCAGGAACCCAAGTCTATCGAGACTTTGGGAGATCTGGAGGCTTTGGCCAGTGGTCTTTTGGGTTGAGTGCATTTTTCCAGGGTTTTCCGTGGCGTATAAAAACGATATGGTTGTCAAAAGCATGTATACATTAGTACATATGAATATGAAGCGAATAATTTTCCTCTAGAGGGCTCAGTAGAAGTATCTAGCTATAGGTATCATCAAGAAGTAAAGATGAAGCTGAAGTATCAAAAGTATAGAAATTGCCGACATTTGCCGGGGTAGGTGGAGACCGAGTTTTCATGACACACAAGTATGCAACCCCTGTCGTCCACTCATCGCAGGCCTCAATCACGCCATCGCGAGAATTCAGTCTGGAGTGCAGGATCAGCATGTTCTTCCTCTCCCCATATCTCTGTTTCACTCGGATATCTGGGGAAACGGGTGGTTGACATCGTTGGAGCTGTCAAAAACGCCAAGTTTCAAGTGGGCGCCACGTGCCACGTGCGAATCACGAGACTTAGGGCTAAATCGATCTATACCAAGTGAGTGAGATCTGATATCGACCGCCTTGCCCTTCTATTCATCCTCAAGTACCTCCAAATGGATACTAACACAATGATAGACCATATATATACACACACACCACATTCAATATGGCCGACATCGAGAAACAGCCTCACGGAGAACCCTCCAAGGCTCCCGGCTCAACAGCCGAAGATGTCCTCCCAAACCCAATTGTCAACGCCGACAAGCTCGCCCGCCGCCTGTCCGGACGACAGGTGCAGATGATCGCCATCGGCGGAACGATCGGCACAGGCCTGTTTCTCGGAACCGGCGAGTCCCTCGCCAAGGGCGGACCTGCGTCGATGCTTCTTGCTTATGCCATCTGTGGTGGCATTGTCTTTATCACCATGCTTTGTTTGGGTGAGATGGCTGCGTTTATTCCCGTTGCTGGCTCGTTCTGTACTTATGCTGGGTGAGTAACTTTCGCTCTGAACAGATGGGGTTGGTTGCTGACTTGCTTTTACTTTTAGTCGATTTGTTGATGATGCGCTTGGTTTTGCCTTGACTTGGAATTATTGGTTTAATGATGCTGTCTCTACGGCTTCTGATATCATTGCTTTGCAGCTGTTGTTGCAGTATTGGACTGATAATTTCCCTGGGTGGGCGATTAGTTTGATCTTTTTGGTAGTCGTCATTGCCTTGAATATTCTGTCCGTCAAGGTTTACGGTGAGGTGTGTTTTGTTGCTGTTGTTTACTTGCCGTGCATTGGATCTAACCGTTCTGTCTAGGTTGAATACTGGTTGAGTTTACTCAAAGTTATCACCATCATCATCTTCATCATCCTTGGCATCGCTGTAAACTGCGGTGGAAACAAAGATCATCAATATATCGGCGGCAAAAATTGGCATATAGGAGATGCGCCTTTTGTTGACGGTATCGGCGGCTTTGCATCAGTATTCGTGACAGCCTCGTTCGCCTACGGCGGAACCGAATCAATCGCCATCACAGCCGGAGAAACCAAAAGCCCAGCAAAGACCATGCCAAAGGTCGTCCGCAACGTCTTCTGGCGTATCGTTCTCTTCTACCTCCTTTCAATCCTAATCGTCGGCCTCAACGTCCCCTACACATACAAGGGCCTCTCCGAAGGCGATACAAAGACAAGCCCCTTCACAATCGTTTTTCAACAAGCCGGCTCCACAGTCGCAGGCAGCTTCATTAACGCCGTGATAATGACATCCGTAATTTCGGCCGCAAACCACGCCCTCTTCGCTGGATCACGTCTCCTCTTCACCCTCGCCGTGGACGGCTACGCGCCGCGCTTCTTCGGCCACCTCAACCGCTTCCATGTCCCCTGGGTAGCAGTCCTCGCCACATCCGTCATCAGCGGTCTCTGCTTTGGAGCTAGCTACATCGGTGCCGGCAAGCTATGGTCCTGGTTGCAGAACATCGTCGGAGTCTCAAACCAGCTTTCCTGGATTTGTATCGGCCTCGCATCACTGCGGTTCCGGGCTGCTGTTCGTGCGCAGGGAATCGAGCACCTCCTCCCCTTCAAGAACTGGACATATCCATACGGACCCATTTTCGCTGTTGGGTTGAATATTGTTCTTGTTCTAGTTCAGGGGTGGAAGTGTTTCAGTCCGCATTTCAAGGATGTGGATTTCGTCTCGTACTATATCGAGATTCCTCTTATGATTGTCATGTTCCTTGCTTGGAAATTGGTCAAGAGGACTCACTTTGTGAGGAAGTCTGAGATGGATCTCCGTACTGATCGTTATGATCCTACCCAGGAGGAGGGTTATGATGAGCGGGAGGGTCAGATTACGGAAAAGAAAAAGGGTCTTTGGGCCAAGACTCAGCGGTTTGGTCAGTGGGTGTTTTTCTAGGTCAATTTTTAATAATTGGTTTGGTTTTATGATACTCCACTACGTACATTAGTCATCTGCATATACAATTAATTTCATAGCTTATTGCATGTCTGGATTCTAAGTTCACTAGCTGCGCGTATGCCGGTAGACCGTCTGCTGAGTCTAGAATCACGAGCGGATAATAAGATTCAGCCACTACTAATTTTGTGTCAAGGCCCTTGCGTACGAGCATGCTGTTGAGTAGAACAGTCTTAACTTACTGAAGAGACTAAGTCAAGGGCTCAATCTCGAGAACTGGGTACATATATCACGATCTACAGGATTACCTAGATTAGTGTTGAAAATGGAAATCTAACCCAAATCTTGATTTTGCGTGTAGATCTGATGTCATTGCTGTACTCAGTAACCCTAAGCCAATAGATCCAGCCCCGAAAGCTGTCACGTGGTAGGGTAGAGGACTGTCATCACCATCCATGCAACTATAATTTACTTCGAGTAGCAGGCTATGCTACGAGCAATAAACTCCTTATCGAGCTGTTTGCCGGGCCCCTTTATTTCGAGCTCCGGTCCTTTGTCGCCGCAAGCCGCATCCCTACGACGATAGTTAACAAAACATGCCTGTCATTTGGTAAGGCATATAGGGCAATTTCAATAAAAGACTTACGACACAACGCATCGCGAAGCATGAAATTCAATAGAGAGAAATGGGCTGTAATTGTCAGATCTGAAATCTTTTCCTATTATTACACAGAATGCTTACACATTGCCCAAGTCTTCACAGCCACTGTCTATTCCAACGAAGAGCGCTATGTAAATGTTCGGTTCTTGGAATACCACCTAGACAATTTCTGTCTCAGTTCTCTTGGAAGATATCCTAGGTTGGGCCGTGGCTTACTTGAGTGCCATTATTAGCTTCTGTCGTTGCTAGAGCAAGACCTAAGAGCACACTTGCGACAGAAAAATAACGAGAGAGATGCATGCTTGCAAAGATTGTACGAAGGTGACTGGAGTGAAGAAAACTGGGTCAAGCAAGCTTTTTATATGAATTGGGCGGCATTGAAGGACTATCTCTTCCGCTCTTCTTGCTTAGTTGTTTGTCTTCCCTTTTGAGACCAAATATCTGACACCTTGTAGATCATGGAATTCTCTTCCTTATACATACAATAAGCAGCGACCCCTTCATTTCATATTCGAAGCTAACTGGGCAAAAAGAGCCGGTATTATGGTAAATGGCGATCGTTACATCCCGCTATTCACCCCTTGCAGATAACTATATATGCAATGTAACTATGCGTCCCTACGTATATTTAGATACGTACATTGTATTGGGCAATCTTGGGCCTCGAAAAGTGGACTACGACACCTGCTTTTACTTTTGATAGTTTAACCCGTCCTTTCTTTTCTTAATTTCTACCCGATTTCACCTTTCGTGTCTTTTCGCTTATGCGATTTGCAAGCGGACATTGGAACGCCTATATGGCTTTACATATTTTCTAGAGAATCAAAAATGAAGGCTTACGTATCAGATGAGGGGGTGAAAAATGAGCCAAGCACCGGTATTGGGATACAGTGTTTCCCACTTTCCAATGATTAACACAAAAATAGTTGCACAATGGAATACTACTACGGTAGCAACTTACTTGGGTACAAAGCGTAACGACTAGGTAACTTATTGTGGGGGAGATTAAGTTAACATTGGGTATTTTAATAAACAAAGGAACGGGAAGGAGTAGAAACAGATGAGTAGATAGAAGTTTCTTACGATTCTGTCTTACTAAGGAATGAATTTGTGATCTCCGGTTTAATATAAAAGAGAAGTTATGGACATCCACTACCTAAATCCCGGATCAATATCAAGAGAAAGTCCTGGTGGTATGAGCGCTCTAGGACGGCTACCGGTGATATACGAATCTTGGATGTGTGCTAGACAACTGCCTGGCTATACAACAGATCCTGGAATATTTTAGCTTGCAATATCAAACTTGATCATGACGAATGTTCATGCAAGTACAATCATACCAGGCACCTCACTTAGGCCCGTCGTATAAGAAAGCTCAATTTCAGGGTTTTCTCGAAACATATAGGGACCAAGTGCCCCTCTCAATCTCTCTTAACCTCTCCCGCTCAACCTTCTTCTCGTTTATCCCTACTAACTCTCGACTCTCTTAAACTTGCGGTTCGTTCCTTCACAGCGCCGCCATCCTCAGTGACAGTCGTCCGTCACTTAAGCGACCTCGGTGAATAAAATAGATACATCTGGCGGGCCTCAAACCTTCATCTATTTGTAGGAGACAGATCGTACCTAGCACGTCTATTGAACTTATGCCTAGGGAACGATGATCGTGCTTTCTTTGACATGAGAAATTAAGGTTCTACGGCGGGCTCCTGGCTCTCAGGCGAGAGTGGATTGTACGCTCCAGCGTAGGCATCGACGATCATCTGTCTTGCGGACGGATAGTCGAATGTATTTTCCGACGCATGTGGAAGAGAATGATTGAGCTCTTCTGCTGGTCCGTCAGGCCAGAAACAAGCTTCCATCCGAAGTTCGGTTTCTGAGCTCTGTATTGCGCAAGAAAGTCATCGGCTCTCTCGAGGTAAGTAGTGATATTTTCATCACGAACCTGTTTTATGGCTTCGTGCAATCCTTCCATACGAGCGTTGGATGCGATCTGATCCTCTTCCGGAAGGGCAAATCCTGTCAGACAAGCATTCTTCTGAAGGTCCCAGTCCTGTTTGACCGATCTGTCGAGCCGAATGTATCACGCGTCAGCTCGCTCTTTGATCCCTTGCCTAGACAGCGTCCGAGAAACTTGCTTCATTTCGTTGTAGATTTCTCGCTGTTCCTCTAAAAGTGTTTCTGGCTTTTAGACCCTTTTCAGCGCTGGATTTGCTGCGATCTTGCTAGCATAATCTCGGCGAGTTGCGATCTCTATGTCTTCAATGAAATCCCTGGGATCTTCATATCCATCATAATGACCGTGGAACGACCGGACCTTGAAAAGAGAGGGCATTTTGCTTGCTGACTCTTGTGCTTGGGTTTTGTCGGATTTGTCGCCGATCTGTTCGTTCGGTGAACTGGATGATGTGGCCTTTATTGATGGAGTCCTCAGCAAAGACAAACGGGTATTTGAGAGAGCAGAATGACCATGCTGTTGGTTCTATGGGCTGAGGAGCCATGACCCGTACACATGAGGACCGAATTTGGCCCCTCACAAAATCCTTACAGGCGTATGACGTGCAAATAATTTGGTCAGACGCCGCATGAACGGGCAAGGTTATAATTTCCTTCTTCAAAGGGACATATGGCATCGGCCATATCGCTCCAACGTGGATTATTCCTCTCCAACCGAGCCCTTTATTCAAAGCCAGGCTACACAGCCTGGAGAATCTCAGTGATCTTTCTACTCCGCCAATATGGAGTTTGGTACATCCTTGATGGTATCCCACCTCTGACTGAATGGCATTAACTTCACTTCTGGTATCTTCACATGGTATATATTGCTATTTAGTTGATATCGGCCGACCTGTCGGGAGAAGTTCAGAGAAACAGGTAATCCGAGTTTGTTCTGGGAGAACCGGGCCAAAAACTTTGGTTATAAGAGGTCCGGATTCTAAGTTCTTGGTATACCTGACAGATGAACTTATTAAACAAGCGTGCCATGCTTAGTTCCGTTACACCTCATCTCAAATCCTACCAGAATGATGTTGGAATCTTTACATCTCGATACTCTTTCAAGGAAATGACTACTTTTTGTTACTGGAATGATCCAGTGAGGTGTAATACTGTATATTACAGTATGTGTTCCTAGGCATCTGCTGTCTCGATACCCTCGCTTTTTGACTTCTATGCTCTGTCGCCTAATTCTCCGTGATAACACCGTGCTAATATACTCCATAAGGTGCGCCAAAAATAGTTTAAGTGCTTAAAGTGGCTTTAACATATATAGATAAAGATTGTACAGCTGGTGCTACAACATGACGGAAACATTTCTAGAATATATAGTTACATCGCAAGGCAACAAAAGCAACATTTCTGCTGCTCAGTGCTCAGGTGCAAATAAAGTGACTAGCAAAATCGATTCACGCTCTGCATATACTTAAAGGAAAGAACAAAGGGAATCATGACAAAGGGGAATCATCGAGATCAGCTACCTTCCTGCCCAGCTCCAACTTTTTTGAAACAGGCAGAAAGACAGAAGTAACAAAATAAGATCAAACCAAACCAATCCAATCAAAGCTGACATCTCGCTAATTCTGATGGAAGCGAGAACGCACGCAGCAGACAAAACAATGCGGATGGGATATCCAGTTACAAACCGACACAAAACAAAACCAAAATCAAAAACAAAACCCCGGGAATGAGAGGGACTTTTCATGTCCTGCATCTTGAAACAAGAAATGGGAAACGAGAACGATAATTCAAAACCCCAAAACTACCGTCGATAGATCAAATCGATGTCTCGCATCGATCAATGTCCCATCCATCATGGGACATAGCATAGCATATTATTAGTCCCCTGTAGACCCCGCTACAGGGAATAGAGTCAGGATAGAGTTATACAATACAAGAAGGACACCAGCCTCCATATGGTATCGGAGATCAAGTTGCAAAGGCCAAATAAAGAAAAGGGGGAAAAAAGTTCAGGACTCCGTATTAACCATTTACCATATCATCCAGCGCCATCTTGCGCCGTTTGACAGGTCTATTCTCTGCGCCCTCTGGTTCCGATGGAGGCGCTTCAGCCCGTGGCATTGACGGTGAAACGCCCGCTGCCATTTGGATTGGGGATGGTAGCTCCACTGGGCCTAGATGTCGTGGTGTGGGATCCATAGAGCTTGCGTTGGACGTGGAGCGTTGGTGTGGATATGCGTGTGTATGTGTCTGTTGGTGTGGGAGGGAATAGTTGAATGTCGGGCCTGCGGATCTGTGAAGTGGGATGGGCCGCGGTTCGTAGATGCTTTCGTCTCGTCCTGGAATGGCCCATGAGGTTGGATATGGATCACTTAAACGATGGACGTGGTGGGGAGGGGGAGGGGGTCCTGGTCCTGCCGTTGCTTGGTGGATTGGGGGCAGTCGGACTGGGGATTCGATGCTGTAGGAGTCTCTTGGAGAGACTGTTTGTGGGACTCGGGGGTCACTAATTGGTGGGCGGGTTGCGCTGCTTGGTGACTCCGTATATGGGAGATAGGGGACTCCGACTGGCGGGGGTTGGTGTTGTGGGGGTGAAGTCGGTGGTGGTAATGCTGGTACGCCGTATGTTGGGAATCGTCGCTCCATACCGGTCATTGTGCTGACTTTGAGTGCTGGGTTGAATCCGCCTGCCAGGGGAAAATATGCTGGAGGTGGATGGGTCGGGGCTGAATAGGTTTGTTCGGATGAAGAGAATGGTCGTCGACTCACGCCTGGGATGGGAGATGGATCCATAGGTCGGGTTAGAGGGAATACCGAGGCAGACCAGCGGTGTGGCGTTCGTTCTGGGCTTGCATCCAGTCCTTGGAGATCGGTCATGGGTCTTAGTTCTCGTGAAGAAGTGGCCCGATGCATGGCTGTCCGGCGAGTTTGCATGGCTGGTTGGGCCTCGGCTGGGATAGCTGGGTTCTCTAGATGCGTGGTATAAGACCGCAGTGATGAGTCCTCTGCTTTCAGCGGAGGTCTCCTCGTTTCTTGTGTGTGACATCCACACATGTCGACTGTTGGGTGTTAGTTAGGGTTTGGGTTCATGGGGGTTGGAACATACAGCTTTGCCAGCCAGGACGCATCTTCGACATGGACGAGCTGGATCACATCCGAGATGCTTCTTCTTGCAATTGACACAGGCCGATGCTACATGGGCTTTGGTACGCCGGGTTGATTTCTGCACCAGTGAGCGCGCTGCTGTTGGAGGAGTTTCTAGTGCCGGGAGTGGATATGGAGCCCCAGGGAGCCGGGGAGATCCCGAATATACCGGCCCCTGTTCATACGACAGTCGTGGCAGTGACTGGGGTACATGCGATACGTCTTGGTCAGGGACAGGTCCGGACCGATCTGTAGGATGTAGAGGCTTCTCTGCGGACGGCTCCGAGGGCTCCTCTGGAGGAGAGCCAGACATAGATTGACGGGGAAGAGGAGCCCGGAGGCTATGACCATTCGGAGACCAAGAACGATTCAACAGCCGCTCTGGGTCCGAGTTGAATCGGGGTCCGAACTGGGAGGTAGTGAGGCTCGGGGGGTGAAGCACGAGTGATTGCATCGGGCGTCGGGCAGGAAAAGGAATAGGCCCACGGGGCAGATGCTTCTTTTTTTTTTTGCTCTTTTCTTTTTAGGTCCTGTGTCCCCGGATACTTCAAGGACCTATGAGTTCCGCTTGGGGCATCATATCTGATTGGGAAAAGAAGCAGCAGCGGTGTAGGAGAAAGGAGGGAAAAGGTCAATATGCGGTCGTCATCGAGCTTCAGGACCACTCGAGCTTATAATCAATGGGTAGAGAGATCCGCTATTGGAGGAGTCAGAAAATAGACTGCATCGATCAGCGGGAGATTTCCAGATCATGACAGCAGGGTTCTCATAGCGCATGTCTCCCACAGGGCAAGTTATTGCATGGCGGTCGATCATCGAGCTAGGATCAAGGGACCCCACGCCTTGCCTCTGTGTCTTGATCACACGTCCCACGTTCCCCTAGAGAAGAAACGGTGAACTATACCTGCAGCTCTCCCAAAGGAGCCGGAGAACACCCCCACGGAGAGCTCCTGTAGTATTGTAGAGCCTTGGAGTACTCGAGTATTCCAGTACTCGTAGTACTAGATACGAAGGCGTTCAATAGTTACAGAATAAAGTGGGAGGGTCTATACATGGTCAGTGCCGCACTAGTTGATCTCCGATCGAATGGTCAACGGTATATCCCCTAAGTATTGACTCAGTGAACGGCATCTCTCCCTCTGGGAAAGGGAGGAGGAGTTCGTTCCAAACAAGAAAATAAATCAAATTCTCTATGCCAATCAGGGCCGGGGAAGCAAGGAAGATTTGCGGATCGACGTCGGCGCCCGCAGCCATTGCCAATAGTGTGGGCGGGGGACTATGCATTCCGTTTGACATGTACTTTTCCTTGTATTGATACAGGGTATTACTTCCCAATCTATAGCATCCCATGTAACTATAACTTTAAGGAGGGGGCGCTTAATGGGGGTTGCAATCGGAGAATGTTCAATTTTACAGAGTTGACAGTTCAACTGTAAATTAGGGCAAGGTGTTTTTCCTTCACCCCTCCACTTATTCATGCTCTTTCTTCTCAGAATCTGGCCTGTTGAAGACTGGATAATAGAGCAAACTGATAGTTTGGTATACTCCACTCCCTTCAAGCTTCTCTATTATTCTCCGACCCACCTGGGCAAATCCCGACGTTTATGCCCCGGGCTAGGGGTTACGGTTACAGTCCGCAGATCAGATAGAAAGGTCTCACAGGGTAGGCACCAGTTTGCTGCTGGGACTTTTTCCCTTTTTATTTCCTTTTATTTCCTATTTATCTGGGAATAGTTTGCGAGGCAAATCATGCCGAAGCTAGTCTCGCAGTACTATACGGGCTGTGGTACCCACCGTTTATTGTTTGATGTGCAACCCCAACCATTGCCGTAAAGGAGAGAGGTCAAGGGGGCGAGAGGAATGCCTACTTTATTTTCCGGGGCACCCGGCAGATGTGGCTGCAGCCTTCTGCGCCTTTGGGCGATCCCACTGCCCTCTGCGTGTGCGTAATGCTGATCATCCCTTGAGGAGGAGGAATCCAGACCCCTACAATATAAACAATATACCGTAGAACAGGGTATCAGGGGGAGATGGCCAGATCCTCGGGACAATAATCTAATATTCCTTAGGATCTAGGGAAAAGGGGTGTGGAACATACGGCACGCGGAGCAGCAAGGGGTCTGTCACCCCGTTCATGCAGGATTAAATAGTCTGTACGCTGGGTGAATGCCAATCACATTATTGCTACTCCTACCCCTCCTAGTTTAGTTCCAAACTAACTGTGAAAACCCGTTCATTAGTGGAGTACGGAACTATTTACACTTAGGCATTTAGGGTGTTCACGTCAGAATTCGCCGATAAGAGCGGAGAATATTCGGCGAGGAATTCTCCTAGTGTCAACGTTCTCATTTTAAAGGCCTCACATGCTCCGCAATCAAGTTATAGGCTAACTAGCTCCTAGTTGGTTTACTTGAGGGTCCGAGTGCAAGGATTGGGCCGTTATCACATCTTCGGGATCAGCTCAGGGCTCATTTAAACGTGATAGTCCGCATGGTAGTCCATTGGCTGCGTTTACAACTTGCCTTCGTATCTTCCATGTGGTGAGCATAGTCAGTTCCTAAATCCCGGATCAATCCGACATAAAACATAAAAGACAAGACACAGTTGTGGTATCTCTGCAATATAGACATTTTATTCTACACAATCCTCTCCAATAAATATGATCATCTTCTTCCCTTCTTCGTCGGCCGGGCATTCTTATCGCGACGCTGTTGCTTCTGCTTACGCGCCTTGCGAATATCATCCGTAGACCGAATCTCGCTCTTTCCACCGTATGCCGCACCGCCCATCTTGTCGAATTGGCGTTCGCGCGCAGCCTCATTCTTCTTCTTCATCTTATCGTAGTCACCACGCAGAGGATCAGCACGCTTAGGCGCACGGTCCTGGTTGTGACGGAAGCGGCCGGTGGCGTGACGAGAGTTGACCTGGGACATGCTGCCAGGCTTCTCAGCCTCGCCAACGCGGGGCAGGCGGTCGGCTCGCTTGCCCTTTGCCAGGCCTGGAAGCGACCGCTACGGAAGCTGGCCGCGATCTTGGCTCCGCTCTCTCCGCGGACAAGGCGCGTTCCCTTGGATCCGTCCTCGTCGTTCTGGCGAGCAACATACTTCTTGTGTCGCTTGTCCCAGCGCATCATTGTACGGGGTTCCGCGAAACCGCGCTTGCCTTCGTCGCCGTTCAGGTCCATGGTTGCGCTACGGGACTCGTGGGCGAAGTTGGAGTTGGTACCGGAGTGGACACCGTAAGCCTTGTCTTCCGCCATATCGTTGTTGTTAGGCGTGTAGCCCATAAAGTAGTCGGGGTTCTGGAATGAGGCGAGAGGGTTCTTGGGTCCTTGATCTGTGTTCTTTTTGTTGTAGGCGCCGAAAGTGACCTCGAGGTCGTCATCAGATGCCTCTGACATGTTCTCACCGGGTTGATCAGGCATGTCATCATCCTCCACCTCACCATTTTCGCCAGTCGGCATGCCGAGTGCGGAAAGCTCGGCCTCAGCTTTAGCATCGGCGCGCTTTCTCTTGGTCTCAACAGATGTACGAATTCGTCGGATGGTATCGACGGCAACGTTATCGTCGGTCTTTCCACCTCTGCGGTTGTTTGCCTCGAAGATGGTTTCCTGGGGCCGGTATCCACCAATGCGGGCTAGCATGTTCTCGCGCTCGTTCTCCAGATCGCTTGTTTTATCGTTGAAGAGAGGGTGGATTGCAGCCCAGTTGTCAGAGGAGACGACCTCCTTGGCCCGCTTCGCACTTTCTGCAGAAGCCGAGTTACGGGTGCGCAGGTAGAGCTTCTCTCCCTTCCCGGCAACTTGTCGCTGCCCGTAGATGTCGGTGTCCTCATCCAGAACCTTGTTGACCCATTCACAATTGCGAGACAACGCATCACGAGACAATGTGCCCACGACTACGTCCTCGGCGAAGTTGACCTGAGTGCCATACTGACGGCCAACAACCAATCGACGTCCCAAGAACAGTTGAAGGTCCAGAAGGTAGGGGACATCGGCATCGCGAACGAGGCTGTAACTCCAACCCTTTTGACCAGCTCGAGCAGTACGACCGACTCGGTGAATGAAGATCTTAGGCTGGGAGGGGAAGTCGTAGTTGATGACGTTGGCAAGGACGGGAATATCGATACCTCTGGCGGCAACGTCGGTTACGACTAGGATATTTGAGATACCCGATCGGAAATTCTGAACTTGCTCCTTACGAGCCGTCTGATCAAGCGAACCGTACGCGTAGGAGGTCGCAAATCCTGCCTCGAGCAGAAGAGAGTAAAGGTAGTCGACGTGGTGCTTGGTGGCGGCGAATACAATAGTCGAGTGCTTGGTCGGAGACTCCTTGAAGCCGCTGGGCTTCCGCACGTCAGACCTCTTGCGCTTGCGGGTCGGGTTCAATCGTTCTTGCTCAAGCATGTGGCCAATTTCGGTCTGTCCGGTAGGCATTTGAATGACGTCGTGCAGAATGTGTAGCAGGGCACCCTCCTTGTCTGATGACTTGACTCCGAAGAATGCGTTTTGTAGATCAGGGGAGATCTTGTTTTCCGTATCCAGACGGATCAGGGTGGGCTCTTGGAGACCAGCGCGGGCGAATTCCACAAGGGATTTGGGCAATGTAGCAGAAAATAGTAGAGTCTGACGGGTGGCAGCCAATCCGTGCATAATCTCGTTAAGCTGGGCTTCGAAACCCAATTCGAAAAGTCGATCAGCTTCATCGAAGACGACATACTTGATACTGGATAGATCAAGATCCATTTCAACCTTTAAGTGCAAGAATCGACCAGGTGTCGCAATAACAATATCGGGGTTGTTGGCCATCATTCCGAATTGATCCTCCAGACTGTCACCACCGACCAGGAGCACAGTCTTCAAATCCGTTCCACGTCCCATCTCCTTGACAACCTTCATAGTTTGCAAAGCCAGTTCACGAGATGGGGACATGATCAAAGCACGAGCACCGAACGCAGTGCTATGACTCTTCAATTTCTCAATCATGGGAATAACGAACGACGCAGTCTTTCCGGAACCAGTACGGGCCATACCCACGACATCCTTGTCATCCATAATAACGGGAATGGTCTTACGCTGAATCGGAGTAGGCACTGAAAATCCCTTCCGGGAAATGGCCTTGAGCAGGGTCATGTTAAGACCCATTGCCTGGAAACCACCACCCTTCTTCACAGTGCGACCCTTCAGACTTGATCCTTTTCGGTTGGCAGATGCTTGCTGGCCTGCAATGAAGGCTGCGTCGCCATCATCGTCCGATCCGAGGAAATCGAGATCTTGCCGGGGAGCAGGCTTCTGCTTCTGTTGACGGGCCTGGGGCTTTGCGCCGTCGTCGGAATCGCTGTCATGTTGGAAAAGAGCGCTGGTAATGTCAAACTCGTTCTCCGACTCCGCGGGGAGGCTTCGCGGCGAGGCATTGTTGCGGTATGCCGATGAAGGCGGAAGAAATACGGTGATAAGCGTTAAACAGGTCGACTCATCAACGTCGGAGGGGGTATAAAGTTGACAATCGTATTGGGATCAACGAAAATATCTCACAGACAATTCCCCGACTGCACACAAGCTTCAACAACTGAAGCGTAAGTCGAGTCGCTTATCTCGTCATGTTTCGATTGCTGCAAAAAAAAGTTGAGAGAAATCAAAGGCGGTGAATGCCGGATCAACGATCTACCGAGTGCAAACCAAATGATCTCTCTATACATTGAGGACGAGGATGATTCTGTCACCAACGTATGATAAGATTGTGTTGTTTTCTCGAGGAGTATATTGAAGGCTGGTAATGAACTGGTTAGATCTTTACTATGATACATTGTACCTTCAAAGAAATCAGAACTGAGGGTCGCATGATAGCAACTACAAACACGAGACGAAGGTGAGGTTTATTAGCATCTCCAAGTACAATTCGAAGCGATTTATGAGCATGGCTTGTGTATACCATGGCCTAAATACATTCTTACAAAATGAATACATGTACACAAAGACCTCAAACTAGGCAGTCCTCAGTAAGTCAAAGCGGTCAGACACGGCAGAACACCCCGCGACGCGTGCAACACGCTCCCAATTGAGTAAAATGGTGTTTAGAGTCACTCTCTACCTCAATTTTCCCCATCTCAACACCACATCATGGGTATGTACTTACCCTCAATTCAGCACCCCAAATCTCACACACTCAATCTAACACTCTCTCCAGACGGCGGATACAACAATTACAATTCATTCGGCGGCGGCGGCGGCGGAGGCTTCATGCCAGGCGAGACGAACAGCCCTGCAGGAGGAAAGGTAACACAACATCCCAAGCACACCCACCTAACAACACCCAACTAAAAAGCCAATTCCACAGACCGGGGACCGGGATAACAAAACCCTCCGCCCGGTAACAGTCAAACAAGTCCTGGACGCCTCGCAACCATTCCCGGAAGCACCCTTCCAAGTGGACGGGGCAGACGTAGCCAACGTCCTCTTCATAGGCCAAGTGCGGAACATCAGCTCGCAGAGCACAAACATAACCTACAAAATCGACGACGGCACCGGCGAAATCGAAGTCAAGAAATGGGTCGACTCCACCACGGCCGATAACATGGACACGGACGACGGCAAGGCTCCCGGTGATGGGAAGAGCGAGCTCGAACTCAACGGGTACGCCCGCGTATTTGGCTCTGTCAAGTCTTTCGGGAACAAGCGATACATCGGTGCGCATAGTGTGCGGCCCTTGTCGAATATTAATGAGTTGCATGTTCATTTGCTGGAGGCTACTGCTGTTCATTTGTTCTTTACTCGTGGTCCTCCTGGGGGTGCTGGTGCCCCCGCTGGAGGTGCGGCTGGTGTTGGGGGTGATGCGGTTATGGGTGGTGCGGATGAATATGGTGCTGGGCAGAATAAGGCTCTTGCTTCTATGGGGCCTGTTGCTAAGAAGATTTATTCGTTGCTTCGGACTGAGCCGCAGGATGATACTGGTTTACATATGCAGGTTATTGCTTCCAAGCTTAACATGCCTGCTATGGAGGTTGCTAAGGCTGGTGAGGAGTTGCTTGGTGCTGGTGTTATCTTCTCTACTATGGATGAGCAGACTTGGGCTATTCTCGAGTACTAGGGTAGTGGTTTGTCTGTCATCTTCAAAAGTCGCATTCAGACTCCAATGATATCATGATCTGTCTTTTATAACATAAGATTTTGGGGAGGTGAACTACTCTATTTCCATTGTATTTCCGTCGGTTTTGGTAGAGACATGTACTGAAAACAAGAAACAGAAATAGAAACCATCTAGCCACCGCTGATGCATCAGGTCGAACAAGAACGTATGTGCTGAAATCATGCAAATGAACATACCGTTGCGAACGGTCATAAGTCATATCGACCATCTCGTATCATATCTACTCTAAAGATCAAATCAAGTCAGCTCGTTCCTCAGAATAGCCTCCTCGACAGAACGATTCCAATTAGCTCGACTGATAAAGATCCCCTCGACGATGGAAACAAGCCCAAGAGCAAGGGCAACACCAGTCCATAATCCCATGACGCCCCAGTCTAAAGCAAAAGTCGTCCCCATACTGATGGGCATGGCAACCACATAGTAAAGGAAGAGCTGGACGTAACCGCCCACTTCTTGACGACCCAATCCACGGAGAATACCATTGCAATTCGCTGCGAGGGCGTCGAAGAGCTGGAACGCTGCGCAGAGGGGAAGGACCTGTGCCACGATATCAACAACCTCGGGATCCGAACTGAATAGCCTGGGGATGTAAGAGCGCAAACTTGACAGAAGAACCATGTTGAAAATACCAACGATGGCTGCTCCATAAAAGCTGACTTTTGCAGAGGTCTTAGCCGCATCAACCAACGTGGCTCCAATCAGGTTTGCTACTCGCGTGCTACCAGCGATAGACAGTGGAAATGGAATCTGCCACGTAATACTGGAGATTGTTGCCAGGATGGATTGGGCTGCGAGTTCAGATGTCCCGAGATAGCTGGATGCTAGCGTCAGAATTTCGAATGCGAGACACTCTGCCTCCACCATGATCAAGCCCGGGAGTGCGAGTCGGATCATTGGGCCCCAATTTTGGAATGCGCGTGTGGTAAAGCCGCACCAGCACTCGGATCCTACTTTGTAATAGACGTAAATGAACAAGCAGATGGGAAGAAGGGTCTCTGTGATAACAACGGCGATTGGAGCGCCGATGAAGCCCCATTGAAGTTTCTATAAGAAATCAGTATCGTCCCCATTAGCAGTCAAGGAAAGACACATACCCAGACAAAGAACCAGTTGAGAAAAGCATTTAGCGGCGCACACACAATCAGAACATACAGCGAGGCAGAGAACACACCCTGAGCCTGGAGGTAACGCTTACCACTCTCGAAGCAAGCATACCCAGGAGTTCCCAAGAGAGCCACCTTCAAATAAAGACCAGCCATCGCAGCAACTTCCTTCTCAGGTACAATCTTCGCAAGGATATGGTCGGAGAAATACCAAAGAACCGCAATGGGAACGGTAATAACCCAAAGGAAAAATACCATCCGCAGCATCTGCAAGCCTACCAGCTTCCTCTTGCCAGATCCATACGCTTGAGCGCACAGAGTGTCCAGACTCGTCGCCAGACCCGAGTAAACCGCATTACCTGTAATGCTGACAGTCATACTAGCCAAACTGACCGCACCAAGCTCCTCTTTCCCCAAATGACCAATGGTAAAGATACTAGCTACAGTCAGGGAATACTGCAGCAAGAATGTGACCATCAGTGGTAACGAGTATTTGCCAATGACCTTTGCTTCGCGCTGCCACGTGGTTTGGATCAGGCCTGCAGCAACAGCTTCCTCCCATTTGCGGTCGATTTCATCCAAATCCATTTCGGAGTCCTCGGCGTCTGCAGGTCCCTGCAGGAGAGCCGTGGTCTCGTTTGATACCGGGCCCGTCTCAGCTTCTCTGCTCTGGGAGCGTCGCGACGAGGCACTCGGTCGTCGGGAGACACTTCCCTGGCCGATAGCTGCAGATAGTAGGCCGCTGACCTTGCGCTGTAAGCCATGGGCCTTGCCATGTGCATACTCGGGCGGGATTACATGGTTGTCGCTTAGTAGGTTTCGCTCTTCTTCAATGGCTTGTTCGCGCTCACTCTGTGAGAGAGGCTGCTGCTCCCCGTTGTTGGGAATTACGGTCGCATGATTGACGGACGTGAAGTGTCCCGGCCGCCGATATGACCCTGCTAGTGAGTGGGGGTTGGTGCCGGTCCAGCTGCCGGGCGGGCGAGCGGTTGAACAATCGGATATTACATCGGTGGAGGTGTTGTCCTCGTCGCTGTATTCTGCTAGATCTCGAGCAATTGCTGAGGCGGCGATGGGCGAGCTGGCGGTGAAGGACCGGCTGAATGGGCTTTGATGCTCGGCGGCGTCCACCGAGCGGATGTTGCGGGCCATGATAAGAGAGACGGGGAAGCACTGGTCTATGGTACTGTCTATGGCCACATCCTTTGGAGTCAAACACGTTTGACTTGAAGCTTGAAGTCGGCGAAGTATCAAAAGGACAAAAAGCAAAAAGCGGAGAAATTAGAAGCGGAACCCAGGCAGTATTTGTAGTGTTCAGATAGGTAAGTACCGCCCCCACACACCTATATCAGCTAACAATTGACAAGGGATGAGTCAACTCGTAAGTTAAAAGATTAGATCCTTTGTCTATCTACCGTTCCGCCTCCAATTGTCAACGCTTTGAACTCCAAGCCCCCACCGACAAAGACCCACCGACAAGCTGATGCCTCGATGATCGACATACAAAACTTTGAACCCTGGTCAGCCAAACAATACGGAATAAAACATTGCATCCATGTCGATATGCATCTAACAAGTTGCACTGCATAAGTTCGTGACATCATGCCGAAAACGGTATAGATCACATCACATGACTACCCTCAGGCCTCCTCTCTCCAACGGTGACCAAAGCTTCCAAGCTCCAGTCCCAGCTTCATTAAGCAATCATGACTCAAACAAGGACGAGTGCTTTCACTCGCCCACCTTTTAACCCGCTGATCAATCCGGTTCATTCCAAGCCAGTCCTGGTCGAAGAGTAAGTGCATAAAATCCGAAACCCTCTTATGCCAAACGGGAAACATGGTGGCGGAGTCCCTTGCATCCAGTTACCTTCGAAACTCTTCCATACCACATCCCCCATGGTGTGGTGGTCTGGAGTTGGAATTCCAGACGGATAGACACGCTTCCTCTCCATACCAACCCCACACGTGTTAACGTTAATGTCCATGTTTATATCCACTAACAAGCCACCCAGCCACATCGAATCCCAACGCCACATCTTTCTCTCGCGCCCATATTGCGGTGCCCTCCTCTTCGAAAACAGCACCTCAGATGCACGCGACCACTGCGCCAACGAGCGCACATTCCTCTCATGGCTCCGACTATCAATGTATCTAGCGGTCGTGTCGCTGGCGATCATCATCTCCTTCCATTTCCGCGATCAGCCTACCGGTCTTGAGAAGCGTATGGCTTTGCCGCTGGGTATTATCTTTTGGATTCTTAGTCTTACCTGTTTGGCTAATGGGTTTTTAAATTACTCGCGGACTGTTATGAAGTATGCACGGAAGGCGGCGTTGGTGCAGAGTGGGTGGAAGACGCAGGTTGTTTTTACGGTTGTTGGTACTGTTATTCTTGGGAGTTGTATTTTGTTTTTATCGACGGATCCGCAGCAGTGAGGGTTCCTTGGTTGGTTTGGATTTGTTGTCTTTTCCATTAGCGTTGGCGTTGGTCTTGTTGATATCCGTTGCATACCATTATTGTTCCTACTTTTCAGGAATGAGATTAAAACGTTAACATGAAATGCTGCAGTATTATTCAAGATTTACTGAGATATTTCCTAAATTAGGTGTTGACAAAACAGACTGAGGTATCAATTCCATGAGTCACGTAAAGGGAATGCCAAAATGCATATGACCGAAAAGAAAAACAGGACCGAAAACGCAATATATGCTCCAGGCCGTTTACATGCGACGGATCTCCTGCTCGTTCTTGTACGCCTCTAGAGCCGGGGTGCCCAAGTGGCTCCACCACTCGAATAGCATCGAGTTGCAGATCAGCTTGAACCACGGGGTGAACTTCAAGCCGGGCTGCTCGAACATGGCCTTGAGCTCGTCAGCCGAAACGTAGGTAGTGTCACGGACCTCGTTAGGGCTGGGGGCCAGGTCGACATCGGCCTGGATGAAGAGGATATAGTCCACTGGAATAAAGTCAGAACCCAATCGACTCGAGTCAATCTTGTATCCGTGACATACCTTCGTGCTCACCCCACTTGCCATCACTGGGAGCCTTGTAGTGAATTCTCGTGAAGAACTCGAACTTGTCCAGCGGGACCTGCTCCGCCTTAATACCAAGCTCGTGGTCCAGTTTGCGCTGCGCAGCACGCTTCACTCCCATAACCGCAGCATCCAACTCAGCACCTGTCTCGCCGGGGATTCCAAGAGGGTGTGAGCAGCAGGTGTTGGTCCACATATCGGGGAAGGTGATCTTCTCGGAGGCGCGCTGTTGAAGCAGCAGGCGCTTGTTGGAGTCGAACAGGAACACAGAGAAAGCACGGTGAAGCAGACCCTTGTCAATATTGGTCATCAAGTGACCTGTCAATAATGACTGTTAGTATTAATTCATTCGCAAGGGTTTATGGCCACCACTACCCCGCCACATGGAGTCTGGGGTTGAGTTCAACGTACAGAGTTTCTTGCTGGCGCTGCCGATGGGTCGGTCATTATTATCCAGGACAATGCAAACTTCGTCCATCAGGCGCACCTGCTCCTCGTCGTAGCCCTCGAGCTCGCCGGCATCGCGCGCGGTCTGTGTTTGGCTGGTGGGGAGGATTTCGCGAGCCAGCGATGTGTCGACCTCAGGAAAGAGGGTGGCGACGTTGTCCGCCGTGATTTCGGGTACACTGTTCAGTGTCATTGTTGTGCTTGTAGTCGTTGTGCTCATTTTGGCGTAATGGAAGTTTAGTAAAAAGAAGGAGGTCAGGAGCAACAAAAAAGCAAAGGGTGTTGGGGAAGGCGGCAAGGATCGGCAGATTTGCCCCAGGGACCAGTGTGATCGATAGCCTCAACAATTTCGATTCCTAGTTGCACCTACATACACCCCTTCCTGGATCATTGACAATTGATAAGCGTACACTTGCCATGCTGTACTGTCTAGCCACGGGGTACGGACGTAAGCCCCGACGGTTCCTATCTCCACTTCGGCCTCCAGAGACCGCAGCAAGTAACGAAGCCCGGAACCCTATCTGGGGTTGTAAAGCCCAATTGCAATGCGAATATACAACGCGAATCGTTGCAACCTGGTACAAAGATAAACATACCCTACTCGAAGCTAATGGACTAGCATTATGAGTTGGAACGGCTTGGCAGCAGATATCCCAGGTTTACAACAATGCTTGACATTGTCAATCGTGGCATTCAATAAGAACAAAGTGCTCGAATCATGACTATTTCAACGGTTTCGTTGGTCCAGCGAGGATATCGTTGCCCAAAAGACAGTCTGACACAACCTCGCCATAATCACTTCACTTGAAGAAGACCCGTCAGCTTCTCCAGCTCTGCAATCTCCTGCGGTCCCAACAAGCCCAATGCCTCCCGTCGGGTTGGAGCATCAGCGTCAAAGATAGGCTTCTCCGCCAGTGAGGTCACTCGAGTCCCATGTCGTGGCTGAGAACCCTCATAATCCCAGCTGGCATTATGAATAGTGATCCTATCAAAAATCAGCATAAATCACCCATCACTCCCAAGTAATCAACTAACCTATTATCCCACAGCGCACTTGTACGCGGAGTCCATCTAAAGCGCACCTGGATATCAGGATTCTTCTCATAAACATCATACAGGTAATTCAAAATGACATCGCTCTCAGCCTTATCAAGACCAACAATCCGATCTGTCATAGCCCTATTCACCCACAACGCCTTCCAACCCGTTGCCGGATGGACACGAACGAGAGGATGTTCACGCTCTACATACTTCGGCCCCTCCTCTGGCTTGTTGCGGTCGAGGTATGGATGCGCAGAGCGGTAAATGGCAGTCCGACCGTCGATTAATTTGCGGAATAAGGGTGACAGCTTCTCATATGCTGCGTAGCCACTCGCCCAGAGGGTGTCGCCTCCGACGGTTGGGACGGTGTCGTTGTGTAGGTGTGTTACTCCTGCGGGTTGTCTCTCGTGTACGAGGTCGCTGTGCCAACGAGATGCGCCGCCTGGCCGGCGGAAGCTTGCTTTCTGCTCTTCTGCGAATAATGCTGGCCAGAGGACTGTTACACCGGGGACACCGGGGACTTGGGGTCCTTGTGGCTGGACAAAAACCATATTGTTGGTGGTTGATTGATACAATGGATTAATCGAACTTACATGGACCTCGACTTCTCCAAAATACTCGCCTAACTCCTTCTGTTGTTGAGGGGAGATATCCTGGTCCCGGAAGAAGACGACGCTCCGTTCAGCAATCAGCAACCCCAACTCGTCTTTCTGCTGGTCTGACAGGTCTTTCAGTTGTAAGCCGACGATTTCAGTTCCGATATGTCTAGTCAGTGGAATGATTTCTTTCGCTGCAGAAAGGAGAGCCTTCTTCTCGGGGTCGGCTCGGCTGCCTGGGTCTACGTGGAGTCTGTCTTCATTCCGCACATTGTAAACGTCGTCGAGGTAAAGAGGACGAGATGGTCGATACGGGTAGCCATTGCTCAAGTCGATGCCGGCTTTCTCGAAACGTTCGCGTGCAGGCTCGGGGAGTTCTAGGGTGTCCTTCTTAGGCGGTGCGACGTCGATGATGCGCGGATCAATAGGAGCAGGTGCCATGATGATATTGAATTCGATTTACTAATGTTTGTTCTTTGATTGTAAATGATTACCTGGAGAAGACTATCCATGATATAAGATAAATGTAAGTTGTATACTCCGGGTAGAAACAGTTGATCAACCAGGATTCGAGCACATCATCGATCTGACCCATTACGCCTTTATGCATATCTCTGACCATTGCCGACTCTCTGATTCATCGCACCCCCTCTTTACTGTTACCATTCGCCTTTCACAAATTTACGGCTGTTGCGCTGCGGGGAACCTGGGATTCACAATCCACGATATAAATCGCGATCGCATCAGTATTTCTAAGCATGGCATGACACCTATGAAATATTGCCGCTTGATCCGATATTTAGAATCTCGAGATCAAAGCCGAGAGGTTAAGTGGAGATCTGCGATGGCGAAATATTGAGGCGTCCTGAGTAGATCACTAACATGGACACCTTTTAGAAGGTAAGTTCAGATGATGATCCCCATATCCCCCTTTCCTTTTTCCATACAAACTTACAATTATCATGAGTGACAAGTCTAAACGCGTTGCGGTCATTGGCGCTGGAATCAGCGGAGTAGTTACTGCTGGCCACCTTTTGGCTGTTGGGATTGACGTGACTGTCTTTGAAAGAAGCCATGCAGCCGGGGGTGTCTGGTAAATATAATCATTCAATCGATTTTTTTGGGAATAATCAGCTAATCGGTCGCAGGCTATATGACAAGCGCACTCCGATTGAAGCTCAATATCCATCCCCGAGACCGACGGCTTCGCAGGAGTATGTGAAAGACGAGCGCGGAGAAAAGGAGAGGAAGATATTACTCCATGCACCTCCGGGGTGAGTAGGAACGGAACACTTTCTATCGATATAGATCATATATTCATTCCTTACAGGCCCTGCTATGAAAGTCTTACCAATAATGTCTCCACCCCGTTGCTAGAGACCAAGCTCAATACCTGGCCAGAAGGAACGGCACCTTTTGTGAGACACTTCGTCCTTAGGGATTATATCCAAGATACGGCTAAGAAGGCTGGCGTCGACAATGTGACTAAGTATGGTGCTCAAGTCACCAAGGTCTATAAGGAGGGATCGACGTGGACGGTCAAGTGGAGTACGTTGAAGGAAAATGATGAAGATATTATCGAGAACGAGGATTCTGCGGTAAGATATCAATCCCGAATATTCTGTCCGTTGATATCATTTACTAATTCCACTACAGACGTATGACTCTGTCATTGTTGCTTCGGGGCATTATCATACGCCTCTTATTCCTGATATCCAAGGACTCCCTGAGGCGAAAGCGCGATGGCCCGCAAATATCTATCATTCCAAGGCTTTTCGAAGATCAGAAGGATTTGAGGGGAAGGTAATCATGAGTTCTTCCTGCATCTCAAACTTCACTAACCTGGGAATAGAATGTACTCCTACTTGGAGGAGGAGTCTCCTCTCTGGATATCGCCAAAGCAATCAGCACGACAGCAAATCAAGTCTACCAAAGCACGCGCAACGGCGCCTTCGATCTTCCAGAAACCGCCCTCCCCGAGAAGACCAAAAGAATCGGCGAAGTCGGCTCATTCGAGATCTCCCATTCAACTTCTCCAACCGAACACTTACCTTTGACTGTATCCCTCAAATCCGGAGAAACCCTACAAGACATCGACACTATAATCCTGTGCACAGGCTACCAGATGGCCCTTCCATTCCTAGCCGAATACAACAACCACAGCATATCCGCACCCGAAGCGAACGACACAGTCCTCGTAACAGACGGCGCCCAAATCCACAACTTGCACCAAGACATTTTCTATATCCCAGATCCGACACTCGCCTTTGTTGGTATCCCCTTCTACACAGCGACATTCTCTCTATTCGAGTTCCAGGCTATCGCCGTGGCAGCGTTCCTGTCGGAAATGGCTCGGCTTCCACCTCCTGCGGTATTACGCGAGGAATATGAGACTCGCATTAAGGAGAAGGGGTATGGGCGGGCCTTCCATTCTCTTAAAGATCAGGAGGAGCCTTATGTCGAGAAACTTATGGAATGGGTTAATTCTGGGAGGGCAGCGCATGGCTTGCCTCCCATTGAGGGTCATACTAAGACTTGGATTGAAGAGAGGGCTGCGATGAGGGAAAGACTTCGATTGTTGCTTGCTGGGCAGCTTCCGCCGGATAATGTTCTCAGAGGTCCTTTAGAAGTGGAAGTAGCTGCTTGATACTTTTCTATATAAACCTTCATATGGTCAGTTATCACGTTTGATGTTCTCATCGAGGGAGGCAATGTTACATAGTAAAGTGACGCAGAACAAGTCAAACATATCAGTAAAGAGATGCCATATAGTTGAGGGGTGTGGCACACCATCGCCGAGATGTATGACGAGCGATGGTGCTGTTCTAGCGTGGTATGGCAACAGCACAACAACTCAGCGAGTCCCCGCACTGTAGTAAATACTGCTAGTAACTGCTTATGCGCATCGAAATGTTGAGCAATCTCGCAGGAATTGCGCGAACAAGCTCAACTATCATTCGACCACAACGAAAGGCAGCCTCCTCGATAACCCCTTGTATCTCTCGTAGCTCCAGTTTTATGCTGATAAACTAAAAGCTCGACACAAAAATAACGCGACCAGGCTATCTTTATCCTGAAACAGGGTCGTTGATACGTCAGAGCTCGTCTATCATCTCCGAATCAGATATTAAGCATTTCTCGGAGTTTGTGGCATACACTCAATCTCCGACTTGATCTTAATCGCTTTTCCGGATTATAAGAATGTTTCAAGGGCTCTGGAACCTTGATCCCCTTCGAGGTCAGTTGGCACCATACATACAGTATCATGCCACCAAAATCCCATGCCATTGAAGCGGACGTCGATCCCTCGACGCTGGTTCAGAAAGAACCTAAGCGCAAATGGGTCAGCTATATCTGGGATACTTTTGACAAGTCTCCCGAGGAGCGTCGATTGATGTTTAAGTTGGATTCGGCTATTTTGACATTTGCGTCGTTGGGTGAGTTTTGTCAGGTTTCCTCTTTCGGATATTTTCTGACTTTTCCTTTTTAGGTTATTTTATCAAGTATCTTGATCAGATCAATATTAACAATGCGTTTGTTTCTGGGATGTAGGGATACGTCTTTTCTGTTCTCATGTTGGGGTTGATATTGACTATTCGCAGGAAGGAAGATCTGGGCATGTACGGAAATGAGCTCAACTATATGCAGACATGTTGGACCATCGGTTACGTGATTGGGGAGATTCCTAGCAATCTATTGTTGACTCGCATCAAGCCGCGATACTGGATTCCAGCTATGGAGGTAAGGTTCCGTTTTATCCTACGAATGCACTCAGCTTATACCTTCATAGCTTCTATGGACCGTCCTCACGATGTCACTTTCTCGGTGCAACAGCCCAACTCAGTTTTACGTTCTACGATTCTTCGTCGGTATGTTGACCTGATTCGAGTTCTAAGGGAGAGTTTGATAACAATGTGTGATAGGTCTTGCTGAGAGTACATTCTATCCTGGAATGCAATATATTATTGGCTCGTGGTACAGAAAAGATGAATTAGCAAAACGATCTTGTATCTTCCACACCAGCAGTGGAATTGCCACTATGTTCTCTGGATATCTCATGGATGCAGTCTACAATCTTGGGGGACGAGGAGGCTTCAAGGGCTGGCAATGGTAAGCACCAAGCTAGGTCTGGGGATTTCGCTCAAACATTAATTTGCCAATCAGGCTTTTTATCATCGACGGAGTTATCTCCTTGCCAGTTGCCATCTGTGGTTTCTTTATTCTTCCTGACGTGCCCGAGATTTCTAGCCCGTGGTATCTGAGCCAAGAGGTGATCCTATCCATCCATGTCGGTTTTCTGGCCAATACTAACATCGAGGGTTGAACAGGAGGTGAAGTTGGCCCAGAAACGAATGAAACTAGAAGGAAGAAAGGACAGAGAGCCATTCACAAAGTCAAAGTTGAAGAAGATCTTCACTTCGTGGCACATCTATCTTCTAACGATCCTTTACATGTGAGTATCAAAGACACAATCACAAGTACTGTCTCAAATTGACCTATTCCCAGATGTTTCAACAATGGCGCAGCTGGAAGTCAGCCCATCTTCCAACAGTGAGTGAATATCAATTCGCTCTCACGAGTCAGCTCTAATTCTTCCAAAGATACCTTAAGAACTCCACGGACCCGGTATACTCAGTCAGCCAAATCAACTCCATTCCGACAACGACCCCTGCGGTCCAAGTTGTGACGACTCTCGCGTATGCCTGTGAGTTAATCATATCATCATGAATACCTTTACGTGATGCTAACTTTATGCCAGGGATATCAGACAGTGTACTAAACGGCAGTCGCTGGCCACCGATCATCTTCGGAGCTGTGAGTACTACAACTCTATACCTCTATACAACATAGGCCTAACCCTATCCCAGTGCATCAACATAATAAGCTACATATCCCTCGCAGTATGGGATATTCCGACAGGATGGAAATGGACATGCTACATCATCAGCGGAGCCGGATACGGCCTGAGTGGCCTATTGATGGCGTAAGTCCTCACACGTTTCCAAGCTTCAAGTTCTAACATGATTGATATTGATAATAGCTGGGCTCATGAAATCTGTTCCGAAGATAATGAGGAACGATCCCTTGTTATTGGAAGTATGAATGAGATGGCTTATGTCTTCCAGGCTTGGTTGCCCCTTGTTGTTTGGCAGCAGGTTGATGCGCCTGAGTATCGGAAGGGCTTTATTGCTGTTACTATTCTTTCTGTTTTGTTGATTGTTACTACTTTAGTGATCAGATTTTTGCATCAGAAGGAAAGGTTGGAGAAGAGGTTCGTCTTCTAGTTACTATGTGGTTTCTCTTTTGATTTCAGTTTACTAACTTTTGTCGTGGCATACCAGGAATCAAACCCATGAAGCCGAGGAGACGGAAGATGGCTCGTCGGATTCTGGAGGAGTAACTCCCCTTGATGCAAAGGCTATCAAGGCTTGAGTAAGGGGAACTTTGTGACGGAATATCACATAAAAGCGTGCTCTAAGCGTCCGATACATGACGCAGACATAGGATACATAGTCGAAATCCTTCTCTTACCTAGTTCAATATGCGAATGGCTGAACCGCCGATTGCACGGCCTTTAGTCTTCTCAAAGTACAGTGACGATATCTTGTAAATACCGAATCTACGAGGATATGTATGAGTAACATTTCGGCAAATGACCGCAGTTCGTCAAATTAGACAGCAATGGTAATTGTACAAGCAAGATGAAATGTGATGAGGTCATGACGCGAAAAAAAAAAAGTAATGACAGACCTAGTGCCAGCCATTTACAGCAGCCGTCCCGGAAACAAGCTCATCCAACTCATCTTTGCGGGTCTTGTAGAGATCCTGGGCTTCACGCTCGCGCCGCAGAACAAACGAGACATCCGAGCGGAGCTTTTCAAGCCGTCGAGATACGGCTGACTCTTCAGAGATCTGGAGTGTACGGAAAGAGTCCAGGTCATCAGTGGCCTTGGGCAAAGCGACGCTGGCCTCTAGGATCTTCGAGCGTAGCGTCTTAGCACGGTTCTGATATCCACCGTAATGCAGAGATAGCTTCTTTTCGAGCTTGTTTCCACGATCAGCGGTCTCGAAGAGAGTTTTTTGGACGTTGTCGAAGAGCTCGATCATCTTCTGCTCTTCCTTGAAGTCGTCCTCTTCATCGTCGTAGTTTTCAAGACCAGGAAGGGAGTTGGCGCGAACTGTTGACCAGCCATCGTCGAATTTTTCTTGCCATTCGGACTGCTGTGCTTGAGTGGAGGCAATCTCGGCGGCAATGGAAGCTCGTGCTGCTGCCAGGAAACGGTCTTCCAGTTGGCTGAGCTTTGGTGCCTTCCCTTCGACCTTGGCATCGGGAAGAGGGAATTTGCGGGAGTCGTGTGCAATCAAAATGGCGGCTTCTTTGGCGATCATTTTTTCAATGCCATCGCCTGCGCTAGAAGCACGTTCCATCAGAGCGTCCAGGTCCAAAACAGTGGGACGAGGCAAGCCGCGCTGATAGACTTGTGATTGGCGCTTGAATTCGGCTTTTGCGGCCAGTTCTTGTGCCTCTCGGTCTCTGCGGTCACGCTCAGCAGCATCCTCTTCACTGAGTTCCATAGCCGCGGTGGGCTCGGCGTTCTCAGATGGAAGCTCTTCCAAGTCCCACTCGGTCTCCTTGGGCTTTGGAAGCGAGGCGAGCTTGCTACGCATCTGTTGGCGTATGAAATTCTCATGGTTTCGGATGTCGCGAGGCGTGCTTCCAACAAGCTGTGTGCCCCCTCCCTCCCGGTTCAGAGCAAAGTGGTCTCGTGGTGTGCGCAATGGCGTAGCACCAACACCACCAGGCATAGGTGTGGCACCCATGCCGTTCGCTTGCCGGAATGGCGTGGCCATGGGGTTGGGGGTGACGATATCCTGTCGCCGAGGAGCAATCCCATCAAAGCCAGTTGATGAGCCACCCTCGTGAAGAGGCGTGTTGTCTCCGCCTAGGAGAGAAGACTGTGTCTCGGTCAAAGCCCGAATGTTCTTGATTTCGTTGGCGATGTGATCCTCCTCGGGGGCAGCGCGCGGGGTTCTGATCGGGGTTCCTCCAACGATGCCCGAGTAGTTACCAATGAGACCCCGAGTGGTTTCTTCGTCGGCGCTCATTTTGCTGGCCTTGTCACCAGCCATTCCCATCTTAATAATATCTTCCATCTCGCTTTCGCTGACCTGAGGCGCTGGTAGATTCAAGCCTCGTCGCTTGCTGCTCTGCTCCGCCTCACGGATTTTTTGCATTTGACCTGCTCGCGCGGCAGCAGCTGAAGCGGCTGTGGCACTGTTCTTATCGTTCTTACGCTTCTTGCGCTCCGCATCATCATCTTGATCACCCTTTCGCTTATTCGCGAGCTGCTGCTTTCGAGGATCAAATGCTTCCCGTTCACGTTCATTCTGACTCTGTTCATTAATTGTGTCGTAGAATCCAGGAGCGGCTGGCTTTTCGAAGGGAATGTCTGCATTGTAATCCATCTGGCCGGGCTTCCTTGTGACGACCTTGACGTTGATACCGGCATGCTTCAGTTCGCGGCGCTTCTGGAGGACCGCAAGTCGCCGGGACTCTTCTAATTGACGTTCTCTGGCCTTTCGCTTGGCCTTTTTACCCTGTGTGTTGGCGAGACGAGCACGGGCTTCGCTCAGCATCTCCTTCTCATCTTCATCCAGGTCGATCGTATCGGGGCGAGCAGGCTTGGATTCCGGGTCGGGGTCAAGTTCACCGGGACTAAAATGATCAGCAATAAGTGGGAAATATATGGGTAAAATAGACATACCGTAGACGGCGGACATCATCCGCACTGGGCGCAGCGCTCTCCTCACCAGGCCCTCCTAGCCCAAGCTCATCGTTCTCACGAGACTCGGCCTCATCGAGAAGCTTCTGGTAGCGTTCAAGACATTGTGTCGCGGTACGCCCAACGATGGGTGCGATCGTGCGCCATTGCGTGGGCATCAGTTTCGCGAGGTGCAAGAGCTTCTCATCCTCCTCCCGTGACCACTCGACCTTGCGAATACCCGGGTCCAACCATTCAATCCAGCGCGCCTTACATTGCTTCGGTGTTTTCCGCGCGAGCAGTGAGGACACTCGAGCCCACTGGTTCAGACCATATTTCGATACCTGCGATCGTGTCAGTTTTCGCCCCATATACCGTTGGCCACAAATGATTGCGGATTGCAAGAAAAAGACGTACAGCTGCACGAAGCACCTCATCTTCGATATTGGTCCTAGAAACGCGTTAGAAGAGAAATTCGCGAGAGGGTTACAACGGGGTTCTTACCAGACACCTCCTTTGACGACAGGCATAGCGTGCGATCGCGCTCTGCGCAGGGTCCTCCGGGAGATAAAAGTGAAAGATCAAGGGTGCCACCAGGAAGATGGAGAATTGACAACCCTCTGGCGATGGGAGAGTTCAAGTGATGACAGCTCGAAGCGGAAGAAATGCGAGTTTGCAATTTAGCGCGCTTAACGTGATAACCGCCCCCGCGCGTGCTGAGATAAGCAGACCCAGATTTTTTTTTGGGAAGAAAAAAAGATAAGCCAATTTTCATACTTCACCGTCAACTATTTGTTTCCACAATGTCGACCTCTGTGGATGCTCCTCAGCAATTCAAGCAGCCTTCCCGTAAGGGCAAGAAGGCGTGGCGTAAGAACGTCGATGTCACTGAGGTTCAGGACGGTTTGCGCAACCTGAAGGATGCAGAGATCAAAGGGTACGCCTATCTTTTTTTTGGGTTTGGGGCTGAATCAATGTACTAACTTTTCCTCTAGTGGTCTTGTAGCCGAGAAGCCTTCCGATGAACTTTTCACTCTCGATACTACCGGATCCGAAGAAGTGCGCAAGTCCTATGCCAAGCGACACAAGCCTCTCAAGGCAGACGAAATCCTCGCTCAGCGGTCTATGATCCCTGCATTGGACGGTCGCAAGCGTGGAAACCCCAACGTTACCGATGGAGTCATTGAGCCGAAGACGAAGAAGGTCAAGAACGACTGGGTCAGCCGCAAGGAATATCTGCGCTTGAAGCAGGTGGCAAAGGAGAACAACCCTGGCAAGAAGACTGAAACTGAGATTTACGATCCCTGGGCGGACGAAGCCGAGCCCGCGACCACCTATGATGATCCTCGCTTCGATTTCCTGACCAAGCCCAAGCCCAAGGTTGAGCCGGTCACACTAAAGCACGCTCCTATCTCACTCGCTGCCAACGGAAAGCGCGTCCCCTCTGTTAAGACGCCGCACGCCGGAACGAGTTACAACCCTGTCTTCGAAGAGTGGGACCAGCTCTTGGAGACGCATGGTGCTAAGGCAGTTGAGGCTGAGAAGAAGCGACTTGAGGAAGAGGCCAAGGAGGCTGAGAAGCAGCGTATGATTGAAGCGGCTCAGAATGATGACGGCGAGGTCAAGTCGGACGATGAGAGCGCTTGGGAGGGCTTCGAAAGCGAGTATGAGAAGCCCGAGTGGCTGAACAAGAAGCGCCCCGAGCGGAAATCCAAGACGCAGCGGAACAAGGTCAATCGTCGCAAGGAAGCAGAGCGGAAAGCGAAGTGGGAGGCTCAGATGCGCAAGAGAGATGCACAGGCCGAGCATATCGCCAAGATTATTGAGGAGGTCAAGCAACGGGAACTTGAGCGCGAGAACCAGTCCGATGCGGATGATTCTGAGGAGGAGGGTGATGACACTACCCTCCGCAGAAAGACTTTTGGTGGGAAGAAGGCGTATGTTTCCACTTATCTTATGTTCTACTTTTCTTCTTGACTAACAAACATTTAGGGTGCCTGAGAAGCGGTTGGAGCTGGTGCTTCCCGATGAACTTCAGGATTCGCTAAGACTTCTGAAGCCCGAGGGCAACCTCCTGGATGACCGATTCCGAACATTAATTGTTCAGGGTAAGCTCGAGTCCCGCACACCGATCACGCAGGCCCGCAAGGCCAGGAGACAGGTGACCGAAAAGTGGACTGCGAAGGACTTCAAGACTGGGTACGAATAATTCTGCTGCATATTCCCTCTAAAAGCGCGTGCATTTGGACATACATTGCGTCCTACATAGTATCAAATATTGTTTCCACTATACAACAGTAAAGCAAAGTAGCTCATGTACAAGTGTTTACTCTTTACTCTCCATCGTGTAGAGATAAAAGTGGGTCCCGAAAATTTACTTGCTTATCGCCTTTTTATCTTCCCAACTTCCTCCATGCAGCATTGTCACCATGGACAAGACCAGTCTCTCCAGTAATTGGAAGAAGCTGCAGGCAACGCTGAAGAAGGATACATCTACTGCTAAACGCAAGTCCTCCGATCGCGACGGAGATGCCACTGCGAAGAAACGCAAGACAGAGAAACCAAAGACCAAGACCACGATCACGACACGAGACAAGACAACACTCAAGCGCAAGAGAATGTCAGAGAGGACAGAGCTGGTCACAGACTCCAGAACTCAGGCCTCGCCTGCCCGGAGAAAGTCCAGCGCAGGAGTTCCAGCTGAGCTCAAGATCAGTTCCCGTGCCGGGAAAGAGAATGAAGGTCGTTCGCCGACGTAAGAGCTTTCTCTCCATGGTACACATCCTACCTTATGACCATATACTAATTTGAACAGCGCCGAACTAGGAAAATATGTCGCAATGGATTGCGAAATGGTAGGCGTCGGACCAAACCCAGACAACGACTCGGTACTGGCCCGCGTCAGTGTTGTCAACTTCAACGGCGACCAAGTATACGATTCATACGTGCGGCCCAAGGAGATGGTTACAGACTGGCGCACGCATGTTAGCGGAATTGCCCCGAAACACATGGTCGAAGCCCGGACTTTCGAACATGTGCAGAAAGAAGTGGCAGAGATCATGAAAGATCGCATCCTCGTTGGTCACGCCGTCAGCAATGATCTGGACGCTCTTCTACTCAGTCACTCCAAACGTGACATCCGGGATACCAGCAAGCATGCACCCTATCGGAAGATTGCTGGTGGTGGATCACCACGTCTGAAGATGTTGGCGGAGGAGTTCTTGGGATTGAAGATTCAGGATGGAGCGCATTCTAGTGTGGAAGATGCTCGGGCTACGATGGCTCTTTATCGACGCGAAAAGGATGCTTTTGAACGGGAGCATTTGAAGAAATGGCCTGCTCGTATGATTGCGGATAACAGGGAGAAGGGCGATGGAGACAAGAAGAAAAAGAAGAAGAAGAAGACTACTCGCAAGCGTTGATATTGAGTGAAGATGATTGAGACATAGATACTTTGTATATGTATACCCCCAATCGCATCCAATTGAATTTATTATTGCACTTCGATAGAGCTCTGTAATAGAACAGATCATCTCCACAGAAAAGTTCATTCTAGACACATGTAGTGTAGTTGTGTTCAGTGTTCATCCCAAGTATTCGAATTTCCACTTAACGCGGTACCGCGACGCGCCTCGGAACCTTACCGATCTCTTACAATCCCTGCCCGAACATCCCAGTAACCCCGTCAACTCCAGATTGCAGACTGCATACGATTACATTTAATTCCTCAATACAGCTTTTGAGCACAGTGTACATCTCTACCACGCCAACCTCAGACCCTCCATCTCCATCTCCAACCCTCGCGTAACACAATGCCAGACATGTACGCCATTCGACCCTGCACAAAAGCAGACACACAATCGAAGGACACCTCAACACCGCAGTACACACCCAACATAATCCCATGCAAAATCCACCACGACGGAGCAATTGATTCCTTGGACCGGTACTGGGCGCCAGTGACAGACGAAAAAGGTACATCAAGCAGTTCAGTCCACAGTCTACTGCCCCTCTTAAGGCATAAAAAGAAAGAAGAGAACAAGAACAAGAACAAGAACTAATCAACCCTTCTACACAGATAACACACAAACCTCATATTTCCGCGGCCGCAAACTTCGAGGTCGGCGCGTTGCCCTTCCGGACGGGTATCGAGGTACGGCAACACATACCCAGACGAAAGACTGGCTACCTAGCTAGTTGGTCTTAGTACAAGCGGCTAATTCTATCCATCTACCCCGATTTAGGCGTCGTCGCAACACCAACCGATCGCGTTTTACCTTCGAGTCAACAAGTCCCCAATGATGACGACGAAGTTGTAGAAGTTGAGCCCGAGGAACCAGTGAAGATTCTGGAGATGAATGGTACTTTCGAGGATCTTGTTGTATGGGGTCATGAGGCTCTTCCTGCGGCGGATGATACGTTCGTTAAAGGTGTTGAGGAGTGGCTGCAGTTTGCGGAAGCTGTATGTTCTTTTGTTTTTATATTTTTTTTTCTGGTATGGGAGGGTGATTTACTGACTTTCTTTTAGATGCATGCTACACCTGCTCCGGTGAATGGGAAAGAGGCTGCTGTCTGATGCGCTTTTCATAATGGTGTTGGTGGTTTGGTTATTGGGATTGCATATAAGCTACATTCATGGGAATTGAGACCTTTCTTTAGTGCTCACCTCCCGCTTTTTGATCAGTAAAGTTGAGCCCCTAAGTACCCTTAGTTGATCACCCTTATATGATTAAATGGTCAGCTCACTATCACCTGATTGTCACCTAAGCACCTCGATCTACTTACTGATTATTGTCGCACCTAGGCAGAACCCACTTTTTATATAGCCTTAGAACCATATGGTAGTGAACGGTTAATCATCTTTCACAGGCCTTCGCAAAATGGCAACTTTGCTGTCACTTCTGTGTGCTAAAAATTGGTGGTAGGACTCGCTCGAAGAAAGCTATATTAGGTTTTATAAGGATGGCACCGACAAAGTGAGCCTTTTGTTGTAGCATTTCTAAGGGATTCAAGAGGATATTAGACTATATTCATGGGAACTTATGGTGATTTCCGAGGTGTGATTTTCTGTTATCATATCAGAATTGGAGGCTTGTATGGCTTTATGTCGAGAGTTAACTTTCAAGTAAGCAATGCGTTGAAGAGAGCATATCAGTAGGACCCTGGATTGTATTCATGAAATTGTAATTCGTAAACCATGTAAATTCAATTAAAAAGGCTCTTACATTCAGATTAGCTCCTACTCTTGCATATTTGTATCTAATTGAGTCGAGTATCATCTTTGTAGATGTAGATGTAGATATTGATAAGCTTGACCGCCCACCAACCCGATAAAGCAGCTCAAGCAGCTCAAGCAGTAAACCACCCCCACACATCCTCCCCGGCCTATCCATCACACAAAGATGGACACCTCCAACCCCCCAACAGCCCCAGAGGCATTGATCTCCCAATTCCAAGTAACGAAACTCCTCAGGCAAGGTACCAACCCCACCTCTCCCCCTCTGCCGCAATCCAACCCAATTCAATACCAAAAAAAGCTAACGAAACCTACCAGATCAAGCCGGCAGACGCATCTCCCTGCTAGGAACAATACACAATGAACAAGGAATCCTAACAGCGGAACGCACAGCCTTCGCAACAGAATCCCTCGACACCATCCGCGCCTTCCACGCTGCAATCTCGCGCATAAAAAACCTCGGCAACAACGACATCTACCGCTGGTACCTAGCCTCATCATCAAACGGCACCAACGGCACCACCAACCAAACCGCAGACCTAAAACTAAACCTAATTTGGCCCTGCACAGCCTCCCACATAAAGAAATACTCGGACCAACAACTGCGCATGGTAACCGAAACCCCAGCAATCTACGCAAACTATGTCAGACCCTACATGCGCGCCAAGCGCGAGGAGGGGCGGCTTAACTGGGTGTTCAATATCCTGGAAGGACGGACGGAGCAGGAAGATGTGATTATGCGGGATGATGGGGGGCAGAACCGGGCTGAGGATGCGTTTTTGATGTTGCCTGATTTGAATTGGGATCGCGAGACGATGGGTTCGTTGCATTTGCTGGCGCTTGTGCAGAGGAGGGATATCTGGTCTTTGAGGGATCTTAGGAAGGGGCATGTCCCTTGGTTGAAGTATCTCAGGGAGAGGGTGCTTGAGGGTACTGTTGCTATGTATCCAGGTCTTGAGAGGGATCAGCTTAAGCTTTATGTTCATTGTGAGTTTTCTTTTTCTTCTTCTTTCTTTTGATTTTGATGTTGAGGGTTATTGGGATTCTTGCTGACTGCTCTTTGTTTAGATCAACCGACTTACTATCATTTCCATGTTCATGTGGTTAATGTTATGCTTGAGGCTGGGACTACTCAGTCTACGGGTAAGGCATTTGGATTGGAGAATTTGATCTCTCAGCTTGAGATGATGGACGGGGATGAGAGTGCTAGTATGGCTGATGTTGATTTGACTTATTTCCTTGGTGAGGCGAATGAGTTGTGGACTGATATTTTTGAGCCATTGAAGCAGGGGAAACAGCCAGGTCATAAGTTAGAGTGAGGAGTTACTCAAGATACTCCATGTTTGAACGAGTAGATTAGACATCATATCTTGTCATAAAGGCAGTCTAAACAACATCATACCCACGTATCTCTACTACTCCATACTGTATGCAAGATCTCATTGAGAATAAATATAAATTTTGGTTCATAAACATAAAAAGACTATACGTATGCCCTAGCCCGCCGCTCAATCTCCTCACTTTCAGTCGTCGTCTGCGTAACCTCAAACGTCCGATGAATACCCAATCCAATATCCTCAGTCAAGCGAGGCGAGGGCCGATCAACAGTTAACCTCTCCTCACTGTTACTAGGACTCAACGACCCGCCATCAAGATCGCGCTGGCTCTTGATAGTCGTCACAGTGACAGCCAGCTTATCCGGTCTCAGTCGGGACTGGGCGCTGTCATCAAGCGAGCCCAAAGGGAATGGTCGGTCGTTTCCGCCTAGTTGTCGGGATGCGGACCGTGAGCGTGCGCCTGGGAAGCCGCTTGAGTAGTCTGGGTCGGAGCGGGAGCCCGTCCACATGCGGAGGAGGGGGCGGAGGGTTGCTAGACTTCCGGCCGTAATTCCTAGACCTGCCTCGATGTTGGACCAGACGGCGATTTCGAAGGTTGCGTCTATGGTTTATGTTAGTTGTGGGTTGTGGTGGTAGCGTGAATTAGCGGGACGTACAGAGGAAGTCGTCATCGGCGAAGGTTTGGACAAAAGGAATGCGAACAATAACTGCTGATGAAGCACTAGAGGATATTGTTAGTTGTTTGAAGTTCCGAGAATAGATGGTGAGAACGTACATGCAAGCCATGCTCAAAATACCCATGACAGCGATCTTGGTCTGCTTCTTCATGTGCAACTTGTGCACAAGGAAGATTGGCAAGATACCGACTGTGAAATCACACAACGCAGAAAAGGCACTGTAGATGTAGGTCATGACGATAATGATATCGATGCTAATGCAGTATCCGGGGATACTGGGGTCCATGGTAACCCTTGTCCAGAAGTATGACAGCGGCTTGCACTGCAACAGCATCAGGAACATAAAGACCAATCCAGCAATGACGGTCAAGACCATGACGGTGTAAAGAATCCAGATATGAAGGCGCTTGATGGTGATGCGCATTAAGAATAGACAAACGGAGATCTTGCAAAAGATCGAGGCGAAACAATAGGCAATCTCACAGAGCCACCAGTATTTCATGGCCGTGACTCTGTTATTAGGCTCGAGATGCTCGAATTTTAAGCCTGTTCCATAGAGTGTGCCACCAATCATAGTTCCACAAAACATGGCGTAGAACAACTGTGAGATATTAGTACAGCCTCATTGACGTTGCCAAATATTCTTGGGGGAACATACCATTGCAAGAACCATTGCGGCATCATCCCACCCAAATGCTTTCACAATCCATCCTCGCACATAACAGCGCAGCATCACTGCAATAGCAGCGATAGGCAGGAAGACCGCGGCCACGGTCTGCACCGCGGTTTTCCTCCGATACTCCTCGTCCATATTAATATAAAGACATGGGTAAACAGATTGTGTGGGGGAGAAGGATTTTAAGAAGGATCCATCTGCAGGGGAAAAAGGATGCAGAAATCTAGAATGCTTAGGGGGGAAGGATTTAGCTGCATGGCTTTTTTTAGTGTAGATACCAAGCTAACCACGTTGCGATCGACGAGAGATGATCATTTGGGAGCCTTTGAAGGCTGTCATCTCCGTAAAGCCAGGAAATGCTGGGTACCGAGCGTACGAACTACCGTATTCGGCCAATTTCCTGACAGGTGGAGATGTCCTGACAGGCGTGGAAGTGGGAATCTCGACCAAAACGAAAACACTGACTTTCGGGCTTCATGTCCCGATACAACGGTGTATGGTTTCGAGTGGAAAAGAAGGGGTCCGCCAGGGCTAGTCTGCGCCGTTGTGTCTAGCTTCATTTCCTTTCCTGTTTTGTTGATACACGGCGGTGGAGCCCGACATTGGGTCTCCAGTCCGCTTCACCGTGCGTCAATCGCTGCCGTACAATGCCGACTGATGGGGCAGACTTTGTCGGGTCTTCATGTGTTTTGAGAAGGTGTGGGTGGCGATCTTGATTCACATATGGCGTGCACTAGCTTGCTTTAGTGCGTCTAGGGACAATGCATTGTGCTGTCAGCGCCACCAGAGGCCGTTAGCGTGGCTTTGTCCGGTGTGTACGAGGCTTCCAAGCGTTTCCAAGGCCTCGGGGTTTGCAGTCTCCTGACGAAAGTGGAGTGTTCTCCGTGTTCTCCGTGTTCTCCGGCCAACTTCTGTTCAGGGGATGTTGCTTAGAAATGTGAATTGCATGTGGTAGGGAGTAGTGCAGAGAGTACGGAGTGCAATGGTTGTGGCACTGGTTACAATGTGATTGAAATATGCCTGGGTTCTCAGGCCCGAAACTTGACCGATTCACCAAAAGAAAGTCATGAGTGAAGTGGTCTTAAATAGACTCACGTAGACACATTTTTGGGTAAAAGCTAATGCACACTCGAGCCTCTCTCCAATTAATATGGTTTGACTAACGCTTCTGCAAACGGAGAATTAATACGAATTTATAGTTATGCAGGATTAATAAACTTCGCCATGCATGTGGTTTTGGCCCCCAAACCCCCGCAACTCCAACTTCACACTTCGATCTACAGATCTCCCACCTCACATCTCACTCGGCTCACTCCCGATCTGGAACATCACACACATCCACAATGGCCAACGTTGACGTCCCGCGAACTCAAAAGGCCTTTGTGCCTCTAGGTACAGCCCCAACCCCAATCCCAACCCCAAGCTCCAGCCACAGCCACAGCTCCGGCTCCAGCTTCAGCTTCAGCCCCAGCCCAACCCCAGCTACTCGATCTCTATCTAAACTAACACAACAACAGAGAACAACCCGGAAGTAATGTCCCACCTAGTGCATCAACTAGGCCTCCCCCCAACAATCGGCTTCACGGACGTCTTCTCAATCGACGAGCCAGACCTCCTAGCCTTCGTCCCGCGCCCCTCCCACGCCCTCCTGCTCGTATTCCCCGTCTCAAAAACCTACGAAACATCCCGCGAAACCGAAGACGCAGCCCTCGCACACTACACAGGCTCTGGCCCCAACGAACCAGTAACATGGTTCAAGCAAACAATCCGCAACGCCTGCGGTCTCATCGGCCTCCTCCACGCTGTCTCCAACGGCGAGTCTAAGAAACATATCATCCCCGGCTCGGATTTAGATATCTTGCTCCGCGACGCGGAGAAATTAGAGCCCGTCCAGCGTGCCGATTTGCTTTATGACTCTAAGGCTTTGGAGAGCGCGCATGCTGATGCGGCCAGGCTGGGCGATACGGCGGCGCCTGAGGCTGCGGATGATGTTGATTTGCATTTTGTTGCTTTTGTGAAGGGTGTTGATGGGACGCTTTGGGAGTTGGATGGGAGACGGAAGGGGCCGCTTGCTAGGGGGGTTCTTGGGGAGGGGGAGGATGCGCTTAGTGAGACGGCGCTTGGGCTTGGGGTTAGGCGGTTTCTGGAGACCGAGGCTAAAGGGGGAAATCCGGATTTGAGGTTTAGTCTTGTTAGTCTTGGGCCCCTTTTTGATTAGGGGCCTGTGGTGTTTCATGTCATGGATGGCGTTTTGGTTTTGATATTCCCACTGGTAATTTTCCATTTTCCAGCAGTGCGTGGAATTGTGACATTGCATTGAACGAGACTCACTGTCTTGTATGATTTTAGGATACGAGAGTCGGCGCTGATTCGAGATGCTTGAGAACATGCCAGGGCGGATATTGTTCAAATGTCTATTTCTATAGTCTATAGTCTATTAAAGCTCTGGCAAACGAGCACATTCATCCCCACCATCTTCGTTCACCACGAGGCTTAAAGAATAACCATCAGGCTATCTCTTCTCATGCTCCATAATATCAACAACAGGAGAAATAACAGACCCTGTAGGACCAGCAATGGGTACATCCTCTGGATGAACACTAGCCATTTTCTCTCCCGCTGTCTCGCTGGTGAGTACCTCATCATCCTGGGATTCGGTATTACCCTGAGTCCCAAGGGTCAAGAACGGCACCATAAACAACGAAAGACCCGCAGCCGCAGCCGCATACCAGTAAACAGCCAAGTAAGGCTGAATGGCAGGGGTAGAAGCAGTCATCTTGTTGACGATAGAGGTTTCAACAGAGGTAGCGATACCAAGACCGAGATTATTGCAAAGCTTGCTGACTGTATTGAAGATTCCACCGGCGATGGATTGCTGGGAAGGCGGTAGAGAGGACATGACGTACATCTAGTAGAGTCAGCAAACCGAATATATCATATAGACAGGAATAATGCGGCATGGGGAGCGGACGTACATTCGTGACATTGAACTGAATATCGGCACCAACAACCACAAGAACCAAAGCCGGGAAGATAAACGCCCAGTAGGTAGCGTCTTCCTTCATGAAACTCAGAATTAGGAAGGATGCTGTGTATGCCAGTGCCCCGATTCCGGTTAACACTTTGTTGCTCACGCGGTGGAGGACCAGGCCACAGACAACATTGACTAGTACGCCGCTGACAACCATTGGAAGGAGCTTGACTGTGATTTCGAGGGCTGCTTGGTGCTTCACCTCTTGGAGGTAGAGGGAGAGGTAGAAAGTGACGGCGGAGAAGCCCATGAAGCCGAGACAGAATGTTGCCATGAGCTGGAGGGTGTTAGTTTTCTTTCTATAATTTGCACGAAAGGTGCCAGATGGTCCACACATACCAATGAGAAATTGCGGTCTTTCCAAACCCAGAGTGGCATCAGAGGGTTCTCGGCAATAGACTGCCAATACAAGAACGCAACAAGCAGGAAGAATCCCACGATGAATAAGCCAAGGACGTAACCAGTCCTCCAACCATCCGGCGCATCACCAGCCAGCCTAAAAAGAAAAACAGTTAACAGAATCCAAAAGCAAAGACCCAGCAAGAAATAGAAATACATACGAAAGCGAACTCGAAAAGAAAGCAAACCCAACAATCACCAACCCAGTGCCCAGTAAATCAAACCTCCTCAACGCATCCAAAGAAACAGGCGTCCTTGCAAACCCATCAGCCGGAACCGTCCAAACAGTCAAAACCGTAAAGATAGCATAAACAACCGCAAGAGCCCAAAACGATGCACGCCAGTTATACTCATGTGACGCAACACCCGAAATAATCATACCACCAACAAACCCAAGCGGATTACCAGCACTGAAACAAGCAAAGGCGCGGTTTTTCCGTTTCGATGGCTTCTCGTAGACGGCGCCTAGGGCGCCTACGGCTGGTGGGACGACGGCTGCGGCGAAGAGGCCTAGGATTCCCGAGAAGACGTCCATGTAGATAGCGTTTGTGGCGAAGCCGGCTATTAGCAGGGATAGGGTGAAGCCTGCCATTCCAATTATGAAGAGGGTTTTGCGGCCGAACATGTCGGCTAGTTTGCCGAATGATAAGAGGAAGGCGCCGCTGCTTAGGCTTTTGGGTTGGTTTTGTGTTAGTTTGTTCTTGCCCAGATGTTTATAGGTTAATTGATGGGGTTTGAGATATGTGGACAGTGGGTATGGGGATCGATGTGGCATTGTATAGGTTTGGATGTATTGAAAGGTTGAGAGGAAGGAAGTACGTACGAGGCGCCGGCGTTAATCCAGGTAATCTCAGCTGAGTTCATATTCAAATCTGTTCCGATTGAGGCGGTCACGCCAACGATACAGCCTTGGAAGAATGATTGTTGGCCGATGGCCATGGTGGCTGTTAAGACGAATAGGCATTCTTGGAGAGTGCTGTTGAAGCATTTGGGGCGTTTGGAGAAGTCATTCTCTGTAAGTGTGACCTCTGGGTCTTTTTCACGGCCTTGTTGTACCATTGTAGGCATTCCAGGTTGGATATCCTCTGACTGGCAACGAGCGAAGTTTGAGAGGACGGCAAATATCACACACGTCGTAATCACGCTTAATTAGTTCGCGTTAGGCTGGTTAGGGGTTTTTCCGGCTTTCCACAGGACCGAGGGTGGGAAAGATCAGAGATCAAGCATTGTCCAGTTTATATATTATTTGGCCTGTTAAACCTACTAAGTTAGGTATAATCGCAGCCACCGCAAATATTTTGTCAGCGACGGGGGAGTTCCGCGATCTGATCTTTGGCTTAGATCTTCGCACTAGTCCAATTGAGGCAATAGTGGGCTACTTTGCAAGGATGTGGTTGTCGCAATCACCTAAACATGCATAGATTTGAGCAGATTATCGGTGAGGGTGTTACTGTACATGTTGCCACATATCGACGCTATTCCGGAAACTAATTTCCTGTTGTATCATTAACCCAGCACTCGCGGGCATTGAACTTGAGAGCCTCATTCCCACAGGCCCACCAACCAGCTGTCAAATTTCGGGCAAATACCTCGAGAGCAGTGTATGACTCACGGGAGCTTTCATTGGAGAAAAAGACCTTTTCAAAAATGCTTTTCAGATTGGGTTTGCGAGAATGCAGGTCTGGGACCGCGGCGATGACTCTTCTCGTAGCGACAGCTTCACTCACGATTGTCAAATCATCTGTTTGGGACGACGATGATGCAGATATTCTAGAATCTGTTCTTTGTTTACCGATGACCAGAATCTCGTACGGTTTCCGCCAAAGACCATCCAGAGCTGAAATCGGCTGGCCACTCAGTGTGGTCTTGACCCAGACCCATTCCTCGCAGACGTTAAATCCTGCACTACTCATTGCATGATAGGCAGCTTTCCGTGACTTTTCGGCGTTGGTAATCCATATAGCGGCTATAGATTGTTGGCTCTGAATCTGGGATCCGCTCTGCGTTTCTGCCAACTCCTGCGTTATATCCTCACGTCGATACGAGTGTGTTTGAAGAATCTCTCGCATTCCCTCGGTGAGTATATCCATCTCGGAGTAGCGGTTTATTGTATAGTGGCCGCTTCGCCGAACAGATCGGTTTGGCCACGGCGGGTCCATCAGGATAAGGTTGAACCTCTGCGAAAGCCCGGGGATGGGGATTTCATGCGCTGCATAGTAATCAGATCCTTTAAGAATAGGCAGTTCACATAGTATGAAGCTTGACCCTGGTGGAACCAGGTATTCACCCATGGTTTCATAGGACGTTCCAATTTGGATAATTGCGGTCTCTGATGATGGATTCTTTGCTACCTTAAGCTCCGAGAGTGACTCGAATATATTAGGTGCGGCAGATGATAGAATCACGGGTGGCTCATCGAGTGTTATAACATGGCCATCGGGTCCAGGCTGTAGGGATGTAGAATCATTCTCTTTCCGTCGTTTCCGTGATGGAGTGTGACCTGGCACCCTATACTCGTGCACTTCCTCACAGGGCACAGCTCTGGTGAGACACCATCGACCATGTTCGACCCCAGCCCTGATAATTTCCAGGGAGTCTTTCACGAGAGGCAATATCAATTCCGAGTGGAACCGTCTCTCGGCGATAGGAGAGCTTTCAAGTACCTTGGCACGGGCACTTGGTTTTTTGGGCTCAGTTGATGGGAATGGTTCTTTGGCAGGGGAACAAGATAGGAGTTGTTTTCTTTGCGACTTGTTCGTTTGTGTCCTTGAGCTCGATTCTGCTGTCGGCGGCTCAGACTGTTTGCATGGGGCTGTTTCCCCTTGGGCGAGGGCGATCGAGTATGGAATGTCCAGAAGGAAGGTATTGTTCTCTACCTGGAAGAGAATCGCCGATTCTATGGCATTGGCCATATTGGTTCGTCATTGTGAAAAGGACATTCGGAGACCAGAGATTGCGGGTAGATGTGGAGGTCTCACGGCCTTCCTTCGATAGAGGTCTGAGCAACAGAGCCCCCTTGTTTCAATGGAAATGTTGATATGTCTTTATGGGTATTGGCTTAGTGTTACTCCCACTATCTATACCATTATCTTCAATGTAATATATGTGTACTGGATACTACAAACTCTGTAGTATTGAGGTAAATGCGTATGTTCAATAACGAAATATATATATACCCCCAGGTCGGTTTCTGCTACGAAATTGTCTGGCACTGAAGTCTGTTATATTTTTGTAAGCCGGCTCCTTACAACAGGCAACGCTTAGGCAGAGAGACGAAGTGGAGGAACTAGTAGCAGCCTAGTACTCTCAGATCACGGGGCCATGCAGTCTAAGACAAGGCAATGTTGCATGACTCAGAGCTGAAAGGCAAGGGCATAAAGGGCATGTCAGAGATAATTTTTATTCGCAGTATTGTAACAAGTTATAACTAAATAAGTTATATGAAGTCCAAGTTCCGTATAGTTACTTGAGTTGGATTCTCCGGGCCCAATCCGAGCTCTATCTTCCCCACCAAACCCGCGTAATTTTAGGTGACGTGTGATTCTTCTCTTCTCCCCTACCCCCGGCAACTCTGCCGTTCCTTCATCACGCCTCCCATCACGCGGAAACGAAAGGCGGCTGAGGTTGATAACGACCAGCCTTCGCCTAAAGCCGCCACCAAGGCCCACGGCCCCCGGCACGCCACCTCATCCGACCGACCGGCCTTGTCCAAACACAGTTCAGCTGCGACAGAGATCACAGATAATACCGAGAGGGCGAGTCCCGCCAGTTCCGCGAGCCAGAAGAAGAGGGATCTCGCGACGCCCGCGACAACCACCGCGAGCATGGACTCCGACGACGACTTCATGAGCGATGTCTCCAGCCAAGAGGACTTTGGTATGCAGGGAAGCGACAACGATAGCTTAGGAGAAGGTTTGTACCTCCCCCTAGATTCCTGTTCTGGTCGTGATGAGTGACTCACATGCTTACCTGGGATGAACAGACTTTGGTGATCTCGATGCCGGATTCTCGGACGATAAAGACATCTTCGGACACAAACGGAAACCCTATGAAGTCGAGTTCAAGGTCCTCGATCCCCCCGATATCGAAAACGAGCAACTTGGTCAGATCAACGAGGTTTCCGCCATCCTCGGGCTGCCCCCAGAGTCGGCGGCTATCCTGTTGCGTTTCGCACGATGGAATAAAGAGAAGTTGATTGAGTCGTACATGGAACACCCGGAGGCCACATTAGAGGACGCCGGCCTTGGGACGAACTTCGCAGGCACAGCAAAGACAGAGACGGTCCCGGGCTTCATGTGTGACATCTGTTGCGAGGATGGCGACGATCTCGAGACGTACGCCATGCGCTGTGGACACCGGTTCTGCGTCGACTGTTATCGACATTACCTGGGACAAAAAATCAAGGAAGAAGGCGAGGCCGCTCGTATACAGTGCCCGGGTGATGGTTGCAATCGCATCGTTGACTCCAAGTCTTTAGACCTCCTTGTGACGGATGATTTGAAAGAAAGGTGGGTGCTTTGCTCTTTTGGGTGAAAAGAATGATCTCGCTAATGCATCGTTTGGTACAGATATCGTGAACTTCTCATGCGAACATACGTTGACGACAAAGAAAACCTAAGGTGGTGCCCGGCACCAAACTGCAAGTATGCCGTTGATTGCGCCGTTAAGAACCGTGACCTTCACCGCATCGTACCGACAGTACACTGTTTCTGCAAGCACGAGTTCTGCTTTGGCTGCTCTCTCTCCGACCACCAACCAACTCCATGCACACTAGTCAAGATGTGGCTACAGAAATGTGAAGATGATTCCGAAACAGCCAACTGGATCTCGGCAAACACCAAAGAGTGCCCGAGGTGCATGTCAACAATCGAGAAGAACGGCGGCTGCAACCATATGACTTGTCGGAAGTGCAAGCACGAGTTCTGCTGGATGTGTATGGGTCTCTGGTCTGAGCACGGCACAAGCTGGTACAACTGCAACCGATACGAGGAAAAGTCCGGCTCAGATGCTCGCAGTGCTCAAGCCAAATCACGTTCATTCTTGGAACGGTATCTACATTATTATAATCGGTATGCCAACCATGAGCAGTCTGCGAAGCTCGATAAGGATCTCTACCTGAAGACCGAGAAGAAGATGACCAGCCTCCAGTCATCGTCTGGTCTGTCCTGGATTGAGGTGCAATTCCTGGACACCGCATCGCAGGCCCTGCAGCAGTGTCGCCAGACCTTGAAGTGGACTTATGCGTTTGCGTTCTACCTTGCACGCAACAACCTAACGGAAATCTTTGAGGATAACCAGAAGGATTTGGAGATGGCTGTTGAGAGTCTTAGTGAAATGTTTGAGAAGCCTGTCTCTGAACTGGCAGAACTCAAGGTTGATATCCTGGATAAGACCGCTTATTGCACCAAGCGCCGGGTGATCTTACTGAGTGATACCGCCGAGAACCTGAAAAACGGTACGTCGCAAATACCACCCCGATGATATGCCTTACATAGACTAATACGTTCTAGGAGAGTGGTCATTCAACGTTGAGTGGTGAGCCACCAACACCACTCAATACCCCCTCGCATGCAGAACACTGCAGCCGATCTTTTGACGACGTGAATGACACCTATTCTTTGCGAGTAAAGCATACCTTCTTCCATCACTGTAAGGCCTTTTTGTGTTCGTGGCCCTGACACCGGTTACGCAACACCAGTCATCCATATCCAGGGACCCGAAACGGGCCTATATTTTATCCGCGCAACCGAAATGACTGATTGTTTTATGTGTTTTTATCTAAGCTAGCTATTTCTTTTTGCCTTCTGGTGGTCAGGCGCAGTGGGAGATTTCGTTAAGGTCATGGAGCAGATAGCAGTAATATTGATTAAGACATCTCGTGTTTTCCACTGTAGGCGTTGAACTAATAGAAAGTAGTGTTCTACAGTATTTGGTTAGTCAGGGATACTTTGGGCATAGTTTATAGCCTCAACATTGAGAGCGAGATACACTTACCCCTTGAGTAACTGCCATATCTTGGATATAAGCCATGTGGACATCGGATTCTTCGTTTACGAGAAACAAGGGGTCTCTCATCGTAATATGTTAGGCAAGCCGACTATAGTTTAGTCCACGGCATGTAGCGCCGGACCTCGGCATGCCCTAGCGGAAAGTCGCGTGTTCTGTGCACGTCTCTGCCAAGTTCAACGAAACGAGCAAAAGTCAATAGCATAGAATAACACCGTAGACATGCATGAGAATACCTTAAGAGTAGCAATCTACACTACATGTACTCTATGCAATAACCTTAGCTGCAGATCCGGAGAACAAAAGATTCTCGAAGGCTTCCACGGAGTCCATATAAAGAAGAAATTAGCTCCACCTTAGGCAAAAAAAAGTCAAGGGTGAGATGACAGGGGGTCTTATCTGATTGATAAAATGTCATGTATTGATCATGTACCAGTGCAGTGAGTAGACACGGTTAAAGGTACCGGCGAGGTACTTATCTTGCCCCCTTAAACTCCGTCATCGGATGGCTCGGACTATGTATGTATCGGAGATGTATGTATTGATACTGGAATGGGCCGGGAAACTCTACGCAGTGAGGTACGGCTGTACTTCCCCTGTATGGGTAATTTGGGTTGGAAGGTCTGGCCTTCGTATTCTGAATAAGCCAGCACGAAGCAAGAAATAGAAAGAAAAGGAAGGGAATGAAATTGTAGCCTGTGTAATTCCGATCTCCGGGAATTCTTTTACAATTACTATTACTTGTAAGTTATAGCCAGTGAAGGGAAATAAAGTGGAATCAGCGAAAGTCGGCCTGAGTAATTTGACTAGCGTCGAATTTGTTCAAACTGGGCAAACTCCAAAAAGTGTTCATCCCCCGGGACTCTGGGGAACAATTTTTGCTCTTTGATTCAACCTCACTTGACGGTTGTGTTCGTGTACGCTCCCGTACCCTGTTTTTCTTTGTCTTCTCGCCAGCTCCCCCTCATTCCTACATCATCCCCTTCTTCAGTTGAGGTAGCTGCGGCTTGAGCTAGCGAAGCTCCATGGCGGCTCCCGATCAGATCCCTGGGCAGGAATTCGAGTATGTGCTCTCCCGACACCTTTTTTTCATGGATTGAGCTGGGATCGGGCTTGTCTCCAGCAGCGCTGCGACAGATTATCTCCGGTCTCGATGGGCTAGGAGATGATCCAGCAATGACAGCATTGGTTTTTGCGGAGCGCGCTCGGTCCTAGCTTGTCTAGTGATACTCTGCGAAATCTGATTCCGAGGCTGAGACTAATGCGACGTGTTCTTTTGCTAGCTATGAAGCCCTTCCTTCCAACTATGGCCTTGGCCGGAACATGTTAGCGGGTGCTTTCGCAGGGATAGCAGTATGTTCACCAGAGTGCTAGAAATAGCGAGGATTTTGACTGATCGGATGAAAGGAACACTCGGTTATGTACCCCGTGGACTTGCTCAAGGTATGTGTCATTCTGGGAATGGCGAGCTTATGGAGGAATTGAGCACTGACCGGTTGGGCGCCTTTAGACTCGCATGCAAATTCTGAACCCTTCAACTGGTGGTCTCTATACGGGATTGACCAATGCCGTTTCCACAATCTACCGGATCGAGGGCTGGCGGACGCTATGGAAGGGTGTTTCGAGCGTGATTGTCGGCGCAGGTGTGTATTCACCGGGAACTGCCAAATTGGTCAATGCTGATCGCGACAGGTCCGGCACACGCGGTTTACTTCGGTACATACGAGATTGTGAAGGAAATGGCCGGTGGTAACGTCGACGATGGACACCACCCCTTGGCTGCCGGTGAGATAATTTTGAGAACTCGGTTTACTATGCGGAACTAATGGTTTTGCGGTATAGCTATGAGCGGTGCCTCCGCCACAATTGCCAGCGATGCCCTGATGAATCCCTTCGATGGTAAGTTCCCCAGATTCGACGGGTTGACACCGACTAACTCGTTCATAGTCATGAAGCAACGTATGCAGGTCCACGGTTCCGTTCATAAGAGCCTTGCGCAGTGCGCCAAGACGCTCTATCGCACCGAAGGTCTCCAGGCCTTCTACGTCTCCTACCCTACCACACTATGCATGACCGTGCCTTTCACAGCCACTCAATTCGTCGCCTACGAGTCAATCTCGAAGGTCATGAACCCCAAGCAAGATTACGACCCCTTCACCCACTGTATCGCAGGTGGTCTGGCCGGTGCGTTTGCCGCCGGTATCACCACGCCTCTTGATGTTGTTAAGACGCTTCTCCAGACACGTGGCCTGGCAGAAAGTGAGGAAGTGAGGTCTGCACGGGGTCTGTTCAACGCTGCTGCGATCATCAAGCGCCAGTTTGGCTGGTCTGGATTCCTGCGCGGCATGCGCCCTCGCATTATTTCCACTATGCCGAGCACTGCGATTTGCTGGTATGTACCATTCGAGCCGGTGATGCTGAAACTGTAACATTTACTAACTCCATCTAGGACATCTTATGAGATGGCCAAGGCATACTTCAAGGAACTACGCGATTAAACCCTCATTCTCTCGCATACCGCTGGGCACCATTGGGCCCTTCCACTCCGATATACCATGTGTGGGCACATAATCTTCAATCTTCTGAGGCGATGTCATACAATTTGGGAGGAACATCTGCATGTGGACTTTTTATGAAAAGCGTTGGCAATGTATAGTTTGGACCAAAAACGGGGAGACTCTTTCTTTCAATTTACGGCGTTGGAATGAGGGCTGGGTTCCCTAGTGTTTTATTATGCCATAGATGGGAATCTAGAGATATTTTTTTTAATGTTATATAAAAATGGTCAAAATGTTTCTAGACGCATGCGTAACTGCCAAACCCGACGACGTCACGCGAAAATTCCTCCCCCTCATCTTCGGGAGATCATCGTTTACCACCACATCAACTTGACCTCGATGCGGGCGGGCTTGTTTATTACCAATGATGCGCCCAAGGCCTGCGTCTTCCATGCAGAAGACGTATGACGAGTGTTACCTCGCATGCTCGACCGCGGTATACTTTGAGGGCCAGGTAAGTGCACGTTAGCGGTTAGACCCCGGTTCGCAACGCTCATTACCTCAGAACAATGAAGAAGAAGCACTACGGTCCTGGCGATCCGCTCTCGAGACTATTTACCATCACAATGCCCGCCGCGTACCGTCGAATTACACTCCGAAATCCGAAACCGAGAAAGCCCTGCATGATTCCATCCGAGCGCTAGAGATCCAATGCCGAGAACGGGTCGATCTGCTAGGCGCCCTCCGAGCGAGCAGGAAGGAATCGTCAGAGGCGAACGGTAGTAAAGAGCCTGCGACTCTTGTCAAGGGCAAATCTGTCCCTAGCGTGCCGCCACCGTCTTCCAACCCTCCCGGCTGGATCGGAGACGGGACTATCCCTGCTGTGGGCTACACCGACCTTTCCAAACCCGCCGCCATACCCGGTCGCCCGGCGCTGCCAAAGAGGACGAGCTATGAATCGCATCATGTCAACGATGATGCTGGTCCGGCACTGGCGTCGACTGCTACGCCGGCGCTACGAGTGAATTCGAATTCTTCGGGCAAGACGAAGTCTCGCGGATCCAGTCCTGAGCGCCGGAAACCGATGTTGACGACTCTGCGCAGCACCGATGGAAAGAAAACTGGCAAGAAAGATGGCAAAAAAGTGAAGGTTGCTTCGAAGAAGAAGGACTTGCGGCCTGCTGCTTCCACGGCTGCTGGTCTGGCATGGGGTAATATCTATCGCTCTCCGTCGGGATCGGGGGAGAAGTCTGTGAGCGATGCAGCTGCAGCTTCTAGGCAAAGCGCCGCCAACGATGCTCTCCGGCGAGACTTGGATCCAAAATCGAGTTCTGGGGATGAGCCTCCGGCGAGGGTTCGCACTTCCCGGAACTTAACCGAAGACCGAATCCCTGCTGCCCACTGGCGGGAGCCTCATCGTTCGTCGCCGAAGCGGTCTTCGCCTAAGTCGCCTTCTCAACCTCCTCCGCGCCGTCCTCAGCCTTCATCTGAACGCCAAAAAGTACCTCCTTCTCCCATGTCTATGCCGGATCCGGATGACTTCGGGGGACCACCTAAACCATCTATCAAACCTAAACCCGTGGCTTTGCGGTCGTCTCAGCCGCCGAGCCACCCGGTCCAGACTACTAGATCTGAGCAGAACTCCCGGACGGTGACACCCCGGCTGGACCGTGAAGCAAATTCCAGCGATAAGCCGCGAACGAAGTCTGCGCCTAGAACTCCTGCCATGGCTTCAACAACCCGTGCCTCTCCATCACCTGGTAGTGGCGATGACCTCCATCGCGGTATCAATCGGATGGCTATCTCACCAAGGAACGACGACAGTGCAACGCGGCGGAAACCCCCACCAGTCAAAAGGCGGGAGACACCACCTTCAAGTGATCCAGAGTCTTCAGAAAAATCAAGTGAGAACGAGGCCGAAGATGAAGACGAAGAAGAGAATGACGATCTGGCCAAGATCATGAATAAGCTGCCCAAGGGCGTGGATCCGCAATCAGCGAAGCAAATCCTAAACGACATCGTGGTGCGCGGCGACGAAGTGCACTGGGACGATATAGCCGGTTTAGAAGGCGCCAAAAAGGCCCTCAAGGAAGCAGTGGTCTATCCATTCCTTCGACCAGATCTCTTCTCCGGTCTCAGAGAACCAGCTCGTGGAATGCTCCTATTTGGACCCCCGGGTACAGGCAAAACCATGCTCGCACGAGCAGTAGCCACAGAATCAAAATCTACATTCTTCTCCGTATCCGCATCAAGCCTGACATCGAAATGGCACGGTGAAAGCGAGAAGCTCGTGCGCGCTTTGTTCGGTCTCGCCAAAGCCCTCGCTCCATCCATCATCTTTGTCGACGAGATCGACTCTCTTCTCTCTGCCCGATCATCCGGCTCCGAGCACGAGGCATCTCGTCGCTCCAAGACTGAATTCCTCGTTCAATGGTCTGATCTTCAGCGTGCGGCTGCGGGTCGCGAACAGACTAGTCGTGAGAAGAAGGAAGGCGACGCTAGTCGGGTCCTCGTCCTAGCTGCTACCAATATGCCTTGGGATATTGACGAGGCTGCTCGTCGTCGATTCGTTCGTCGGCAGTATATTCCTCTGCCGGAGCATCATGTCCGTGAGCAGCAGCTTCGCAAGCTACTAAGTCATCAGCATCATGGGCTTGGAGATGAAGATATCCAGGTTCTGGTTCATGTAACAGAAGGTATGTTATCCTCATCTTCATCATCCTCATCCCTATCCCCATCAGAATCCGAATTACATGCTAACTCCACTCCCAGGTTTCTCCGGCTCAGACATAACAGCCCTCGCAAAAGACGCCGCCATGGGCCCCCTACGTAATCTAGGCGAGGCTCTCCTCCACACCCCAATGGATCAAATCCGAGCAATCATCTTCCAGGACTTCGAGGCTAGTCTTTATTCTATCCGGCCTAGTGTCTCCCCTGATGGGCTACGGAGGTATGAAGAGTGGGCTAAGGAGTTCGGTGAGCGAGGTGGTTAGAGTGATTCGTTTCTATCTTGGTGTCCTGCTATTTTTCTTTCTGTCTTTTTCTATTTCTTGCGTGGGGAGTTATATGCTTGATATGATTATAGGAATGGAATTGTCATGGTGTTTTCCTTTTTCCCTCTTTTCTGTTTCTATCTTTTTTGCTGTGCTTGAAAGATAGGTCCGCTAGTCTGGTTTGGGACTGGCTATCTTTCGTTTTCTATCCTATTTTCCCCTTTACTTTCTCTGTCTCTATCTCCGTCTTTGTCTTTGTATTTGTCTGGTGCTATGGAGTCTGCTTCAAGGATCGGACGGTGGCTTGATGGATCTTGGTGTTGGACTTGGTGCATGTCATGATATGCTTGTCTTAGATGGGAGGAGGGTATTTCCTGATTTTGGGATCGGTTTAATGTGTCTTATGTAGCAATGCAGACAACCTTTTTGAACCATCCCGAATAGTAATCTACGGAACTCAAATACAGTAACTTATCACTCTGTTGTATGCAATTCTTGGTAGGGAATCGATTCTGCAATCTCTCTGGATTCTCGCTGTTAGGTTTGGGTTTGGATGTTAATACGCGCAATGTGAATGGTAAAGCGTATTTGGTTGGTGTTGATAATGGGCTACTAGGATTTATGTGCAAGGTTGATCTTTGTCTGGGGATTGGTCGGAAGGTGGTGAAGGCAAGTATGAGTGTAATGACTTCGAAGCTTCCAACCTCTTTTCCTGCGCCTGGACAATCGGTTGTGGTAGTAACCGACCACAGTGAATCAGTGGTCATCTTGATAAGACAGTGTTTATCATGTTTATCACGGAACGTCCAACGTCAAGCCGCTTAGCTTCAACATCATGTCCTCTATCTCTTGACCTCCAAGCTATGTATATGCATAATTGTTCAATGGGTACGATGCAATGTAGAATCTCATATGTACTATGTCTTAGGCTATTGGCTATAGTACTAACTCAACAACACCCTGATTTCTCCCGTCGTCCGCGGGAACAACGACCTCAAACTCCACTGATCCTCACCTTCTTCATCCTCATCATCCTTCAGACTAGCTTCAGTCTTATTGCCCGATCTACCACTGCGGCCACTGATGACACTACCACCAGTCCCCAGATTCACATGGACAGTTCCTCTTGCTTCATCCGCGGCAATGATCATACCCTCGACGAACTCAAAGTCACGGCAGAAGGCTTCAATTGCATCTTCAGTTACGCTCTGCACGAGGGAGACGCTCTGGACACGCTTGAGGTTGTCGGTTGCGTCCATCAGTGCAGATGGGAGGAAGTCGTCCAGTTGTTGGCTTGATGTTATCAGGGATTCGGGTTGGAAGGCTGGGAGGGTGGCTAGGTCGGCTAGGTGGGGCTTCTGTTTGTCTGGCTTCTCGGCCTCTTCTGTTGTCTCTGAGTCCTTGGTTTGTGAAAATGGCTCTAAAGCTTCGAGGAGGGCTTGGAGGCCTGATGTTTCGAGGAGGAAGTCATGTTGGGTGTCGAGTAAGTCGTTGCGTAGTGTTGATAGCGCTGCGGATAGAGGGGGGACATGCGTGGCGCTGGCAAAGGGATAGGGCGACAGTGTTTCGCGGGCTACAAGGAGGATGTTGGTGCGGTATATGGTTTGCGCAGTCGTAGTTTTGAGTTCGTCGGATGAGGACCGGGCAAGGGTCAAGAAGGGATCGAATGCGGCCCGGAGCACGGAGGTGAAATGGTTCTCGTTGTTTGAGTCTGGGGATAGATCTTCGGGTCCCACCGAGCCCTCGTGTGTCTTCATGAGCAAGCTCAAGTCTTCCAATGCATCTAGTAAGAACTGCGGAGGCGACAGATCTTCAGGTGGAGTCAAGGCAACGGGGTCACCAGCCAAGGCGCTAATCTGGTCGCGCATCAAAGTCTCAAAGTGTCCAAGAGTGAACTTCTCCAGGTTCTGGATCAGATCCACCAGGTGAGACTGTGAGCCCACTAGCTTGGTGAAGGTGGTACGGTAGAACGAGAGTAGGTTCACGACCTTGAAGCAAGTGACAGGGTCATCGTGGCTCTGGATGACGAGCTCAACTCTCTGCCGCAGTGATCGAGACACTCCAGTAAGGTCACGGTTGACCAGATCACTGAGCGCCTTTCGGCCGTCAAAGGTCTCTTCTTGGTCCTCATCAATCCGTGACCAGGGTTCGCTACTCAGTCCAGCCTGGATACCCCGAGCGAGCTCATCCCCATCATCGACGAACAGCGACTCAAGGGCCTCTCGCTCTGATACAGTCGTTGAGTGTACCCATGCGAGCATATCACCTATGTACCGCAGTGGATCATGCGCCGAGAACTCAATTGGCTTGACACTGCGATCACCAGCAGCAGACCCGTTCGCCCCAGAAACAGCATCCGTCAGAGCGTAGTGGAAAGCATCAGATAGAATATAGTCGCGCGCTTCGGCAAAAAAATCCAGACAGCTGTGGAACAGGCTCGGGCGTTCTGCCAACACTCGCAGAGCGCGGCGAATCGAGCTGCTGATCCGGGGATCCTCCAAATTCAAGGATCTAAACTCTTTCTGGACCCACCGGTAGAGCTTCTGGTATGCGGAATTGAGGTTTCGAGTGCTCAATTCCATCAATTCCAAGCCCAATCGCTGGTTCTCACCGCCGAGCAGGACTTCGCAGTCGTGGTGCACTTGTTTGACACGAGCCAGCACATCGAAGAACCGCTCGTCGACAGGCTCCTCGCTTGACATCAAGATCATCAAGTCCTCCTCCGGAATTATGAAGTGCTTGGAAAAGGCGTCCAATAGCTGCTGCTTAGTTTCGGTCTCTTTCCTCTGGGCCATGAGGACATTGGCCTCCTCGAGCACGGGCGTGGTATCCTGCTTCGCCAGGTTGATTCGTTTGCGCATATCGTCGCATGTTTGGTTCAAGGTTGTGATCACGGTTCCGATCCGTTGTAGTTGCTGTAATTGTAATTGAGCAATTAGTCCTGCGATACAGATCGCAACAGGAGACATACCTCGGCCACCTTTCCAAAGTCCCTGACAATCTCCGCATTGCAGTCGACAACTTCCTTCTGTACATCCAGTCGAAGCTGTCGTCGCGTCTCGGCGGAGTTGTGGACCCCTCTTATGTTCAACGTCTCCAGGGAGTCCCGAATGTCCGAGTCCGCATATGACGCGGAGAGGACTGTCGTCAAGCGATTGGTGAGAGCAGTCGAGCGCTGTGCCGGCGGAGACAGCGGCGAGGCCGGTGAATTTGCGCCATTGCTGACACCTGGTTGAAAATAGCTGGTCATTGTTGGTGCAAGCAATGCAGCGGAGGTCAGTGGGGGAAGTAGAGGACAAGCTCACACTTGGTCGACCGCCTTCGTAGCTCTTATCAACATCAACACACACCTTCATTTTTCCCACTCCACGACTTGTTTGATTCAATTACATTGCTCTAATTGACTCCATGGATAGTCCATTGGTCTCGCCGGCAAAGGCTCGCCAGGCTGCCATTCAAGCCAAAGATTGGGCCTACGTCAACTCTTGGCTCAACCGACAATACGCACCCAAACCAGTACCTCAATTCGAGCGCAATGAAGATACTCTCCGCGTACTCCTGACGCTGGCTGCGGCCAATGATTCCGCCGATGAAGAAGCTGCTCTCCAACAACGAGCGCGCGAAGAAGCGGTTCATGCCTACAAAGTACGGGAAGAGTTCGAACGCAAAGACCCACACGAGAAACAGAAGAACCAGCTCCTGGATGAGGTCGAAATGTGTCTTGATGACAAGGGGAGACGCGATCTAGAAGATCTAGCGGACTCTGCTGCAGCTCTTGGCAATACTCTGGATCCGAACATGGGGGATCTGGGACAGTCAATTGTGGAACTTACCGTGGAGGAGTTCGAGGCCCAGGAACAAATGACAAAGGTTGACACTTTGCTTCGATATCTTCAGCAGGAGCTCGCACGGCTACAGACAGAGCTCGAAGAGCTGAAAACCGACACTGCATATGAGATACCTTCAGATACACAACGCTTGACGTCGGAGTGGATACGCGGGACGAAGACGCTGGGGGTTAAGGTTGGGGAGTACCAGGATCGTATCGCGTCACTGGAAAGAGTCCAGCCCCAAGGACCAACTATTGATGAGCTTATGGCCGAAGAGGAGAGTGTCATCCGGCTGCGGGAGACGGTCAAGTCACTACAGGCCCGGGTTAGGGCGTACCATGATCTCCCCAAGGATGTCTCAGGGGCACGAGCAAAATATAAAGAGCTAGAACGAGAGCTTGGGCAGCTTACGCGGCAGCGAGATTCGATGTTTGGCAAGTTAGTTGATGGGTAACAAGCTCCGTACGTCAATCAATACGAGGTCTACACCAAAATCTATACATGAAGAAGGTAAACAGACTCACACTGTAGGGAGAATCAAAAAGGGCTTCTCTTCAAATCTTGTATTGCTATTGGGAGGGATTCCGTTTCCAAGCTTCACTTTCCCAAAGAAAGAGGGTAGGGATGGAAGCCGGGATAGTTTAGACGTCTCCAATCATGGCTATAGCAATGATTGTTCTTTTCTGCAATACTCTACGCCCAGTATGGTTCTACGTAATGAAACAAGTTGAAATCAAGGTGATTAATTGATAATGGGCCTTGGGAGTATCATGTTATGAGTATCGAAAAGCAAATGGTATCATGGGCCCGTGATTCATCGTGATTCATCGTGATAGCGGGCAATCCCGAGGGATGTGGAATGACTGATAGTGATCATTCAGTTCAGAGGGAGATCCTCTTACTTGTTGCCGAGGCCAACGAGATGCTTAGCCTTGTCGACACTAGGTATGGTTAGCAGTTGATCTTGTGTATCAGTGTATCAGTGGCAGTGTGGTAGCTTACATGGAGCCGGAGGCACCACCGTGAGCGTTGTTGTCATGGGAGCGCTGGGTCTTGTCAAAGGTCTCCTGGCCAGCACCCTTGCTCTCATCGGTTTGGAAGCCACGGGCAACACGATCGCTGGTGTCGGTCACAGTCTCCTTGACCTTGTCCTGGGTGGACTTGGTGGAGTCGGGAGTGATCTCCTCCTTGGCCTCTGTAGGAGAGTGGGATCAGCATTGATATTTTGAACTCAGGCTGGAAGTGTCACGTACTGGTGGAGAAGTCCTTGCGTCCGGCGTCAGACATGATGAAGTTTGAAAGTTGGTAGTTGGTTTGAAAAGTAGTATGCGTTTGGAGGATAAGAGATGAAGAAGGAAGAAAGTCTTAAGGGATCAAGAGTGTTTATATAGGCTCTTTACTTTCAGTACAACAGAAAAGGAACATGACGTCGTTTGTCATATCAACTATACAAAGTGACTACTGCATGTACTAACTTGGAAACCTTGGAATGGTCCAGCTGGACTGGGACCCTAGACAAATCACTTGTATGAATAACTTGTCACTCCGATCATCTTCCTTCCTAGCATCAGCTGTAGATGACGTTTCTTACAGGGGTCCTGTGGCGTGCTCATACAATGACGTTGGGGATGAAGCTGTGGCGATAGCAGCACGTGTCAGCTTATCGAGTTATCATCACGTGTATTCTGCCTCACATGTCTCTGGGAGTAGAAGGCGGTCTATAGTAGCAAAATGCGTACACCGCCACCGTCACTGTCTTGGGCATCGACTCATCGTGTTGGACCTCTAGATTGCTCTATGCTAACGCTCACTTGGACTCACAATGTGGAAGGAGACTGTTTGCCTCCGCGCGTTCTCACCTGACACATGACTTAGAGCTCAATCACTATTTTGGAAACCCACAGTGAATCTCCGTTTCTTCCTTTGTCGTTCATCTCTATTCACATCTCCGTTCCTATCATTCGTTTCATTCTTGCTAGCCGTCAATGGTTGCATCTGATTCAACCGAGTCGTCGAGCTGGGACTTCACCCAGGCACTTGATCTCCTGCGGTCCCCCACATACAAGGGCACCTCGGCGAGATCAAGTTGCCCACCGGAATCCCCGGTTGACCTTCCTCAAGATCAGCCCAAGAAAAATGTCAACAATGGTGCTAGTGTCCAGGCCCCTGGCCTTGCTTCTAAGCGCAGTTACACCAAGCTAGGTGACTTCGGTTCCCTTTGGGACCTCTTGGGCGGCCTCCCAACCCCCAGCGTCACTCCGGCTACATTTACCACAAACTCCAAGCCCGAGGATACCCAACGGTCACTCGAAGCCTCGCCGGCTTTCAGCATTCTCAAGCGACCTATCAATCAAGCATCACACCGCAACTCTATCGAATCATCTGCCCCTCTTCCGTCCAAAACCTCTTCGGTTGACAAATCGAAGTCCAAGACCTTCCAAGATACCAGTGGCCGTTCTTCAAAACGTTCACCACGACCTCAACCAGTCACTATCTTACAGCGGAAATCGGGACACGAGTCTACTGGCACTGATGACAAGGTGGGATTTGATATTCCACGAACCCCTCCAAGAACCATCGCTGGCGCCGGTAATCTTGATACTCCCAAAGCGAGAACGCAACATCAGATTACTCGCAAGGAGACACAAACAAATATCAGCAATGCAGCCTACTCTTCCGAGGCTAGTGCTGGAGCGGAGTCCGACTCTAGCTTTATTTTTGATCGTCCCACCTCTAAGAAATTTGGGGCCCTGGCTTTTGTCCCCGCCCAAATCGGAACGCCAGACGCCCAAGCCAGCCGTTACGATACACCACCGTCCTCATTTGAGGATCAAGACTTTGCTTTAAATGCAAGCGCCATCACAGCTCTCGGTCCTGGAAACCGTGTTCAGTCCACCATATACAAATCGTCGACTGAGCGAAGAGTATCCTTGATGACCAAACTTCTCAAAGACTTCCCTGAATATGCCAGCATCGTATCCTCGTTGGGACAGTCTATCAAAAAGTCTCCCCGCAAAGGCGTTGTTTCTGAGTCCATTCATATCTTTGTTGATATTTCCAACGTGTGTTCAATACTCTTTCCATTCAAGTCATAAGCTAACTCATTATCAGATCATGGTAGGATTCCACGATGCGGTGAAATACTCCCGCAATATTCCTCTCACGACACGAATCCGTCGTGTCCACATGTCATTTGCCAACCTTGCCTTGATCATGGAACGGGGCCGCCACGCCGCCAAGAGAGTCTTGGTCGGCTCGGATAGATTGCCCTCCATCGACGAAGCCGAAACGCTAGGCTACGAAGCAAACATTTTAGATCGTGTGCACAAAGTTAAGTACACCACACCCCGCCGCAACAACAAGTCCCGGAAGATTCCTGGCTCTGGCTCCCAGGGGGCGTCAGGCGGTCCTGAAACGGTCGCCCCCTCTGGAGAGCGATGGGTCGAGCAGGGTGTGGACGAAATTCTGCATCTGAAGATCCTGGAGAGTCTTTTAGACACGGATGAACCGGAGACGATTGTTCTGGCGACTGGAGATGCGGCCGTTGCCGAGTTTTCGGGCGGTTTTATGCGCATGGTTGAGCGCGCGCTTCAGCGCGGCTGGTCTGTTGAGCTTGTTAGCTTCACCCAAGTTACAAGCTATGCTTATCGCAAGAAGGAGTTCCGCGCCAAATGGGGCGATCGTTTCAAGATGGTTGAGCTGGATACGTACATCGAAGAGCTGTTCGAGTAATATGGACGCTTTGAGTCAGTGCTAGATAAAGGTGGCTGGGTGAACGTTAGCTATGTCCGCACTTGTTAGATTAATAACCTCGATCACAGCATGAATCATATGTCTCTACATTTATTATATTGAGTCACTCGTATACTGCACCTACTAGTTTGTTACATGTAAGTTAAATGTAGTCTTGACCCCGCCAAGCGGAACGTCATTGGGCGGAACACCACCACCCGCACTGCTGCCTCACAGTTTGTCTACCTAAAACTAGCGAGCCTCATCTGCATCTATATATTGCTATTGAGTCTCTGTACATCCCAGATTTATTCATCCTATTCCCAGGCTCTGTGTTGTCGAAATTGAAAGCAAACGAGCCAGAAAAAAAAGTCAGTCAGTTCTTGGCATTATCTCGGAGAATCTGCGAATACTCGAACCAACAGATCAATTCTGAAAAAAGAGCCCAAGAACCAAATCATCTACCAAGACTTTCAATCCGAACATGTCGCAAGTTACAGAACAAGAGTTCTTTGGCGGAGCCATTAAAGGCGTCGTGCCACAAGGCTGGATCGATTCCAGGTCAGTATAAATTCCACCACCACAGCATCTCCCATGATTCTCTACATTATCAAACCCCAAATCCCAAAATCCCAAACAGAGACAAAACCAGCTAACCCCAACTCAGCACCCTGCGCGAAGTCCCAGACCACCAAGAGCTCTTCCTCTCACCAACAACACTCTCAACCCTAATCATCGAAATCAACCAGCGCGTCTCAGAGGAAGAGACACGAAGCACACTCTCAACTCTAACTCACCAACCCCCAATCCCAGTCTCAGGCCCAGACTCAATCGACCAAGCCGCAGTCCTGTACCACCTCCACGACCTCTGCGACGAAGGCGACACCGTGCAGATGCTCGCCCCTCCGCAGCGCGTGGATATCCCCCGGATTTCATCTTCTGCGCCGTCCGGTCCGGCTTCTGTTAAGGCTTATCGGAGTGCTGTTTCGTTTACTACGCCTAAGAAGGAGGATCCTACGCTGTTTGCTACGGTGCAGTGTCATTCTTTGCTTGTGAGGCTTGAGGCGCAGGAGACCGATTTGTTGGTCTTTTTTAATGTTCCTCGTGAGGAGTTTGAGAAGGAGGGGAATGAGGAGGGTTTCAACATGGAGGTAAAGGTTGCTGAGGGGATTGTTGGAGCTTTGGTTCAGACGTTGGAGATTTGTGATTGGGGGCTTTTTGTTTAGGTTTGGATTCGGTGTGAGATGATGATGATGGGTTCATGATGGGATATGGATTGGAAATGAAGATATCGTTAGCATTTTTGGGAATAGTAGATAGATACCTATTTAGATATGAAATTGATCAACCTCTATCAATCATCTTACTTTTGGGGTATTCAAGTGTTATATCAATAGTAGGTTCAATTGCTGTGATATGACGCTATGCAATATGTTCTATGGATAAAGCAATCTCAAACGCCTGTAACCAAACCAAACACACCTGGCAATAATCACAATTCCATCATCGGCATGGCACTCCATTCTGTAGGTTCATCTGCGGGCTCTTCAGAAACACATCGTTCACACTGACAAACAAACTTGAATGATTGCCGAAGATGTTCCCGACGGGAGGCCAAAGTCGTATATTGGGTCAGATCGAAGTACGAGATGCAGCATTCCTCTCCGGGAAAGATATCACGAGACGAAGTAAAGACCATACGTCCCTGCTCATCAGGTTTGTGGGCGATCTTGATTTCGTTTAGTACGACTCCTCTCATAGTTTAGAGGGAACCACTTACATTTGGCAGACACGAATGATTAGCAATTGCCGCAATAGGATAAACCGCAGCGGCGAACTGCTCTCCTCTATCGATTGGAGGGTATGGCAAAGGAACGACACCCGTTGCTCGAGGGTAAAGGCCAAAAGAATTGGCCTCTTCCTGACAGATGAGATGGAGGACCCGGTCCGAAGTCATATCATGCGGTAGTACAGGGCCATTTTGGAGATACTTCTTCACGAGAGTCGTCCAAGCGCGGACTTTATCATGAGACCAGGTATCAGCAGATCCGCACAACGAGTCAATACCCTCCCAACCACATTTCCACTTCTTCGGGCTGGGAGAAGTAGAACTACCATTATCAACATGCTGCAATTGACTCTGTCGCATAGCAAGCAGACGAACAATCACCCACAACATGCCGAAATCGTATTCACCCCATTTAGCGCGAATCGGTCCAGCATATCTCTTGAGCCAGGTGCATTCAAAAGCATGTCGATCTTTATCGGCGTCTCGACAGGCATCGCTGCACCATATCACATCCGCGATACAGACATTCGGACATGGGTTCCGGGCTGAGCCTGAGTGGCGAGGAGCCCGGCGATTACAGGAGGGATTGCTGCAGATGATGTTGTCGTTCGTTGCTGGTTCGTCCACGACTGGTATGACTGCGTAGGGGCGGTCCACGAGGAGACAGGCGCCTTTGGGGATGAGGCCTGACGCGCGGAATTGGCGGCCTTTGGTCGGGTCGATGCTTTGGATTAATTGGGGGTGGATCCAATCTGGTTGCGTTTGGGAGATGTCTATACTTGTACTGGCTTCGGACTCTGTGATGTATACAACTTGGGACATGGTGGAATATAATTGGTGTGTGTTCTAGAATCTGTTTTTCTTACGATGTCAGTTTTGAGGGTGAAATCTTTTTTTATCCGGATTTTCCAATCCTTGGGAACCGCACAATCAAGGCCTCCGTTTGGCTACACAAAGGGTGGGTCGCCATATGAGGTTATCCCGAACGACTGCCTTTGATTGGTAGGATTCAAGCATAAATTACTGGCATTTCATTGGTCGATCCGCTTGCGATCGACCCATGGAAGAAGTGAAGAAACGCCAGGGCTGTCTTGGCTGCGTTTAAAGGTTGGTTATTGTAACTATTACTTATCTGATGTTCACTGAGAACTATTGGAAATGTGGCTCTCGACGGCAAGTTAAGGTGATACGCGTGACTCAAAGAGATATTTATCAGGAGGTAGATTCGATCAATAAACCCCACCTATACAGACCTTGGCCATAAGTCCTTCCACGCCACCAAGTTGTGCATAACCTATATGGTTAACCCACCATTTTTAAACATATAAAGCCTGAGGCACCGGGAAATGGCCAAAAAGAGGGCCAAAGTAGGACCAAATCAATGAACGAAACGTTGTACTCGCTTCGAGCCTTTCGTGTAGAGACTGTCCCATACTTCATCAGTGGCACTGTATACAAATTATGACCCCTGTTGTATAACTTATCGCAGTTTGCCACGGTATCGGTGCCATCATTATCCTACAAAGGATGGGAAAACTTTCAACCAGTCCGTATCAACAAAGACTTCAATTTGGAATCGTTCCGATCCCTACATGACCACCAATGTCAAAATCCCCCTATCTGTTCTCCGTGAGCCCCTCGGCCTCCAGGAGGAGGTCCAGAATCAGAATAAGCGGTGATCAATGACCAGATATTAGTGGCGAGTGAAGAGTTTTCCCCTATATATCCAACTTGTATACCGCTCTACCTCACATCAACCTTAAGAGCTTCTTCTTCGACAAATAGCTGTATATATAGCACGATGTAAGTAAGTACCTATCTCAGTATATAATCTTTCTAGGACATAGGCTCGACGTTGTCTTTATACCCCGTTCCCTCGTGGGCAATATATATAATATAGTTCGTAAACACGATCTGCAGAGCACGGACTCTAAGCATCATCTGGAGAGACTCGGGAACTAATGGTGAGGGTAAGCTTGTTTATTGAAAGTAAGCACCTAATCACACAAGGTTGGTATACTCAGTACATATTCACAACAAAAATAAAATCAAAGTAAAGAAAAAGTAAAACAAAACCCAAAAAAAGTTCACAGGGTCGGTTTCTCATTCTCCTTGTTCTCAATTCCCACGGCCTTCTTCGCCCTTGGCTTGGGCTTCACCTGCACCAGCAGGCCCCCGCCATTCTGACAGGTACACCGTTGCACCTCCGGGTTGATGCTCTTCGAGGACCGCCCGTACTTCTTTCCACAGGCCTGGCACACCCACGAGTACTTGTAGTCGATCTCGTAGCTGTGTCTAGTGGTCACTTTAATGCGGCCGCCGCCGTAGTCCTGGTGACCAGCCATGGCTTCGACGCAGCGAGCCGCCCATTGGTGAAAGCTGGGCCCGTGCCCATTCTGCCTTGAGATCAGGCCATCAACTAGGTGACAGTACTCATGGGTTGCTGTGCACAGGATCCGATCCTCACTGTCGAGGACCTTGGGGTTCAGCTCAATTAGGGCTGAGTATTCTGAGTCGGCACCAGGGCTCTTAGGCGGAGATATGCCAAACCTTGCCCGCCCGGCCGTACTCTGGAGGAGGTTGTTCCATTTGATCTGGATCCCCCCGGTGGCTTGGGTCATGCGGGCAATCTCCCCATTGACGACGGTCTCATCCAGGATTCGGATGAAGATTTCGGCAAATAACTCTTTGTTTTGGTCAAATGCCTTCTTCTCGTCTTTTGCCTGGCGCCTTGCTGCTGCCTCGGCCTTCTTCAGGGCCGTCTTGCTTGGCGGCTTGTCGGCGGCCTTTCTCGGTGTGGATTTCACCTTAGGCATGATGTTAGGTGATTTGTCAATCGGGGTGACAGAGCGATTGACGAGGAAATGGAGGGGGTTTCGGTTTGGAGGCTGTGACGAGGCTTCCGGAGAAGAGCTAAGCGTCAATTGTTAGCAAATTTGACCCTAAATCAGATGAAAAATGTCTTCAGATGGGACGTACTTGAATGACTCAATCTCGAGCAAGTGAGAGGGGTTTTTGTTCGGAAGTCGTGACAGGGCTTCCAGAGTAGGGCTAAAGGCCAATCGTTAGAAAAATCGACACAAAACCAGATGAAACAACGCCTTCGGATGAAACTTACATAAATGGCTCAATTGTGAGATTGTAGGGGCCGTGAGACTTGCTGTTAGCACGGGGGGAGGAAAAATCGACAGAGGACTGTGGCCTGGAGTGGAAGGTTAGCAGGAGAACCCCTTCCGGCGCCGGCGAGGTCGACGTGCGAGCGCTGTAAACCATACCTTGACTCAGTTCTTGCTGTCGGCGATGGAGCCTCATCTTCACTATCCAGCTCAAGCTCTCGGAGTGAGTTGATGAGATGCGTGGAGCTGTCAAAGCCGAATTGGGAAGAAGATGTTGATCCGGCACGAGGCTCGGGGGCGACAGCATGGAGGATGGGGGAGTCGCACCCGGGGCTCGGGGTCGTTCCTGCCATTTCTCTCGGGCTCGATTCCTTCTGCTTCGGGATCGAGGGTGCTTCCTCTATCGATAAGCTCTCCTCCTCCATGTTTATTTCTCTCTGTGGAATCGGCCTTCTTCCTCTAATCAATCTTTTTCTAGGTGAGGGCTCAGGGGATGGAGACCGACTCATCTCTGCCTCTGTTTCTGAGCCCTCGTCTTCTGAGATTTCATGATAACTCGGCTCATTGTCGTCACTAACAATGAAATCGTCTAGTAAATCAAAGCTATCGCCTTCAGATTGGTCTTCCTCAAATTGAGCATCAATCACAGACTGGCTCATAGATGTATGGGCTGCGCTACTCCTAACTGGCGATTGGAGAGCCGATTGCCTGGGCGGTGATCGATTCACTGCTAGATATTCGTCCGCAAATTCATCTGACACATCATTCTCCTTGTCATCGTCTATCTCCGACTTGATAGACGCTCTTTGTCGTGGTCGAACTAGCCTAGCTGGCCGTGATAAGAGCAATGAATTGACACGGGAGATTCCCAATGCTCTCGGTTTTTTCTTAGTGCTAGGTGATTCCCGGCTTTCCGTTTCACTCTCGCAAAACGAATTGCTATCCGGGAGTATATCAAAAGTTCCGGTCCCAGCAGCAGTCCGTCTTTGCGTCTGGCTTTGTGTGCGCATCGGCGACTTATTTTGCGTTGCGGGTCGCCTCGTGCTGGCACCCGATACACTGGCCAGCAACATGTCGTCAAACATGCCAGAAGTTGGTGATGGACTTTGCCTCAGTGTCGACTTTTTGGGCGAGGTGTTAGCCAACGCCTTGTCAGGTGCTGTCCTGTTGACCAAGGGGTTGGCGGTATTGAGCCTGGCCATGATGGCTATACTGCGACGTCGTCGGCGTAGTACACGATCGGTTTATGGTTGCCGGTTGGCTCGATTAGACCCTCACGGCGCTGGTGATAAACTGGATGGATCTGCAATTGAAGCTTCTATGCTGACCGTTGTTGCAGTCGTCCGCGAGCTGGTGTCAGCGATTCATTTAGTTTATCACTCGGGTTTCTTTGATGAGTTGTCAACGGAGTCCGATATGTTGGCACGGCAACGTAACCTTGTGACACCGCCCGGCCAGACTGCCCCTCTATTGGCTATAGCAGGAAGTATGGGCTTTCGAACACTGATTCTACTTTGTTAGGGGACAAACGCGCTAATGTTTACTTCTAACATATATTTAATACGATACGTGTTAAGTCTGTCCAAATTATCTAATACAACGATTCGACTAATGTGCCTTCACTTCAGATATAAGTTGAACACTAACTTAAAATCCAAGAGCTAGGCCTTAAGAACGTGTTATACTGTAGTTAACTTAAGTTAATTGATCTTACTTTGGCAGGTAGAAAAAATGTGAGCAGAAACTAAGCAACAACAAGGTTAAGAGGAAAAGAAGAGAAAACTTCATTATCTGTAGATAAAGGAAATGCAATAAAACAGTAGGCCCGAGCCGTGGATTAAGCGGGAGCTTTATCAAGAGCATCTGTTTCCGGGCGAAGCCTTTCCTCTAGTAGTTCCTACAACGGGCTGGGACAGCTACAGTCGTATGGGACGAGCTCAAATGGGCCTGGACAAATGGATCCTTGACAACGCGACTGATCCGTGGCGCTGGACGTTCCTCCGTTTCCTTCGCATCCAAGCTAGAAAAGTTAGAAGAGTCAGAGCTGTCTGAGAGTTGTGATGCCTTACCAGGTCTTTCTCTCCCTTATGGTCTAACTTTTCTCCTCCTCAACTTCGCCCTAAGGCTTTTCCTCGGGTTTTTGCGAGAGAGGCCTCTGTAGGTGAGTAATCGTTGAAGGAGGGGTGACCCAGTCTGGTCTAGCTGGGTTGCTACACACCATAGAAAAGGTCCAACAGGGTTTTATCCAGAGAGGCGCATTGTTAGGGGATTATATGCCGGGACATATATTGGTTTCTTTTGATCTCGTCTCTGAGATCCAAGAGGCGGCAGACTCCTACTAAGGAGAGAGGGAGAAGAGGATCAAGAGGATGATGATTCTCTATGGAGCAGCACACAAAAAAGAGGTGACAAAAGAAAGACTAAACGGAAATATGGTATACAATTCACAGGGCCATCAAATCTCCTCTCTGACTTCATACTGACCCTTAAGCCTCAATTCTAAACACCTAAAGCCGAAAATTCTATTCAAACGTGAGAATAGTGCATACACATACAGCCGACCCGCCGCGATCCCAGGCCCAATCGCCACGGAAGATGCTCCGAGCCCCCTTGCTACACGTAGTTTGCACATAACTTATAAGTTATACAGTATGTACATGTAGGTATCCGTACCTGGCAAGTTAACCTTGATATTAAGTTGGGTAGGTACCTAGGTTGCTAGGGACATGGTAGCTAGGTACGTGGTAAGTTAGATGCAGCCACGCTGGGAATGGATTCACTTCCGAAGCATGTCGCCCAGCCACAGCCACAGAAACTTCTACTCCACAGCGTATAGAAAGCAAACGCTGGTTTTTATGATCGTCAGTCCCTAGATCGAGGCTTGGTGGCTTGCGGTTGGGTCTTGTAGATCAGGTCCATTCTTTTGCCATGCCGTTGGGGATCAGCTGACCCTTGCCTCCCCCTGCTTACGGTGTTGGATTCGTGGGTTGATCACTTGGGGTTTTTGATATGTTGGTGAGATGTATATTTGTCGTGATAGTGTGGTATATAGGAGCAGGGTAAGGTAACTTACAATGAGATCCTTGGTTGTCTAAATGAGATTGTTTATCCTGCGTAATTTAGTTGCCTATGAAGATAATACGATACTACTACTCATCCCAGCACATAAGGGCATAGATTGTAACGACCTAGATATCTCAACCCGAAGCAATGGTACTCATCTCGGAGTGTTTAAACCACCTAGGCTTGATAGGTGGAACCAGCAAAGCAGCCATCGGAAAGAGGAATCGGGATCATGGCACTTTGTGTAACCTGTAACCATGGCGCTGCAGGAGATCTACAGTACCCCGTAGCCCGATGCTATGTATGTGTTGGTAGATGCAGTGTCAAACTATACCGTATGTTGTTTGGTGTATGGATGAACGGAAGATCCAGGCTTTGTGTCCATACCCATACTAGGTAGTCGAGTATACGTGGAACTTATTACTTAGGGCTAGTACTCCGTATACACTGCATCTTACGAGTATTGGTGCAGCGGGAGGAGCTTACACAAACCATTTGACACGTAGGCAAACATTTTGGGTGATCCTGGCTAACAGCATACATCTGGCGATGACTAGGCTGTTAGTGATACTTAGAAGGCGACAAATGTTACAGAGGTTGCTCTTAAATCAAATATTGTTTAGCTACATACACAATGCTAGGTCATTTAATAGGAAAGTGTAAACCCATCCCCGATATATATCGACACGAAGCCAAGTTTCAAATCGAACTTTGACCTCCAACAATATAACACCTAATTAGCGCAGACCAATCAACATACACAATCAAACAAGATTATGCACGTCGCCCCTCAGGCCCGTCCACTCCGTCGTACATGTACAAATCAAAAGAAGAACATCAAAAACTGGGTTCTGATTGGCGATCACGCCACAGACGAAAAGTGGAGAAGACCAGACCACAGCCCCCTTGGTTACTAAAACGGAAAACACCTCACTGGCCACTGGCCACATGTGCAGGCAACTCTTGCATATGATAATGATATTCAGAGATGAGCAGGTGGCAAAAAATCAAAAAAAAAAAAAAAAAAAAAAGGAAGCCAAATCCGGGCTCGGGGACAGCGAACTCCGGTCGAGGTCTTCATTCAGGGGTTAGAGATACTATAACAATAGAAGAGCTTGTACGGGGCTTCTAGAAACGCCAGTGGCAGCCATCGATGCGTGTGGCTCAGGCTAGCTGCACCAGGTCAAGCCATCTCCGACAAATAGATAGGGTGATTCGGCTTCGGCGTCATAAATGGGAGATGGGAGGATAGGGGTGGAATTGTGTACATTTCCTTACAAGTCTGTGTATAGTATTGAAAGATGGGTGCAATACGGTTACACTTACACTAACACTAACACAAGAAATACACAATAAATGTGCTACGCTAGGGCAAGCCAGCCGGCTAGTGATCGGTGACTAGACCCGTTCAGACCATATCACTTCGACAGGTTATTTTTGGCATGACGATCGGATCAGCTAGCGATCAGGAACGTCAGGGGATGGAAGATGGAAGTGATGGGCACATATCCCCGGTTTAAATGTAACCGATGGAGCTTAGTGGGAATAATGGGGGGATAATCAGGAGGGTACACTGTAAGATGAGAATCATGTCGATCGGTTTCTTTGTGCAGCTGATGTATCCGTTCCTGCGCCTGCAGCTGCAGGTATGAGGGTGTACAAGGTACATTGTTTGAGTACATATAACTATGCAGTACGGCTGTAGAATGTGTAAGTGTGTGGCATATAGAGTAAAGTAGTCGCACGCTGTTGCGTAGGCTCTGGTGGGAGTCGAGGCTCTCAGGAAAAAAGCAATTGGTGATCCACTTGGTGCGTGGACCGAGACGAATATCTGGGTCTAACGGTGGGTTATTTCGATGTTTACTAGTGGTAATGTGGTAATGTGGTAATGTTGGGACTGTGGATAGATATGTATGTGGTCTGTGGGAGAGTAAAATTAGGTGGAAAGAAGATGTGTGATAAGAATATATGTCTTTAGTCATCTTAGAGACCCTAATTGTACAGTGATCCAAGGTTGAGGATTTGTAAGCGCTGTATGGAGATAAATATAGACCGATTGAGTTTTACTGCATGTGTGTGGTTGGTTTGGTGGTACGGTGGATATGTACAAGTGCTATGTATGGAGGGCTTGCCAGCCACTTGTATTGTCTTAAGGATAGCTCAACGGCGGAAAGTCAAATGTAATACGATCAGCTACAGTTTGAGACACTTGTATTGAAGTGGCAAACTTGAACTGAGTTAGGACCGGGTATTAAAAATCTGAGAGCCAAAAGAGAAAAAGGATTGACGATCGTGGAGATTAAAAAGGAACAAAGTAAAGTACTGTAGCAGAGTTAAAGAAAAGCACAGTTGGAAAGGGTTGGCCTATGGTTCCGTCGGTTACCAACCATGGAACAGACTGAACACATTTGTAGCTGACTATATCCAGTCTCGTAACCTCCAAGGCTATTACTTTACTTTTACATGTATATGATAAGTCAACTCGACTGCAAGAGTGCACAGTAACGAGGAATGAAAAGCAGATACCATCGCAACGCCCCTGCATACCGGGTAATCATAACAGACCACAAGTATGGAACGTTACCGGGTGGGGCAAGTTTCAGGGGCCGTCGAGACTCCCTTGGAATCCGATGGTGGAGAGACACAGCTATTGGGTGAAGTGAGTAAATACAGTCGGACGATAACGGTAATTCAGAAGTGGACTGGGGGAAAGAATACATGGAAGACTGGGAAAGACACAGGATCAGGGCAAGGAGGTATGGTAAATAATGGGGTTCCTAGGTACCTGGCTGAGATAGGGGGCCCGCATACTGGAATCAGGTACTTGGTACCTGATTGTCGAACACGTACCCTTGCCCTGTAATGGTGACGGTAAATTAGACAACGAGCGCCCCCTCCCGACCAAAAATAACACCCAAGCATTTTCTCACCTTCTCCAACCCCCTTCCTTTCGCTCTTGCTTTCGTTTAGGGAGGTTGCTTTTTTGCTCTATAATCCCATCGCACCTTCCTTTTACGGGACCCTTTCCATTCGTTACTTGAGTTTGACACTCCGCATTCGCTTTCCATTCTGTGTCGATGCAGCATTAATCTCAACTTTCGGCATAATACTACTTTGAATGGTTAAAGTTAAGGTGAGAAAGACAGCCATTGGGGGGAGACCCGCTGCTAATGACAGCAGAGTTCCCATTAATCGATCGCGACTTTTTCGCCATGTCGGGTTACGCAGGCGCTGGCGGCGGCGGCGGCCACTACGATGATGGCTACGGCCAGCAAGGCCATGGTGACTCTTACTACCAAGATGAACATGCCCAGGGGTATTACGATAACCAGGGCTATGGAGATGGCTACTACGACCAAGGGTAGGAGACCCCGGATCTGAATGACACGAAAGAGGGCTGACAACCAGAGCAGACACGGTTACTACGGTGCAGAAGGTGGTGCCCATGGTGCCGAGGCTGGCCACGGATACGCCGATGGAGGATACTACGAAGGTGGTCACCAAGACCAGTACTACGGCGACCAGTACTACGATCAGGGCCAGGGAGAATACGGACGTGGCCGACGGGGACACGACTCCGAGGCAGACTCTGAGACCTTCAGTGATTTCACCATGAGGTCGGAGACTGCCCGTGCTGCCGACATGGACTACTACGGCCGGGGAGACGACCAGTACAACAGTTACACCGACAGTCAATACGGCCGCGGCGGCTACGGCTACCGCCCTCCTTCATCCCAGATATCCTATGGTGCCAACCGTTCATCTGGTGCCTCGACTCCGGTCTACGGAATGGATTATGGGAACGCTTTACCTGCTGGCCAGCGTTCGCGTGAGCCGTACCCAGCTTGGAGTGCTGATGCCCAGATCCCTCTCTCGAAGGAGGAGCTTGAGGATATCTTCTTGGATCTAGTCAACAAGTTCGGATTCCAGCGCGACAGCATGCGGAACATGTACGACCACATGATGACCATGTTGGATTCCCGCGCGTCGCGTATGACGCCTAACCAAGCCCTGCTCTCCATCCACGCCGATTACATCGGTGGCCACAACGCCAACTACCGCCGGTGGTACTTCGCCGCTCATCTCGATCTCGACGATGCCGTGGGTTTCGCCAACATGAAACTGGGCAAGGCCGATCGTAAGACTCGCAAGGCCCGCAAGGCTGCCCAGAAGGCCGCCAAGAAGAACCCAGAGAACGAGGAGGAAACTCTCGAGGCTTTGGAAGGTGATAACAGCTTGGAAGCCGCCGAATACCGTTGGAAGTCGCGCATGAACCGTATGTCTCAGCACGACCGCGCCCGTCAAGTCGCTTTGTACCTGCTCTGTTGGGGTGAAGCCAACCAAGTTCGATTCCTGCCCGAGTGTTTGTGCTTCATTTTCAAGTGCGCCGACGATTACTATTCCTCACCCGAATGTCAGAACCGTGTCGAGCCTGTGGAAGAACTCACGTACCTCAACGAGGTCATCACCCTCTGTACCAGTACTGCCGTGATCAGGGATACGAGATCATGGACGGCAAGTACGTTCGTCGTGAGAATGACCACAACAAGATCATCGGTTATGATGATATGAACCAGCTCTTTTGGTACCCCGAGGGTATTGAGCGAATTTCCTTCGAAGACAAAACCCGTCTTGTCGATGTTCCTGTCGCTGAACGTTGGCCCAAGCTGAAGGATGTTGTGTGGAAGAAGGCCTTCTTCAAGACTTACAAGGAGACTCGATCCTGGTTCCACATGGTCACCAACTTCAACCGTATCTGGGTCATCCATTTGTGTTCATTCTGGTTCTTCACTGCTTACAACGCTCCAACACTCTACACACCGAACTATCAGCAACAGCTTGACAATAAGCCGATTACCCCCAGATACTTGGCTGCCGTCGGTTTTGGAGGTGTTCTCGCCGCTTTCATTCAGATTTTTGCGACTATCACTGAATGGCTTTACGTTCCGCGTCGTTGGGCTGGAGCTCAGCATCTGCGTAAGCGTTTCTTCTTCCTCCTGGGTGTCTTCATCGTCAATCTTGTTCCTGGTGTGATTATCTTCGGTTTCTTGGATAAGCTGCCAACGAGCGCACGAAACCCGGTGGGCCTCGCTCTGGGTATTGTTCACTTCGTCATCGCACTTTTGACAGCCGTCTTCTTCGCGATCCAGCCCCTTGGTGCCCTCTTTGGAAGCTATTTGAAGAAACACGGCCGTCAGTATGTCGCCAGTCAAACGTTCACAGCCAGTTTCCCTCATTTGTCAGGCAACGACATGTGGATGTCCTATGGTCTCTGGGTTTGTGTTTTCGGTGCTAAGTTGGCTGAGTCTTACTTCTTCTTGACCCTGTCCTTCAAGGATCCTATTCGCATTCTGTCTCCAATGCAGATTCACCAGTGCACTGGTGCCCAGTACATTGGCAACGCAGTGTGCCACCGCCAGCCGCAGATTCTGCTGGGTTTGATGTTCTTCATGGACCTGACTCTTTTCTTCCTGGACAGCTATTTGTGGTACATTATTTGTAACACTATTTTCTCCGTGGCGCGTTCATTCTACCTTGGTGTCTCCATTTGGTCTCCCTGGAGAAACATCTTCTCCCGTCTGCCCAAGCGTATATACTCCAAGGTCCTGGCTACCACTGACATGGAGATTAAGTACAAGCCCAAGGTCCTGATCTCGCAGGTTTGGAACGCCATCATCATCTCCATGTACCGCGAGCACCTTTTGGCCATCGACCATGTGCAGAAGTTGCTGTACCACCAGGTTCCATCTGAGCAGGAAGGCAAGCGGACTCTCCGTGCCCCTACCTTCTTCGTCTCCCAGGAGGATCAGTCCTTCAAGACCGAATTCTTCCCTCAAGGTAGTGAGGCAGAGCGTCGCATTTCGTTCTTTGCCCAGTCGCTCTCTACTCCCATGCCTGAGCCGCTTCCCGTCGACAACATGCCTACTTTCACCGTCCTCATCCCTCACTACAGCGAAAAGATCCTACTCTCCCTGCGTGAGATCATCCGTGAAGATGAGCCGTACTCTCGTGTCACGCTCTTGGAATACCTCAAGCAGCTCCACCCTCACGAGTGGGATTGCTTTGTCAAAGACACAAAGATTCTCGCCGACGAGACTTCCCAGTTCAACGGCGAGAAGCCCGAAAAGGATGCAGCCAAGAGCAAAATTGATGACCTTCCCTTCTACTGCATTGGCTTCAAGTCCGCCGCTCCCGAGTACACCCTTCGCACACGTATCTGGGCATCTCTTCGCTCCCAGACTCTATACAGAACTGTCTCCGGTTTCATGAACTACAGCCGTGCTATCAAGCTTCTGTACCGTGTTGAGAACCCCGAAGTTGTTCAGATGTTTGGTGGCAACTCCGAGAAGCTGGAGCGTGAGCTGGAGCGTATGGCCCGCCGCAAGTTCCGCATCTGTGTCTCCATGCAACGCTACGCCAAGTTCAACAAGGATGAGCGTGAGAACACTGAGTTCTTGCTGCGTGCTTACCCGGACCTGCAAATCGCTTACCTGGATGAGGAGCCCCCCGCGACTGAGGGTGAGGAGCCCCGCCTGTACTCTGCTCTCATCGACGGCCACTGTGAACTTCTCGACAACAACATGCGTAAGCCCAAGTTCAGAATCCAGCTTTCCGGTAACCCCATTCTCGGAGACGGAAAGAGTGACAACCAGAATCACGCCATTATCTTCTATCGCGGTGAATACATTCAGTTGATTGACGCCAACCAGGACAACTATCTCGAGGAGTGCCTCAAGATTCGCAGTGTCCTGGCTGAGTTCGAGGAATTGACCACCGACAACGTTTCGCCCTACACCCCTGGTATCGCCTCGCCTGATAGCAATCCTGTCGCTATTCTTGGAGCTCGTGAATACATTTTCTCTGAGAGCGTTGGTGTCCTGGGTGACGTTGCTGCCTCCAAGGAACAAACATTCGGTACTCTGTTCGCTCGTACGCTTGCCCAGATCGGTGGTAAGCTGCATTATGGTCACCCAGATTTCCTGAACGCTACCTTCATGTGTACCCGTGGTGGTGTGTCCAAGGCTCAGAAGGGATTGCATCTTAACGAGGATATTTACGCTGGTATGAACGCCATCCTTCGTGGAGGTCGCATCAAGCACTGCGAGTACTATCAGTGTGGTAAGGGTCGTGATCTTGGTTTCGGTTCTATTCTGAACTTCACCACGAAGATTGGTACTGGTATGGGTGAACAGATGCTGTCGCGAGAGTACTACTACCTTGGTACCCAGCTGCCTCTCGATCGCTTCTTGTCATTCTACTACGCCCATCCTGGTTTCCATCTTAACAACATGTTCATTATGTTGTCTGTGCAGATGTTCATGATTGTCCTGATCAACCTGGGTGCCCTGAAGCATGAGACTATCATGTGCCGGTTCAACTCTGACCTTCCCATTACTGATCCTCTCCAGCCGACTCTCTGTGCCAACCTGATTCCCATCTTGGACTGGGTTAACCGTTGTGTTATCTCCATTTTCATTGTGTTCTTCATCTCCTTCGTTCCTCTCGCTGTTCAAGAATTGACAGAACGAGGTGTGTGGCGTATGGCTACCCGTCTGGCTAAGCACTTTGGTTCATTCTCCTTCATGTTCGAAGTGTTTGTATGCCAAATCTACGCCAACGCTGTTCACCAGAACTTGTCTTTCGGAGGTGCGCGCTACATCGGTACAGGTCGTGGTTTCGCTACTGCCCGTATTCCCTTCGGTGTGCTCTACTCGCGTTTCGCTGGTCCCTCCATCTACGCTGGTGCTCGTCTCCTGCTGATGCTCTTGTTCTCCACCACCACTGTCTGGACTCCTGCCCTCATTTGGTTCTGGGTTTCTCTGCTCGCGCTGTGCATCTCGCCGTTCCTGTTCAACCCTCACCAGTTTGCCTGGAACGACTTCTTCATCGATTACCGTGACTACATCCGCTGGCTGTCGCGTGGTAACTCCCGATCGCACGCATCCTCCTGGATTGGTTTCTGTCGTCTCTCGCGTACCCGCATTACTGGATACAAGCGCAAGCTTCTTGGTGTTCCATCCGAGAAGGGCAACGGAGATGTTCCCAGAGCGCGCATCACCAACATCTTCTTCAGTGAAATAATTGCACCTCTGGTCGTTGTCGGTGCCACTCTGGTTCCCTACCTGTACATCAACTCCCGGACCATGTTCTCTGATGATAACAAGTGGGCGGCGAACCCCATCGCTCGTATTGCCATCGTCGCTTTCGCCCCGATTGGTATCAACGCTGGTGTTGCGGGCATGTTCTTCGGTATGGCTTGTTGTATGGGTCCCATCTTCGGCATGTGCTGCAAGAAGTTCGGTGCTGTCCTCGCCGCCATAGCTCACGCCATCGCCGTCATCGCCTTCCTCATCTTCTTCCTGGCCATGTTTGTTTTGGAGTCTCTCAACTGGCCTCGAACCATCTCTGGCATGATCGCCGTCATGGCTCTGCAGCGATTCGTCTACAAGCTCATCATTTCTCTTGCCTTGACCCGTGAGTTCAAGAATGATCAATCCAACATTGCTTGGTGGACGGGTAAATGGTACAACATGGGTTGGCACTCGCTTTCCCAGCCCGGACGTGAATTCCTTTGCAAGATCACCGAGCTTGGTTACTTCGCCAACGATTTCGTCCTCGGCCACATTCTCTTGTTTGCGATGCTTCCAGCCCTCGCCATTCCCTACGTTGACAAGTTCCACTCTGTAATTCTGTTCTGGCTCCGCCCCAGGTAAGTTACCAGACAACACCCGCCCTTCAACTTGATTCTAACAAAGGCTCTTAGTCGGCAAATCCGCCCCCCTATCTACTCACTCAAGCAGTCCAAGCTACGCAAGAGACGTGTTGTTCGTTTCGCCATTCTCTACTTCGTCATGCTCGTCATTTTCGTTGTAATCGTCGCCGCCCCCATCGTTCTGCGCAACACCAAGATGCTGGACTCCTTCCTCAAGGACACTCTCTGGGGTGTAATCGGTGTTCAGAAGCAGGGTGCTATTGGACTTCTCCAACCTCTGGACCATGGACTTAACGACACCGTCAAATGGTTCACAGGCAGCGGTCTTCCCGGTGGTTACTCATCCTCGGCCATCCCTACGCCTTCTGCCGGCTCAGATAGCTGGTACATCTAAGGCCTCGACATGATATGGGGATGGTTTGTACAAAGTTCTGCGTTTATTAAAACTCGCTGCATTTTTCTGAACTCACCGGCGCACACGTTGATCTTAATGAATGCCTGTTTTTCAAATACTGTTTGTGGAATGACGCTTGTATGAAGGGTCTTGTCATCCCGGGGGTTTACCTTCGTTTCCAGCTTTCTTTGCTTGTTTTATTTACACTTCCCACGGAATTAAATTGCATTGCTTTCGAGATAAATTAAGTCGACTGTTTAGACCACCCTTTCTGAACGACCGTAGTTATAGTGGACTCCGTACTCCGTAGTCATGTAGTATATGAAACAGGTCACGTGCCCATGTGTCCAGGACTACGGATCATCCCGTTTCATCCACATTTCATCACCGCGAGCAAGCACATGTCCATTGCGCCGTTCTAAACCCGGATTCCCCTTTCTACCTCACCGGCGGGGCATATTGCAAACAACCAGGGAACCAACCTGACTCCCTCGCCATGGATCTTCAGGAGACTCAGCGTGTCCTTTCCGAACATCTGCACAACCTCGCGGACTTATTCCACCGCGTGCCAGGCTCCGCAATTTTCCTCCGCTACGTGAAATCAAGTTATCAAGATGATCCCATCCGCTCCGCCGTCGAACTCTTCTTGTTCCTGTTCGCCGTGCGCTACCTGCTCGCCCCGAAGTACTCGACCAAACCCGGCGTCGTGCCACTGACGGAAGACGAGATCGATGACTTGGTGGACGAGTGGACTCCCGAACCTCTTGTCGGGAATCCGACAAGTCTGGAAGAGATGGAAGTCGACAAGCGGACAGTAATCGTCGGGTAAATATTCCTCCTTCAATTGGTGTTCCTCAGTTATGCCTCCGCGGACAGTTTGCTAACGGATCATCACGGGATGCACAGCCCCGTAGGCCCCAAATCCAAACTCGCCAACGGCCGCACAGTGATGAACCTAGGCTCTTTCAACTTCTATAACTTCAACACGAACGAGACTCTCAAGGAACAGGCTATCCAGACTCTCCGCGCGTACGGCGTTGGACCTTGCGGTCCGCGTGGATTCTACGGTACGCAGGATGTGCACATGAAGACCGAAGACGATGTATCGGCGTTCCTGGGAACTGCCGCTTGCATTATCTATTCCCAGGCCTTTTCGACTATTTCCAGTGTTATTCCGGCTTTCTCGAAACGTGGAGATATCATCGTTGCGGATAAGGGCGTTAGTTTTGCTATTCGGAAGGGTATTCAGATCTCCAGAAGCATTGTTCGCTGGTATGAGCATAATGATATGGAGGATCTTGAGCGCGTGCTTGCCAAGGTTACTAAAGAGCAGGCGAGGAAACCTTTGACTCGGCGGTTTATTATTACTGAGGGCCTCTTTGAGTCTTATGGTGATATGGCTGACTTGCCTAAGATTGTATGTGATCCCTCTTGACTGGATAGTGCGATAGTTTTGCTTACTTTGCCTCGCAGATTGAACTGAGACTCAAGTACAAGTTCCGTCTGATCTTGGATGAGACATGGTCTTTCGGTGTCCTTGGACGTACCGGCCGTGGTATCACAGAGCACCAGAACGTCGATGCGGCTGAGGTTGATATGATTGTGGGATCGCTGGCTGGTCCCCTTGTTGCCGGTGGTGGCTTCTGTGCTGGTTCAGAGGAGATTGTTCACCACCAGCGGATTTCCGCTGCCGCTTATACTTTCTCCGCTGCCCTTCCTGCGCTGCTGTCCACTACTGCTAGTGCCACTATCAACATCCTTCAGAACAGCCCCGAGACCGTGACGCAACTTCGTGACCTTACCAAGGCCATGCGCGCTCAGCTTGATCCTCGCAGTGACTGGGTTTACTGCTCAAGCTCGCCTGAGAACCCTATTCTCATCTTGGTTGTTAAGCCTGAAGTTGTTGCTGCCAAGAGGCTCACGCCTACCGACCAACAGTTTCTCCTTCAGGATGTCGTTGACGAGGTATGCATTGCGTTTCCCTTATTTCTCCTTTCGAGTTCAGTATCTAACTTCTCCACAGTGCCTGGCAAACGGTGTTCTCATCACACGCCTGAAGACCTTGGAGGACAACTTCGAGCCCAAGCAGGTGGTCCCGCCAGCCCTGAAGGTGTGCGTCACGACCGGTCTTACCAAGAAAGAGATCGAGAAGTCAGGCACAATCATCCGGCACGCCATTACCAAGGTGATGAGCAAGAGGAAGTGATTAACATCTTACCTTCCCTTGTTTGAACCTTGGTCTTGTCCGGCCATCCGATGACTGCTCACGCCCCTATGACCTTGGCATCTTATCACTTTCCTTACTCTCAGTCGACCTACGACCTAATGCACCTTCAATCCGTGTATTGTTAACCTTGTCGATATACATTCTTCTTGCATGCCTTGCACAGGACCGCCCTTTTCTCTTCCGGGCTGGATTTGCTTCTCGCTTAGCCTGTGTGCTTGGTTTAGATTGTTTAATACTATCCTTCTTTGCCCTTGGCTTTTTGCTGAGTGGCTTGTGTCTATTTGCATAGATTATTCATACCAGGACAAAACTCTATGTACTCATGGAACGAATGCTATTTTTCTGTATCTGACTTCTTTCGAGACCCCCTTTAGTAGGGTTTACAATGCAATGTTCGAACTAACGTCTAGATCGATCAAACCCCAAAAGAAACCCCCGAGATCTACACTCAGTGCCGTCTATCCGATGTTACCCACCAATCTCCAAAGCAAAACCCTAATGAACCAAGATTAGTCTCCTAGAACCACCCCCTTCAACCCCTTCCAATCAACCACCAAACTCTCCAAATTCCCATTAACATTCACAGAACCCTCCATATCACTGCGCAACATCCAAAAATGCACCCCACATTCCACAAGGAACGCAACACAAATGACATTCCAAGCCCATCCCAGATTTCATCCATACGCCATAGTGTACAGTATAGCCCTAACTCCCGATCTCACCCAAGGGATCCCATCGAAACTCAGAAGTTCCAGATCCCATTCCACATGTCCAAGAACCCAACCCCCGCCCCTGTGCCTGCTCTCCCTTGTGTTTACATGCTCCACCGTCATAGTGGCGACGTAGATGCTTTTGTATTCTTCGATATGGGGTTGATATAATGTCATTGATCGACACTCCACGGGGACTAGGTTATGCATTACCTTTTCTCCTTTCCTTTTTTTGGGCTGTAAACGGATGATTGAATAAAAACGCCATTTGTGTTGGGATCGACTCGTCTAACTAACCTTGGAACTTGTTGAGGGATTGTGATTGCGATTCTGATACTGTACTCGGGTCGGTTTCCTTAAACCTTGACTTTTGCCTGGGCAGGGATCTGCCTACGGTAGAAATGAAGCGCCTATGCCTTACTCGGGCATTTGTTGGGTTGCTTCTTGCTTGGGGTGTTTGTGCCGATGTCCAGGGTAAGCATAGATCCAATGCAATCGCTGCCTATTCCCATCTCGAATCTATGGTTGTGTTTGCTGATGGCTGTTTCTATAGATCACCAACAATGTCAAGGCGATCTCGCTCCTTCAACCTCTGTTAGAGAGGTCGTTGTCTGGGTTAATGAAGACGGTGTTCCTATTACTCCGGACAGCAAGCATGTTCAGGCTTCGATAGCATCAGAGCATGGAAATGTTAGTAGATCTATTCCGTCCTGATCGTTGGAATCGTTGTTGATTGATTGTTCGACAGTCTGCGCAGACTCAGTCTTCAGTATCACTTCTTGATACAGATGTCTCGCGCTTGGAATCGACATCGACTGCTTCTAGGAAGGATAATGATATGACTGATCGTTCTGTTGATGCTCCTCCGAAGGGCCAACATCCTGCTCCTCCACCACCACCAGCAGCAGCACCACCACCACCTCCTCCTCCTCCTCCTCCGCCGCCACCCCCTGCTGTTGCTCCTCCCCCTCCAGCTGGTCCACCCGCTCCTCCACACCCTCACTACCATCCTCATCCCCCACCACACCCACACGGCCATCCAAAACCGCACCAACCCCCCCATTCACCCCCAAACCAAAACGAAGCCGGCGGCTTCGGAATCTCCTACTCTCCTTACAGAGCCGACCGCACCTGCAAAAACCAAGAAGAAGTAAACAAAGACCTAGACGGCCTATCACGCTACAGCTTCGTCCGAATCTACGGCACAGACTGCGATCAAACAAAACCGTCTTGCACGCCGCACGCCAGCACAACATGCGCGTCTTCGCAGGGATCTACGACCTAACCGACTTCCCAAACAGCCTATCAGCCTTCCGCGAAGCAGCCCCAACAAGACCAGGCGGCAAAAAAGACTGGTCAACCTTCCACACCATCGCAATCGGCAACGAACTAGTAAACGGCGGCACGAACAACCCAGCCGAGGTAGTCCGCGCAGTGAACCAAGCACGCTCGATCCTCCGTTCACAGGGATACGAGGGCCCGGTGGTAACAGTCGATACGTTCTCCGTCTTACTCGAGCACCCGGAATTATGCGACGCGAGTGATTACTGCGCGGCGAATTGTCATGCTTTCTTTGATGCGAGTCAGAGTCCTGGAGGGGCCGGTGCGTATGTTTTTGAACAGGCGCGTAGTATCTCTGCTGCGGCGAATGGGAAACATACTATGATTACTGAGTCTGGGTGGCCGCATGCTGGGGATGCGAATGGGGGTGCTGTTCCTTCGGTTGAGAACCAGAGGGTTGCTATTGAGAGTCTGCGGAGGAGTTTTGGGCATCGGAAGGATGATTTGGTGCTTTTTACTGCTTTTGATGATCTTTGGAAGGATGATAATAGTTTTACTTTCAATGCTGAGAAGTTCTGGGGGATTCACGGTGGTCTTTAGGGCTTGGTTTCATGGTGGCTTTTCTTTTCTCCTTCTTCCTGACTTCGTTTAGGGATTTGCTTCTTTGCTTTTGGTTCGATATTCTTGCATTTGTACATAGATCGTGCATGAGATGACTAGATAGTTCAATGACGAAGAATGAGACCTCGATATTCACGTTTTGAAGATGACATTCGCTTCAATGGTATTATTTTATTTTACACTATGGCGGAGACTATACATTAATTTACAGCCCTTACAAGGGCGAGAGAAGAAATCAACCGCGGAAATGGCGATGACTTTCCCTCCGACGAGCATCCTCCTCAGCGCGAGCCTCGACCTTATCCATCCATCCACCGCGACAAGTAAGCGCCTCAAACGCCTCCTTGTTAGAAGGCAAATCCCAGAACGGGTGCTCCCCACCCCCGGCCTTCTGATGCGCCTCCAAATCCCGGTTGCGGCGAATAACAAGCGCAGTCAACATGCCCCTCGACTTATTACTCGGCGTCAACCCAATAACCTCCATCTCACGCAGCAAAGACACAACACCAGGAAGATCCTTACACCCACGCCAATGGAAGTAAAGCATTTCATCATAAAGACCAGACGAAGCACCAAGCAGGGCAGACAACCGGCCATGCTCTTTGATATTCGAGCGGAACTGTCCGATAAGCGGGGAATCAGGGAAATGCGTGTTCAACAGACGGAACGCAATCAGCAGCGTCTTCGGGTATAACGTGGCTACCACCGGTGCGACGGGCACGACGGCCGGGACGCGGAGTGGTCCTGCCGGCCGTGGGATGTTGCGCGCTGGTTGGCTTTCGACGTGCTGCAGCATGGAGAAGATGCGTGCTTTGCATACTTCCCACACGCCCATGTCGCCTTTTCCTTCTTCGATTGCTTGGAAGAGGGCGAATTCGATGTGTTCGGATTCGCGCTGTACGACCATGTCGATTGCTTCTTTCATTGTGATTGTTATCGCCGCGCCGGATGTTGCTGCTTCTGTGTAGCCCAGGTCGTCGATGTTGATCCTTTGGGGGCCTTTGTCTTCGGTTGCTTCTTCTTCCGTTGCCGGTCGTTCTGGTGTTGGGGTGTATTTTGGCAGTTCCTCCTTTTGACAGCGGGCTTTATTCTTCTTCATATTTGAGTCCTGTAGTAACGAGTCGAATACTGACATGAGCTCTGATATCTCGGCTTGTTTCTCTGGGCTCATGGGTTTTGATTGTGAACCCGTTTCGCCATTTTCTCCGCGCTTGACATTCAGCTTTTCTAATAAGTTTTTGAAAGTCGCTTTTTCCTGCGAGGTGATCTTCTTGGTCCTTGTCTTCGGCGCAGGTTGCCTTGAGCCCAATGGCCTGCCGGAGGAGACAGATGCTGCCCGTTTTTGTAGATAACTCCTCCGCGGTTTCGGGGGCTCATTCGTCTCGAAGTCAATAGAGATATCTTTGTTCGTGGGTGGTTTATCCTCTGGCGCATCGTTCGTTGCTAGTGTGCCACTGCGTGTAGAAAACGCCCGTTGGGGTAGGCGATTGAACGGTCGTAGGGAAGGTGTCGCCGCGGTAATCGTTGCCGTGTGATATAGAAAAGGCGCTGAGCTTGCGTTCACACCTAGAAAGCACCGGCGTGTGACGTTTGTCGCCATTGCAGCGTCTTCAGCTAGTGGTCTCTCCCACTTTCTCTTACTCTCGCTTTCGCAACGCAGCCCAGCTTCTTCCACTGACACTTCTCGAATGAAACGCAGCTCGGAGTAAGATCCTGACACTACTTTGCATGTACTCCGCAACCGCTTGAAAGAACAAGACAAGATTGAGAGTATCCAGCTCCAGCACGGACTTTGCACGTTTACTTTTTTTGCCGCAATAAAGGTCACATGATCTCGCGCGAGCAGCAAACGCGCCTCCGCGTCGGGGGGATCCGGCCGATCCTCCTCGGACTCCAGAGAACAGAACCAAATCTGCTTTCGCTGTAAACGATTGGGATTCAGACTCTTCCGACCATATGCCTGAGATCTCCGACTTCGAGAAGGAGCGATTGGCGAACATCGCCGAGCGCGATGCGCTGCTCAAACAACTTTCTCTTGATTCAAAATCCGCCGGTCTTTTCGCGACTCCCCCAAGCCCCCGGGCAGCGGTGGCCCGAAGCCAAAGAAACGCCCCGCCCCCAAGCGCGTGAAGAAAGAAGAGGAGGACGCGACCCCTCGCCGCACCTCCTCCCGCCTGAAGGGAATCGCCGCCGAGAGTGAAGTCGCAAAGCGCAAGGCGGACGATGAACTCGACGCCCTGCGCGAGGCCGAGCGCGCCAAGAGAATTCGCCGCACCGATTCCTTTACTCAAGCCGATATGTTTGTCGCCGGACAGAAGCTCACCGGACCCGATTTGATTGGCGTCGATGTGATCACCAAGGGCGTCGCAAAGCCGTATGAACGAACTTTCGACAGTGCCGATATCGAGAAGACCACCGACAAGGATTTGAAGGCAATTCGGAAGGAGATGAACGGCATGAAGCTGTGGGATGCTTGGGATCCGCAGCGTAAGAACCCTGTTCTTTATATTGCCAAGAGTCTTTGCTAACGTGCGATTGAATTGTCGCAGGTATCAAGATCACCCCGGAGCGTGTGTATGCGATGGCTTTCCACCCATCTGAGTCGAAACCTCTTATCTTTGCCGGTGACAAGATGGGTCATCTAGGTATGCTGGATGCTTCACAGGAGAAGCCCACCGTGAATGAGGATGATGAGGATGAGGATGATCCGGACCCTGTTTTGACAACTCTGAAGCCGCATACACGCACTATTAGCTCGATGATGGTTAACCCTTCGAAGCCGACTCACCTGTACACTGCCAGTTATGACAGTTCGATCCGCGAGTTGGATCTGGAGAAGATGACCTCGTCTGAGAAGTACGCACCGGAATCCACCAATATCGACGAGGCAGTCTCTGCCGTGGATATGGTGGCGGACGATCCAAACACTTTGTACTGGACGACTCTGAATGGTGAATTTGGTCGATACGATATGCGCATGCCTCTCAAAGGGAGCAACGTCTCGTCGTGGCAACTGTCGGAAAAGAAGATCGGCGGATTCACACTGTGCCCCTCGCAGCCGCACTTTGTTGCGACAGCGAGCTTGGACCGTTTCCTGCGCCTGTGGGACCTGCGCAAGTTGTCGTTTGACAATCCGGCGCCCGTCGCCGAGCATGAGAACAGACTGTCAGTGTCACACGCTGCATTCAACGCAGCTGGCCAAATTGCGACCAGCTCATACGACGACACTATCAAGATTTATGATGTCGGCGCTAGAGGTCTCTCATCATGGAAGGAAAAACACACTCTCCAAGATGGCGACTTCACCCCCGACACAGTCGTCCGGCACAACTGCCAAACCGGACGCTGGGTGACAATGTATGTTCGTTTAAAGAAGTCCATGTCTGTTTTATCGGTTTTTGCTTTTTTTTCTTTTACTTTACTTCTTTTCTTGCGTGTCTTGCGTTGCGTTGCGTTGTTTATCTTTTTTCTTGGCAACAGAGCCCTAACTGACATTGTTTCTCTTAGTCTCCGCCCCCAATGGCAACAGAACCCTCAGTCACCGATCCAACGATTCTGTATCGGTAACATGAACCGTTTTGTCGACATCTACAGCAGCAGTGGTGACCAACTTGCTCAGCTTGGTGGTGATGGCATTACTGCTGTCCCTGCGGTGGCTGTATTCCACCGGAGTAAGAACTGGGTTGCTGGTGGTACTGCTAGTGGCAAGCTTTGCTTGTGGCAGTGATTAAAGTGTGGACTTGAGTCTTTTGACTCTTTGAATTCTTGAATTTGAGCGAGAACGTTTTTTGTTTTCTGTTTGTCCAACCATCCGGGATGGATTTATGGACTCTTATCTTCGGTGGGTTGCCCGACTACATTTACGTGTTTTGAGTCTTTGAGGCATGGCAGTGCCTGGTCGGTATTGCTGAGAGTGTGATTCCAATATTGTTCGATTCTTTGTGTCTTTGAGTAAGTTGCTGCATGTATGTATGTGTACGTGTGATGGTCAAATCCAGATGTACAAAAGAAGTAATTGTCAAAGAAGCATATTGCTTTCCACGTTAATTTCTTTAGGTATCTAACACTGTGTCTCTGTAAAACATGCCGTGTGTACCTGTACCTTGATATGGAACCCCAATCAAAAGGGAAACACCAATCCATTCCATCTATTGGAAGAAACACGAAAAGTATAGAGGTATTTACACAATGGCCACCATCTCCAAAGGGAATCCAAACACAAAGATAAAAGCGACCCCATTAAAAAGGATCTGACAAGGTCCGACCAAAAGGAGAGAAAAGATATCACAAGGATCTCCCTTCCTCAAGCGGGATAAACCAGATCATCGTGTTCGTTTAGTTTTAATTCCCCAAAAGAGCCAAGGTCTTACTTTTTAGTTCTCTCTTTTTTATGTCTCTTTCCTTTTTCTTTTCCTCGAGAGACGGGGTTGGAATTGGAGGGAGGGGGATGTGTATAGGGGAGGGGGGTGGGACCATGTAAACACAATCAAAAAGAGGGAAAGGGTATCAACACCGTGACACATGCTTCGGGGGAGAACATAGAGATAGATGATCGAACAAGCACAGGGTACGGGATGGGGAAGGCATGAAGGAAGATGGAAGATGGAAGAGAGGAGTAGAGGGAGAAATGAAAAACGTTCAAATCATGAGCACATGGGAAGCGGTCAGAGAGGAAAGGACGGAAAGCGAAAAGCGCATAAGGGGGAGGAAGGAAATGACATGCAGGGACATTCGAGCATTAAGATTCATTGCGCAGATCCTCATGCGAGTTGTTATTTTGAGACTGGTCACGGTCCTTGTGTTTGCGTCGGGATGGGGCAGGGACAAAGTCGAAGAAGCGATACTTGCTGGATGATTCCTTGGTGACGCTTGCCCTACGTGCTTTGGAGGTTTCGGAGTACTCCAATGAGTATGTTGAGGAGTTCTTGGAGCTTCCGGTGCTATCGCGTGCATCAGACCAACGCGGGATGGCGAATGGAATGCGGCTTTGATCCCATGTAGCGGACGATGAACTTGGCGGTGTATCTTCGTCAGCATCAGGAGCGTAATCGGTGGAACGGCGGGGGATCGCAGGCCGCGAAGCGAAGTAGCCGATGGAGTTGCGGTGGCTGCTTGGGGCCGGCGCGGAACCGGACATCATTGGATCTGCTGCAGGGGTTGATGGTTGGCTCGAGCGTTCGTCGTAAAAGGTAACAGGTCGCTCCATTGAGTCCACCAATTCCTCCCACTTGATCTCGAGACTTCCGCTCGGCCGCTCAGCTTGCTCCGCTCGACTCAGACACTCCTCGGTACGTGCCCGCAGATCAAGGGCTGTTTTGTGGAACTTGGCAAGGTTGACATCCAGCTCCCCTAGATCATTCAAACGAGCCGGGGCCACGTCAAGCCACACACGAATCAAGTTTGCAAAGCATCGAGCATGATCGATAAGGAACGGAAGGCTGGGGAAACCCTCGCGCGACGTCGGAGGCAACCGTCCAAGGATTTGGATAGGGGTGGTGTAGGAAGGTGTGACAATAGGAGCTGGTCGATCCGCTGGAATTGCACAGATGGAGTCGACGAATTCTTTGAAGTCCGAGCGATGGCCAACAAGGAATTTGTTCATAGGCTCCATCCAAGGTTCCTTGTTACCAAACGTCGTCATATTAGCCAGTCCCTGCAGGGCCTTGGCGATAAGCGTAAGAGTGCGCTGTGCACGAGGACGAGGGTGGTCTTTCAAAAGCCCGAAGAGTTTCGGGTTCAAAATAGCCGGACAAAAGAACCGCAAGAACAAGAAACCTGAAACACTGCTGTATGTCACAGACCGTAAGAAATCTCCATAGCGGTCATCTGCACAAGCCCTGACATGCCGGAAGATACGACGCAATTCTGGCGGACACCTCGATGCAGACCCAGCGATAGACTTCCACACACTGGTGGTGAGAGCCGTAAGATTTCGCCAGTTGCGCTCAAGATCCTCGTGGCGTGGAACACGTGATGGGTCGACTTCGCATTCCGGATCACTTTCATCGATATCACGTAGTCGTTCCGCGATAGTGTCATCAAGATATTGCTTGCCCAAGCGACGCATGTGGAGGTCCAGGGCCTTAGTCAGAAGTGAGTTTCCACGGAATAGAAGGTTGGCCTCGACAGTGGCCGTCCTTCCCATATCTCTGACGAGAACTTCACGTTCCTGGCCTGACTCCTGAGAGTTGTTGGAGTGTATTCTTGTTGTGTATCTCAGTCGGTTGGTAGTGGATTCTTTGTGAACCCCGTCGATTTCATCTTCAACCAATGCTGAGATCCATTCCACCGTTGACCCCGAGACTTGATAGATGTTCAGAAGCATCTCAGCTAGATGTGTTAGCTCTGACGACATCACTTGAGCCATGTTGATTGTGAGACCGTTGGTGAAAGAGTGGAGGAGCTCAGACATTGGTGCGTATTCGTCCGACATCAAGACAACGGTTTCCTCCATTCGAGCTCTCATGAACATCTCACCCACTGCTTGGTCTTGGTCGTCCAGGATTGGCCACCACTTTTCAGTATCCACGCCAGCATCCAATTCCTCGAGTCGCATGTCTACCCGACCGAAGATGGCGTCGTTCGCGGAGATTTCGATCTCATCCAACATGTTCACGGCGTTCACGTCTTGATTGGATGTGTATGTCCCATGGGCGATGAGTGTCCAATCTTTCTGAGTCGGGTTGAGGGTTTTGACCAGGATGGAAGCTTGGGATAGAACTGGCGGTAGATCACTGAAGAGAAAATCCTCTCGCCAGAAAGGGTTCATGGTGCGATATTTGACAGCAGTCTTGCCGCGAATTTCCCCATCTAGGAGCACCTCTGTATAATAGTCGCTGACCTTGGAGGTCGGCGTTTGTTGGCCATGACCATGTGATCTTGACGCCTTTCGGCTTCGCGGGGTATCCTCTTTGGCGCGAAATAGCTTGGCCTCGACGATCTTCAAATTTAAGAATCGTTCAATCCGGAACATGTCTTTGAGTACGGGCGTCACGGTGGCATCGGCTTCTGGTGTCTTGTTGGGATCTTCGGTTTTAGATGCAGGGCCATAGAGTTCTGGAATTGTGAAGGCGCGTAGAAGGACAAACCACACCTCGAAGAGTACGCGACTTTCCAGGGCGAGGTATATAGGACGAACATTCGAGTCGGGTACGGGGTGTGCCGCATACTGTGGGTAAATAGCAATACAGAATTCATCATCAAGAACGGACGGGTTCAGCTGCTGGATAGCACAGCGAGACAATTGAGATAGTTGAACGCATGCCAAGAGGGACACATCGGTCTCAGTGTAAAGTTTGAAGAACCCGTTCTCTTGTAGCGTGCAACTCACCTTCTGCCACGAGGAAGACAGAGCCCTTGACTGTCGATACGTAGACACCCGGCGTCCAGATACCGGCATTGCTCCCGAAGCAGATGGTTTATCCCATAGGAGCATCTTGCCAACTTTGATAATAGTTGCGTCCCTTTGTGCTGCGCTTTCCGAGTTGCGTCGACGTTCGGGGATACGGCGGTCCCCAATGACGACCTCTTGAGGCTTTGTCATTTTGTTTTGTACACCCTTTGGTCGGATTGGTTGCCAGCAAAGTAGGGCAGCAAGCCATGAATCAAACGTTTCGTTCACGTGGGGGCGTAGTTGTATCCCAAGTCCGGAGGTAAATGTGTGGACGCTAAGATAGGTAGTCTGGAGCTCAGGATCAAACAATGTTCGAACTCGACAGCCACGCAAATCGGGGATCAGTGTCTTGGCCAATGCTGGTTCTCCTTTCGCTTGGTAGATCAGACTTCCAGTAGCGACATTGATAGCGCAGTACCCGGAAGTCCACGAAGTGGTGGAGGCTGTCCGAAAGGACAGGATTCCATGCATTCTCCCACATGTAGTCTTCATCAATTGGAGGATTTTTGTGGCTTCGGAGCTCGAAAGAGGCGACGCGAACGAATCTTGGCTGTCTGCAATTCCAGTAACAGTTTTGCTTGATCGCTGGCGCGGGACCGACTGGCTGGCGTATTGCCTGGATTGAATTGATGGAAAACCGATCGAACTTGAGGGATCCTCAGGCACCTTTGGCTGTGATGGACTGGCTGTGTTGATTGACCCGATTCGCGTGCGACTTTTGAAGGAGCTGGGGGTGGTCTCGTTTCGCTGTTCCTCCGCCGCCGTTGTTCGTGATCGCGCCCGTTGACTTCTTCCCTCTGGTGGTGTATCTTCCTCGCCACCCCTAGAAGAGTGTTTGCTGAACTCCCGACGTCGCTCAGGCTCGGTGGGCCGTGATCGCACGATGCTTTGAGGGGACGAGGTGCCGCCGCTTAGAGGTTCGGGTTCGGATAGGGGGGAGTGGTTGGCGGGGGAGTGCGACTCTGGCGTCACAGTTCGAATCGTTGTTTCTCGGAAACTGTCGGGATAGACCATCCCATGTCGATCCCTGGATGAGGATTTCTTGCTGGCACGCCGTTCGACTGGACGACTATATAACGCTTGCTGCATTGAGCTCCGCTTGAACGCGTTCGGATCGGGCTCCATTTCGTTTGGGTATGTGCAGCCCCTTCCAGGCTACGTACAAACGAAAATGAAACCCGTTCAATGTGAGGCAGGGAGTAAAAGGAAGTTCCTAATCGCGCCCAACACTCTCACAACCGGTGAGAAGCCCTTGACACGTCGGCACGGTATAATTGGAGGTCTAGGATTATGCTATGAGACCACATGGAGTCCGGTGAGAGGTGTATCGGGGTCGCACATTCGATCGAGGTCCGGGAGGGGGGAGCAATGGGCATGGACGAAGGAGGCGTGTGTCTGAGAGATGCAGGAGAACCTAGCGAATGCGGTGAGCGTCCAATCCTCCCTGTCGATAGCGATGCGGGTGTTGAACCGAGGAAGTGACCCGGGCGAATGGCAGTATCATTAAGGAAAGGAAATGCGCTACCTTCGAAGAATCTCGAGATGAAGTTGCAGATCCCCAGTAAACCGCTTTGGGACGGGTAGAATGAGGGGGTGTGCAAGGGTAAAGAAGAGATCTGGAGAATACCCTCAAGAGGAGGGGGGGATATGTGGATAAGCTGAATTTGTATAGGGGAAATGCCTTCCACTACCACTACCACTTCCACTTCTACCTCTCTCTCTCATTTTTACATTTTAGTTTTGACTCTGATGCAATGGCGCCACACATTTACCGCAACTACTATGACCATCTTGTTCCCGATCGTGTTGGATTTACATTATACCTTTGACTTTGACGCTTTACCGAAGCTACCGAGTACTATTACCTATTCGAGCGGAAGATTGACCTCATCAGACCCTCATAGTGTTTCTCTTATAATATTCTAATATGCTATAGCCCCTACTGTGGGTTTAAATTGCCGAGCGAATGTAGAGAGAGAGATTTGCCTCTCTTGACTAGTAAAGTATTGTGTGAGTCGAATTGGGGCGAATAATCCTGAATCATGGTTAGAGGCCATTGCACGTCGATCAGATCCTCTTTTAGTCTGGCCTCATCTTCCCAACGCCTCTACAGGCACGGAGAGAGGCAAATCCTGGTGTACTTTGTGGGTATAGAACCCAGCCATTGGGCTGGGGGAATACAAGGTACACATACCCTGTGCCTATCCCTTCTATATTCCATTCAAAAGCTCCAAAGGTTGGGAGAAATCTCCGAGAGTGGAGCCGATTGAGGCGCTATGGGAATTCTGATTCCGCTTGGACTGTAGAGGAATCATGATTAGGCCATAAGCCCGGGGAGTGGCATCGGGATGTCAACCATATCGGGCGAACTATTGATATGTAAATGGCCTAGGCCTACAGCTCTAACAATAAGATCCCCTGAAGAAAATGACATAGACAAGTAAGAACCTGTAGAGCAATCTAAACATTTGCCCAGATTCCCCCGCAGGTGAGTCAGCGGGATGCCTGAGGGTGATCTCCCTTTTATGTCATCACCAGGTACGCTCAGGTGATCACAGCCTTGGAGCTCCTGACTTTATCACACGGAGATGTTCATGCGGGATCCCTTTGATTAGCGTGAACACTTTCGCTCCACGTTATCCGGTGTTGACACCTATCTCTTATCGCTGGATGGCACTTCACTACGACAATCACTGGCTTCAGAAGCCAGTGGGATGAGTGCGCTTGAGCTTCAGTCTGATCCAAGATGATGTCTTCTAACATACTCTCGCGCTTTCTGCCACCTACGGGCTCACCATCAGTCTATGAGACCCTCAGGCAACAAGATGCTGATTCCGAATCCTCCGATATCGAAGAACGCGCAGGGCTGGCCATGGAGGATCCACAAGAACACTATAGTGACGGAGAGCTGGAGGAGGCACTGGCAGATGCCAGGGACAGTGAAATTACCAGTCCCAGCGCTCTTATCAGTCCAGGGCGGTCACGGAAGCCACCCAAAGAGCGAGCTTCTCCACCGGCCACACGACGTCGCAAGCCATCAAGACCGAGATGGATGGCACAAGACTTATCGCCAGGATATGAGCTTGACGATAATGATGAAGATGTTCCTCAGTCGCTGCTGGTGGAAGAACAGCACGAAGATGCGAAATCGCGGTTGCCTCCTCCTCCCCGGTCCCATAATCGTTCAGATCGACGGCCTGCCAGCCCCGGTCCATCCCAGCCCAATCGAGCCCACTGGGATGAGCAAAGAGCTCCTCAACCACCTCATAGCTACGCTGGTCATCCATTAGGGAGGTTTTTTACCGGGCAACATCCTGGCCTCGCCAATGTTGACCCCAAGAAGAAAGCAATGTGGCGATGGGCGAATGTGGAGGATTTGGACAATTTCCTCAAAGATGTCTATACATACTTTTTAGGAAACGGGATTTGGTCTATTTTGCTAACTAGGGTTTTAAATCTTCTGTATGTGGATGATTTCAAACCCAGTTGCAAGTGAAACTAACATTTAATCATAGGACATTTGCATTCGTCGTTGGGTTTTCAACATTTTTGATGAACTGCATCGATTACTCCAAGGTTCGAGGTAGCAAGTCCCTAAACGATATCCTCGTACCTCAGTGCACAGCAAAGATGTCTGGCTCATCCACATTTTTGTTGTGGCTGTTCAGCTTCTTCTGGATTGGGAAGTTCTTCCAGTACTTGCTGGATATTCGCAGGCTCAAACATCTACATGATTTCTATTACTACCTGCTGGGTGTTTCCGATGCGGAGGTTCAGACGATTTCATGGCAAGAGGTAGTGAGCCGACTAATGACATTAAGAGACTCGAACCCAGCCACAGCGGCTGCTGTCTCTGCTCAACACCAGAGGTTCTTAGGTAGCCAGTCGAAACAACGGATGGATGCCCACGACATTGCTAATCGCCTGATGCGCAAAGAGAATTATATGATCGCCTTGGTAAACAAGGATGTTTTGGACCTCACTCTCCCAATTCCATTCCTCAGGAATCGACAACTGTTTTCCCGAACCATGGAATGGAATCTCAATCTGTGCATTATGGACTTTGTTTTCAACGAACAAGGTCAATTGCGCACTTTATTCCTCAAAGATACCCACCGGAGGCTGTTGAGCGACAGTTTACGCCGGCGCTTTGTTATTGCTGGTATCATGAATATTTTTGTGGCACCCTTCATTGTGGTCTACTTCATGATGCACTATTTCTTCCGCTACTTCAACGAGTTCAAGAAGAATCCCGGGCAAATCGGCTCCCGTCAATACACACCCATGGCGGAATGGAAGTTCCGCGAGTTCAACGAGCTCTGGCATCTTTTCGAACGTCGCATCAACATGTCTTACCCGTTCGCCAGCCGATACGTTGATCAGTTCCCGAAGGATAAGACTGTCCAGGTAGCACGATTCGTCGCCTTCATCTCTGGGGCTCTGGCTTCGGTGCTAGCTCTCGCATCTGTGATAGACCCAGAGCTATTTCTTGGATTTGAATTAACACCTGACCGGACTGTCCTATTCTACCTTGGTATCTTCGGTACAGTTTGGGCTTTTGCGCGGGGCCTTGCACCCGAAGAGACTGATGTCTTTGACCCGGAATTTGCCCTCCTTGAGCTCATCGATTTCACGCACTACTTCCCATCCGGATGGAAAGGGCGTCTGCATAGCGACGACGTGCGCAAAGAATTTGCAATTCTCTATCAACTGAAAATTGTCATTTTCCTGGAAGAAATTCTGAGCATGATTTTCACTCCTTTCGTCCTATGGTTTACCTTGCCCAAGTGCAGCGACCGCATCATCGACTTCTTCCGGGAGTTCACCGTGCACGTCGATGGCGTAGGCTATCTCTGCTCCTTCGCAGTCTTTGATTTCAAGAAGGGCACGAATGTCCTCTCCCAAGCCGCACCGGGACGGCGAGATCAGGCCAAACAAGACCTACGCACGGATTACTTCTCCACCAAAGACGGCAAGATGCTCGCGTCCTACTACGGCTTTCTGGATAACTACGGTGCAAACCCCCAACCCACCAACCGACGCCCATTCCACCCACCTCCAACCCTACCGACCCTTGGCTCGGCCTCTGCAGCTGACTTCGGCGCTCCCCCCGATCTCCAAGCACGTCCTGCGCAGACTTCAGCTGTACCTTTCGGCCCTCAATACCTTGCTGGAGGCTCTAGGCTCAGACCAATAGGAGGTCTAGATAGCCGCTCCCCAGCCCCCTCGATGCTCCTCGACCCACACCACCAACCCTCCAGTTTTGGATTCCGCCCAGCGACCCGATCCACCCCCCACCATCACCAGCACCAGCGTACCAGACTCGCGCACTCACAGCACCCAGGCGCTGGTTCCATTGACGACGAGTCTCAGGAAGACCCTGGGCCCGCTGCTCGACAGCCTGCTCCTCATACCGGTACCTCTAGCGGTGGCGCAGGCGCCAGCGACAGCCTTGGCGATTCGTGGCGCATGAACCCGCTTGGTAAAGATGAGGATGAGGCTGATGAGGGCGACGAGGGCGAGAATCTTGATGCTATTGCTGGTGGAGCTGGTGTTCTGGGTTTGATTCAGCAGTTCCAGAAAGCTAATACCGAGGGTCGCCGCACGACTGTGGGAATTTAGTTACACGCTGCGTGCGGCTTTTGGATCTGGCGTAAATTATATGCCTCAGAAATGATATATGACTTGTTTAACAGAGTTTTGTATTAGATACTACATGTGATCTGATGGCCTACTTTTCTTCATTGTATTAGGCCCAATGGAGTATTGAATATTGCCGACACTATATTGCCATTTAATATGCCTCGATAGATTGGATAATGCCTTCATTGTATTTAGTATATTTTGCTTCAAGCATTAAAAAGTATCAATTAACGTTATTACCAGAATAGCGAAGTAGTCGTCCGCGGTAGGGGTTAGTATAAAACAACACTACCTAATAACTACGTAGGTCTTACCTAGGTAACTTGACTACCATCCCAGTTAAATGCCCATTTCGACAATTAAATTCCTCAGCCCAGTACTCTTCAATCTCTTCCCATCTACCTTCACCAATCGGCTAACCTGTCACCCGGCCGCGCAACAACTCTTTCCAGAAGCTCATCCTCTTTACTCAGGATCATGATGCCCACCACCGTGCCGCACAGCCATACCCCCGCCGTTGAAGCCTGCCGTCATCCATTCCCCGGTACTCATAAAATCGGGTCCTAGTGTCTATATTCTTAACAGAAGGGGAAGGCAGCCCCCGTAAACCCCATGAACCCTGTCCACACCTGTTTCAAACCGCCCTCCGTATCGTAGGAGTCCACAATGATGCAAGACGTAGCGACGACAACCGGCCTTCATGCCGCCAAAGAGCCGACGGTCTCGGCCTTATTCCCGCATCTACATCGCCTGGAACGGCGGTGTAGCGTACTCCGTTCGAGCCACAGAGGTCAGGGTCAAGGCGACCACACCACTCTGTATACGGGCATTAATACTGTGAGTGACGTGGTCATTAACGAATAGAGTATGAAGCATAAAGTGATTCACTGAATTCAACGGAGAAAGGATAGGACGAAGGAAAGAAGGAGGAATGGAAGGGGCGGATAGAAAGAGACCTATCAGATGTACGGGGAACACGAACTGGACATTCTATTCCTCTGTAGAACTGAGCTATCTACTCCGATCAATATACTGTATAACTTAACTATAAGTTAGCCTATATCCACGGAGTATGAAGTAATAAAGTAGTATGTATGCTAAAAGACTAATGATTACAGTATTTATGCCTACATGCATATCTCCGCATTATAACGGGCCTCAAATGTTTCTCGGGCATAAGATAATTACATATGTTTGTCAGAATCGGCCCAATTGCACCAATCTCGGTTAAGGGTCGACACCCTTGAAATGAGCTGCCTGAAATCGCCAAGTATGATAGGCCAATGTGAAGACCCTTGCGGATCGCCTGCATAAAACCTCCCAAGTGTTTGTAGGGCGCAATTAGCAGGGCTGGCAGACGCCGATCATTGGCCCCGGATTCTGGCGCATGGGCTGCTTCTCCACCATGTTTCGGGCCCCGGGGCCCGCTGTTTCTTAGGGTCTTGGCTTGGAGAAACAGGGGAGTGTGTTCTCTTTGTAAAGCAAGGGAAGGGAAATTGGTATAGAAGAGCAGAATAATGTAAATAGCAGCCATTGATTATACAAAGAAATAGAAATGTCCAAGAAAAACATAAATAGACCGGAAGCTTAAGTGGATCTACAGTCTCGTGATTGCATCTAGACTCGGCGCGAACTTCTATTTTCCTTCTCCCTCTCTACACTTCCCTCGGTAGTTCAATTCTGATCCTAGGAGGGACAGTCGCCATGTTTCGAGCTCGTCGCTATCGAGTTCTAGTCATCTTCGCTGCGGCGTTCATCCTCACCTTCATCCACTTCGCCCGATCACGCGACTGGAGCGATACGTCAATCGAACAGCCTGTCGGCGTTCACCCACCAGATCCCGCCTCTGCCTACCCAAACCAACCCCAAGCCCCGAAACCCGACAACCCAGCCGCGGCTGCTGCCATCGAGGAGAGCGACAAATATGTCATCCCGGAACCCAACCGCGGCTCCTCCGGCTCCGCACCCTCTACCGAAAAGCCGAAGATAGGATCTCCTGTTGGTCCCAGCAGCGGGTCAAAGGGTAGCAGCAGCAGTCTCAAGGATGCCACCAAAGATAAAGCGCCAGTTAAAGTGCCTAGCAAGGACGGTTCGAAGGACCCCGCGCCAGTGGGTGGCGCTGGTAGATTGCCACCAACAACAGAAGACCCCTCCAGCATTCAAGAGGAGATGGACAACGGAGGTGCTGGTAGACATTCAGTGGACCATCCCAGCACTGGCATTCGGTGGAAGAAGTTCACTGAGCAGTTCCCCGTACCGGCGGGCGAGACAATCAAGCTGCCCAAGGAGCGGTCGAAGATTCCCAAGCTCCAGGCTAAGTTCAAGGATGAGTCGAGCTCGGATAAGCAGGAGCGGTTGCAGCGACTTAGCACTATCAAGGCTGAGTTTAAGCATGCTTGGCAGGGGTACAAGAAGATCGCTATGGGGCATGATGAGGTTAAGCCACTGTCAAAGCAGGTCGAGAACCCGTTCAATGGTTGGGGTGCGACTTTGGTTGATTCTCTTGATACACTTTGGATTATGGAGTTGAAGGAGGAGTTCACCGAGGCTGTGGATGTCGTTAAGAAGATTGATTTCAAGACCTCATCTAGAGGTGATATCCCGCTCTTTGAGACTACCATTCGTTACCTTGGTGGTCTTTTGGGTGCTTATGATATCTCTGGTCATCGGTATACAGTGCTTTTGGAGAAGGCCGAGGAGCTTGCCGAGATTCTTATTGGTGCCTTTGATACACCAAACCGCATGCCGCATCTTTACTACCGATGGGCTCCGTAAGTTTGATTCAATTCCTCGTTTGTTATTTAGTACTGACAAATAGCAGAGAGTTCGTTGCGAGGCGCCATCGGGCCTCTATCCGAGCTGGTCTGGCTGAAATTGGATCGCTTTCTTTGGAATTCACTCGATTGGCTCAATTGACCCAACAGGACAAGTACTACGATGCAATTGCGCGCATTACCAATGAATTGGAGAAGATCCAAGATTCGACCAGCATCCCTGGACTGTGGCCTCTTCGTGTCAATGCGCAGGGATGTACTAAATACGATTCTCTGCGCAATGGTAGCCCTTCGCGTGAGCAGCATGCCGCTTCAACGACCCAGAGGACTTCCACAAAAACCCGCAGACCTTATTCTGCGCCGACGGATATGGAGAGCTATACGAACTTGATCCCGCGTGATGTTGATGTGGATGCTGAAGAACCTGTCCAACTTGCCAATGGTACCCATGCTGCCAATTTGGCAAGCGTCGAGGCGCGCCAGCAACAGTCACCGCTTGCAAGCCAATGCAATGGCGGCTTGGAACTGCCCATCTCGTCCCGTGAGAATAAGTTTACCATGGGAGGAATGGCAGACTCAACCTACGAGTACCTGCCCAAGGAATACCTCCTCCTAGGTGGCTTAGAGCAGTACCAGTCGATGTACACCAAGGCTGCTGCTGCTGCCCGCAAACATCTCGTGTTCCAGCCCATGGTCAAAGGCGGACGTGACATTCGATTCATGGCCTCTGCCTCAGTGACACCTGGAAAAGGCCCCGATATCAAAGATCTCGAATACGAAGGAACCCACCTCACATGTTTCGTCGGTGGGATGTTCGCCTTGGGAGCGAAGACATTTGGAATCGAGGGTGATTTGGACCTTGCAGCCAAGCTTACCGACGGTTGTGTGTGGGCTTACGAGGTCACGCAGACTGGGATAATGCCAGAAAGATTCCGCCTTCTAAGCTGTCAGAAGGGCTCAGCCTGTGAGTGGGACCAAGCCACCTTCGATGCTGGCGTGGCACGTTGGTCGCGTCTTGACCCAGCGGCGGGACCCCAGTTCCGCAATGGAGAGAGCGCCTATGCTGAGCGTATCAAGATGGGCATGATCGATGAATCACGAGAGCCGGTTGGCAAGACCATTCCCATGGCCATGCCAGGCTCATTGAACCCTCACGATAGCGACGTCGTAGAGAAGCGCAGTGAGAGCAGTGCTGCGATTTCATCTGCTGTTTCTGCTACCTCTGCTATTTCAAGCCCAACACCATTCCCTGGTACAGCTGACCTGGAGAACCGAGACGCGCCTCGTTCGCCTCCATCGCCCGATTCACCACAGGCGTCGGTTGGCAAGGATCACCTCCCCGCGGGCATGATCAGTATCCCATTGCCCAAATACATCCTTCGACCCGAGGCAATCGAGTCTGTTTTCATTATGTATCGTCTGACCGGTGAAGAGTCCTGGCGCAAGAAGGGATGGCAGATGTTCGAGGCCATCGTCAAACACACGCGGACAGACCTGGCCCACGCGGGCATCAACGATGTCACGGCCCAAAAGCCCACCCAGATGGATACCATGGAGTCATTCTGGTTAGCGGAGACGCTGAAATACTTTTATCTGCTCTTCAGTGACACGACTGTGGTGGATTTAGATAAATACGTTCTGTAAGTGGCTGACGTAGCCGTAAACAATGCTTTGGACAAACAACTAACCTTTCTCTCAGGAATACCGAAGCGCACCCATTCCTGCGCCCCAGTTCATAATTGCGCCTGGATTTATTTATTTATATATATATATATATATATATATGTATTGATACCAATGAGAGTTCTGTACTATTCCCATACTATTCTCGTATACTAGCAGTCGTAGTGAAGTGCGTAGGGTTGACCCGCAGTGGGACTAAATTCCCCCCGCCTTCAACTCTCCAACTCGCACGTCTCGGCATGAGCAGTCTGACGGGAAATGGAGCCTGAGGTCTCGGAGACTGAGTTCTGGACTGGTAAGTACCTGGAGAATCAAAACCGATCTCTTTATTCCAGACACCACGCGAATATGACAATTGACTCTCCGCAGAACTCCAAACGATCGTCTCCAAGCCCTGCGACTCCGAAGACCTGATCGACAACGCCCTCCGAGCCTACCTAAGTCTAACAACTCAACACAAAGGTAATCAGCCCTGCCCAACCAAAGCAGAGATCTCCTTGATCCAACACGAATCCCCAAGCACGAACTTGAACCACCTGGCCCGCACTGCCTCAGCGAACTATCACTGACAACACACACCCATCCCCCCAGATGAATACCTCCAAACAGAAACCGATATTGCACGATGCTCCTACAAACTCTTCGCATCAAGTATCTTCGCCGCTCACGCCGACTACGTAAGACGCCAGATCATCTACGGCCTGCTGCAAGAAGATGACCCAACAACCCTCCACTTCATTGCGTCATTCATCCTCTTCGACGGGCGGCAGAATGAAATCGCGCTTCAGATGCTGAATGAGGAGGGCGCGTTTGCGCGTCTTCTTGAGCTTATTCAGGCTATGCGGAGAGCGGATATGGATGCCGATGCTGGGTTGCATCGCTTGTTGATGGATCTTATCTATGAGATGTCGAGGATCCAGAGGGTTAAGATTGAGGATTTGGGTGCGTTGATATCCTTTGGGTGTTGGTTCGGTCTGGTTGGTGGCTGATTTTGGGGCTCTGTTGCAGTTCTCGTGGACGACGACTTTATTCGGTGTCTTTTTGATATCATTGAGGATCTTTCTTATGACGTTACGGACCCGTATCATTATCCAGTTATTCGGGTGCTTGTGAGTGGTTTTCACTATGTTTGCGTTGGGTTCGATGCTGATGGCTCTGTGCAGCTGGTTCTGAATGAGCAGTTTATGATTTCGGCTCATGATCCTGTTGATGATCGGCCCTCGGGGCATTTGACCAACAAGGTTATTAAGATCTTGTCTGTTTATGGTGGAATGTATAAGACCTTTGGGGAGAATATCATTCTTCTTATCAACCGCGAGGGTAACGTGGACCCCTTGTCTTCGATTGATACGGCGACTGACAATTTGCAGCCGAGACATCTTTGCAGTTACTAACGTTGAAGCTTCTGTATCTGATATTCACCACCCCTAGCACATACGAGTACTTCTTCACGAATGATTTGCATGTTCTGGTTGATATCTTGATCCGCAATCTACTCGATCTACCCGAGGAAGCATCTGCGCTGCGACATACATATCTCCGCGTTCTTTACCCCCTTCTAGCTCACACACAGCTAAGAAATCCACCGCACTACAAGCGTGATGAGCTCCGAAGATTGCTCAGCATCCTTGTCCGAGGGCAAGTTTCATATGGAAGCGACGCAGAACACGAGAAGATCCTCCATTTCGAAGAGGTTGATGAAACAACATGCCGACTTGTCGGTCGATGTGCCACGGTAGATTGGCTGCGCAGTTCTGAACAGCCTGATTCGGCTGAAACGCAAGATACGCCTACCAAGGTTATGTCGACTTCTATTGAGACCGTCCTTGATCAAGCCGAGCAGTCCGAGTCGCCTGCAGACATTAGGGAGTTACCCGCAGATATCGGTGAACCGCTCGAAGTGGCTCGCACAATCTCGCGTGCAAGTACAATTGCTAGTACGTCAGATACAGCATCGCCAACGAGGGTGGATTCCCGCGGTTCTTCCGAGGCACCTCGAAAACATAGCTTAGTACAACGGCTCGGCATGAACCTAGAGCCAGCGTCTACATCTTCGCTGAGCGTGCAAGCAGTTGCAGCGCAACACGAAAAGCCAGGGATCATGACTCCCAGTCGCAAAGACGGTGTTCCAGTCGCCGCTCTCAGCGATGAGACGCCGATCATCCGACCCCCAAAGGTCAAGCCCGAACCCCCGAAATCTCGCCGCTGGCGCGGGCGCCGTATGGCCGTGGACGACGAGGAGCACCACTCCCCCGGCACAAGCAGCGACGGCTACACCATCCCCGAAGGCATAGAAGTCAGCCCTACCACCACACACACGTCAACGACCCCAAACCCTGCGACACCCCCGTCACTTTCACACCCAGATGGCCGTGACTCCGTCTCAAGTTCTAATCTGGCACCCCCAGGTACCCAGCCGCGACGCTCAGCATCAAACCCACCCCCAGCGCTCCCGCCGCCTCGTCGTTCATCACACACAACACCGACCTCGAGTCAACACCGATCTCCAGCCCCGGTGTCGGGAGCAGGTCGTCACGGTCAAGCCCCGCTTCCTCCGAACCCGCGGCGCTGGGGCCGCGGCAAAGCACAGCATGGACAGAGTGATTCTGTTGAGAGCGGAGCCAGTAGTGTCGGTCCGTCAAAGGAGCTCGAAAGCGACAGCATTCCCACCCCAGCTCAGCAGACCCAGTCTCAGACTCAGTCTCATTCTCCGGAAGGAAGCACTCTGTCTGACCCATTCTCGCCAACATCACCAACATTACTGGTATCACCAGCCGAATCCGGTGACAATGCCCCCGCGGAGGCTGCGCCTGTCAGCGTAGAGGAAGCGGTTCAAAATGTTTCTCTGCATTGAGCGAATTTCTTCAATGGCGTGCGTGCGTTTCTTTCAATTCAAGATACTCCTTGTCTGCGCCTCTTTTTCCGGATTTGTTTTGATATCCAGCGGCTGTTGCTGTTTCAGAGAACGGCGGGATGCGATAGGCCTTGGCTCTAGCCTTCAGTGGACCTGGACATTTAAGCATTTCAATCATACGGAGAGTTGTTAGGATACGAGTTACAAACAAGGACTGGATCCTAGAAAAACCAAATAGACTGTTTTCCCTGACAATTAACGAGAATGGAGTAGACTACATATACAAATACAGATACAATTATTGGTAGGATGACTTAACCAGATGGGATAGTCGAAATAAGATAGAAGTACACATTCATCCTACACATACAAGCAAAGCCTGTTCCTTCAACAGCCTCACTCACACCCGGACAAAAGTTCTCAAGAGAAGAGAGATATGATAGGTATGCAAGTATCACCTCAGATCTTCAACCCCCAGCTGCGGCCGAGCCCAACAGCAGTGTTCCATCCAAAGCCGGCACATTGGCCCAGCCCGGTAAGTTTATCAGCAATAGCTTGACGATCCTCAAACCGGCGCTCCACAAATGCAGCTGTTTCAGAGAGATCAGGCGTCGGGTCGCGCGTCATGACGACCTCGGCGCTGGCGTAGATGGCTGACACCGCCAGACGTCGCGTATACCACGCCGCATCGACGGATGCGTCACCGGATAAAGTGAGGATATCGGATGCGAGGGCATGCAATTCCGTTAGCGAGAGGGGGATATTAGACAGGAGGGACATTTGCGCGAGAGCCTAGTAGATAATAAAGCAGATTAGTATAAGCCCCCAAAAAGTTCATATGATTGAAAAGAAAAGGAAAGGAAAGGAAAGGAAAGAAATGGATATACTCACATCCTGCCAAACATGCCTAATCTCGTCATTCATCCTCAGTCTCTCCAAAAGCAACCCCCGAACCCGCTCCTCAACCCCAAGCTCATAAACATCCTTGCCCTTCTCCGCCGCAATCCGCCGGAACAATCCCCCCTCCTCGACCTTTCCGCGCAACAATCCTCGTCGGCTAGCTAGCCAGAAAAGGATCAGGTCGAATTCTCCGCGCGGGAGCAATTGCACTGAGACATCTAGGAAGCCTGCGTCGCGGGCTCCGAGTGTCAAGGCTGTGCTGGTGAAGCCGTGCGCTGGGACGTGGTCGAGGGCTGCGGTTAGGATTGCTGTTTGGGAGTTTGTGTATTCGTGGTCTGGGAGGCGTGGGTGGAGGGTTGAGTGGTAGGTTCTGAGCTGGGAGAGGGGGTCTTGGGTTGGTTTGGGGTTGGGCGGGTTCGTCGAGGCGTGGGTTGGATTGTGGTTGTGCTCAGTGCTTGGGTTCGGCACAGGTAGGGGGTTAGTCGGGTGGGCAGGGCCCTTCTGGGTAGGGTGCGTGCGAGGTGTGCCATTGTGTGGTGATTTGAGGTTGTTCGAGAACAAAAGTGAAGATGTTGGAGATGGGAGGGTGGTCTGTGCGCGGGTGATCTATAGGGAGTTGTCTAATATTCGGTTTTGACTTGGGAGTCTTGGGTGTGCTAGTACGGTTATAATTGCTTATGAAATTCTTAAAATTCGATCATTATGTGCCTAATTATGGATTTGGTCTGATATTATGCAGCACAACTCTGAATCTATACGCTGCGTGCACCAGCATCAAGCCAAACCCAAGCCAAGTGGACAGAAGATTGTATGAGTATCTAGGCAAGGGTCGAAATAACATACTCGTGGCTAATACACACTAGAAACCGCTGCCTTGAATATAAATGACCTTATATACATCGGTAGTCGGCAGTTGATAGTTATGGCGGGATAGTTGCTGGCCTAGGATTCAGGTCGAAACATGGTAGAGCGGAGTTGTCGACTATAACCTCCATTCGACATGCATTACAATAGTCATATCTCATATTTATCCCTCAGGGACTCCAGCCTTCCAACTTGCTTACAATGCCCTACCTGCCTCAGTACTTCCAAGAAGGCCCAACAGTCCTTCATGAGCTCCTGGGAGTAGCCTATGAGTTACGTATAGATTACCATAATTAGCGAAGACCTATTAAGTCCAATGTAAGACCTGTAGGTCCAGGCAAATGGGCGGACCTTTCCATGTTTATTTTCTAGTCTTCGGGAGTTTCCTTTGTATCTTATATAATTTGTGAGAAGAGGTCTATGAAGGGAGTAGCATAATATTGATTCTCAAATGATTATGTCGGCACTGGAGGGCTAGTACAATTCAATTGCAACCAAACAGCCTCTCAAGATAGAAAACCCTGCCCACGGGGTTTTTGTGGTGCACTCACGCTCTATCACACTACAATGAGGATACTAGCTAAGCCTGGCTAGAACCTGCATCGATTGAGGTTAAGTCATGAGCAGCGCAGGCCCCTCTTCTTCTGCCCCAACGTGAGACATATCACGATCTCGCCCACGAAACAGTGGTACATTATACTATCACTTGACGGGGTAGGAAGAGATCCAACCAGAAAACATATTTCAAAGTCGATAACAATGGTACATTAAAATCACCCCATTCTTAAATCCTTGTATGCAAGTCATAAATCATACAAATCAATAGTTGCACTTCCACACGCTTCTAAGGCTTCCATTCGGTGTACGGCCGGTCAATAACCATCTCCTTGACCGTTGGCAACTGAGCTTGACCCTTTCCGAATGCCACTGCCATTGCCATAACCTCTCTCCAACGCAATCCCGGCGCAATCTTACCCGAGATAGTGTTGGGAGTCAACGTGTCACTGTTAATAGGAACAAGAGCAGCACGGCCGAGAATAGCCTCGAGAGCCTGCTGAGCGAACGAGACTGCCTCCTTGGCATCGGAAGGAATACCCGTCTCATCAAGACTGAGAATCTTCGAGTTTGGCAGCTGCGCCTTGAGATACTTGATGATGTTGGGGTTGTGGGCACCACCACCGCACATATAGACACCGGCGATCTTCTCAATATCGATGTTGAACCGGGGGAAGAAAGTGCGGTACTGCTTGACAATGTTCTGGGCGGTGATGCGGGTGATGGTGGCGATGATGTCGTACTTGCTCATGCCCAGAGCCAAGCACTCGTCGATGATCTCCTGGGCCCCGTTGTCACCGAAGGTCTCACGGCCCGTCGTCTTGGGGGGCAGGTGGTTGCAGTACGTGTTGTTGTCGAGGAACTTGTCAACTACTGCCTGGTTGATGGTACCCTGAGCACCCCACTCGCCGTCGCGGTCATACTCTATCTCGCCGTTGGTGAAGTAGCGCATTGCGGCGTCGATGAACATGTTGCCCGGGCCACAGTCCCAGTCGACCATGGCGTCGACGCCACCCTCGCTGTCCGGTGGAATGACGCAGAGGTTAGCGATACCACCGATATTCTGACAGATGCGCCATTCAGTGGGGTGATGAAGGAGGAGACCGTCGATCAAAGCGACGAGAGGAGCACCCTGGCGGCCGACCGCCTGTTCAGCCATGCGGAAGTCGGTAACTGTAGTGATGTGGGTTAAGCCACTCATGATAGTTCCCTCGCCGAGGCAGAAGGCGGACCGGGTCTCGCCGATTTCGGGCATGGAGAGAAGCCAAATGGTCTGGCCGTGCGAGCCGATGAGGTCGATGCTATCAATGGGTACGTTGTGCTTCTCACAAAAGAGCTTGACTGTCTCGCCGAACATGTTGCCGAGTTGCACATTCAGCTGGGACATGAGGGAGGGAGTAGTTTTTGTTTCGCGAAGCATGGTGAGAACGGGCTTCTTGATATCTAGCGGGACGGGGAACTCGTCATACTGTATTAGGGCATTTTGTCAGTTCCGTTGAAGTTGACTGGAAAAGACTACTAGAGAACCATCGTACCTTGAGGATCTCCATGTGCAAAGGAGCTTCAGGAGAAGCCTGGCGATAACGAACCAAGGCGCAGTCAATGCCGTCCATAGCCGTGCCGCTGTTCATTCCCAGAACTGTGATGTCGAGGGTGCCATCGGCAACACAACGGCGGGTGCCATTGACGTGAGCAGAGCCATTGGGCTCGGGAAATTCAACTGAAGTGACCATTTTTGTAATGTGCATATACAGAATTGCAATTCAATGACTTGATTCCAACGGTAATCCATAGGAGCGAAGAACCGCTTCATATACCTTTGGAACCCGACCCCAATTCATGCAGGACAAACAACATGACCCGTAATTCCTGATATTCCGAAGTCATGCGCAAGACAGAATGCCGAGAATGGTGAGTTCGGGGATGAGCTTCGCGAGCTAATGGCTGATCCGAGCCCGAGAAGCAAGCCAGAATTGCCTAATCGGGTATCTTCGAGACGAGATGCACAGACCACTCGACCCCGGAGTTGCGAAAACGTGGAGAAGCGTTTAAGCCGTCAGTCTCGGGCCGTTTATGCGACTCCCCGTGTCTGCATCTCGTGTTATTGGTGAAGATCGGGGAGGCAGCCAAGGTTCTCTCGTGTTTGCGTGGAGGGATGGCTAATGAATCCCGAGCTCTGGTCCGGGCATCCATCTCTTTTTCCATTGACCAGGTGAGGATGATCCGTACTATGTGTAAATAAAAATACTTAAAGAGTCCCCTGTATCTGCGGTCTGGCTTCCCTGAGCTTGCCCAGTCGGATTTATAATAACCACATCGTCATGCCTTCTGCCACCATGAACGCTCATGAAGTTCGCTCGGTTTGGACCTCAGATGAGGGGACAATGGCTAAACAGACCGCTGAGAGCCGATGGGCCAAAATCATTCAGGGCACCGTGGACGACATGGGCGAGACAGCCGCCATGGAGAATATTGACGACCAGAAAAGAGCGGAGAGCATCGCCATTCAGATTGCCCTCAAGAACATCAAAAAAGAAATTCAAAAGAACAATGCTCTCACGTACGTACTTCTTCTCCAAGCACCGAAGCGCAGAAACTCACGACACGTCAGACCCCTGCAAAATGACGGCAAGCCCGATGTTCAAGAGTGGAACAATCAGTTGGCTGCGATTGGAGAGTGCAGTTGGGTCAACTGCCCGTGGCTCTTTGGAGAGTGCTACATGTATAGGTACGACTGTTGCTGTAAAGATCGGATCGAAGAATTGCGCTGAAAATTCCACCAGACGCATCCAAGGAATCTTCACCACCTCAAAACACTGGCAGAACTATGATGTTTTCAAGCGCCAAAAAGACTCTACCTTTGTCAAGTCAAGAGCCGCCGTGGAGGAGCTCGCCAACCGTTATATACAGACCGTGGCCGAAATTGGACTTGTCCAGGATGAGAGCAAGGAAAAGGCCAAGAAGTTGCGTTTTATCGAGATGACGGAGGTCGCCCTGTGGGGAAACGCCACAGACCTGTCACTCCTCGCTAATCTGACTCTGGAGGACTTGCAAAAATTGCAGGGCCGTGATGCCATCCAGAAGAGCCAGCGGAACATCGTCGACAACGACACGGACGACGTATGGGCGTATCTTCAACGCACTGTCGGTCAGCCTAGTCGCCAGATTGACATTGTCCTCGACAATGCTGGCTTCGAGCTCTTTACCGATGTGCTCTATGCCGCTTACCTGCTCGACGCCGGCATTTCTACCTCTGTCAGACTGCATACCAAAGAATCCCCGTGGTTCGTCAGCGATGTCATTCCCTCTGATATCGAATCACTGTTCAAGCATCTTGATTCCTCCGATTGCTTCCCAAGCCGCGAGTCTCTCGATCAACTCATTTCGAGACTCCGCAAGTTCTTCCAGTCGGGCGCGATCACGACCACGAGCGACCCTTTCTGGACCACGTCGTTCTCGTTCCACGAGATGCCATCCAAGGCACCCGCTCTCCTCAAGGAACTCCAGAACAGCTATCTGGTCATCTTCAAGGGTGACCTCAACTACCGCAAACTGACCAGGGATGGATTGTGGCCTCACACCACCACGTTCGAGGAGGCACTTGGTCCCCTTGGAAAGCAGAGCGGCATCAAGACTTTGGCCCTTCGCACGAACAAGTCTGACGTTTGTGTTGGCGTCCCGACCCAGAGGGAGGTTGATGCGTTGAATGAGGAGGCGCCCAATGGTGCCTGGGTCCAAAACGGAAAGTATGCCGTGGTATCGTTTAATGAGGGCGAATGATCTTCCTGTCTTTCCTCCGTCGTGTAGACCAATTTCTTTATTTTGATGTACCTAGATAGGCATTGTGGACGGGCTACGTTGTCGACCATTCTTCTTTTAGAGAATTCACTATCCAACTCGTCGGCCACGCATGCTTCGTTTCCATATCTCGCAGCAGTCTCATTAATTCCTCCCTTTCTGCTAAATCTGTCATCAAGGGACCCCCTGTCAATGTCAGTAACTGGATCCTACATGAACAAGGCGGGAAATGTCTCACAAATAAAGGTGGAATGACAGAGCGTGATCAACGATGGCACCGTCGAAGGGGAACTGTTGCATGCACCACAAATTGCACGAGCGTGCTTCATGACCCGGATCTGATGGCGTCAACGAGAACTCATTCACACCACAGGAAACATCAGAGCTTACATCAGACTCACGAGCTGTACCATGGACCCCTCTGACTGCAAATTTAGGCGATGGCTTGTAAATGACTAAGAGCATACAGGCAAGATGATAGTAACCGAATGCCATAACTGCAAAGAAAATTAGACAGCGCAAAGTATAAGACTTCTGGCACACATACTATGCCAGTCCGCCGTGAACCATATCTCTGGGAAAGGGTTTCCATTGCCCGGAACGGCTTCGCTATACCAGATTGGGTCAAAAGTACTCGGTCTTGTGCTCATCCAACTCTCGACGGCCTCAGATAGCTCTTGCCATCGGCACATTCTGGCGAAAGGCTCAGGGTAACTTGGCCCGAAGCAGAAGTGTACCACGGTGGCACAGATCCAAGTCATAGTGTTAGCCCATGCTGTTTCAGATTTCAGATTGCTTAGTGAGTCACCTCCGCCCGGAGGGGGGAATGAGAACCAAGTCCAAATCCACATTGGGAGACTGCTGATGCACACACGCATTGTACAGGCACTGACGCAGGTACACCCAGAAAGCCGCGTGCCGCAACCTCGGGGCCGAGGGGTCCACCTCTCGTCCTTGCGATGCCCGGAGCAGAGCCGAGCAGCCGGCTAAATGACGCTCTTGATCGCTGCCGGTTACCATGACTGTTTCAGCCCCGAGGAGATTAGCCTGGGCGTCTCGTGATGGCTCGACACTCTCTAGGACTTACCGTTTAACTGTTCAAACACCCGCAGGATGACAATGGTACACAGCAGAATATCATCGTTGGCAACCGTTTCTGAGCTCAGGAAGGGGATCAATAGTTCTACGCACCGCTCATGCGCCTGCTCGGCCATTTCGGCATCTCCGACGTGCCGGGACGCGTAAGAAAGCACAGCATACAGCAGGATTGGCGATTGCTTGACCAGGATGGGAATTTTCCGAGTGAACTGACGGGAAGCATCTGTGCAGTCAAGCCATTTCCCGAGGTGCGTTGCAAAGTGATGTACCAGGTAAGCTTCTCTGTGGGTCAGTGGAGATCCTGCATGTATCGCACCTGCGTGCGAAGCCGGAGACCATGGACTTAACGAGTCCGGTTGAAGCAGCTGGGAGATCTGTATTCCAGCCACGCTGAAGTAAGGAGAGGTGGTAGTATTGTTGACTGAAGATGCCACCAGAGACACGGAAACAGAGTCGCTGGTGTGTTCTGACGGGATAGTGGATCCTTGAGTGTTGTATGGTGATGTCACCGAGGTATAGTCGTGTTGGTGGTTATGAAATTCGGCATAGCTTGGGTTGGTGGTGTGATCAGGGCTGGTTGCATTAGCAATCACTCCGTCTGCAGTTCCATGTTCCGGCAGGTGTGACATTTCATCATGATCATGGTCAGGAGCATCCTTAGGGTCTTCCCTAGACTTCCTTGGTTGATAAGGCTTGATTCTGAGGCACTTAGGTGAGTCTACTCGTAGACATGGGCGGTTCTTTTTTGGCATTGCCCACAGATCGGCTTGACTTGGTCACCTGTTTTCAGGTAAGCTTTTGCATTTAGCCTATATTGAATTTTCCAATGGCTTACATTTGACATGCCTCTTCCGGCAAGTTAGGCTGTGATGAACTTAGCATTGTATCACGATGGATGACGGAGAGTGGACACTTTGTCCGTCAACGGTCACGCAGTCAATAGTTCTGCATGGCAAGCTTCCCCAGAAAAGTCCCAAGCCAAGGAACATAGATCTGGATCAGCTACAGCTCTACTCAATTCTCGATAGGCGAGGTGTATAGTACGTGTAGTGTAGGGGAAGGTTTGCGGAGGAAGACTAACCATCCATTTTTGGAGCGAAACTTTCCCATGTTGAGAACTATGGGGTCTGCCGGAGGCCAGATTTGTATAAGATTGTTGTAAGATTGGGTGAAAGTCCGTCTGGAAGAAGGAATATCGAGACGAGATTAGCGAGTAGACAAGATCAAATGAAGGAAAGGGTTGGTTATGACTTTGTGGGGAAGGAGAGTGGAAAGAAAACTCGGGATTTGGGGTTGTGGGGGTGGAGAATCCGGAAAAGGAAATGGCCCCCGAGGCCTTGAATTTGGAGTCATTTCCATCAGCCATGGAGAAGAGGGAAACCGTGGGAATTGCTCGTGTCTCTCTTTCTTCGTCATCCATCATCCATCCTATGGGGGGACTACTCATGGTCTATAAACATCCCCATATATCCCGAATACGAAAATGATATCTTCTCTATCAATAATCCAGGGTTGAGCCTCTCTTAGTTTCTATACATTTTCTATTCATTTCCAATTTGTCTTTATTTGCGGTTATCTCACTTAGTTCACTGCTATTCACCATGATCCAGAAAGGATTCTGGCGGACAGTCCCTGGACCTAAACTGCTCAAGTTGATTACTGCAGTCTCTGCCATTGCCATTTCATATGAGGGTATGAGCCAGGGTGTCATGGGCGCTGTCAATGTCGCCCCAGAATATGGAGTATGTACCGCAGTCCCCTGAGCCATGATCTGCCCAGAAATGGAATCGGGAACTAATCGAATATCACAACTGCAGCACCGCATGGGCTTCGCCGATGAGCATGGTAAAGTCATCAAGCCCTCTCTGCAGGGTGGCATCGCTGCCATGTACTATTTCGGCGCTCTTCTCGGGGCCTTCTGGGCCGGCAGTTTCTCCGATGCCTACGGACGTATCAAAGGGATCTGGATGGCCTGTCTCTGGTGTCTTGTCGGAGTTATTCTTCAGGCAAGTGCCATGAATCTCACTCACATGCTCTGTGCCCGGGTCGTTGCAGGTGTCGGCGTCTCCTTCATCATCGTTATTGCTCCCTCGTGGACTGCAGAGCTGGCTCCAGCGAGCCATCGCGGTCAAATGATCGCCCTGACTTTCCTCGCCAACTTTGGAGGCATTGCCTTGTCTTCCTGGATTGGCTTTGCCAGCTCTTTCACCGACTACGCCGGTGGCACATTTCGATGGCGCTTCTGCTTTGCATGCCAAGTGATCCCAGTCTTCTTCCTCGTCATCGGTACCCTGCTCATTCCTGAATCGCCTCGATGGCTCATCAAGGACGGACGCAACGAAGAGGCATTCGAGATCATCACCAAACTTCGTGGAGACGGCGACCGCGACCACCCGGATGTGCAGAAAGAAATTCGCGAAATCGTCGCTGTCGTGCAGATGGAACACGAGACGCAAAGCTCCAGCTATTTCAAAATGTTCTTGGGCATTGGTTCGGGGGATATTCACATTTGCCGTCGTATTCAGTTGGCCTTTTGGCTCCAGGTAATGATGCAGTACGGTACAGGTATCGCGGCGGTCGTCATCTACTCGGGTAACATCTATCGCACTGCTGGCTTTGATGATTTCAAATCAAACTGGTTGTCTGCCCTGTGCATGACCTGCGGTATCCTGGGAACTGGTGTCGCTGCCTTGGTGTTGGACCGAGTGGGTCGTCGCCGGACCCTCTACTGGGGAGCGGTCGCTTTGGGTATAATTCTTTTTGCTCTGTGAGTATGAATACATTTCGCCCTTGGCGTTGCTCTTACTGACTTTCCTTCAGTGGTGGCCTGAACCGCGGAGCCGTCAATAACCCCGATAAGGCTGAACAGTACGGAACCGGAGCCGCTGCCATGGTCTTCCTTTACGTGGTTGTCTTCAGCTCTTCGTGGTTGATGATTCCTTTCATTTATCCAACCGAAATTTTCCCGACATGGCTGCGCGCTAAGGGTAACGCTTTTGGTGTTGCGGGTTGGGCAGTCGGCTACGGCGCTGGATCGCTGCTGGTCCCAGTTATGTTTGCGGGTATCCAAGAGAAGGTTACTTCTTTCCTCTCTTCCCCATATTTTCATTTCTGATATCTTTCTTCTCAGACATTTTACGTATTCGGTGCCGCCATGTTCTTTTACATCCCTCTCATTTACTGTTTCTTCCCCGAGACTGCTGGCCGCACACTCGAGCAGATCGACTTCCTGTTCGCCAGCAAGAGCCCTTTCGTGTGGGATGAGGAGAAGGAGTTTGCGAAGCGAATGACTCGTTTCAATGCTGAAATCCAAAAGATGGAGGTTGAGAATGGTGAATATGCAAGCGAGGAGAAGAGATGCGAGGAGTTTGTAGAGAAGGTCTGATCGGGGAGGTTGCGAGTTGCACGCCAACCGTCCGTGTTTGTTTTGTAATAGTTTTGCTTCAACATCGCTGTTATATACGAAGTGTTACGATATAATATGCTGTCGAGGACTTAGTAGATTACCACAGTGGGCCCTAGAGTCAAATTTCAGCCTCTATCCATCCTAGTACGCAGTGTTATGTGGTAATCTACAGCATATAGTACTGCTACAGCGCAATACCCTCCATGTAGGCAACGACAACTACCAGCTCCACGGTTTACACGACCAATCACCACTAAATCCTTCATCGATCTACGTCTCACAATCAACCAGATCTTCACTTTTCGCTTTCCCAAGTTATACGTACGCCGTTATCACTTCCTACCAAGCGTATTCAAAAACCTAGATGCAGCAGCCCCCTTCTATACAGGTATCTCGATCGAGAATACTTCTAGCCGAATTTGCACGTTGATTTACCAGAGTCCATATAATTCTACCATATTTGCCGTAGTACAAGACGGAGATATTTCGGCACTCTTAGCTCTCCTCTCCTAAGCAGAGCGAACGCATCGATCCATGATATAGACTTCTATAGTCTTAGGCTACTCTATATAAATCTTTTTCATTCTTTACACCCAAATACTTTAATTGTTACTAACAGAATAATCAGTATGCGTTTCACTGCTACTAGAGCATCTACAGTCTTGTAAACATGCACAACCCGCCTATCACTAGGTTATCAACTTCCTAAGCGAGGACTTTCTGAAAAACGAAAGCAAGCCTGTGATTACTGCGCAGAACGTAAACGTGCCTGCGATCAAAGCAATCCTTGCTCAGAGTGTGTACTTCATGGTTCAGAGTGCACCTATAAGATGCTGAAGCAGTCGGCCACTTCCAGTGCTTCAAATCTTCCGGTAGAGACCAGCTAATCTTCTCATCATTCAAGGAATGTGATAACCAGAGCCCAAAGATCAGCAGGCGTACCTCAGGCATTTGGTGAGGCTGTCAATGACACCATCTCAACCCAGCGAGGATTCGACTTTCTCTTGAACTTTACGCGTGCCGATGGACATCATGAAGCATACAACTACAGAATAGAGCATGAAATTGATGCTGAGCACGGTATCAATATGCCATCCCACCCGCGCCAGATGAAATATATGTCTCAAATCCATGGGACTTTTCCAAGCGGGGCCCAGAGAGAGGAAGAAGTTTTGAAATCAAAGTGGGATTGGGAAGCGAGATTAAGAAAGTTAGCTGAGTAGGGAGAACAGTAGACCGAAAATAATGCTTGAAACTATATGGTACTGTGGCTCGCGTATTTGAGATTATAGGACTTATACAGAAAGCACACCTGAAGAACTGATATATGGTACGCTCTACTAGCAAAAAGAACTAACCTGACGAAACATGCTTCTCAAGAACAGCAATAACACGCCGAAGAGAATCTTTCATCACGTTACCGTCTGCTGCATCGCCAGCATCTAAATCAATAACCTCCTTGGTTTCAAACCCATGACCCTGTCCGACGGCATTTTCAAAATAAGTGTCAACACCAAGAACCCTCAACTTCTCAGCTACCATAGAGCTCTGATCAAACTCAACCAAGTCATCACGATCACCATGCAAAAGAACAGTAGGCGGGAAACTCGGCGTCAAGCCGAAGCTCGCAGGAAAAAGGATCCGGTATTCCTCGGGAATAGCACTCGTGCCTTCTATGGTAATGCGCTGCGCCAGACCTGGACACCGCGTAAGGACATCCGCATACCGTGCAGCCTGATGCATTGTCCTGATCCACCTGATTCTCTGATCGGTGGGTGGATTTGCTGGGAAAGGATACCCGTCCAGCACCCTCCCGCTCTGCATTGCTGAATCGATCTCACTCAGGGATTTGTCTTCGTCATCAATTGGTCCCATCAGAGGTTGCCCGGGATGGATATGCCGCTTGCTTGCTGGATCAAGCATTCCATAAATGGCGAGAAGGGCGACGGGTCGAGGGCAACTTGGATGGGCTGCTGTTGCGAGGGCTAGATATCCTCCGGCACTGGAGCCGGCTATGATAATTTTGCTGCTGATGTTTTTGTTGACCCAGTGGACTGCGTCGAGTGTGTCTTGGAGGATGTCTAGACCCCTTGCTTCGGGGAGGAGCCTGTAGGATGCTGTTGCGTATATCCATCCTCTGTGGTGACAGGCGTTGATGAGCCAGTGGGGAGGGAATGTTGGTTTTTCGCCAATCAACTGGAGTTAGATAATTAGCTGAGATCCAGGGAAAAGAGTGAAGAGAGTGAAATTTTGCAGCAAAGTCGAGAACCCACCAGGAATCCGCCGTGGAAATGAAGGAGGACAATGCTGTCTTTCTGTGCGGTTGGAGGTTTGAAGATGTCAATCTCGAGGGATAGCCCATCTGCAGTCTTGTAGACATGCGTCGAAGTTTCCAAAGTCGCCATAGTGAGTAAATGACAGGGTATAATGGCAGAGATGCGCGTAGTTTAAGATTATCTGTAAGCACCCCTCATTACTCCACCCGTGGGCATGTTCCGCGGAACTCCCCCTATTGATATAAGTCGAGAAATTATATTCGGCGTGCGGAGTATATATGGAAATATTTATGCTGTGCCGGCATGTAGCCACTTTATACGAAGGACAGTCTATTTATCAAGGTCCACATGATCTACGCTCTATCGGCTACACTATAAGGAGATCTCCACTGAACACGGGGTTGAATTACTTAATTGTGTACTATGATATATACATGTGTATTATTGTGAATGTTGAAGTATGCTAGGTATGCCCTAGGCGTGATCTAAGTTCTGAGGCTAAGCGTCTTTAGCGTGGACATTGAGTTACATATTCTACGTCTTCCCTAAGATATATTGGTTATGTAAACAGGGTATATATTTTATGAAAGATTAGGCAGGAGAGCCGGGTGTAAAGAGGTAGGAAAGAGGTAGGTAGGAAGTATAGAAGTATGCTGAGTAAGGGTGAGCGAGGGTGAGCGAGAGGGTGATGTCAAAGTACAAGTCCTACCGAGTTCTCCTAACAAAAGGGGGGAAAGTATCATTGCATCGCGAGGATTGAACGGGCGCGAGTTGGCGTCATGTCAAATTAGGCGTGACGCACAGCGAGACTGCTAGGCCGTGGCTACGGAAACGGAACAACAGCTCTCGAGATACCGATATATATACGAAAACTACAAATAAACGAACAAGGAGACATGTCACCTTGCTGGTATAAACGCAGAAAGCTTTTCTTCCATTCTAGAAAAAAAGAAGAGCAGAGGTGATCAGCCCAAACGGGCACCGGATCCCCATTTTGAGCTCAAAGCCTCAAAAGAAACGGGATGGGAATAAGGGAATCATCGAAAGAAAAGAAAAGCGCAGAGAAAGGAAGAAAGCCGAAGAACTCATAGCCCGAGACGATCGAACCCCGGAAAACAATCATGATGTGCAGGCGTGCAGACGTCCACGGGTGCAGAAAGACCAGATTACATGATCTGGTCCTGGGTGAGGCCAGATGGGTGATCCTGCTGGCCTTCCATCATGTCGTCATGAGGAACGTTGGGGGTCATATACTTGACGAAGGTGATTCCGAGGGGTCGACCACCGTACTGGTAGCCGGAGAACTTAGCTGTTTGGAAGTTAGAATATGGGCTGTAAGTGCTGGAGATGGGAGACATACAAATGGCTGTCTCTGCTGTGTCTGCGGTATCGAATTGGACGACGCCAGTACCGCGGGAGCGGCCATTGGGCTCGTACTGGATCTCGGCACGGTCGACCTTTCCAATGGTGGAGAACAGATCAATCAAGTCATCGTTGCAGGTAGACCAGGGAAGCTGTCATCAATGTTAGCACCTCTACATCTTGCTGTCGGTGTCCACACTTACGTTGCGAACGTAGATAACACTGCTCTTGTCGCCGTTGGAAGTAGCAAAGTCAGTGAAGGGGTTTGGAGGTGCCGAGGCAACAGGAGCACCGCCGTGGTCGAAGCCACCACCGGGGAAACCACCGGGGGGACCGCCGAAACCGCCACGGCCACCAAAGCCACCGCCAAATCCACCGCGACCACCAAAGCCACCACGGCCACCGGGAGGACCGCCGAAGCCGCCACGGCCGCCGAATCCACCACCAAAGCCGCCGCGTCCACCGAAGTTACCACCGGGACCACCGCCAGCAAAACGATCCTCGCGGACCTCAAGGTTGCGGCCCTGCCAGTCGTAACCGTTGAACTGGGTAATGGCATTGCGGGCATCATCAGGAGATTCGAAAGCAACGATACCGGAGCCCTTGGGGCGTCCACTGGGGTCGGTGTGCACATCGGCACGAATGACGGCACCCTGCTGAGCTGTGATAGGGAACTAGGGTCAATTCCATGGGCTCACACTAGACAAGAAACTAGTCAAAGTCGGGGATTTCCAAGTTGCACTTACCAGCTTGGCGGAACAGATCTTTCAGGTCTTGCCAGCCAACGTTGAATGGAAGCTACAAAAGTGTTAACAAATTCTGAGAGAGATTTTGAGGGGATGGGGGTAAAAGAGAGAACAAACGTTTGAAACATAGATTTGACGGCCAGCATTTCCCGGAGCACCGCCGAAACCACCACCGAAGCCACCACGACCGGGGCCGAAATCACCACGAGGAGGACCACCGACGAAACGGGGCTCGGCTTCACGGTCCTTTCAAATCGGGTCAGTCAAGTTTGACAGACAGAGTGATATAACATACCTCACGAACGTAAACGAGACGACCCATCAGGTTCTGGTTGCTAAGCGTGTTGACAGCGTTCTGTGCTTGCTCCCTGGTTGCGTATTCCACAATCCTGATATACTGTTAGTAAACGCCCTCGATTTGAACAGAGACATCACTCACCCGCATCCCTACAATATCCGGACAACAATGCCCAGCCCGTCAATCCAACGTCCATGCAAAAGAAAAAACCAACCACGAAAAATCAGGGAGTAGAAAGGAACCAGCCACTCTACGTATAGGCGCCCACCTTCGACATTCCATTAGGAAGAAGCAAAACATCGGCGAAGAGAACCTCTCCAGCTGTACAGCGTGGGAACACCCCCCAGTCAGCCTCAAATCAAACCAACAACTCTCAATATCACCCCCAATTGCAACGGCCCTGCTCACCCTGTCTCATAAAATCTTTAAGGTGATGCCACTTGACATCGTAGGAAAGGTTGCCCACATAGACCCGACGGTCTTGCTGCGACGAGTCGCGAACGGTTTGCATCATGTTCTCTTTGGCGACGGTGCGATCCTCAAATCTGGCAGGCGGATAACCACTGCGTCCACCGTAAGGCGAGCCCGACGGTCCAGCAGCACCGGAGTTGCTCAATGGGGAGCGAGAGCGACGTTCGGGGGAACGACGATCAGGGCGACGGTATTCGTCACGGTCACCACGGTCACCACGGCTGCGAGAACGGCTGCGCGGCGAATACGAACGACGGGCACGGCGGGGACTGCGAGAAGAACGACGACGAGGCGAACGAGATCTTTCGCGCTGTACGTAGTCAGACATGACGAATCAGATATATGATGCAGAAATAGAGATGGGAAAATGGGGAAAGGTGGTTCGGAAGGCAGTCGCATTGCACTCCGAGGGGTGGGTCTGGGTCATGTGACCCGCTCTGGGGGAGGTCTCAGTTGAGGACCTTCCGGGGTTGGGAGCTTGGGGGCACTCGCGCACACGTTCCGCGCACAGCGCATGAGCTCTGAAGTCAAAAGCGATGCCATGGAAGTTATTTCCTTCCAGGCACCGGACCACATCCGGAGGATATCTGATCAAACAGACGTGGCGGCTTCCGCCCCCCGCACTGACCACACCTCATCCGGAGTTCGCAGTTCGAGGGAGGTATTGTATGTTGAACCCGAGAGGAGGTGTAGAAGAAGAAACGAAATCAACTTACTTGGTATGGGCGGTAGACGTCTGCTTGGGAAGGTAGTCAATATCCAAGAAAACGATAAAGGGGATGAGAAAGGAGAGGGGAAGGAGATGAAAGGATCAGGCGTCAAGGTTGGGGGGTTAGCAGGTGATTGGATGGGGAACGACCGGGGACCTCGAGAATGTAGAGTAACGAGTAATACAGTACGAAAAAGAAAAGTGTAATATAACTCACCCATGGTGTCGAGATGCGTGGAGGTAAGAACGAGGAAAGAAAGAAAGCGGAGAAGAAAAGAGTGAAGAGTGAGGAGTGAAGAGTGAAGAATAAAGGCGTTGAGGATCCTCAAGTCTCTAGGTCTGAAGTAAGGAAGAGAAGAAACATGATCTCTGATACTTGACACCTCGGGGAAAACCCGTCACCGCCCGGGCCAATGTAGAGCTATAGCTCTGTAACAGCGATTGAGCCAAGTTACCAGTATAACCAGTATGGGGAATATAATTCTTTGTTACTGCTGTATATGTGAGGGAGTAAGTACTCCCTTGGTACCGATTATATGTATGCCACCTACAATATCTACCTGAAAACTACCTATCACGTGGCCGCCCTTGCCGTGGGCCAACACCTGCATCTACATGTACTGGCTGCACGTATTTCAGTTACTCCAAACTGCCACGGCCGGTATTGACCGGCAGGATGCAGATCAAACAGAGACAGTCGTGTTCCATTTCATCTCACTAACACAAAGCGTAAAACCCCTCAAATCCAAAGAATGGGAATCAAAAGAGACAAATCCAACTGCGCCACACCCTGCCGAAAACGAACGCCTTGCAGCATAGTTAATGCTGTAGAAACGAGACTATAACAGTCTGAACGAGAGGACCAAAACGCCTAAACGCAACTAGGACGTGTTGTGAGAGGCAAGGTCGGCGTACATGTACAGACAAAAGAAAGATGAAAATATAGGAAAGATGGGAAGAGATGCGGGAAAAGGATACGGAACGGGATGCGGAAAGAGTATCAGAAAATATAGAGAGAGAAAGAGGCGGGAGATGGATGTGAGAGAAGGGACCATCTATGCAGCCACATTGGTAGGGGGATAACGCCCAGGAATCTTCATATCCATAGCGACAATGCTGTCAGCCTTAGGACGAAGCAGCTCGGGTGGGATCTTTCCAGGAACCCCACCAGAAAACTGGATTGAATCATCTGCCAGGCCACGGTATGGGACTCCAGCAGCCAGAATCTTGGGAACCTCATGGTTACCATCGACCGAGGTAGCGGTGGTGTAGTTTGTATAGTCCGTAGTGTTAGTGTTGGTGGGTGCCGTTGATACGCTTTCACGACGAGCCACCTGGGGAGGAGCCGAGTGGTCACGACGGTCGGCGATACCAACATTCGAGATGGCAGCAAGAGAAGCGGCATCTCCATCGGATCGGATGGCCCGTTCATCTGGGTTGGAAGTTTCCGGCTGTGCCTGCTTCTGTTTGGCTACTATTGCTGCCGGTCCGATCCAGTCGCCGTAATAGCTATCGTGTTGAGTTATTGGGGGGCGAGATCGCTCCGTTGATTCCTCATTTCCCTGGTAGGCCCGGTAGGAACTGGTGTCTTTCTCGCCACTACCCGGCGGCCGTGAGCCGTCGTCAATGGCACTGGGGCCGTCATGGTATGACCCGGCCGCGGCTAGCATATCTCGACCGGCGGAGCTGTCCCCGCTTGATGGAGACAAGGGCGCCTGGGGGTGACGGTCGATTTGGACGTCACTGGGAAAGGCACCCCCGGGCTGTCGAGTGGCAGTGGTTGGTCGTTCGGAGGCCAATACCACAGAGCCCGCGGAGTATGGGGTGCGATCAGCCTCATCATCCTCCATTACCTCATTGTTCATTGACCTGCCGCTCACGCTGCGGACGTGCTTCCGCACAAAAGCATTGCGCGCTTCACCTGTCTTGTTGATCAGGCTCTCGATGTCCTCGTACCATGACATCATGGTCTCGTGGGACTCGGCGCGGAAGACCCACGAGTGGCCCCGGTGCATCGCTCCAGTCTGTCGGCCTTTCAGCATGAACTTGTGAGAGCTCGAGTCTTCCTGTGAGTGGGAGCCGAGCTTCTGCTCTGGCAAGTAGAGCGACATGACTGGAGTCTGCCATGCCACACGATCCGCCGACTTGAACTCATGGAGATGCGTCGGCGACAGAACATACCTGGGATTGATTAGCCAATAGCTACAACGTGCTCACAAAAGGGGACGTACCATCCAGGAGTATAACTCTTGAGATACTTGCTCTTGCGCTCCAACATTCCAGCTCTGATCTCGGCAGCAGCCGGATGATCCTTGCCGGGGTAGGTGATGTTCTCCACATTCCGGAGGGGAATCCGAGGATCAACCAGCTCGTCGGTGTCGGCGACAAACGAGTTCCACTCATGGTCCTGGGGCATGGAGATCGGACCCGTCTGGAGCTTCTCTACGGTGTCGAGAGCCTCATTGGCCTCGCGACGGAGGATACTTGCGTAGGCATTGTATGCTTTCTGGATCTCGCTCACGACAATCGACTCAAGCTCACGGCCCGAGTTCTCCAAGTTCAAAAAGGCCTGTAGAAACGTTAGTTCCGCGGTCAATTGGTACAACGTAAGGTATTACGAACCCGGTGTAGGTAGTTCTCCTCCTCAATCTGCTTCTCAACCTGTCTCTCCACATTCAGGCGCATGATGAATGGATCACCCTTGCCGGATGTTGCGGAAGGATCAGTATCGACAAGCCCGAGAGCCTCGTGCAAGTTTCGCACAGACTTGCGTGTACCGTCGATCTCCTTCTCGACGGTATTCTTGAAATCACCCGAGAGGTTCTTGATCTCCTTGGTTTTCTTCTGAAGATCGCTACGCAGACCAGTCAGTTGGCTGATCACTTCCACCTCCACCTCAACAGCCTTGTTGGCCTCCGTGTAACCCTGTCGGTGGAAGTCACGGAGGATCTCAGTCGCATCGGCCAGACCACCAGACTCCAGGAAGCCCGGCGGCAGACTCTGGTTATTGACGACATTGGACGCAGATAGGAACAGCTTCGCTTTAGTTTCGTAAGACTTTTGCACTTCCTTAAAGAAAAGAATCAAGTCCTTGAGGACCTTGCGCCAAGCTACAGTACTCGTCAGCGAGGTTCCATAGGGTATGCGCGAATGGAGTCAAGCCCACCTCCAAACCGGTTTGCCAGCACTTCGGTCGGGTTCCCAGTAGTCGGGATGGGGACCATGAAAGCGCTATTGGGATCATCTGAGCCTTCAGTGTGATACTTTTCCCGATCGCCCAGGCTCAGACTGCGCACACTACCTGCGCGCATGCTTCGGCGGCTCCCATTCCGTCGCAAGCTGCCCTTCTTGCTCAGGGAAGCCTTCTTTCGCAAAGTACTCCCGCGGGATGGGGTCTCGGAACGCACGCGGGACATTTGCGAGACCGAGCGCTGTGGCGCCGGGTTATCGAGCGCGACCGAACTGCGACGGCTGGCGGTATCGAAGTTCTCCCTAAACCGGGGATTGTGGGGAACTTGGGTTGATTCGAGGGCACCGGTGCCGTAGTATGCTGAACTGCCCGCGAACGAGTTGGGTCGGGAGGATTGGGATCCGTATCTGCGACTCAGGGCTCCTGGGTCGTTGGGCTGCGGGATCATGTATGCATCCTGTGAGGGCGTCTGCGGCCGCGCGGCCATCGCCATGTCGGGAACGTGGTTTACAGTTTATGATTTATGCCGGTCGGAGGATAAGTCGAGAATGGTAGGTAGTCGTAAAAGGGAAAGAAAAATCAAGGATCTTAGCTCCAGAACTCCTGAAGTGGCGCCTTTTGGTTACCAGGCGAACGGAGGCAAATATTGCGGGGAGTAAAGACCCCACTCGAAGGTCAGGGGGAATAGGGAGAAGATCGAAATTGCAATCAATAAGCATGCGAAATGTAAATTGCAAATATGCAGCGATATAGGGAATTTAGGAAATCAAGAATGAGATGACGTCTACGGCTCTCAAGAGTGATGACGCCCAAGATCGGGATGCCCGGGAGAGGGGAACTTAAGAGTCTTTGACGTATGGATCGGAATTCGAAGCCGATTCCAATTGACTAAATTATTGACAAGTTAATTAATTACATTATATGTTACTTGGTATAACCTTACTGCTAGTTCACTGCTATACTGTATCTTATACTGTAGCTGCTCAATTTGGCTGCCTGCTGTGGCTGATGAGCTCCGCCCCTGACTATATAACCTAATGCTCAAGTTCTCCAGTTCGCTCCACTCAATAGGGGCTAATCATTGCCACCAACCCCCCTGATCTCCAAGCGATGAACAGTGCATGACGTCGAGATCGGGGGAGAACACACTTGGAAGACACTTCGAACTTTCGCCCCTTGCTCTGCTCTTCCGGAATACCTTCATCTGGGAACGTACCTCATATACTTCGATTTATGGTTCTTGGGTTCCTGTCTGAGTCGCAACTATACACCGAACCAACCATGCCAAACCCAGCATGCAGATTCAATGGTCGACCCGGGGGCCCGGGTGTACCAGGATAAACCTGCTTCGTAGTTATTCCGTCATAACTATATCTTGCTTAACTGTAGAATGACACAAGTCATGGACTTCGGTAGATAGCGCTATTACATTCGCCTGTAGGGCTAGGTTCATTCTGCCAAAGACCCACAGTATATCCACTATAATACTTACAGGTCATGATGAATCGTGATTTCTGCTAGATCTAACAATAACCACATGCTTGGTAGACACGTTAATATGAGTTACTATACCTAACTCGCCTTTCTATGTGCACTTCAACAATATTGCGTTATCAGACTCACTCAGGGCAGCAGTCTTGACTTATCATAGTTTCGAAAGCCGCTGCTTATCCAGATGTATCATCATAAATGCGGACTTGAGGACAACATTTTCATTGTTTCTAGATTCATTGCAACAGCTATAAGGTTGGCCATAGATAATGAGAATATTTGGGTAGGAATAAGTATAAATATTCGCTCTATTCTGTCTATGGTTTTCATACAAAACATAATCATCCTATTTCAAAGTTCAATTAATTCAAGCTACATTTAAAATGTCCAATGGCCTTGTCTTGATCGCCGGTGGCACCGGACATGTGGGATTCAGAACCCTTGTGACTGCCTTGAAGGCTGGCTACCACGTTCGAGCTGCAATCCGTTCCGAGTACAAAAAAAGACTGAGATTCGCTCTGCGCCATCCATTAAAGCCCTCAATCTAACAGATGAGCTTACCTTCATCATTGCACCAGACCTGATGGTTGATGGTGCATACGCGAAGCAGTAAAGGGCGTAAATTATATCATTCACCTTGCGCCACCCATCATTCTCAAGGGAGAGATCAAAACCAAAAGACTATGAGACAACACTTGTTGAGCCTGCCGTTGCGGGAACAGTCAATATCCTGAAAGCAGCAATCAATTCGCCTGATATCAAGCGTGAGTGTTTTGATCAGTCCTCTGTTGTTGCAATCGCTCCCGGAGAATACTTTTTCGAGAAAGATCGGAACCAAAGCTCTCGCCTTTGCACCCGTCCTTGGAGCCAATTCCGATATCCCCCTCACTGGATCTGGTGTCCACGTTGATGATGGTTGCATTCATGCATGTAAAGGGCCTTGACCCTGAAGTCCCAGCTGGAAGCTACATCGGGAATTTTGACGACTAAGCTGGAACTGTTTGGCACAATGCGACAGAGATTGCTGCTGAACACTTCCCCAAAGCAGTGAATGGCATCCTTCCTAATAATGGTCTACAACGTACCAGGAAGCTCAGGGTGAATGCGAAGAAGATAGAGGAAGTTATGGGTGTGAAATTCCTCAGCTTTGAAGAACAGGTCAAGAGTGTTGTTGGGCATTTCCTTGAGCTAAAGGGCAAAAAGGCTGAGTAGCTGATCCAAGCACATGGATCCGCTCACTTGGGCCCCGTGTTAGAAAGGATATTCAGGTGCTGCTCTTGATTTTCATTGGAACCTCGCTTTGTATTTACTGTCTTTGTCAAGCTTCATGTGACGATCTATTTGCACATGCCCGAAGTGTATTGATATAGAAGGAGTCAGTGGTAAGAGAGATATATAAAACGGAAGATTGGTTCCAAGACTACATAATGCAACCCGTGCGAGTTCAATAATCATTTTGTCGATTTTGACTACCCACTTCCTGCTGTTTATCTGGATTGCCTCCTCAAATAAGACATGTTCAATTCCACTCGAGCGAAGGGCTGCGAAAAGAGATTTACTCCAGAGTGATGTTGCTCGTCGAACTTCCGCATTTTTCCTCTGACTCTCACTAAAAATTTTGACACCATCCTTGTTCTATATGCCTGGCTTGCGGTCTCTTTGTCTTCTTACAGGGCCTCTGTCTTCTTTTGTCTTCTTACGGAATCTTTGTCTGTATGGTCCCACTTCATTGTCCTGTTTCACTCGCAAGGCTTCTTATGGCTCTTTTGCTCCTCTCTGTTCATGTAGATAATCCTGATGGTGCGCCAATAAGACTAATCCGAGGTATATAGTGCGTCAAACTCCGTCACTAAGTAATTATATCAAACCTATCAATCTCACAAACCCAACAATTACTCAAATCCATCAGTTACAGAAAGAAGTAATTGAAATCATGACCCCGATTATCAACAACCTTCCTTCAGACAACCTTCCAGCGGACGTTGACTATCCCGTGCAAGCTGATCCTATCAAAACAGCCGCTGACCCAATTGCTGGCTACCAATTCGGTAGGTATCAAATCATGGGAGCTGACCGACAGATGTGGATAGAAGATCCGAAGACACCTATGTGTCCAGTAGAGCGCTCATTACTTGACATTACGGCGATGATTACGGAGTTCACACGGGGACAACCGATCTGGTACATTGAGTATGATAGAATCTGGGACCCCCCTTTCAGGATTCTCGTTGACCTGGAGAGAATGGATCTCCCAACAACTGGCCATTACCATCAGTTTACGATTTGCAAGGAAAGCACTAACAAGGTCAGGCGGCCTGTGCCCAACCACCATGACTTGTTCACAGGACCGGGCGTTTTGGTTGTGGCACTAATGTACAGAGCCGACGGGCCCATGTGGTCTGATATTGCCATTGCGCAATACAAAACCCGCTTCCCGATCGATACTCTGCAACATATATATATCGACAACTGCACCAATACCGAGACTGAACCATTGGTCACTATGCTTATGGGGGGCTCTCAAGATGCATGGTACGGTATTACTCCTCAACAGTCCAAGACTCAGGTGCCTACGGTCTTTGAGTATGGCACACCATCTTATCAGGCTCTTCTAGGATCTGCGACTGGTAAGGCAGTCGCGGCCCTTATTTTGGGGGCTTTCCCAAGAGGTACGTGGCGTATCGCCAAAATTGCTTGCTGGTACTACTGGGGTATCAACATGCGGTTCGATATTGAGCCAGTCCCTCAACCTTCTCTTTACACCGAGTCTTGAATACCCGCACCAGATGGGTTTCTTAGTGGATGCAGACAAGCAGACTTTTTATTTCCTATGCAATTTCTTTAGGTAAGTGGCCCGATCCTAACGTTATCTAAAGTATTATTTAGAGTTTATTTTCCTGAATGGATTTTTTTGTCTTTTCACATAATCATCCAACAGTATAGATTAAATAGTTGTAGTTGTAAGTTCATTGTCCATTTTAATAGCTTGACGTTAGTGTGGCGTTACAAGTAGATACCTTGACTCTTTGATATGCGTGCGCTGTCATTGGCCCGCTGGCAGTCCGGGGATATTCCCCTCATTTTAGATCTTAGGGTATTGTTCAGCTCACAATATGGGCTAAATACTTGGTCGATGTTGCTTGCCTTAGGAATACACAGATTCCCGAATGCTGTATTCAAACCCGGGCTCTCCGTCCAAGTTCTACGGCTTAATTGGACCGCACAACCCGGGTCATGTTTCGATTTGAAGATGTGTATTGTTTGAAATTTCCTGAAGACAGAAGAAAACCTAATCGGATTGACTTGTCCGGCATGCGAAGTAGGTGGCGTGATGTGGGGGGGGATAATTTACACAAAGCAACGGGGAAAGGCGGATCGAAAGGAATGCAGGTTTATGACGCAGGGACCGGGGATGTGGGAACCTCAACACCGTAAGCCTCCTTAATGCGCTCAGCGCGTCGCTCCTCATAGCCGGGGCCGTAGATACCTGACAAGTAGAGTTAGTACCAATATATAGCAATGACCGAACATGTAAAGACATACCACGTCCCTCGCCCAACTCGGCGACGGTCTGCTCTCCGGGAGTCTGGAACGCCTTGCGCAGCTGCTGGCGACGGTCAAACTCGTCCACCGATGTGTCCTTCTTGTATCCGAACAGAGAACCGCCGGTGTACTCGAATGCGGTCATAACGGCCGAAACGGCGACACCGTATCCGAGCAAAGCGGGGAATGTGCGGACTGTGAATTGCGACCGTTAGCTCTTCCGAAATCCCATAGCGGACTCAATTGAACTCAGGACTCACGTCTCAGACCGAGAATGGCACCGGAGAAGAACCCACCAAGCGCGGTGTTGTAGTGGTCCTCCTTCTCGCGCAGGTTGGCGGATGCAGTCTTAACGAACGCATAAGTACCACCGACGGCAGCTATCGAATGACGGGGTTAGCAATTGAATAATGCTAAAGCGCAATTTACTCGTTTCTCATACCAAAGACACCAATGGTGCCACCGCTGCGAATGAAGATGCCCAGCGGTCCGTGGTTCCGTCTGGAGAGGGTGTTCTGAGCGGCGGAACCGAACAGACCAACAGCACCAGTCAGCATGGTAGCCTTCATGGCAACTGACATGGCATCTTGAGGGTGATAGCTGTGGTCTTCAGCGTGGTGCGCCATGATGTCTGATAGTAGGGATGGGCTCAGTGCGACGGATGTGGTTGGCGGTTAGGATTTTGGGGGTTCGCATCTGCCACTCTACACCGGCATCCACACCGCCCGCCTCTCTAGAGCTCTCACGATAATGAGATGCGTCTTGGTGCTTGCTCTTGGTTTCATTGATTCATGTCAGAAAATCATTTTGAATCCTTGCATCGCATTTTTCCATCGCGTTTAGTCTCAAATCCTAGTTTATTGAGTGACAAGAGCCCTACAAAGCTCGCCGCTGCTTGCTGCCAAGCAGCAGGCTCCCCGCTGTCTCCGCCTGCGCGATACCATCATTAGAGAGCTCATTCACCATCGCTGAGCTTCCAGCCGAGAAATCCTGCATTTTGATACTGTTTGTGGGCCAAAATTCCATCGGGAACAGAAATACTTTTACTTGGCGAGCAAGATATCCAAACTACACGCAAGGCGATCGGGGCTGAACATCATACCTCATGGCGCCTATCCAGAGGGCAGGTAGGTCATGCGATTTGACAAGTGTTGGGTATATCTACACGCAAATAATTATACTGACTGCCAAACTATAGGTAAGACTGCACCTCGTTTGGTTCACGATATCCAACTCTATGACCCAGCACACATCCCCGACACTGGCCGCAACCTACTCGCTCAAGTTCCCCCGGTATACTCTTACCCAGAACCGTGGCAAGGCCTTCCTGGATTCATATCACCGAAAGCATGTAAACACAAATATGTGTTGAAGGCAGATCAGACCTTCGTGGCCCAGGCTGAACATCGGAAACGGCCAGGCACTTCCTCCAAGATTGCGGCTGTTTGCTCAGAATGTCGCTGTCATCTTCAAGTGGTAGTCAATTACACCAACGGCATGAATTCATTCAACCAGAACAAGGAAGGACATATGCATCATCTGGTCTACAAGTCAGGTCGACAGAAGAATGGCATGTCCATGCCGGAGAGAACCGATAAAGGACAGGTCGCAGAGACATTTCACTATCAATGTTCTTACATATCGTGCTCAGCAATGGTCTCATTACGAATTCTTTCGCCAATCTTGACCCCTGAATTGATTCGTTTGATGATCGATCCAGATTTGTTACATGAACGAGCCGAACAAGCTCTCGCAGCATATCCCGAATCAATGGAAGGCATGGGTGATCCTCAACCGATTAGTGTGTTGGATAATTTACGACTTTATATCAGCAATGCACTTCGAAATGCCCAACGTGGAAAGCCCATATCGGCGGTTAACAAGAGGTTCATGCACTCGTTTGGTGTGGAAGGCGCTCCTTGTAAAGGGTTGCTGGAATTCCTAGAGTTTACTCATAACAAGGTTCGTATCTAGCCCTAAGTTCGGAAATTTCTCGTGAGATTACGTCGTCGCTGACAGTTCAACAGGAGACTGGTGCCTGGACACCACCCCAACCAAACGTCAATGCCGACAAGCCTTACCAAGATCCGCTTTGCACCTTCCTCGACGACGTCGCGCATGAGCTTTTATCGTTGATTAACCATCGCCCTCCTTCAGAGCAACGTGGTTCCCAGTTTCCCGCTCTTCCACCATCCGCCGTCACCCAGATCTATTCTGCTCTCGAGGCACAGAACTGTCAGTTGCTTCGTATTCACAGACACGATTGTTGATTGTCTCAACTAACTGTATTTTCTGCTTCAGACCCGAAGGCCATGCGTGTCGAGGAGTTTGAAATGCCTCCCGCTCCGTTGGTCTACCCCTCCGCTCCGTATGTGCCAAAGGCTAACGCTTTTCTCTATAGGTTTTACGAGGACTTGGGTGCCGTGGAGGACATGTCTGCCTCCGCGATCGTTGAAGCGTTTGAGCGTCAAATCTCCGTTGATCCGGGCAGATACCCCCTCTACCTTTCTGCCCTAAAGTCAATTGGGTCCCTTCGCGTTGCTTCCTCAGCTGGCGAAGATTGGGCCATCATTGATGGAGCCGTGCAACGGGCTTACGCTGATGGAAAATACACGGTCGAGGATCTCGACCAAGCTTATCGATACTTTGGTCTCCGATTGAATGATCCGAATCTCACGGACGAAAGCATCATTGGGAAATTCCTTGCCTTCTTGGGCTCCACTAACCGCGAAACGGAAGCGCGTCAGCAGCTTTGGCGTATCGGCGATAGCAGAGCGAGCGAGTCCATCATATCTGCATCCGAAGACCGTACGTTGCCCTAAACCGCTGCTTCGCAATTAGATCTCCGGCTAACTTTTGACATTAGGCGTCTCCACTGTCGAGCAAGCGAATGTTTTCCTGGGCGTCGAGGATCAGACACCCGATGATTTCGTTATGACTATGTACACGGCCAAGGTTTGTTGCCCAATTCTTGGGTCTATGTGTTCCTTGCGGCTAATCTCGTGATAGGTCAATGACAACCCGTTGAACAAAGAACTAGCAAACCGCGCAGTCGCTCTCATCGCCGCCTCTCGCAAGTCAGTTGCGTTGAACCACTTCATCAACACTGGGGAGGCACTTGCTTCCGAAATGGACGTCGGTGATGCCTATCGTCTGCTCCAAATTCCCGATCGCACTGCAGACGCCGGTGCTATCATGGCCGCATACACTATCTGCGTTGATGAAAACCCGGGCCAAATTGAAAAGTACAACGAGGCTTTGGCTATCATTGCCAAACAAACTGACAATGCTACCTTGCGAAGCATGGCAGGCATTAGCCCCGAACAGGATTACAACGTCTCGGAGTGGCCCGTTGGCTTGCAGAACATTGGCAACACGTGTTATCTGAACAGTCTTCTGCAGTTCTACTTTTCAATTCGCCCTTTTCGTGAGATGGTTTTGGACTATGAGATGTACCAGATGGACCTGAACGATAATGAAACCATGGCGAAGAAGCAGGTGGGATCTCGTAAGGTGATGAAGAACGAGGTCGAGCGATCCCAGCGATGTGAGTTTCTCCGTCTATGGAAATAGTAATATTCCAACTGACTCGCCAATACAGTCCTCAATGAGCTGCGGATTTTATTCCAAAGCATGATCACTTCTTCTCGCAACTCGGTCACTCCCGGTCAGGAACTGGCTCGGTTGACTTTGATCAGCCCCAGTAACGAGGCAGCCATCCGTCGTCGCTCGACTATCTCTGCTAGCAGAAACCAGATCCTTGGCGAGATTGGAGGCGCTCCCGTCCTGGGACCGCTTGGCCCCCCAGTATCCCCCCCAATGGACAATGCTGGTCAACCTGCAACTGATGCAGCCCACTCTGCTCCTGTCAAAGAGTCTACCACGAGTGATATGGATAGTGACTTAACCATGGTGTCGGGAAATGACCCCGATGTCCCAGTGTCCTCTGTCGAGGATAAGGAAAACGACCCTCCGCAATTGGACAAAACCGAGGTAGCAACTGATGAAGACATGAAACTCGAGGCACGCATCTCTGTGCCTAACCGGCCAGAGCCATCTAGCGTGCCACCTCCTGTCCCCCCTCGCCCTGTCCCAGAGGTTGACCGCGAGAAGCAATTGCAAGAAGAGGTTGAGATCGGCGCTCAACAGGATGTGACCGAAGTCATCAATAATGTTCTCTTCCAAAGCCAGTGCGCTATCAAGCCACGCGGCATTGGCAGTGACGGCGAGCAGCTTGATCAGATCAAAGAGTGAGTGGTATTCAAACCGGTCTGGTGGTATATGTATTAACCCTTTTACCAGCCTGTTCTATGGTCAAACCCGGTCTTACATCTCCGCCGAGAACGGCATGCGCTCGAAGGAGGAGCGCTGGTGTGACATCAAGGTCGACGTCGCTCATGGATCTCGGGATATCTATGATGCCATCGATGGGGCTTTTGATGTCCAGAAGATCAGCGTTGGAAACTCCGTGGCTGAGCAGTTCGGTTCTATCAGCCAGCTTCCACCCATCCTGCAGGTTCAAGTGCAGCGAGTTCAGTTTGATCCTGTGAAGAAGAGCTCGTTCAAGTCGACCAATCACCTCGAGTTACTCGAGACCATCTACATGGACCGATACATGGACACCAAGAACACTGAGTTTGTGGACCGTCGAAACAAGGCTTGGGAATGGAAGGCTACTTTGAAGAAGCTCGAGGCTCGCCGCGAGGAGTTGCTTAAGCAGCCGGTAAGATCTATTTTAAGGGTCCAGTGGATATATCCCTTCATTGAGATGGCTGACGTTGCTCCAGGACTTCGATGATGGCATTGATATGGCGGAACTGTTCCGGAAGACCGGTGACACGATCAGCAATCTGAGAGAAAGTGACTCTGATAGCGGACCTGACTCTCTGGCGTCTCTGCTCAGCCCGCAATTGTCGGATAGCGTCAACTTTCTTTCTGAGGCGGCTCAGGCTGAGCTCGAATGTGAGAGCTATGAGCACAACTTGGCAGCAAGCTTACTGACTTCTTTGATAGCCATTGACCAAGAGCTCAAGGACACCCGGACCATGATCTCCACCCAGTTCTCCGATTACCAGAAACTCCCATATCGACTGTATGCCGTGTTTGTGCACCACGGCTCGGTCTCCTTCGGACATTACTACATCTACATCTATGACTTCCGCAAGGGGATCTGGCGCAAGTACAACGATGAGTATGTGACTGAGGTCTACAACGTGAACGAGATTTTCGAGAACGACTCCACCAACAACCCTCCAACCCCATACTTCCTGGTCTACGTCAACGACGCCATCAAAGACCGCCTGGCCGACCCGGTCTGCCGCGACGTGACCGAATCGATGCCCGATATGACCGAACAGGAAACACCCGCCTTCGTGGAGGACCCCCGGGCAGCCAGCCCCACCGACGTGGACATGGACCCCCAATTCTACGACACTACAGCCCCGCGTGGCACCCCAGGTACGCCCGTCTCCCTTTACGGCGACTACCCATCGGAGTGGCTCTCCCCAAACTCGAACTGACTCAGAAACAACCCTGGTAGATTCCACAGCCGTCGATGCCACAGCCGTCAATCCCTTGAAGCGTAAGAGCGTGGATGCCGAAGGCAAAACGCTCCCATCATGAATTTCTTCTCCGTGACGCAGCATGATTGCACGATTTCTCTGCCTTTTTTTTTTCTGTCAAGCTCATGAGGTCATTTCTGTATCATTTGCATCGCAAGCGAGGATTCCGTTTTTCTCATATGTTTCTTAGAAAACATGTACATAAGCTGAAGATACCAGGAGCACTCAGTAGAAATTATGGCAAATAATTCAAGGTTGATTCTCTGTAATGGTAAGGCATAGTACGGAGTTTCCTGGGTCTTCCCCGGATGAACATTTCTTTGGCACGAACCGTAAAATGCTGACTCAGCCTGAGAAAAGACAGTGGGCATTAGCGGCCAAGTGTGATAGTAAATTGCAGGCAGAAAATGAAGTAGTCGAAATCTGAAGAAGGCTCCGCTGTTGAGCTTATTTACCCTGAGCTTAATATGAGCTCAATGTCAAAAGGTGAGTACATTTGGAGGTATAAGATTGATGTCATCTCAGACTTATATTTTGTAACTTTTATAGTTTATAAGTTAGTGTATCCTATGTTAAGCAGTGCCTAGAAAAGAACTTCCTACACCCAAAGAAGCACATTATAACAGTTCAATTTAAGGGTATTTCTAACTGACATCTAAAATAGCATCTCATTGATCTTTCTTACCATCACGCTAATCCTACAAGTACAAACAACGCAGTGATTCAGGGTCTAAAGGCAATATAAGATAGGCGGGAGGCAGGGCGGTAAGGTTATAGACCTAATGGCCGCTAATATTATCTGCATCCAACACGTTGCCGCGGGATCGGAATCGGATCGGCTGTGAATTTCGGCAGCGGCAATAGCTGGACAAATGTGGTAGTCGTGCCGCCGACAGGGTGATCTGCGAGAAATTAAATAGCAAAAAAAGAGGACATAGACACGAGGAATCGGACCCGATGGATGTCTTTTTTTCTAGGAACGAAAAAGCCCGAGATCAGGGGTAATAGGACTGGAATCAACACACTTCATAGAGGGCGGAGCTACCGGGTATCCACAATTCCGGGGGAAACGAATATCACTCGGGACTCTTTCCGCCCTCACTGCCGCTCCGGGATTATAAGAAGCTGACATTGCCGTATTCTGGACCGTTGGTTCTTATAATAACTTCTTTGGGTCCCTGGTCTCCTTCTCAACAGAATTCCTGAAGTTATTCACAATGCCTTCTCAAGTGGCAACATGTTTGCGCCTTGCGCGCCAGTTCTCAGCCAACCCGGCCAAGGTAAGTTCACGAGCTAAATTGCAGCTGAATGCAATTGGAGACTGACAGCTGCGTCAACAGCACCAACAATTCATGGCCCGCGCCTTCTCCAGCAGCGTCCGCCGCAGTGAGATCAACAAGGTGTACCCCTCCGCCGAGGTCGCCGTGAAGGACATGAAGTCCAACTCCACCCTTCTGGCTGGTGGATTTGGATTGTCCGGTGTTCCTGACACCCTGATCAACGCCGTCCTGGCTAACCCCTCCATCACTGGCTTGACCGTGGCCAGTAACAACGCCGGTGTCGACGGAGCCGGTCTCGGTCTGCTCCTCCAGTCCAAGCAGATCAAGAAGATGATCGCCAGTTACGTCGGCGAGAACAAGACCTTCGAGAAGATGTACCTGACCGGCGAGATCGAGCTCGAGCTCACTCCCCAGGGAACCCTCGCTGAGCGCTGCCGTTCCGGCGGTGCGGGTATCCCCGCCTTCTACACCCCCGCTGCCTTCGGTACTGTTGTGCAGACCGGCGCTGTGCCCCTGCGCCACAACGCGGACGGCACCGTCGCCAAGTTCAGCCAGCCCCGTGACACCAAGGTGTTCGACGGCAAGAGCTACGTTATGGAGGAGTCCATCAAGGGTGACTACGCTTTCGTCAAGGCCTGGAAGGCCGACAAGCTCGGTAACTGTCAGTTCCGCTACGCCGCCGCCAACTTCAACGGTGCCATGGGCCGCAACGCCAAGATGACCATTGTCGAGGCTGAGCACATCGTCGAGCCCGGTGAGATTGATCCCGCCGCCATTCACCTGCCCGGTATCTACGTCAAGCGCATTATCCAGAGCACCGTCGACAAGAAGATTGAGAAGTTCACCTTCGCCAAGGAGGAGGGCGCCGACAAGTCCGCCCTCGGCAAGGGTGACACCGCTAACAAGCGCGAGCGCATTGTCCGCCGTGCCGCCAAGGAGTTCAAGAACGGCATGTACGCCAACCTGGGTATTGGTATGCCCATGCTTGCCCCCAGCTTCGTCGACCCCTCCGTCGAGGTGACCCTGCAGTCCGAGAACGGTATTCTCGGCCTCGGCCCTTACCCCAAGCAGGGTGAGGAGGATGCCGACCTCATCAACGCCGGCAAGGAGACCGTCACTCTCAAGCCCGGTGCCAGCTGCTTCGGCAGTGACGAGTCCTTCGGCATGATCCGTTCCGGCCGTATCGACCTGACCATCCTGGGTGCCATGCAAGTCAGTGCCAAGGGTGACTTGGCCAACTGGATGCTCCCCGGTAAGATCAAGGGCTTTGGCGGTGCCATGGACCTGGTCTCCAACCCCACCGCTACCAAGGTCGTCGTGACCATGGAGCACACCGACAAGAAGGGTAACCCCAAGATTGTCAAGAACTGCGAGTTCCCCCTGACTGGTCCTGCCTGTGTCAGCCGCATCATCACTGACCTTTGTGTCTTCGATGTTGACTTCTCCCACGGCCTGACCCTCATTGAGATCGCTGACGGTGTTACCGTTGAGGAGGTCCAGGCTAAGACTGAGGCTCCCTTCAAGGTCGCCGATGATCTGAAGCCCATGCTGTAAATGTGAATTTACCTGCAGATTTGTATGATTTTGTTAAAGCGTGCATTTGGGTTCGCTATCAATGTACATAGCAATTTGGTCTTTTTTGGAGTTAGATTGTTCAAAATTCATTCCCATGGATATATATACGCCTGGATATGCTTCCAAGTTTATTCTCAAAATTGTAGATAGTAAGTTAGATAAGTAGAGTAGAATACAACAGCCAAACAGAACTGAAGGCAAAGAAAGGGAACAGGAAAAGGCAAAAGGTATTGGTACATGTCATACAACCCATCAAACAAAATCTCCATACTGCTACAAGCAATATCCCCCAAAACGAAGTCTTTAAACCAGCGACATCAATCACGACAACCGAATAATACCGGCCAACCTCTTCTTTAACCGCCCAAACCAATCCCGGTTTGGCGCCTCCGCAAACTCGCGCACAACATTATCATAGTGGTCGGGATTACTCGCCGGCCGGCGCAGCTTTGGTGATAGAGGATACACGCGCGCGAAGCGGTCGTTTAGCAATGCCGTCAGGGCATTGGCGGAGGACTCGGAGATCGCTGGAGTCGACTTGTCCGCAGCCTGGAGGCGGGATTGAATGTAGGATTGGACAGAGACTGAGGATGGGCGGACGGCGTCGGTGGGCCAGGTTTTTAGGAGATATGTTAGACGGCTTTGGAGGGAGCTTGGGTTGAGGGTCTGGATGATTGTTAGGACGAGTATTCGAAAGGAAGTGAGGTTTGGATGGTAGGGGTCATGTTAAAAGAATAAGGGTTTGGAGACTCACAGGTTTAGACATGGTGAATGATTGCAGTGTTGTGTAGTCTACAATGTTGGAGAACGATCGAGGCAAAACGGAAATCCTTGTTGGCCTGATACTTCAGGCAGACTCAGCCACCCCATTCCTGTTGCCTTCCAACCCTGACATCTTCTTCATCCCCCTTTACTCTCGTTATCACTTTCTATTCTAACCCACTTCGACTCCTTTTCCTTCTTGTTCTATTCTACGGTCTCTTCCCGCTCAGCTCGCCATGAGCTCGCAGCGCTATTCACGGGTACGCAGCCCCCTCCGCTGATCTCATCTGTCACCCCGGAACCGCCTTCCCCCGGATGTGACTCCTCCACACGATACTGACGCTGAATCCTGCAGGTGAATGCCCATGATGAAGAGGAAGGACCGCATTCCTATCCGCTGAACCCTGCGCGATCTGATGCATCTCCGCCTCCCTCGTTCCGTTCCCGGTCCCGATCTTCGTCACCATCGTCCAGGCGCTTATTACACAACGATCCGTTAAATAATGATGACGACCAGACGCTCGCTGATGCCTTTGGCGACGAGGATGAGTCCGACGATGACAATGAGCCTGATGATAGGCAACGCTTGATGCGTGCGGACCCCGATTTCCGTTCGGCTGATAACGGACAAAGTGCTTCTGCGTCGTCCTCGGATTCGAGGGACGATGCACAGGAACAGGCTCGCTCTGGGATTCTACGGCGGCCTACGATACTACCGACCTTTACGACGCCGTCTTCTGGTGGACAGAGGCAGATCGCTCCGTCTAATGATGGTGTCTTTGCCAACCTTGCAGCCAAGCCCGAGCGGGGTGAGAAGAACGAGGATCTTCCTCCTGTACGTTGGCGATTTATAATCTGTCGTTTTTTAGGTGATCACTTTACTGATATTATTTATAGTCATACGAAGAAGCTGCGGCTGATGCGACTCCCCCATACTGGGAAACCACCATTGTGGCGCCTGGTATATCGTCCGATGAAGTCTTCGTGGACGGGTTGCCCGTTGGATCTGTCTTCTCATTCGTGTGGAACGCCATGATCTCAATGTCGTTCCAGCTGGTTGGCTTCTTGCTCACCTATCTCTTGCATACCACCCATGCCGCAAAAAACGGCAGCCGAGCGGGTCTCGGTCTCACTCTTGTTCAGTACGGTTTCTACATGAAAGGCGGCAGTGACAGTTCAGGCTCCGAAGGTGGAGGCACTGATTCATACGTTGCTCCGCCTGATCCCAACAGCCACAGCTTCGACCCGAACTCGGTTGGTGAGGGCTCTGGCGGCGATAGCAGTGGCGCGATATCCGGCATCACAACAAGCGAATGGATCTCATATATTCTCATGATTGTTGGGTGGTTCATCTTGATCCGCGCGGTCAGCGACTTCCTCCGGGCACGACGTCATGAGCAGCTCGTGCTACAAAGTCCAGATCGCGGTTTGGGCGTACCTATCATTGCGGAAGGCGAACGGTCTGAGACTGTCGTCTAATATATACACGATGCCTTGGTTATTTTCTCATATTGGTGGGCCTGTCGGCGTTACAGCTTGGAGTTCTTTTGCACACCCTCATATTCCCTCCGGATTGCATTCCTTACTTTCTTTTTCTCGAACTACTTTACTTGTGTAGCAATGAAGATATTACCAACATACCCAACAGTAACAGCCCAAAGGCGCGTAGATCAACGTCATTAAACGCAGGCCACGTACTGCGCCACGATAGGCAGCATTCTGTGCCCTTGCGTCCCTTTGTGCCCCAGCTTCAGGCTACAGAAATAGACCCGAAAGCCCCGGGCTCCGCTCACTGCCGAGACCCATTGTTTACCTCAACTCAACTGCAACCTCTCCTCTGCACATATCGGGGGTTGATCGCGGCCTTGCCCGCTATGACTACCGTTCCTCAAGGCCCCATCGAGGCGCGCTCACTGTCATCCGTCACCGCGATCGCATCGAATCCCCCCGCCTACCCACGCAATCCCACCCACGAGAAACACGAACCATTGTCGCTGTACATTGTGCGCGTACCAGGGAGCAAGGGTATGTCAATTCTACAATCCAATCTCTACAGTCTCTTTCCAGCCTTTTCCAGTCTTAAATGATCTAACTTATCAAGCTTGAAAGGAATATAAGCTAACTGCTGCCTACAGATATCTTCCTTTCGCCTCTCAAACCACCCACCAAATCCAGCGTCTCCGCTGAGGCTATAAACGCCTCTCTCTACTACCTCCATGTCGCAACGCCCGATGACGACACCCTACTACAGGAAGTGGAACAGGAACGCGAAGAGGAAGCCCAGCTCCGCAAAGAACGTCTCGAAGCAGCAGGCGACGACCCCGCGCAGCGCGGATTCGCTCGGCTGAACAATGTTCGCCGGAAGCCTGTAGCTGGAGAGGGAGGGGGAGTGGGAGCCGATTCCACTCACGAACTCCCGGCACTGTCACAGGAACCCGCTGCGCCAGCTTTGCCCCCACGGCCGATCCCCGTCCCGCAAGTTTCGGCGGAGAATGTTTCGTTCGCTGGGACCCCAGTTGCTCATGCACAGCCTCTGGGCTATGGTGGGCCGGAGGGGGCTCCAACGGACTTGGGCGCCGTCCCGCGACGACCGTTACCTCCTCTCCCGCCTGGTGAAGAGTCGTGGACTAATTCTTCGGCGGGCGAGGACCCGTATAAAAGGTCGAGTAGGTGGAGCGCGTTTGCGGGTCATCTGCAGAATAAGGGATTGGAGCTGCAGAACAAGGGTTTAGAGCAGTGGAAAGAAAGATATGGGGCGTTGTCGGCTGGCCGTCATAGTCTTGACTCTCCTAGGCCCCAATTGCGACCTCGTTCATCGCATGACCGCACAGGATCCCCGAATCGGAGCCCTGGGCAATCTCCCTCAAGGTTGAGGAATACTCAGCGACCGCCGTCCAGCAATGCGGGCTTCCATATTACGCTTATTCGGCGAGATCCTACATCTGGTACGCAGTGGAATGTTGCGACTATCTCGACTCCACGAATGGACCACAATGCTGTCGATATTGAAATCTCTACTCCGGGATATAACCGCTTCGTGGGTTCTAATGAACCGCTTTCATTGTCCAGCCTGGCTGGCAATCTCCCGCCAGGTTTAGGTCGTCTATCTAACTCTGCGATTCCCCAAGCCCTGAGTGCCGAACAACCAAGAGAACAACAACAGCAAACTGGACCTCGCAAGTTCCACCGCCAGCTTTGTGTTTCAAGGCCTTTCGACGACTCAGCCTCTCCGGATTGCAGCAACGGCCATATCCCAGAACCCCCATCAAAACTGAAAAGCGGCTACTACGTCTTCACTTCACCTTGGAATGGCACTTGTACCTTCGCAAGCAGTGTCAACGGCCGCAGTCTAAAATGCAAACACATGATCCCAAACCCAGGCGGCTCAATTCAGCCAAACGGCGAAGCGGAACCACCACCCGCCGTGACAGTCGCCGAGCTACGCTTCAACACCCCATTCCAAGCAGCCAACCTGCACTCGCACGCCCACCACGCTGTCCACAAACCACACCCAAACCACGTCTCACCCTTCACGCAAAGCCAGCAGAGCCCAACATTCCCACGTTCCAACGATATCAACGACCTACCAACCCCAGCTTCAACGATAGGTCCAGACGGCCTCCCCCAGCCCCAATACCAACAATCCTATTCCAACACCAACAACACCAACCAAGCGCACAAACGCCCCTCCTCTTTCTCAAACCTCCTAAACCCAAATACCTACTCCCGTCCGCGCGCCCATTCAGGTCCAGGCTCAACCCCATCCTTCCAACCCTCCCCCTACAATCCCAACTCCAACTCCAACTCCAACCCGCCACCAGACCCAAAACAACCCTTCAACCCAACAGCCCTCCTGCGCCGCACATCCCTCCGCGCCCAACGCTTCGCCCGCCAAAGCCACTTCTACGCAAATCCACACGGCCACCCACCCCAATCCGGTCCTGGGTCCGGATACCAAGCCCAATCCCGGCACCACCGCAGCACGAGTGCGAGTAGTGGTCAGGATTTGGATTTCGATTCTGATGAGGATCGGTTGGATCTTTCGCTTGCGAGGGAGAATGCTGGGGGTGGGCTTAGGGGGAAGAGTGCTAAGCTTGGGAAGTTGGTTATTGAGGATGAGGGAATTAAGATGCTTGATCTTGCTGTTGCGGCTTGTATGGCTGTTTGGTGGAGGGGGTATTATTATTAGGTTCTGGATGCTTCTATCCTAGACGATTGGTTAAATTTCTCATATTTTGTTTCATTTAGCGTCATCTTGTGGGGTTATATACATCTACTTGGGTCTATAGCATTGATATGATTTTATGATTTATTTCATCTTTTGACTTACTCCATCCCTTAATTCATCTACATAATTCATTCACGCTGATTTCTCTTCTGTAGAACAAATCTTTTTATGACAAAACCACCTGGCTAGACTTGAGATACAGGATAGGGAAATCATACGCCAAACCAATAAACCATCCCGCATTGTATAAATGAGCCAAAGACGGAGCACCAACCAAACCACACATAGATAGGAGAAGAAAGAGAAAATGGAATTGAAACTTGAGAAAAAAACATGCAATCATCCCAGTCTTCTTTCTCTTAGGTATCTCTTGGCTAAAATTAGATCAACATGCAGGGCAAGACACACAAGACAAGATCGCCGAACAACCATCAAGAAGAGAACGGACTCTCGAAAGAAGACAAAAAATCTCAACTAAATCAGTGGTGTACGTCCATGCCGCGCTGCAGCGATGACTCCAGGTCATTAGGGTTGTAACCACCGCCAGCGGTAGCCTCCTGCGGCCTGGGATCCTCAGTCTTCCAGGATCCCTGCTGGTTATCCGGGATGGGGACGTTAGTCTGCTGGGCGATCTGCTGCTGCTGGGCAGCGTGGGCCTGCGATTGCTGGCGCACGGTAGCACGGAAGCGAACGACCTCGTCGAGGATCATCTTGCGCATCTCCGGGACCTCGTCGACGACCTCGAAGTGGAAGTCGAAGGTTGTTGGGCAGTTGGGCTCGTCTGAGGCGTCATGCCAGATGTGTAGGTAGGGGTGCTCGAGGGCTTCCTCGACAGAGATACGGGACGATGGGTCGAAGGCGAGCATGCGGTCCAGGAGGTCCAGGGCATCTGGGTTGGCTTGGGGGAAGAGCTGCTTGAAGGGGACCTTGGGCATGAAGGGCAGGTTGCGCACGTACTCCTGGGCGCGGGGTGAGCCGATCCGCGCCAGAGTCTCTTCGTTTGGTGTGCCCAAGTAGTGGAGGATCTGGTTCAGCTGGTCGACGTAGTCGCGGCCCTTGAAGAAGGGACGGCCGCCGAGGAGCTCGGCGAGGATACAGCCGACGGACCAGACGTCAACTGTGTAGATTTGTTAGCGTTGTCCGGGGGTGGCAAATTGGTGGGGCATTGATACGTACTAGCCTTGGTGTAGCTCTGGAAGCTCAACATGATCTCCGGGGCACGGTACCATCTTGTTGCGACGTACTCGGTCATGTAGCCTGCGTTCTCCTCCGGGTCGATCGAGAAACCACGGGCCAGACCAAAGTCACAGATCTTAAGCTCGCAGTCCGCATTGACCAACAGGTTACCGGGCTTCAAATCACGGTGCAGTACGTTAGCCGAGTGGATATACTTGAGACCGCAAAGGATCTGGTAGATGAAGGACTGGAAGTGGGCATCGGTCAACGGCTGACCGGACCGGATAATAGCAGCCAAGTCACATTCCATCAACTCTGCAGATTGTCAGTCTAGCTGTCAGAACAGAAGTTGAAGATCACCTACCCTCATACAGATATGTCTCGTTGAAATTGTCCGGTCGGGGAATGTCCATATCATAGAGGCATGTGATCTGGCTGGGTTAGCGGGGAACTCGGAGGACTCGACGGGAACTCGACGAGGGACGAAATACGACGTACGTTGCGGTGGCCGCGGAAGTGCTGGAGCAGCTTGATCTCTCTCAGGGCACGCTTGGCCAGGATCTTCTTGCTGAAGACATTGGTCACCTTCTTGACGGCGACACCTTCGCCGGTCTGGATGTTGGTAGCCGCGCTTCATTCCACCATCAGCACTGCGTCCAACAAGTACCATCGCTGGAATCAAGACCTACCATACGATACCGTAGGCACCCTGGCCGAGCTCCTTCGTCACATTGTATTGTTCGTTCACGATAAAGTCTTGGTTGAAAACCTTGAAGACCTTGCGACCTTGTAAATCAGCCATGGCGAGTTGTCGTGTCGTAGAGTCGTAGAAAGAGGGAAGGCAAAGCAAGCGAGGAAAATGGAATTAACGAGGGTCCAGGAATCTTAAAGAGCAAAAAGAGAGAAGTTGAAGGGAGAAGGAAAAGGGTGAAGGGTGAAGGGCAAGTGTGATGGGATTCAGCCCCGCCCCGCGGGTGATCCACGCAAAAGTGTTAGTCCACTATCGCTTTGATTGCTTCTACTTTGAATTTGATCTTCCAAAGAACTTCTTGAGAACTGAAAGACCTACTAATACTTGGAATTCTTGAATTTTCAAAGATTGATTGATTGTGAAAGGGTGAAAAGTAGAGGACATTTCTTTGTATATTATCTCCATACTACATACTACACGCCAGTATCCAAGTATCTGCATATAGCCTCGAGCTTAACAAAGAGACTCGAAAGAATAAAAAATAAAGAGCGTGGCTGAAACCTGTGAGCGTTTCAGTGAAGTGGGGTGTCCTTATTTTGGTATTGCAGGCGTTTAGAGTGTATTGAATGTGAAGCTGGAGTGTATTCTGTTATTCTCAGTAGAGGAATATGACAGTCTGGACCACATCAAATTTTCCCCATGTAGATCTCTCACCGTCTTTCCTACCGCCTTATAAGAGTACAGCTTCGTACAAAACTTAACTATTCTCCACTATAACGTTACTAGTAGGACGTAAACTCCGTTTAATCCTTATAAAGATCAAATTATCTTTCACTTTCAAAGCGATAAGTCTACTATTGTATTAAATTATAAGTTATAATACGATAAAAAGACGTCTTTAACAATAGGAAATCCATAAACGAGCACCCGTATTTATTGTCCTTGTTACTTCGGCGGGCACGCCTTAAATCTGTCACCCTTCTCGGGGGACGGGCCCGGGCCCGACCCCCGGCGGCTTCTTGTGGATAAGTTAGTCGGCCGTCCGACCAAGCTACATAACGATATTTATAACCACGAGACCAGCAAGCTATCCGAGTAGGTAAGGACTAACAATTCTCTTTTCTTCTTGCTCCCTTCCATTCCCTTATACCCTAAGCAAAAACATGCACATTTACATAGTGCTCAGGATTTAGTAGGCTTATAGTAAACCTAAGCAAGTCGACTGTATACATATGCGGCAGAACTTGATGACAGACTGCCGGACAGGAGTTGTTTTGTGTCCTCTTCGGATCATTTATACGCCCGAGTCCTTTGTGATCCATGCCTTGAGCGACGTCGACAGTGTCATATGACATATTGCCCTTGCTGTGCATCGTTAAGAGGCCAGTATCGCTAGGAAAAAGGCCAGGGTGAATGTGAAGGCTCGACAGGAACATCAGATCTAGCCCTACAAGGGTTCCAAGTGAAATCAAGGTCCCTGAATGATACGATCGAGATCCGATCGATACAACTATACAATGCTACTATACGTTGATCCTTCGATTGTGCAATACGGGGAGTTCAGAGCAGAATAAACGCAATGCTTCATTTCACTTTTCGTGAATCGGTAATACATCTCGAACCAGTGCATTCTCTAACGGACAGGGCATTCTCTAACCGCCATCCCTTGCTCAGTGATTCAACTTTGCCACAGCTCGTCCAGAGGCACCGGGGCACCATAATATTCTGCTTCTTAAGCAGCACAACCAGTTATCAGAATATGTCAGAACCAGATTGTGACTGCGGACGTACAAACTCTCAGTCTGAAGTTTCCAGGGCCAGGAAGCCATCATTCGAAAGAAACGGGTGTATTGGTAGACATGGACTTATGCGCAAGGAATGAGACAATCTCATTAGGAACCGTCTCACGAAAGCCTTGCCTTTTTGTTTGAACTCAACGAAGGGAAGAACTCTTCCAGTGGCCGCTGCCTCTCCCCCGAGCCCGGCATCTTGATTAACGAGCGTCGCCAGTAAACCCGCTCGTTTTGGGGGGGTTTGTTGGTTTACAAAGGTCGTTGAATACCTGCGCTATCAGCACCAATTGCTGGGCGTCCACCAGTGCATGGTGGTTGCGCCCCGAGAGAGGATGGCTTTCTCCAAAAAGCAGCAGAAACACCACAGATAGGGATAAAGGAAAGCGCCCGCCTCGGAAGCAGCTGCGACCAAGCACCCTCCTCACGTTATTACGGAGCTCTTGCAGAAGCAAACAGAGATTCTCATCCCCGGGGAGAACATCGTAAAAGCCTTCTTCCTCCAGCCAGTCTCTCAAATAAGACAGGTCGAAGCCCCAATTCGCCAAAGACAAGAAAATGGGTTCGTTGGAAATCCCGATTTCTTGGAGCTTTCCGACGATCTCCTTTGCATTAAGGGATCCATTTTGGGTTGAGAAGCGTCTGACGTTCCTTTCATGGTTCATTAGCGGCCGAGTTGCCGGTGTAGCGAGGCGCGATGAAGAAGGCGCGATGATTCCCTCACTATATCTAGTGAGACAATCGAGTACTCCGTTCCCTCGGAGATCAGCGAGGCCAATTTGGAGCACCTCCCGGGAACGCACACCAAATGCCAGGTCGATATTCACGACCTCGGAAGCCGGGATATTACCCTTTGATTCCATCCTCTTGATGATTTCGGCCATGAACTCTGTCTTAGGGCGCCACTGCTCGGAGGTCGCTTTCTCGAACAAACTCAGAAGCTCGTTCATTGCAGTTTTGTCCTGGCCGATCAGGTCTGGCGTCCACATAAGAAAGTGGCTGTGGCAAAATTTTGTGCCCTCCCACACAGACTTGAAGCAGCCCTTATTGCTGCACATTGTCTGACCGGCATCTGCTTCCAGAACATGAGACCTTAGAAAATTGTTGAAATTGTACCGCGCTTTACAGGGTGCGCAGCGGCAGCTAAGCCCAATACGCTGCCCCGAGCTCTCATTCCTTCTCCAAAGAACGCCTCTCTCGAGTGAGATTATCTCGCTGTTTGGACACACCTGCGTACCAAGCACTAGTCCGTCGAGGACCCCTTCCGGCCCTGGGCACTTAAGGCCGATGCTGTGTAGGCATTCAGGCCGAGCAGTTAATTTATGGGAATTAGCAATGGGGTATAAGGCAGCAATTTGTACGTCTTACCTTTTCTGAGACTGTTTTGGTCCTTTAGCGGACTGGTCAGCCACGCAGCTGCCGACTCCGTAGTGGGTTCTTCATCCTCAGAGTTCTCGATTTCAACGAGCTCGGCTTCAATATTCCTAGCAAAGAGCGCAATTGAGATCTGTTGTTCCCATTAATGATGCTCACTCATTTGTCCTTTCTTTGTTACATACCTCCAGAGGTTTGTGTTCCCCTCCTTGAAAGTGTCTTGTAATGGACTGAGGCGTTTTGTCGGGTCTGCTTCCTACCCTGTATATGAACAAGGCATCGATCGTACTGGCATGACCAAAAACCCTTAAGAACATGCTTATATGCGTGTCTTCGGGCGCTGGATAGGGACGAGGACATTTTGTCACAACTCAATGTCTCAGCGTACTTACAGGGCCAACGGGCCCTCATATGGATAGACAAGCAGTGCTCTTTTACCCTAGCAATTATCATGCCCGTTGTGCGACAATCTGGGCTTGGGCATGTCCACCTGCCGTTCAGAAAGGATGGCTCTGGGAGCTTGTCCCATCCAGGTATCATTTCCCCGTCCACGTCTCTGAGGGGAATATGTGGCGATGTCCTGGGCCACGCCGCAATAAATGTCTCTTCTGGCTCAACTTCGCCATGTTTGTTCCTAGCATGTCTATTCGCATTTTTTTTGACAAGAAACCTTTTCAGAGCAGTTTTCTTCCTGCGCGCGTGGGCAAGGAATGGTTTTCCAAGTTTGCCGATCACCATGCGCACTCCCTGCATGTAGTCTGGCCCCGCGTTTGTCAAAAAAAACTCATAGTACACCCCTTCTCTTTTGCCAAGGGACAAGGGAATTTGAGTTGGTCGTGAATGACCTTGGCATGTCTGTTCGCACTCTCTTTCGTGCTAAACATATCCTCACATTTGTGCTCCCGTGCGCGCGGGCAAGGAAACCCTTCCGACCTTTTCGAGCGGCTGTGAGATCCCTTATTACAGTCAACTCTCGCTTATACCACAGCATACTATCCAAGCCAAATTACGTGGTATAATTGAGTTGTGTTTTGGTGAGAGGATGACATAATATTTGACAAGCTAACTCTAAGCCCTAATACCTATTTAGTCTTCCATCCCATCATCTGATCCAAAGTCACCTGACGTTTCTCATCAATCTGAATCCTGCCAAAGTCGCTGATTAAGCTCTCAATTTGTCTAATATGGTCCGAGGTACCCTTTTCTTTGCTACAAACCCATAGTAGGATATCCTGGAGGCTGTCCAATATAGCAGAATTAGACAGAAGCTCAGGTGGGGGCCCATCAATGTCAATATCCTGAATTTCTGAGGTTGTTGGGGCAATATATATATCTTGCTCATTGGTCTCATCTCGCCCTTCAGTCCCATCTTCTAACATGTCTTCGTCCGAAGGGTTCAAAAACTCGTCAAATGGCACAATATCTTTATCACCAAGCTTATCAATTGCTTGATTATATAGACTTTCAATCTCATCACTCAATCCGGGCTCGGAAAATAGTGCAGACTCAGGTGCGGACTCGGGCGCGGACTCAGGTATAGGTATAGACTTTGGACTAATCAAAGTACTTTGTTTAAAGCAATTGATAATCGTTTGGTCTGATACACTTGTTCTCCAAACTTGCGTTACCCAGGTAACAGTATAATAAATGCTCATTCTTTGTTTTGGGTCTATCCCACGATCAAGAAAAGCAATCATATAGCGCATCCATTTCTTCCGATAATGGTGCTTCAAGTTTTGGATAATACCTTGGTCCAAGGGTTGATAAATTGAAGTTGCGTTTGCTGGCAAAAAAACAACCGTAATCCGGGGTGGTGGTGGCGCTCGCTGGAGTCCAATAACATGTGGTGAAGCATTGTCTAAAAGGAGCAAAGCTTTCTTATCTAAGGGAATACGCCCATAGAAAGATCGCAACCAGTCCTCCATAATGTCATGACGCATCCATGCTGCCTTGTTGTGACGCCAAACACATCCCAGAGCTCGGAAATTAACCCCCGGAGTGCGCGAGGGGTTTTTGCTGTGCCAATCAACCATAAAGGGACTCGATCGGAACCATCCGCATTTGATGCAACAACAATAGTGATTCGTGTTTTATCAAGCTTTTTGCCAGCAATTTTTCCCTTTGAAAGACCACCATTTGGCATACGTCGCCAAAATAGGCCAGTTTCATCCATATTGTAGATTTCGGACGGTTTGAATTGATTGCAAATCGATTTGGTGCTTTTGATCTGATCATGTACCGAGGATGGGACTGAGGCAGCTTCTCCGTGGAAAGTATGATATTGAAGAGAGTGGCGTTGTTTGAAGCGAGTTAACCAACCCTCAGAGAATTGAGGTTTGGTCCGATCTTTGTATTCCGGTATTTGTCTCCAAAGCTCAGCTGCTTTAGTTTGGATCAAAGGGCCATTTATTGGTATTCCATTGCCAATATGGTTATCTGCCCAGTCATATAGCTTTTGGTCCAATAATGGCCAATGAGAGGATGAAGATCGTTTGTTTGCCCCTGCAGGGCCCGTATCAAGATAATTGTATTTGGATGAAAGGATCCTTGATATGGTTGACCGGTCAATCACTTGTTTGAATTGGTCCTCAAACCACTTAGCACATGCAGTCTGCGTGGGCTTTGGGCTAGTATTAGACCAAAATGCCCGTAGTGCCTGTTTCTGCGCGTCTGATATACCCAATTTGGTACGCTTTGGTCCCATTCTGACGCGCTTGGGTGGGGTCGGGAGGGTAGGAGAGCTTGTAGATTGAGGCATTCTGATTGGTTGATTGCGCTGACTAAGCAGATTTGAGAGGAAGAAAGTGTGGTAAAACAAAATGTGTTATATTCTGTCAATTTATATGGAAAAAACTGGAATGAAGGGGCCATCCAAGCAAGGGATGTGTTATTATCAAGAATGTGCAATATCCCACCGTGGTATAAGCGAGAGTTGACTGTACCATGAATGTCCACTGCGTGCCTCCTGGCCGACTGCAAGGAAGTGAATTTCAAACTACAGCCCTCCTCGTCTGCTAATGGACAGGGGTATTTGACTCCATCGTGCGAGTTCTTAGCATGCGCATTTGCAGCACCTGACGAAGAAAACGTCTTGTCACATTGAAGGTCCTCTGCGCGTGGGCAGGGCCATCCCACTTGATCGTGCACCCTCGTAGCATGCTCCTTTGCATGCTTTGAGGAAGAAAACGTCTTTTCACAATGAAGGTCCTCTGCGCGTGGGCAGGGCCATCTCACTTGATCGTGCGCGTCCCAGCATGCTGCTTTGCACTTTGTTCCGAGGCAAACTTCTTATCACAGTGAAGCTCCTCTGCGCGTGGATAGGGGTGTTTAACTCCATCGTGCGCACACTTAGCATGCTTTTTTGCATACCCTGTCGATGAAAACGTCCTGTCACAATTAAGCTCGTCTGCGCGTGGACAGGGGTATTTAACTCCATCGTGCACACTCTCAGCATGGCTGTTTGCATGTTGCGAGGAGAACGTCTTATCACAATGAAGCTCCTCTGCGCGAGGGCAACGGAAGCGCTGTTGCTCCATTGGTATGTTGATGTAAGTGGTTGGCGGAGATGAAGGTGTCGAGACCGTAGTAGAGCGAGCAGTAGTGAAACTGAATGGAGAGATAAAGGTGTCGAAACCTCAGAAGGGCGAGTAGTAGTGAACCGAAACTGAATGGAGAGTTGAAGGTGTCGAGACCTCAGTTAGGCGAGTAGTAGTGAGAGTAATGTGAGATATAAAAGTTTTAAAACCTCAGCAGAGCGAGCAACAGGATGACGCCTATAAGGCCTAAAATGGAATGCATGGAACTATCCAGCAATCTAGGAACGTGCGCTGAGAGATGAAGAGACAGATTGGGGAGACAAAGAACATGTTGTGGGCGATGAACAAACCTACAGACACAGGGACTGCGGTAGCCCAGATCTCCATCTTAACAAAAGGTGTGATAAACCAGGTGATACAAAAGTTATTTGGGTTGAATGAAGCTAGAACACGCAAAGAGGATCATTACGGACTACAACTAATGGAGCTGGACGCGGCCAGACTCCTTACGAAAGAACAGAAAAGACGAAGAGATGCTAAGCAATACTCTAAATGCAGAAAACCAGGACATTTTGCGAAGGAACGCCGCAGCTCTCGGCAAACCCAACAGCTGACGGCCACTCGTCCGCGAGAAGGCCATGATACCGTGAAGGTCGAAAATCTACACAACAACCTCGCTTCACTTAACAATCTTGATAGATGGAGGGAACCAGTGAAACGAGACCGGAGCTATGTACAAACAGCTACAGAAAAGGCTAGCTAGGGTGAAGTGGTAAACCCCAAAGGGACTAACAAGTAGGATAAAACAGCCACGACACCGCAGCTACTAATGATGGATTCCTAGAAATTTATTGGGTAGAGATTGAGAGTTAAGGATGGACCTAGCACGGTTCCTAGAATTGTTTCACAGACTCCTAGGGACTAGTGGAGGAATCCCAAAACGCGAAAAGCGGGTACCTAGGAACTAAGTGTTCCTAGAAGGACTCACCAAGGTCCTAGAAACCCATCAGAACTCGTAGCAAGGTATTAGCAACCTCCCAGGAACAGCGAAGATACCTATAAGGGTCTCACGCATACATAAAAGTAGATAGCGTCTTCAAGATGAATGATCAATAGTAAAAAGAGCTATAGTGGACTTAAGATACAAGCCGTAGCGTGAGGGAGCAAAATAAAAGTAGCCTCCTCGCGTTCAGGGAAACCCAGATATACACCATATAGGTCCCATCATTTATCTTCCTCTCGCGTCAACTGGTACGCTTCATATGTCTCCCTGAAAAGCGGTAGTAGAATGGTTAAAGAAGCCTGAGGAACCAGAGGATGGCACCTATCCTTATCTGTATATATACATAAGGTCATCGCTGTATTCAACCCCCGAAGGGATTTTAAACATTTTTTCTATAAAGTCAAATTTAGAAAGTCTGGTACTTGTAATATTTTGGCTAATGTAAGGCGGTGTATAAGGTGAATTATTATTGGCCGGTTGGATACTAAGTTGCATCCAAAACCAACGAATTGATCTGACCAATTGGAAATGTCAAAAATTCTGCATTGTATTCTGTATAAAACAGGCAATTTGTTGTGCGAATCCTTCTTAGTAATCTTACTCTGAATACGGAATATTACCCAATAGATTCGGATCATATATCTATTCGTAAGGAAATGCAGATAATGCAAGCATTCATGCCGACAGCACATTAGCTTCGAGCCTCTCCTTCTTTTCTTCTTCGCTCCTACTTAGTGTCTCAGCACGAACGGATGTGCTTTTCACAAGTAGGCTAAAATTCGACTAGGCACTTCCGTCTTCAAAGTCAGGAAGATGTCGATCTACCCAAGGTGTGTTCGCTTTGAGGGTACCACGTTCCTGGCTTAACCCGGACCTTGATCACCCTACATTAGCTATGTATGGGATATATTTAGTGGCATCTGTAGAATATCTGTTTGTAACTTCATTTCATTTTTCGTAAACCGGTAACATGTCCCCTACAGAGTGTTCTCCAACCGACGTTCCTTACGCAATGCCCGGAGCTTGACCCGTGCCTCCTCCAGAGGGACCATGACGCCCTTGCTTTGGCTTGCGGGATCGTCTCTGTTACGAATATTAACAGTGCCAGATTCACGCTCCTGCGCTCCCACAACGAAGATGAAGTTGTACTGGGCCAATTGGCCAGTACGAATCTTCTTCTGCAGGGTGTTGCCACTGATGTCCACGTCCACATTCAGCTTATCTCCCTGCAGGATACGCTGCAGCTCCTCGGCGTAGTCGTTCAGAGCCGGCATCACTGGCACAATGAGGATCTGGCGCGGACTGATCCAGAACGGCCACTTGCCACCAAAGTGCTCGGTCAAGATACCAAGGAATCGCTCGAAGCTACCAATAATAGCACGGTGAATGACAACAGGACGGGCACGGCCGAAGGGCAGCCCGTCGGACTTGGTCACGTCTTCCTTCGCGTCCTCCTCGGTGTTCTTCTCCCGCTTTTCGTTGGTCTGATACTCCAGTTTGAAGTTCAGCGGAGCTTGATAGTCCAGCTGAATGGTGGCACATTGGAAACCACGACCTAATGCGTCATTTATGGTGATATCAATTTTAGGGCCGTAGAAGGCACCATCACCCTCGTCAATGACCCAATCATTACCCTGGAATTTGGTCAAGGCCTTCTTGAGCTGCTCCTCGGCTTGGTTCCAGGTCTCCAACGAGCCCATATACTTCTCGGGGCGGGTGGACAGCTTCAGCTTGAAGGTGAAGCCGAACAGCCCATAGATGGACTGCAAGAAATCGAACAGACCCTCCACTTCAGACATAATCTGGTGCGGCTCAACCAGGAGGTGCGCATCATCTTGGCAGAACCTCCTCACTCTTGTAAGACCAGATAGCGCGCCACTCGCTTCATTACGATGTAACTTTTTCGGTTTTGGTTAGTATTGCTGCAATATCGAAACTTGGATAGCACTCAATGTCAAACTTACCACTCCAAAGTCTGCAAGACGCATAGGCAGCTCACGGTAACTCCGTTCACGGTGGCCGAAGAGAATAAAGTGACCAGGGCAGTTCATAGGCTTAAGGGCCCACTCGCGCTTCTCAACGTCCAACTTGAACATGTCATCCTTATAGTGAGCCCAGTGACCAGAGGTCTTCCAGATGGAAACATCGAACATGTTGGGGGTCTGGACTTCCTGGTAGCCGCGCTTGCGGTACTCAGTACGCAGGAGGGACTGAATTTGGTTGAGAATCTTGGTTCCGTTAGGGAGGAGAAAAGGACATCCGGGAGACACTTCATCGAAGAAGAACAGCTCTTGTTCTTTTCCAATTCGCAAGTGGTTACGGCGCTCAGCCTCTTCCAAGAACTTCAGGTGCTCGGCCATTGCCTTCTTATCAGGGAAAGCAACACCACGGATACGCTGCAAGGAATCGTTGCTCTGGTCACCAAGGAAGTAGGCAGATGAGTTCTGGAAGGATGTCAGTATGGATATCTCATCCGATAACCTCACATGGCCACGCTTACCTGCATGATCTTGAAGGTCTTGATCTTGCCAGTGTTTTGAATGTGAGGGCCACGGCAGAGATCGACAAGGGTTCCGCAGCGGTAGACGGTGCTGCTCTCACCAGTGACGAGCTTATCAATGTAGTGCAACTTATATTTGCTGTATCCGAACATCTTCTTGAGGTTCTCCTTGGAAACCTCCAATCGGTCAAAGCTTTGTTTCTCCTTGAAGATGCGCGAGGCCTTGTTGTCGAGCGCTTTCCAATCACTCTCGCGAACAACCCGTCTGTGTCCCCATGATATTAGCATTGGCACAATTGTGAAGAACCGGGATAAACGTACCCATCGGGCATGGCCATATCGTAGAAGAAACCCTGGGGGGTAGGGGGACCATGGGAAAGAAGACAGCCATATTCACATTCACATGCCTCACCCAGACAGTGAGCACTGGAGTGCCAGAAGACCTCACGGGCCTCGGGGTTGCTGAAAGGAACAAGAAGAACCTTGCAGTCCTTCTCCAGAGGACGATTCAGGTCCCACAACTCCTTATCGTCAATTTTGGCTATGACAACATTGGCAGCAATATCTTTGGGAACATCGCGCAGGAAAGAACCAGGAGTGGTCTCGAAGGCTTTGGCGGAGACCGAAGAAGGGTTGCCGTCGCCAATGTCAAGGGAAACGGTGATTTCGGGGTGAGGGCGGTTCTTGATCTCTTCGAGGTATTGTTGCCAGAGTTCCTCGAAGAGCTTGTTTCGCTCAATCATGAATTCTGGGAGAACATCGGGGCTCGGGGCCTGCTTTTTCGCATCTTTTGGCGGGGCAGCGGCTTCAGAGGCCGGCGCGTCGGCGGCAGGCCGCACAGGAATATCCTTAGGGGCTTCGGAGGCCATTTTGAGAAACCTCTGTGTAGCGTCACAGGGTAATTGAACTGTGAACGAAAACAAAGCTGGATCGTTTACACTCCGCGTGGAGGGAAAATGACTCTTTCGTGAGGGCGGTGAATCAGGTGGTCACGTGTGGGTACTGCCCTTAGCGACTTACCGCTTCAAGTTTCCACTAAGCGAAAACTTCACCAGCTAGTACAAGCCGACAGTCCCCCGATAACACCACAAAATGTCTTTCCGTGGTCGTGGTAGTGCTTCCGGTGCCAACCGGGGAGGTTTCGGTAGCCGTGGTGGTGAGAAATTATCAAAACTTTTGTGAATCAAAAGATCAAAAGGAGCTAACGAAATTTTTTTGTTCCAGGGCGCGGAGGTTTCCAGCCGTCGTTCGGTCCCCCAGCTCAGGTCCTGGGTAATTATATCTGATCCTACAACATTGAAATTATGTCGCTGATTTTCCGATAGAGATGGGATCAGTGATGCACTCTTGTGAGGGTGAGATGGTCTGCGAGTCGATCAACCCCAAGATCCCCTACTTCAACGCCCCGATCTACCTCGAGAACAAGGTACGCCACAACCCTACCGAACAATCAATACAATTGGCAAAGATAAATCTAACTGGTCCTGATAGACTCCCATTGGTAAGGTCGACGAGGTCCTCGGCCCCATCAACCAAGTCTACTTCACCGTCAAGCCCCAGGAGGGTATCGTCGCAACTTCGTTCAAGCCCGGTGACAAGGTCTACATCGGAGGCGACAAGCTTCTTCCTCTTGAGAAGTATGTTTCACTTCCATCCGAATTCCCTCGCGCTCTGACTAATCTTCCAATCAGGTTCCTTCCCAAACCCAAGGCTCCTCCCGGACCTAAGGTCAAGCGCGCCGGTGGTGCTCGTGGTGGCGCCCGCGGTGGTGGTCGCGGTGGCTTCGGCGGTGGCCGTGGTGGTGGTTTCTCCCGCGGTGGTCGCGGTGGTGCCCCCCGTGGAGGCCGTGGAGGCTTCTCTCGCGGCGGCGGTGGTGGTTTCGGTGGCCGTGGTGGCGGCGGCGGCTTCTCTCGTGGCCGTGGTGGTCCCCGCGGTGGTGGCTTCCGTGGTCGCGGGTAGAGAGTCCGTGATACTATGTACTGTCTTCTTACGGCGTTTGGGGGAATCGGGAGCTTTTTCAGGAAACATTTCCTTGTGCATCCTGCGCAATTTGCTGCTTCACTGGCTGCAGGCTGTAGAATATCACCAGTCAAAAAATATTATGGTTCAATTTGGTTCAATGGGTTAGCATAAGACTAAAATTCATCGTCGTAGATTGAAGACATGTGTGGCTGGTGTGGCTGTGGCGCAGCTGCTGCACCGCCTCCGCTTTCTGCAGGTTAGGAATGACGTTGACCGCTCTGCGAATCTGTGCGTCTGTCAACACTTGAAGCAGGATTGACGCCAATTTTATTCCCTCTTACCCCTCAGTCTTACCTCTTGCGCCTCGTATTGCAACAAATATCCCGTCTGCCGTACATTCCATACTATTTGATATCACTTGAGCATGTCTCGCCGGACGTCGACCATGGCATCCAGCGATTCCAACAGCGGTGTCCCACCTTCAGGTGACGGAGGTACGTTAGAGCTCGGTTCGATCCTACAGAGGCCATCCAGCTTATATTTTGCAGGCCAAGAGAAGCAGAAAATGCTTCTCTCCTCCGAACAAGGTCATTTCAGCCTCGTGAAGTCAGTTCCGCCAACTTTTGCCCCCTCGCTCTCAACTCAACCTAATGCTCAACAGGGCCCTGCATCTTGCCGACCTGGTTACTGAGATGAATGGTAAGATACCTTTGATGTATCGGAAGCTTCTGAGAAATCAAATCGCTAACTCTTTTCCCTAGGTTTCTGTGGAGGCAAGCTCGTATTTCCCATCAGTTTGACGATCAGCGACTAACATGTAGAGCAGTGATGTCGGTCTTCTCTTCCATGCGCTACTGCCTCGGTGAGCCAACTGAATATGGTGCTATCTGGGCTGCTCTAGCGTTCATGCCTTTCGGTCTGTTCTTCGACTTTATGGACGGAAAGATTGCCCGTTGGCGCAAGAAGTCGTCCCTCATGGGACAGGAGCTTGACTCCCTAGCGGACCTGGTAAATGAACCCAGTGAAGAGGTTAACCACAATCCGACTAACTCTTCGGCCTCGAATAGATCTCCTTCGGCCTCGCCCCTGCTGCCGCCGCTTTCGCCCTGGGTATCCGCACCTCGCTTGATCACGTCTTCCTCGCATTCTTCGTTCTCTGCGGCCTTACTCGCCTGGCCCGATTCAACGTGACTGTGGCCGTTCTGCCGAAGGACAAGAGCGGCAAGTCCAAGTACTTCGAAGGCACTCCTATCCCAACCACTCTCTCAATCGCCTCCCTCATGGCCTACTGGGTCTCCCAAGGCTGGACACACGCAAACATCCCTCTTGGTCTTTTCGCCGAAGGCACGATTTTCGAGTTCCATCCCGTTGTGCTCATGTTCGTCTTGCACGGATGCTTGATGGTCAGCAAGTCCATACATATTCCCAAGCCATAAGGTCGGATTCACCTTGGCCCGGCATATACTGTTGGCGAGCAATGTCGGATACTGTTGTCCCCTTCAACTTGGACAGCTAAATGAAAATAAATATCGGGGCTGTCGCTTGTGGGCACGCTATAGCATAATCTCGATACACTTAAATGAGGATGATTGATCTGATTTCGATTGCATACATTGACCGTGGCCATTGAGTAGATACCGAAGGGAAGTCCCAACAGTGTCAACATATAAAAAATGGAGAAACCGCTGTCCTAAGCTTCGGCGGTGTTGATGGTCGTCATTCTTAGGTTCCAGAGTTTTAACACTTCATGTCAATCGAACCATGTTACATCAACCTTATATAACCACCTGGTGCAGCGACCTCGGGTATGAAACATAACACTCAATACTGACATAATCTTCGCATGTAGCCCTACCTAGGTAGAGCCTGTTAATCAGAACAATCTGGCACATATACCCCGAACCGCCAGTCTGTGTTGTATTGCAATGCTACAAAGAATATGACTACGTAGTTCATCCAAATGATGCTATACTTCTAAGCTATTAGATGTAGAGTACTCACAGGACTCAGTTTCGAGCCAAACATGACAACGAGAAAATACGAGCGCCACACGCCGTGAGCTCCTCCTGTCGCTATATATATATGCCGTCGATGCAACCATCGGGGTGCAAGCCATCCAAATAGTGACAGGCAACTTAATTCCTGAATTTAAATAACGGAGAAAGTTGCTATGCTAAAATGATGGTCTTAACATGAGTTCCGTCAAGTCGTTCGATGGATTCGGCAAGATTTGGCGAGCATATATCCGGTGTTTCCGGGGGCATGAGGAAAATAGGGTTGTAAATGCCTCTAAAATTAATAGAGCTATGCGCGAGACATCCTTATATTTGAGACTTTCGAGCGTATTCGTATTGGTTCTGTAGATATGTTTTGCTTTTCAGGCCGAAGAATTGTCGCAGGTCATCCTATATATATTTGAGCCGGGGTTCATATATATTGTGGAAAACATCGAATACTATGGGAAGCCCGAGGACACTAGAAACTGTTCCCGAGATAGATTGAGTCGTTGCATTAGTAATACCCATAGAGTCTACAATGAATATCTTGAAATTGTAGGTCACCAATGTAATGTATAATGACCGAGCCAAGTATTCCCGATGAATCGTAAATTGACAGAGTCTAGAATATACAGTGTCACAGCACAGATCAGAATTTTTAGCACCGATAATAATAGCAGCCAATATTTCCCCGAAAACTGGCCAGACCCGGATCTTTCTGCAGGGTCTGCACATCGTGGGTCGAATCGTGTTCTAGAGGTTCTAGACCACGCAAGTTTCAGTTTGATATCACTCCTCACAGTTCACACACGTCGAACTGGTGTTTGCATGAAGCCTAGTACATGTACATGGTTCGAAATAGAGTCTTTCCGGTGAACAGTATCTTCCCATTCTAGTTTCAATCCTTATGTTGCCATGCCCCGGTAAGGGGTGCCTGTTTTGTTGTGGCAGGTGGGGAATTCAGCTGGTCTAGCGGACGCCACTGGGCTAGGAATATATGCGTGGGCAGTCTAGACATTTCCATATGCTTGTGTTTATGTTTATATTTATGCTTGAGGATGATTATTTACCTACCTGTATTTTGTACGGCTTATGGTGACCCTGTACGGAGTATTTGGACCTTTTCAAAGGCCCGATTCCTTAGTCCAACTCAACGTTCGGATCTCGGGTCCTGGCAGATAATTGGCAATATGTCTCACTCTGTATGGAGTATTGTTATTTTTTGGCGGCTTGCGTGGAATGAACTAGAAGAGGTCACTGGACGGGATCAAGTGATAGTATTGTATGGACTAAGTTCTAGCAAAAGATATGGTGCGTATTGTTTGTTGGGAAGTAGATATTGTTCAGCATGACTTGGCAGCTACTTTAAGTTTCGCTGATTCAGGTGTATGAGATTGAGATAACGTTACTGTACAGGATTACTGGGGAACACAAACTGTGGCTCAGGTCATTGCTAGGGATTTCGATCTGCAAGGTACAGCCGATACATAACGACATTCGAGCCGGGTTCTACCGAGTGATATACAGTAGCTCTGCATACAGTACACAGATCGGAAGTTTCGGAGCTATTAATGTGGTTTAAATAACCCCCGAGGAGTCAAGGGGGATAAAGTACATGTACAAGTTAAAGGGTTCAATACAAGCCCTAAGGTTGGATGTAGATCTCTCAAATCCAGTAAATTGCGTGAATGTGGGTAAATTGTGCGTTACAGGGACCAGAGTAAAAAACAATTCGGATCCACTCGGGAGCGACCGCTGGATACCCATGGAAATGAGGTAGAGGAAATGCGATCTCTGTTGGAAGCGACATACAACCTTACTCCGGGGGAGTACACAATGTTGAACTAATGCAGGGTTTTGATTTCTCAGGTGTTAGCGCCTGTCACGGATTAACGGCTCCGCTGGAACTAATCTCCCTGTAATTTGCCGCAAATCTCGGCTGGAAAACTGTCATATGGGGCAACTAATTTGTTACGAACCCCACGGCAAAGGTCACAGGCCTGTAACTTACTTAACTTAACTTATAACCGAACGCACATGTGTAAATAGACATCAAGGGACTGTGGCGATGCTGATCTTACAGTATCAAAGACAGTCTCATCATCTTTACTTGGCACCCAAAATGGACTAGCGGCATGCCCAAGGTTCCATCCCGGCCCGCGTTTTCCCAGAGGGGAAATAGATCAACAGTGTCCCCTGGTTAGCCAGCACGGGTGCCTGATGACCAAGCAGGGTACTGCCTATGATTGGTTCACGGCTATTGTACACGGTACTGAACAATACAACAAACAAAGACCCCCATGTAGCGTCAGAGCTGAATGTACTCGGTACTCGAGGCCACTAGGGCGTTTCCCCCGTATTACTGGTACCTCATACCTTCTCTGGGGCACACTGACCCCCCTTGTCCCTTTCTCAAGGGATCCATCACCACCTTCTTTCCTTCTCTCCCTTCACACACATTCGTTTCCGACTCGAATTTCTCACTCGTTTATTCTTCAGGAGAGTCCCGGTTCTGAACCGAACCACTTCAAATTTTACGGTCGCTCACTCTCACCTAACCCGATAGGGGGTGAACTCCTCAATACCGAAGCCTCCACGCGAAACCGTCACTTTCCCTTCTTTTCTTCCGAGCGTTCTTTCTCTTCAACACTCGATTTGTTTTTGTCAGATACGCCTCAGCATCTGACCGAAACGGGAGCAAACGTCGTGGACAGTTTGACAACAAACGACTATTCAACAAACAGAAGTTCTTCAGGGTTACGCAGGCCGTCCCCATTTCTTCTCCGATCACCCTTGCGACTGTGTCCAGCGGTGTTTACGTTCTTCCTTCCGATACTCGACCTCACCCCTTCCCTTGCCGTCTCATCATGCTTTTCAACACACAGAGCACCCTCGTGGTGTCGACTGCCCTCTTTGCGGCCAGCTCAGTAGCTCAAGAGGGCTTCAAGGTTATTCCTCGCGGCTCAGCCAACGGAAAACTTGTCGGTTGCTACTCCAGCGCTCCTGGTTATGGTTCATCAAAGGATTACACCTACCAGAGTTCTGGCTGGTGTTTGAACAAGTGTTACAGCGCCAACAGCGCTGCATTTGCTCTGACAGGGGGCTCGACCTGCATGTGCGGTGACACGCTACCACCCGACAGCGACAAGGTGGACAGCGGCAAGTGCAACAAGGCATGCACTGGTTGGCCCTCAGATATGTGTATGTTACATAAACTGACCTTGCGCACTTGATTTACTAACCCCATTGAATAGGCGGTGGCAGCGACTACTACTCCATCTACACCACGAACTATGAAGAAGATGTCCCGACCTATTCGGAATCTAGCTCAACCACTACCACCAGCAGCGGCGAATCGAGCACCACGAAAACCGATGCCGCTAGCACCGCTGTCTCATCCACGTCTAGTCAACAGACGACTGAAGTGACATCCCCCAAAGAGAGCAGCGCAAGTGCATCTATTGAGGCAAAGACCAAGAGCAGTCACAACACTGCTGCGATCGCAGCCGGAGTCGTGATTGGTGTCGTTGGATTCGCCGCCCTCTGTGGTGCTGCGTTCTTCTTCTGGCGGTCCAAGAAGAACAAGACCAACACTGCTTTCGGTGGTGGCACCACTGGCGGCTACGGCCGCGACTCGAACCCGCCCTCGATGACCGACTCTCGGTTCGATGGCGACTACATGGCACAGCGCCGCCAAAGCAATGGCAGCATTGATGACGACCACGACTTCTCTCGTCGGATCCTGCAGGTAAATACTCCCGTGAACCCGTCGCTTCCTGCAAATGCTTACTCTGATTTAGGTGACGAACCCCGATCGCTAAACCACCTCTCCAACTGAATTACGCATCCCTCTCCTCTTCCTTCTCTCTCCTCAGTATTAGCGACCTATGTTCTTTCTCCCTCAATCTGCTTTACGAGACTGCTGTCATTATTGTTCCTCGGGTTTTTTTACCGGAGTTGTGATATCCGTAAGGCATCAGGCTCGACTCGACTTGGTGTCATAGTTTGTGATTTCTGTCTCTTTCGCCGTACCCTGGAACACGCTGCGTCAACAAGCGACGGCGTTGCCATGCGATCCGATGCAGTTCTCAACACCTACAACCGAGTGACTGTTCACCAGGACTCCCAGCAGTTTAATCGTTCCACCTTGTCTGGCACTGCAAATTCCTGGGTGGCAATGGACGGCTTGTATCTGAAAAGGCGTTTGCTATTTTTTTCGGCCCTATCAATGCTCTTTTTTCTCGTTTCCATGAGCAGACCATTCCTTTGATGTGATTCTTTTTTTCTTTCCTCTTCTGATCTCTTCTACTGTTTCGGTCGGATCTTTTGCCTATCGGTCCTAGTTTGGGCTATTTGTTCGCATTTTGCCCTCAAAGGAACTGATCTGGGAATAAGTCACTTTAAATAGAGAAGATCAATCAACTGTACTTAATGTGAGAATGGATATGCTTATCAGTCTGATTCCGTCCTTTGTAAGGCTTTGTTGGTAGTTGTTTCCTGGTCTATTCCGGCTGCCTCAGAACAATGAGAGGCATCCTAGGCGTCGGCCGATAGCCGTATAAGGCAACCAGGAGAGCGTACGGCCAGTTTTCCTTTCGCATCTAACAATCACACGGTTCAACCTCATAACGTGAAGATATAGAAGCCATCCCCGATATTCCCCGGGTCACGTGTACCATCATCCCCGCATTGTAATATACCCCGAAGCCGAAACTCCGCGTCGCATAGTTGCACGTCGATCATGGATTCCAATTCGAGAAACAGCGCCATGCGGTATCCCCGCAAAAGAGCCGTGACTGCATGTCAACTTTGTCGCACTCGCAAGACAAAGTGCGATAACCAGCGTCCCAGTTGCCGGATCTGTCTATCTGTCGGGGCTCCATGCGAGTATACAGATCGAAACGATCATTCATCGTGCGGATATCTATCTCCCTGATACGCCGATATGCGATGACTAACTATCCAGCTCAGGTTCGATCCAGCTAGCCTGGAAATCATTGATCGGTTAAATCGCATTTTGGCCTCACAACAGGATGTACTGAATGCTGTACAAGCTAAAAATGATAGTGGTACTTCTTTGACTTCATCGAATCCACATTCGACACCATCATACACATCGCCTCAGACAGTTTCTTTGCAGAATTCGAATGCTACCAGATTCTCGAATGGGGATCTCGTGGTGGACAGCTTCGGATTTCCGTCATCCTATACAAACCCAGATAATGTCCTTATGTGGCCTGTCTTCCATGAGAAATATCCCAAGAATTGTCTGCAAGATGCTGTCTTTGGACCGAGTCCGCAAAGTCTGCAGCACATACAGGAGAAATCAAAGCGCATCAAGTTTGGGTTTCAGGAGGATAAGGTGCCGGAATTGATGAAGCAGTTCTTTCTTCTGGTGCATATTAAGAATCCCATTGTGGATGAGAAGGAGCTGAAGAATTATGCACGGCGTGCTGTTGAAGAGGGGTTGGATTGGGATGAAGGGTCTTGTCTTGTGGTAAGAGCACTCTATCCCCTAAAACACTGCGAGAGAATTCTTGATCGGATGCTAAAAATGCAACAGCTTCTTGCTTGTGCTCTGGGTACAATCGCAGTACCATTTCAACGCGCACATGAAATCGCCACTTTGGATCCTGCAGAGTACAGGAAACTTCCCACTCCTCTCGACGCCTCTAGGCTAGAGGAAGCGGAATCATACTTTACACTGGCTCGCAGAAGAATTGGAAATTTGAGTCATTCAGTCGCTGGTGTACAATGTCTATTCCTTTCGGGTGTCTTCTACATGTATACCTTTAGGCCATTGGACGCATACCAGAGCTTCCACCAAGCATCTGTGATGTACCAAGTCTACGCAAAATCTAAACAAGGAGCCGCATCCACTCCCTCTGACTTAAAGACCGAACAAAGGTTATTCTGGAGCTGTTTCAAGTCTGAATGGTAAGTCAAATATCTTGCCACATGTTGACCTTAACTAACAGAGTACCCAGCGAGATCCTGTCGGAGATTGATCTACCCCATTCGGGTGTATCCCATCTAGACTACGTGCACATCTTCCCAAGCCCACCACACTCAGATATAATAACAGCCAATCCAACCTCCGTGCTACTACCAGATAGCGCAGAGCACACCCGCCACGACATGGCAAGCCGCGAACAGGAACAAGCCTGGTTTTACTATCTCTCAGAAATAGCTCTGCGACGGATCGGCAATCGCGTCTTGGAATCAATGTACAAAGACGACTTCGAGTCATGGAAAGAGCTCAACATCCAATCAACAATCCAGATCGCAAACGAGTTCCTCCGCCAGCTTAATGAATGGTATGAATGTCTCCCAGCACCCATGCGTTTCGACGATAAAGGACCAGGAATTATCCCAAGCGAAGAGCTACCCTGGCTACTATATGTCCGGCTTCGAGAGGTGCGGTCTTGGATCTTGAGACCATTTTTGTTTCTGGCGATTCATTTACCGCCAGATAACCACCACCATCTATCATTAGAGCCGTTTGTTGCAGATTCTTTGGTTGGGTATACTGGACTTATTGAGGCAAATTCTGTCTGCCATCGTCATCATGGGACTTGGTATACGCTCAGATTGACGTTTACCTCGGCGCTTTGTCTCCTTGCTGCTGCGAGACGGAATTTGTGGACTCCCAGATTGAGGGAGTCTGTTGAACTTGCTATTGAGAATTTGAAGTACTGGGAGGTTGGGGCTCCTGGTGATGTTCAAAAGGCTAGGGTTATTCTCGAGGAAGTATTGTCTGCATAATTAGCCACTATATATTCACAATCGAAATGGTAACTTATAGTTAGTATGAATGATACAAAAATGTAGCAATCAATAGCAAGAGCTACCTTACACTATATAACTAACAGTCACTAACCTCCCATTTAAGCTCTAAGCTTGTTCATCTTGAGGAAACTTAGCTCCACCCTGAGCGCGCACTTCATCCATAATTTGCATCACTCTCAACGTCTCATCCAGAGGCATCACCACACTCTCCTTCTTGCCGGAACAAATGTCGAGAGCAATGGCGTCAGCTTCATAGTAGAAGCCCTTACCACCGGTTGTCTCCTCAAACCTGAAAACCTCCTCATGCCTCTCAGCATCATCAACTCCGTGCCTCTTATCCCCCATATCCTTCCCAGCATTACTAGGCTTTAGAGACAAAGTGATAGTATCCGGCATAGAAGCAGCAGACCCACTAAGGAAAAGTGTTCCTCTACTCCCCTCGACTCGGGCGAAAACCTCATTAGACTTGTGAAGTAACGACGAGGTAATGATACCCTGACGACCAGTCTGATCATAGTAGAGCAGCAAAGATGAACTAACATCAACACCATTGACTAATGTCTGCTTCGCGCTGATCTGGGGCTGCTCGCGAGCTCCCGGAGTCTCCAGACTCAACAGACCCCAGGTGATAGCGTAGATACCAATATCTAACAAGGAACCAGCACCGAGCTTGACATCCAACAGGCGAGATGTAGCAGGCAACTCTTTGAGCGGCATATCGAGGGAGAAATCAACAAAGGTCCGGTTGATATTACCGAGGACTTGTTGCGTATGCAGAAGTTCGTTCCACTTTGATGCAATTGGGAAGAATCGTGTCCACAGGCCTTCCATTACGAAGACACCTTTCTCTCTGGCTGCGTCAATAACAAGCTTTGCCTCCTGCGCATTGATCGTGAATGGCTTCTCGCAGAGTACATGCTTTCCGGCGTTGATGGCGTCAAGACAGTTCTGTTTGTGGAAGGCGTGGGGCGTGGCGATATAGACGATGTCGACATTTGGATCCGTGTAGACGTCTGCGTAGGAGCCGTGGCAGGAGACGGATGGGTGCTCAGACGAGGGAATGAAGTCTTCCATGAACTTTTGGGCTTTCGCTTTACTGCTTGAGCCGATGGCGCGGATAGTGTGTTTCGCGCGGGCATCCGGGCGATTGAGACTTAGATCTGTGACGAACCAGGAGGCGATCATGCCCGTGGCTAGCAGAAATATTTATTAGCCTGGTATCATTGAAATTATTGCTCGAGGATTGCGAACATGCGCCTTCATATGGGCTCTCAAAGAAAAGATAACTCACCGATGATGCCCCATCGAAGCTCAGGAAGCGGGGAAGACATTGCTGGGATTTGAAAGAATCAGCGGGAGTAGTATGTACTGGAATGAATAATGAAGAGCAAGATAGAAATATGAAAAATTTGACAAGTATGGGAATCTTGACGTTTTATCCTATGACTTATTGCGGGACTCCCCAAATATCGATAGTCATGTCTAACACCTCTCCACTCTCCATCTTGTATATGACGAGTGGAACCCGCGGGGAGTATCGGGGCCCATAACTTATACAGTGGCTTCGCGGAAGTACACCCCACATCTAACACTCCAGCGGGACTGCAGCCCGGATGATGCTGTCCCCATGAGCGTTGAATAAAATAAATCTTGTGCCATTTATGTGGTAGACTTATTTGTTGTGCAGTGTAGCCAAGTTTCCGGGACCTTTTGAGTTCGTGGCTTGTGATTCATATTCAATCTTATGTTGATGTATCGGTATTGCGAAAACAGATGCAAGATAATGTTGAGATTTGTAGGGCCGTAGATTACCCATATTAAATAGCCCATAATTTCAGGAATTGTCCTCTTTTCAAAGCCTAAAGTTACGATCTTGCAAACTAGACACTCTCCAAGTGCCCACTGGATTCCAGATCCTTGCCTTCATGGTCTTCAGCACCAGCTGATTTGATATTTCCGTTTAGAAGGAGCGTCAATCCAACCTCGTCTCTTGCTGCTGCAAACATTTCTTGCTCGTGAGAAGCCGTCACACTACCAAACACCGTATCCATCTCTTCAAGCGTTTTGTTCTTTGTCTCAGGGACGAAGAACCAGATGAAGAGTGCGCCAATAAAAAGCCAAACAGCGAAGAATAAGTACATTCCCCAACCAATGCCGTCGATCATCGGCGGCACAATGAAGGCCACAATGAAGTTGTTCATCCAGTTCGAAGAGGCGCCAATCGAAGTGCCCTTAGCACGAATCGAGAGAGGAAAGATCTCTGTAAGCATCGAAACACATCAGTAAATAATGAAAGATATACGAAGAGAATGTTCTTACCAGCAATTAAAACCCAACTGGCAGGTCCCCACGAATATCCAAAGTTGGCAATATAGATCCAGATAAAGGCAACGGCCGCCCAACCCGCAGCGACATTGTGCTCCCAGTCATGTTGACATTTAGCCACAATTACTGCAACGATAACCATGGAACAGAACATTCCAACGGATCCAGCCATCAAGAGAGGTTTCCGTCCGACCTTGTCAATAATCATGACCGCCGGAATGGTTGCCAAGACATTGATAATGCCAACTACCCCAGTAGCAAGGAGGGAAATAGTACCAGAAGTCAAGCCAAGAGTCTGGAAAATCGAAGAAGCATAGTAGATAATGGAGTCAATTCCGCTCCACTGCTGGAAGAACATGACCAACCCTGCAATAGCCACTCGTTTGAAGTTGTCCTTCGTGCGAAAGATGTTGGCATATTGTGCAAGCTCACGGCGCCATATACTACGCCCACTTTCAGCGAGGTGGGGGAACTTCTGCGCGAATACTCGTTGTTCGAAGAGTACTTCGGACTTGATCTCTAGGTACTCACATCGTAGCACAACATCATCCTCGGGAAGGCCGCGGAGATAGGCAAGTGTTTTGAATGCTTCTTCCTCGCGGCCTTTGGTGATCAGCATCCGAGGAGAGAATGGCAAGAAGAAAACAACACCCAACGCAAGGATAATGGCTGGAATTCCTTGGATGATAAGGGGAGTCCGCCATGCCCAATCGGACTGTCCATCACCTGTTCCGCCGATATAGTTTGTTCCGTATCCGATCCAGTAGGAGAGCATAATACCCACAGTAGTGGATAGTTGTTGGAGGGAAACGAGTAACCCTCGCATCTCGGGAGGAGCAAGCTCGGCATTGTATAGAGGTCTGCAAGGGTAAGCAAACAATCGCGTCCGTGGAAAGTGATCGAGATACCTACCCAACAGCACTAAGTGTTCCGACCCCAATACCTGTAAAGAAACGACCAGCAAAAAGATAAGATCCATTATGCGCACCGGCACAGAGGAAAGATCCGAGAATAACCCAAAGAGCACCACTCAGAATGGTATGCTTTCGAGAGAAGACTTCGGCCAAGATGCCAGCGGATAATGCACCAAACCATCCTCCAAGTTGCAAAATGGATGTCAACCATCCTGTAGCACCTGAAGAGCCCACGATACTGGGGAAGTCGGCCTTGAACCTGCTCATCACTAGAGCCTGTGAGATAACGCCTTGTTGGTAGCCATACTCGAGGCCACCGAAGCTATAGATCGTTAGTACTCTGTGTATGCATCATTTGATGGAGAGACTAACGAGGCAAATAACGCAATTAGGAAGACCTTTTTGTTCTTAAATAGACCGGATATACCGCTCACGTTCGATTGTTGTAGTCGCAACGCGGCAGCAGTCACTTCTGCTCCAGGGGCTGTGGATGAAGGAGGCACATGCATCTTGTGTTCAACGCAGTAGCATTGAAAGGAGAGCTGATAGCAAAAGGGAAACAACTTGTGCATGGATTGACTGACCAGCGTCTATATAGACCTTTGGCTGCCTCGCTTGTTCTGCTCAAAAGAAACCAGCTCATAGTAGCTAAATTAGGCCAAATATGGGGTTTGAAAATCTATTGGCCGGGGCTTGCGATCCCCCGCATTTCACCGGCTTCTTTGTTGTCGCATCTTTACTCCTCGTGGCTGGGTCAGTTGAGATCCGGGGAGTCTCGGACGGGGAGTCTCGGCACTTAGCGTGCGAGTTAAACCAGTTTGGGCAACTCACTAGTAGGAAGAAGCATTCTTTCGACCGAATTTGTTCTAACATGCCCGGGATGGGGAACATCTACTGTCACCACTTTGTTCACATCAGACTCCGCACTTTTTGAGTTGCTGAGAGAAACTGCACCAAGCGATTGATATCAACCCGTCGGGATTTGGAGGACGGGATTTGGTATATCTTAGTGCTAGACCACATCCCTTAGCTCTAAGTTATTAAAAGTCAATGATCATTGCCTGCAATTGTTTCCATATTCTCTATGTTCTCTATGTAGTTTGATATTTCAGGATTAAATACAGCTTGAAGACAAAGGGTTCACATCCACTGAAAGCACCACTAGTTCTTGATACCTAACCTAGCCTGTCCTTCTAATCCTGCCTTCATGATCATGCCAAACACTTCCAAGTCCTTCTTAGCATCCTCGGACGTGGTCTTAGCCGGCTTGCCATTGACCACAAATTCATAGAGCTCTTTCATCTCCAAAGTATAGGCGTCTTCATAAGTCTTTCTCGTCATAGACTCCCGGAAGGATCCATCTTCAAGTTTCTCGCGGATGTACATGGTGGTTGGCAATCCCTTGACGTAAGGAGAATCGAAACAAACCTTCACAGTTTTCTGCTTGCCAAAGACCTCAATGGATGCGTCGAAACGGGGCACTTCATCAATACCTGACTCATATGATACAGCGAAAGAGGGATACTGGAAGAGAGCACTGGAATGAAAGGTTAGAATAGTGTGCGAAGTAGATGCGGAGATACGTACCTCCAGAATTGAGGTCCTTGAGCTGTGCACAAAGAAGCACCGAGCACTCCCGTCGGCATACCGAGAGCCTCTCTCATCGCACTTAGATCGTGCGAGCCAAGGCTGCCCAAATGTCTCCATTGAGTGGCAGTATCCGGACCAACGGGAATGCCAAGCTCCTTTGTCAAAGCCTGCTGAAGAAACTGGTCCGTCCTAGAGGCCAGATCCTTGGAGTCTTCAGGTTTGTAGTCGGAGAAGACCTTGGGGAAAGTGCCCGACTGGCCAACAAAAGAGGAGTTGGGGCCAACGACGTCCCGCACGCGCGCATATTGGATCTGGTCAAGACTGCCAATTTCCTTGATTGCGTCGAGGAATCCAGCGGCATAACGTCTCATGTATCCGATCATTACCTTTCCAGTTGATTGCTTCTCAAGCTGGATGATATCGTCGGCATCTTTCAACGACAAGGCCATGGGCTTTTCAATGAAGACGATTTTGTCATGTTTCAGGCCCAACAAGGCGTGGGGTACATGGAAAGCATCGCTATTGGCAATCATCACAATGTCCACGTCGGTACTAGCACAGAGCTCTTCAGCTTTGCAAGTAGTTTTGGGCAGGCCTCCAATGACCTTGTTTCTACAGTGTTGGAGGGCATTTTCAGAGACATCACAGAGGTAGGTGATCTGGAAGTAGTCTGAGAGAAACCCGAGAGTCGGAATATGGGCGACTTGGGTGATTTCACCGCATCTGGACGATGTTAGTCTTGAATGTGCTAGTTGGGGGGAAGTGCTCTTTCTGACCCGATCACTCCCACACGAAGAATTTTGTTGGTCATTTTTGATATTTCCGTTTCCAATGTACAATCAAAGGCGACAATTCTAGGATTCAAAGTGAAATAAGCGGAAGGATATAAGTAGGAAGAATTGAAGATGTTGGTTTTCAGATGACGTTCTGGTGGGGGTCGAGTCCACGTGAGCTGCCGAAACTACCCCGAGATGCCTTCACCTGGGCACTCACGATAGTTGTCAAGTTGTATTTGGTGAGATATTTCTAACTCCACAGCCATCGCAATTGCCGGGCTCCCCGCCCCTGTGATCTTCTTCACTTCCGCGGAGTTTCGGCCATAAGTGGAGATGTGGAGATGTCCGACACTCCCCGAAATTTCAGGCCAACCTCACGCGGTCATTTGGTGCTTCATTGACCTCATTATGCATAATTCTTTTTGTCATTTTCCAGAGGGAAATACGACAGCCGATCATATCACTTGCACCCCGCATCTTCCCCGCAAACTCAAGGCTTAAGGCTAGAAATTCCGGGGTACATGTGCATAGGACGGCAGTCGGCGAACCATGAGCCGATTTCCCCATATTAAAAAGAACCTATTTAGGCCTACGATAATCTGAATAAAGGCCAGTGGAAGCTTCATCTATATATTGCCCAGCTCAAACTCAGATCATGGTGTCTTCCAGGAATGCTTTGGTACTGTGGCTTGCCTCAATAGCTGCAGCACAAGGAGACCTAAACAACGTCGAGCCAGATTCTTTCTACCCCCGTGAATCCGACTCTCCTTATTCTTACCCCAGTCCCAATGCTACGGGGATTGGCGGATGGGATATTGCTATTACGAAAGCAAAACGCTTCGTCTCCCAGCTGACCATTGAAGAGAAGGTCGGCCTCTGTACTGGCAATGGCTTCCCTCCGTAAGTGATCCTTCTCTACTATAAAAAGTGATGGCGAGACATAATGTGTAATATCTTCTACAGTAACCCGGACAACCCGGATCTCCTATGCCAGGGTCAAACCCAGAAAATCCCTCGTCTAAACTTCACTGGCCTTTGCTACATCGACAGTGACACAGGCATTGGAAATTCACATTCGTATGCAACGGGATTTCCCCCAGGTGTCACAGCCGCCTCGACCTGGGATCGCGAGCTCATTCGAGCCCGCGGCTTTGCTATTGCGACCGAGCACAAGAACAAAGGTGCTCATGCCGTGCTAGGCCCCGTCCTTGCTCTCGGCCGAACTGTTGGCGGAGGAACCAACTTCGAAGGCTTTGGCAACGACCCCTTCTTGATTGGCGTTGCCGGCTATGAGACTGTCATTGGCCACCAGGCTGCCGGCGTGCAAGCCGTTCCCAAACAGTACTTGGGTTATGATGGCCAGCAGTACAATCGGACTTATTATTCCAGCAACATCGATGATAAAACTCTGCATGAGATTGAGATATGGCCCTATGCCGAGGCTGTACGGGCTGGTGCCTCCTGCGTGATGAGCAGTTATCCTTATGTCAACAACTCCCAGGCTTGTCAGAATGCTCATCTGCTGAACGATGTGCTCAAAACTCATCTGGCCTTCCAGGGATATACACAGACAGACTGGTTCGGTCTCAAGGCTGGCGTTGACGCATTCCTGGCTGGTATGGATCAGGATATGCCTGGTGTTGCTGCTGCCGGTGGAGATTGGGGCTTTTACGGCGCGAATCTCACCTTGGCTGTGTACAATGGATCTGTGCCAGAGTGGAAATTGGATGACGCCGCTACCAGAATCATGACTCCTTACTTCTTGCTGGGCCAAGATCGCGACTACCCTGATATCAACCTTGTTGATGATCCACGCAAGGCTATTGTCGATAGCCAGCGTCAGCGGCACAGAGCCTTGGCCCGTGAGATTGCCGCAGCGGGAACTGTCCTTCTGAAGAACACTGATGGGAAACGTGGACTGCCTTTGAAGAAACCTACTACCATCACTCTCTTTGGACGAGCCGCTGGGCCTAATCCGTACGGACCGAACCAATATGGTTATGGGATTGGTGTTTTTCCTTCGGAATGGAGTACTGTGAATGGCTATATCGGTGATTCCCTTTCCATTGGTATTGGTCAAGGAACTCTAGCTGAAGGATCAGGCTCGGGCTCAACATTCTGTCAGTTCTTACCTTCTCTCTCACTTGCTCTAAATACTGATCAGACTCCATAGATCCTCGCCTAGTTGATCCTTTAAGCGCTATCCAAACGCGAGCAAATCAAGACCTTACACTTGTCGATTGGTCTTTGAGCTCTAATCTAACATTCGCCAAGACTGTAGCCAAACGTGGCACAGTTTGCCTCCCCGTTGTGGCTTCGTCTTCAGGCGAAGGTGTTGATCGAAACATAACCCTGATGCACAAAGGTGACGCGCTGGTCAATACTGTTGCGGACAACTGTGACAACACAATTGTCGTTGTTCAATCAGTCGGCCCTGTTGACATGGAGGTGCGTGTATTGACACGAAGCCCATTTCCTATATACTAATAAATATTCAGAAATGGATCGACCACCCCAACGTCACAGCTGTCGTCTGGGCCAATCTGGGCGGCCAAGAGCTCGGCCCTGCCTTAGTTGACATTCTCTACGGCGACGTGAACCCATCCGGCAGACTAGTCTACACAATCGCGAAGAACCTCAAGGACAATGCCCAGCCGGATATCGTCACGGATCCACAGCCATACCCCCAGATAAACTATACGGAGGGTGTATCGGTTGACTATCGAGGATTCGAAAAGAACGGCATCAAGCCTCGCTTTGCATTCGGCCATGGTCTATCCTATTCGACATTCACCTACACGAGTCTAGTGGTCTCCAAGCATGGCGGGCTCGCTGCGGCCCTGGAAACCCCTATTGAGTATGTCGGAAATGCACCAGGAGGAGATATGGCGCTATACGACGTGGCAATCATCGCCGAGGTGACGATTAGAAACGAAGGACCCTATGACGGCACTGAAATCTCACAGCTTTATCTCGAAATGCCCAAGCAAGCGGGAAATCCAACCAAGGTTCTCCGGGGCTTTGTCTCTATCCCCATCCGCGATGGAGAAACTCAAACCCGCAAGATTTACCTTACCCGGAAGGATATCAGCTACTGGAACGTTGTGAAGCAGACATGGGTTACCCCTAACGGAACGTTTTCAGTTCATGTTGGTGCGTCATCGGCTGATATTAGGGTAAGCTCGACTTTTGACATTTGAGTTCTCATTCTCGGTCCTGGGCTAGCTTGGACAGAAAACCAGCCGACGGGAGATATGCGCGACAATCTATAAATAGACGCGTTGATCGACATGTTCAAAAGTTTGGCCGTTACTTGACACATGTCAAGAGAATATCAGGATTTAAGACACCGATCGTAGTGCACCGTTCACATGTTTTTGTCCACATATTTCGAATTCCACACAATTCGGGTATAGATATAACATCAGCCTCTATAATCAAAGAACTGCGTCTACTGTATCTGCATGTAAACAGATGCGCCACAAATTAAACCATCAATAACAACACTTGCACCTGCAAATCATCACCGAAGAAGGCAGGTCCGAAAGAACAACAACAATATAAGCCCACGAGTAAGGGTTCGGAAAGAGCGCCGCGTGATAGGGATCAAATCGAACCCCTGATCGGCACGTTACGAGCGTCCCCACCGCAAATTTGCAAAACAAAACACCATCGAAGAGGTACCCTGACAATATAAAAAGAAAGGAAAGAGAGAGAGGAAAAAGCCTCATACGAAACCAGCTATTGAAATTGAAACATCCTGTACCAAAGAAAAAGAGAGAGAAAAAAAAAGGAAGAAGAAACAGAATAAGATTCAACGGGATCTCAAAGTGGACCAAGCCTACCTAGGCCAGTTTCAAGAACCGATTGAAGTGGAGGCATCGGCCTCATTCCCTGCTATAATCCTAGTTTAATCCTTCTATAGGACTTGAATCGTGCATACTGTACTAGCTAAATGTGATGCTAAGGGCGACTCAGGCGCATCACCTACATGTATGTACTCCATTGGCCGTCTCCATTCTCCGTCTTCGACCTCCAACGGAGTTCGGAATCTTACCGCTGGACTTGTATGTGCATGTGGAACCGGGGTTTGGAACAATCCGAGTATCCGAATCTCGATGTTATTGAGATGAAAGGAAATGAAGGGAAGGGCGGATCTGTAAGTTTTAGGCGGAAAAGTCAGAGAGGGAGAGGCGCGGGTGGGAGAGAGTTAGTGTTCGGGAGGGGAGGGAAGTGGGCACCCTATTGAGGGTCAGACTTGGTCTGTATGCCGGATTGGGGTTAGGGTTGTGGATGTTGGCCTGTGTATAGAGTACTTCTTGGGTTGGGTTGGGGTTGTCCGGTTTCCTGTACTGTAGATTTGGATTGGGTTGGGTTCGGGGTTTGGTGGTATAAACCCCGTAGCTCACAGGCTTATACGGTTAAAGGTAGACGTGGATATAAAGTTGAGGGTAAACGCGTAAAGGGAGATGATACCGTGGGTGATAGGGCGATCAGCCGTGGGTGAACTGAACACTCCGATTAATGTTTGGTTTGGAATTGGAAGTGGATTTGATTTGATTTCATATTTAATTGACAGTGGGGGTATTGTAGATGTTTAAACATAGTCGAAGAGAAGTCTGCAACAGGGGTATAGGTATAGACAATTGCGCAGAGACACCAAGTCATAATCGTATCGTCAAGCACACAAGGAAAGAAAAAGAGCAAAAAAACAAAAGAAACAGACAAAAAGGAAATAACACAACACAATGGTTCCGGGAAAACTCTTGTCCCCCTATTTTCCATGTTTTCTGTGTTGGATGGACCGCGACCGGTGGACCCTCTAGGGGAGTTCGGTGGTCGCGCTTCGGGTATGAGGTGGAACTGGCGCCCCAATGACAAATAATGGTTGAGTCATTTGGAGTCGAGACTTTTGAGGCTTCGCTTCAGAGTAAGGTCTCCTCTCAGATCCACCCTCAGAGCCGTACGGTCTATCCAAGACTGGGGCCCACATGAGCTGGAGTCGGGCCCGGACAAAAGTCCGTGTGGATGTTCGTTAAGTCGTGAGATTTGACCCATGCTCAACATGGGCCTCCGAAACTCCGTCTGTCTTTAGATATTCCAGCTCACGGGTTGGAAGTGGTGCATGGATGGGAGCTGGTCATCGTATGAGAAGTCGGTGCCGGACCATGATGGAGAGGGGTAGTGGCATTGAACGGGCTGCGGAATATGTTAATAAAGAATAATAGTGAGATCGTCGCATAGAGAACTTACTGGCTGAATCATGTTCTCCCCCATTGAGATAGCGGCCAGGTTGGAGGGAGGGAGGCCGGCATCGGCGTCCCAGCGGAGCGGAGTGTGCATTTGCAGCGGAGACGAAGTGATATCGCCTTTTAGGATGTTCTTTGGGTACTGGTCAATGACTGAGACCGAAGCAGAGGAGATGGAGGAGATGGAGGAGCTGGAGTGGGGAGGAAGAGAGAATGTCGCATCTGACAGAGGCGAGGGGCAGGTCTCTGCGGGAGAAGAATAGAAAGGGCTGTCGTTTGTAGACTCCGGGAGCTGGTTCTGAAATGTTGGCCGGGGCTGGAGAGGAAGGTCGACGCCGCTCCACATGAGTGAACAGTCGTTAACCAGGTCCGAGTGAATGCCGGGAGCCACCAAGGACCCGATGGACATGTTGTGAGGCTGAGAGGTTGCGGTCATGGACATTTCGTGGTCAATTGACATGCAGCGCGGAATCGAGGATTGGGTCACAGTTTCTTGGCTGGGTGTCCATGCGGGTTGCTCGATTTGCGAGTCGAGTTCACTACCTCATTGTCAGTATGCGCCATGTTTCTCCGGAGCCGGTGTCACTCACTGTCTCTCGATGTGGCGCGCAAGCAGGTCAGCTCGGTGGAAGGACTTGTTGCATCCTGATTGTGTACAGTGGTACGAAGCTTCGGGGTTGTGGTTAAGTTCGTGACGTCTGCGGTGCTCGGCTCTGGTGAAGACCTATACTAAAGTCAGTATGTCGATCTGGGTAAATTGGGAGTATACTGACCTTGCTACATCCGGGGAACTCGCAGGCATGTACGCGCTTGCCTTTCTTGGCCTTGCTAATGCGATGGGTGGTGGGAGTATAGGTCACGCGCGAGTCGTCATCCTGAGGGCTGGCGCGCATGTTCTTTCGGCCCGTCATATTGGATCTGGGAGCAAACTGTCGAGGTTCAGGTGAAGGAGAAAGAGAAGAAATGGAAGGGGAGTTCAAGACAGAAGTAATCTGAGTTGGGTTGCGGTTTGAGGATCGGGGCATCCTGGGAAGGGAAGAGAGGTATTTAAGAAATATGAGGCTGTTTGAAGAAGGTGTGAAGAAGCTTGCAGAGGATCCTGAAACTACAGGAAAGAGGTGGACTGATATAGAGGAACAATATGCACTAGGAAGGACTCTTCCTACAGATCTACGGGATTAATAGACTTTGGGTAAATTGAAATTAATAAATAAAATAAAATAGAAAATAATAAAAGAAATCAAAATTGAGAATAAAAAATACAGTAAAAATAAAACCAACAGACTAACTGAGATTAGATGGCCATGATCGCTCGGGATGATCAGACTAAAATTACAACAAGTGCGGCTGAGGCGTGTTGGTTCGAGATAGCACTATGAGTGGTCGAAATGTGGTATTTTCGGTACGAACATCCTTGCCAGCTTATTGGACATATGTAGACAATGTAAGCCCTATTTCATTCCAAATCCCGTCCAAGCTTCATAACGGGTTTTCCCCACGAGCTGCTTTAGGACACGCTAAGCGGTATAAGGGTCTTAGGCTTATGGTGGAATAACCAGCAATGGTACCTAAGCTACTTTTTGTCTCTTTGTATTTTCTATACCATATAACTTAATCCTTGGGAAAAGAAAGAAAAGAAAGGACATGAGATCTAGGTGGAACCACAAAGCCTCAAGAACCAAAAAGTCCAAGCCGAACTCAACCGAGAGGGGAATCAGCCTAGTGGGCCCCGGTGATCTTGGCAACCTTGGCATTTTGCCCTAAGTTGCCCAGGTGCTGTTTCGCCATGCTGATCCTTAACATATGGGGTGAATGGACAACCACGTCATTGGAGTTCGTCTGGGGTGACACTGTACATGATCTGGGTAACCAGGTAATACCATATCTCGAACCCTTACTTGCTGAGGGTGGTACACTGCACCCGTTGCTACGCTGCATACCCGGGGAATAGTCCTCGTGGCATGGCAAGCATCAGGAACCGGGACCCTAGACTGGTGGAATCGCATTTTGAAACACGACCTGATCTTCTGGAATGAATCCTTCGACCTGCATAGTAAATCTGCACATAATAATAATAATAATAATAATCTACAACTTGGATTATGCAGGGGTAGCCTTGAATATTCACTCCATTCTACTATTACCCATGCCGATGCCCGTCACATCGCGACCGTTACCCTTTTTACGCATCCACAAATCACGGCCTGTGAGCGGGTGTCTGTGGGGGGAGGGGAAGGGGAGGAAATCTGCCTCGCACGATCCACCAGATATGCTTGCTGCAGATTATGGGGATCAACATCGGAAACAAGACTGCAAGGCATTTTCTCGATGACATTTGAAACTTGAAACGGGCATGGTCCTCGGAAATCGAGACGGCATCTCGACGGGCTTACAGCCTCATGTTTCCAAAGTTAGATACAGGTGCATGGCTTGCTACACTAGCCAGGGGGCTGTTTGATCCGCTGCTGCGGCCAGGGTCTTAGCGTTGTGTAGGGATTTTGTTTCGCACCCTGACCTTCGCGTGGCATACAATATCGATCATCAGTGTACAGTAGTGCATGATCCCGATCTATACTTGTTCTAGTGTGGAGGATTATCATCTCATTTGTGGTTGGTTTCAAGTTTCAAGTTATGGGCTGATTGTCGCTAGTCTGGGATTGAGTACCCATGTTAGTGGTTCGTGCTATCATCCTTCGTGCTGTTTATCCTCCACATTTGTTCTTATATATAGTAGCTGTTGCATGCCTCTTTCCCTTTGGGTATTAGTGTTTGTGGAGCGACGGTTACCGCAATTGTCACGGAAGAGAGCATGACCATATAATCAACCTTCCTCCTTAGTCTAGCTTCTGACAAGAGTTGTTGGTTTGTGGAGTTGCGGTCGGCTGGTTGTATATGAATAGTAACTTACTGTACCTGTTCAGACGGGATATGCGACCGGGGGCAGTGGTACCTTGCACTTCCAGCCCTACTCCGCATATATTTAGATGCATCCGTGGGTGTATAAGCCCTGCGCCCACGGATAGTAACAATAGCTCTTCCTGGTTGGGATGAAGATTACTCTTTCATTGTTCTTGAGTAAGCCTTGTACCCCTGACATTGAAGTAACATGAATATGCAGAGAAACATCACAGACGAACCAGAAGGCTTAGTTTACTGTTGGTTCTTTTTTTAGCAAGAGTTTGGGTTAGGCCGTGCACGGAGTCCAAGTAGACTAGTCTGCCTCGGGGTAAGGACAGCATGCGATGATCTTTCTGAACGGAGCTCGGTTTTTACGCGAAATACAATCAGAGCCCCGGACCCGACATCGGCCTTTCAAGTTGGCCCCTCTGTTAGACTTAACCCTAAGGAGAATATTAATTAAATCTCCGAGTTTCCCGTCTACCCGACTCATTTACGCTTTTTACATACGATCAGATCGACACGGGCGCAGTACCCCAGAATAACAACATGATGTAGGTTAGATGCAAATACTTCCAATTTCGCTGACAAGCTTGTCAGCGCAGCCTTCATATATAGTCCAAACGAATGAAGAGGTAGAAAAAAAAGCGCGGAGCCTCCCGGAGACCAAGTTCGGAATAGTTTCCCATGAAAACATGCGGCTTTTTTTTTCTTTTTCTTTGTTTATTCCCCACCAGCCGCCCCCCCGCCCCAAGCTTTGGAGGAGGCTCTTAATCCCAATGAGGTAAGGCGGCCAAAATACCCTGTTCCCACTCAAGTCTCGCCTTTGTGTCAGCACCCGGGTTTCCCTTGTTGATCGAACAAGGGTGGATCATGTCCACTATTGGCGCCTGTGCTTTTGAAAGAGGTAAGAGCTGCGATTTTGGAGGCTGGTGTTGGTCTCTGCGTATATATGATGTTCAGTGAGGCATGGGTCGCCTGATTCTGCAGAGAGCGATCATCATTATCGGATAAAGGGGTTGTAAAAATTGGGTGTAATCTTACCTCAGGTCTGACCTGTTCCCTTTGTTCTCATTGGAAGAAGTGTTTAATCTGCTATTTGTCCAGCTAGAACCTCATGGACCGAGCAGAATACAGCTTGTTATTCTAGATTTCTCTATAATTTCACGCTATATACTGCTAACGCACTATTCAGGAAATGACAAGGCCGAACCCGATCCCCGGGGTCGCCATCCATGCTCAAAGGAGCATGAGATGCTCTTTCCTATATCAGCTGTTGGGGTTTTGGAGACGTGGGAAATGACTATGCCCCATACCGGGGTTTGAAGTCGGAAGCGACCGCTCCCTCCCAGAGCCCCGGGTTGACTATTGGGAGCCGTCTTTTGTGCGTCAGAGAAGCAAAAAGGGGTCGATTTCTTCACAGTTACATTGAGCATGAGTCATGTTGAGCATTCAGACCACATGTGTACACAAAGGACACAAAGAATAGATATGAGATCTATGTACAGCGTACGGATAACTTCAATAGTCTACCGGTTGCGCAGAGGCCGGACCGTTAGAGCCCACGACATACTCAAACCAGTTAGCTGACCCACCCTAGCGTATATACATATCCAATCAGACACAACTTCCTCATTATACAAATCGGGTATAGCGTCCAAGGGTTATCTACTTTGGGCCATGCGGGAATTCCGGCTTCGCAACGAGTCAGGCACATCCATGGATGCGCCTGTACTCCGTTCTGTACGACAAATTGTTGTAAGCCCCCCCCCCCCCCCCCACAACGCCTCCATTCTTGTTTTTCGTGTTCGGTCCGGGCCCTCGTGGAGCTGTTGATATACGCTCCTGTAGCTATCTACGCCCCAGCTAGTGCGCTGATCGATCGGCGCTCACGGTCCAATCCTTTCCGGCAGATGGTCGTTTGTCAAATGCTCGTTGTGGGTGACGATCATGCGCCCGAAGAAATACCGCATTTGTGTGACAATGGAAATATTCATTGGAATGTGCATTTACGCTCTATGCATATCGGTCTAAGCAGCGGTGTCGATCATGTGAAGTTACATGAGAAATCAGAAGTCGACCCGATGTCAAATCAGCTAACGCGCATTAGCTACGGGAACGAATGACGTCGTTGGTTTACAGTATAGATGAGGCATTTGTCTACTTTTGAGTCATGGCTGTGGGGGAAACTTCCATGTACGGGCAGCCGAAAAGCGAGTATTTGCCGAATAGCTTCTGTGTACGTAGATATCCGATTTTAGACATGGATCGAGAGTGTTTTCCGAGTATGCATCTGGGCACTCACATAGTCACCAGGAAATGATCTACACTTCTTGGAGCAATGCGCCACTTCACTCCGTATTTGGCTCAGATCATTGGTGGCAAATTCTGCTCAATTTGAAAGCAAGGCTATGATATGAAGGATAGAGTTGTGAACTCTATAGAAGGCACTCGACTGTTGCCAACGGCGACAATGTGTCAATCGGGTTGACCCGCGATAATTGAGCAGGACTTGTACGGCTAAACGGGATCCTGTTCGGTAAAAGTGGTGTAGAACGTTCCGAGTATTAATTTGGTTGCTTTGTTCTCTCGATAATGACTGACACCCCTGTAAGGGGTTGCATCGTATAACGTATATCCCATGTAGGTCCCCATTCGGGGTAAATTGCAGTTAGTTCCGTCGATCAGGCCATGTGGCTCGGCACTGGGCATCGCAAGGCAGACTCCGCTAGTTGCCTGAACATCTATTTTCACGATCGAGGAACCTTGCATCGTTTCAGATTATCCTTCGGGAATGTCTCGACGATTTCGGCTGACATCACACCCTCGACACTACATTTCCCAGGGAGCTTAGAGTGACTAAAAGGGTCGTCCGCTAGACCGGGAGGACGCTATATAGCGCGAGCGTTTATTTTAAAGGTAACCTCTGTTACTACATATCAAATGCTCGATTTTTGCCTAGTATCAGCGTGTCCTGCTGCTATCTCATGGTAGATGGCTTGCAGACGGTGGAGAATATTGATTATATTTTACCGGAGTCCGTCTCGAGAAAATGCAAGCTAAAAGCCAGATCCAATACAAAAAGGATTGACAAATAATCTCATTCAATCCACAACGCCTCCAATAATCTCCATGTCTAACGGGCTTGCGCTAAGGATCCTTATCCCTGCGCCCCATGTGGCCACAGGCACAGGGATAAGCGATGAACTGGCAAGATGAAATGAGAGCTAATTTAGGGCATGCAATAATGCACCCGCTACTGCACGCTCCATGCACCCATGCGGAGCATGACACTATCCCGCTATAGGTAAGTGCACGGCGTCACTAGCATTTCCTCCGACGTGTTTCATGCTGACCCCGGTAAACGTGGCAATAAACAACTGCATGCCGCTAAGCCTAGAGAATATATTGCTGATCATGGCTAATTTGGTCCTTTTGGGATGTTATTTATAACCATTATTCCCCGGCGTTAGCTCACATTTGCATGTACTGTACAGCCTACGCCAGATTTATGCGATCGCATTGAATGTGTACGACGGGCCTATGGCATTGAAGTACCGTTGCACATCTGTTTCCTAGAGCTAATGAACCAATGTATATAATCTTGTCAGCCTCATGGTGATCGTGTTTCAGGTTAGGGGCCACAGCATCGCCATCCCGATATGCTTCTATTTTTACGGCCGAGGATTGCTACAGTGGTGATATTGATAATCAGAGCGGAACCTGCGGTCCTTGATCTCACGAGTTGATACCTTTTTTTACCAGAGTTCTGGAAATGGCTTTCTAGAGAATACAGGAACCCGGGGCCGACCTGTACAGGCCGTTTACGCACCTCAACCACACTAGACTAGACGTATTAACATCCACTCTATTGATTTTCGACATGGGACGGACAGTGCAAACTAGATCTACGCCTGTGCAGGGTTCGCCAATTCCCCCCAATTTTATTTACCCCTTTTCCCACATGATCTCCTAGTGCTGCACGGGACTGGAAAAGTTCCTGCGTGCGACAGGGCTAATTCCTTGGGCCTTCTAGCTGTCCACATGGACACAGGCCCTCGCAGATCACTTAACCTCCGCTTGGCTTAGGGCACCTCAACCGTCCCTCGTGACAAGAAGAGGTCCATCTCAATCTCCATTCCTGAGCTAGAGTTCATATCCGCGGAGTCCAAGCTAGCAAATGGATCCCCTCCACAGAAGCGCAAAACCTTCGAGTCGCATCGGCCCGCAATACTTATTAAATGTATTCTCTCCAATAAGTTAGTTGATTTAGTGTACGGTCTAGGCTAGACTCGCGAGGTCCGCAGTATACTTCCAATTGAGAATGAATGTACTCTACAACGGTGAGCTAATTAAGGAACATTTTATTCGGCTTTTGCAAAATCTCACCTTGCAGCCTGGATGTCAGCATCTTATTTGCTGGAAGAAGACAAAGCACCCAAAATTTAACAGACAACCAACAATACACTGCAGCAAACCAATCAACGTTTGAACACCGCCCCCGAACTAAGTGCCCTTGATCAAATTAGCAAGCCTATATTAATATATATTCGCGCATATTGTACATCGGCACGGTGACATCATTATTTTCCCGAAGTTCTCGGCGCCAGCATGCATCCACTTGACGCTGTTGGTTTTGATGTGGAAGTTATTGGTTGTTTGTTCTGCAGCATGCGGGACACCTATGCGACAGTTGCTATACAGTATGGGGTTATTGTGCAGCGTGTTGGTTGTTACGTGTCTTATAGATAGTTTTAGGTCATGCAATATATATAACCCTGAGTGTTTATCGATAGGAGTTGGGTCCCGATTCCGATAGTTTAGTCCGAAATCCGTTCTATATTAGTCATGTGAGATACAATTCGTCTCCATGGAGCTTTGTTATTGTGATATTTTGATAGAGAATGGTACAGAAACTCTGTTTCAAGTGGTAGCCTAAGATCATGAGTCAATGTGGAACACATAGCTTGAGGTTTTTTATCCAGGCATCTACATCTGCTACGTAGTCAACAGCCATTCTTACTGCTGCCTCAACAAGCGGTATCTAACCGGCTCGAAGGATCAAGCCTCACGATCCTTCAGACCAAAATGATCTCATTGACACACCTGATCTGCTCTGTAACAGACTATGAGCTTGGGACATGCAGGATCCTGCAATTCCCCCTTTTCCCTCACGCGAGAAGTCTAGATCTTAGTAGCCAGCCGTCTCTAGTGTTTTCAAAGCTGATATTGGATCATCGAACGGGTGTTGCCTGAGTGTGCCGATCCTCGCTTGAGATCCTGGTTGCTAGACTCTTACGTGGTCAGGTGGCTGTTGAGCTTGTCTGGTGTTAATTAGCTAGTGACAATGACTCCAGTGGCTTCTTCACAAGCTTGATGTTTGCTTGTCTGATGTCATGGAGAGTGAGGGGATGATGAAGGTAACGCTGAACTCCGATGTTGGGTGGTATTCGGGGTCTTTGGTCCCCGGAGTTTCCGTTCGAGAGAGTCGGAGACGGAGGAAGGGTTTTAGGATTTGGAATACCCGTTGATGGTTCTTTGTTTTGACGGTTGTGGCGGTCTTAGGGCTTACTTGTTGCCTTCAGGTATGTGAGGTTTTGGGGTCCCCAGAAGGGAAGTTTCCACTCAACACTTAGCCTTTGGTTAAAGTGATATATAGATGTTCAAGCTTATCTATTAATTTTGTGAAGCTCTGAGGTCTTAACTCGACTTGCAGCATTGAAGGGCTTTGTGATTGCCCTCTTGGAATCAGCGGTACCAAGAGCAGTATGTGTATTTTTGATGTCAGACAAGAAAGCCACTGCAAGTTGCACCCAAGGAAACGGTATCGCTTCGCAATTGATTAACAATTAAAACGTGTTCTCAAATAAATTCCTATAGATAAATCTAAAGCAAAGGGTAAGCCATTCCATCACCTCTCATATCACTGCCAGCACCATAAACCAGCTTCCCATTATCATAGTACGAGCGAATAATCTGTCCGCGACCAAAGGCAGCACGTTTCCAGCCAGTGAGGACCTCAATCTTGTGACCAAGGCGACGCAGGCCCTCTACAGCATCGTCACTAATACCCTCCTCAACCCACACAGTGCGGTCAGTACTCTCGTCCGTTGGGGCAGCAAGACAGAAGCGCGGTGAATCTAGCGCAGCCTGAGGGTGGTACCCAAAGGCAAGCATGTTCAACATGACCTGCACATGGCCCTGAGGTTGCATGAAGCCACCCATGACACCATAAACCGAGTGTAAAGAGCCATCCGCGATATTGGTGATCAGGGCGGGAATGATGGTGTGGTAAGGGCGCTTGCGCGGTGCAAGGGCATTAGGATGTCCCTCTTGGAGCGAGAAGTTGGCACCGCGATTTTGCAGTGTGAAGCCGCAGCCAGCGGGAATGATGGCAGTACCGAAACCGGCATAGTTACTGTTGATAAAGGAGATGCCATTGCCCTCGCTGTCAGTGACGGCGAAGTACACTGTGTCGCAGTGGTTATGGGCTGGACTGCCATGGTCCATGATATCCGCGGCGCGGTCGGGGTGGAACAGCTTCGCTCGCTCAGCTAGATACTCGCGCGCGAGCAGGCCCTGCGAGGGTACGCGCTCTACATCTGGGTCGGTCACCCACCATGCTGCGTCGGCGAAGGCGATACGCAGACTCTCGATCACGGCGTGCAGATACTCTGCTGAGTTGTGCTGGGCCTCGGTAAACTTCGGGATCTTGCCTGTTTTCTCGAGTTCCTCCATGATACCGAGTGCCATGAGTGCCACAATTCCCTGTCCGTTTGGTGGGTGCTCCCAAATTGTGACACCCTGGTTGGTATCGCCGTCTGTGCCAAGTGTTGCCTTTGAGACGATATCCTGGCCGGTGAAATCCAGCGAGATCGCGTCAACCTCCTGGGTCCCGACTTCAGAGTGGTAGGCAAGGTCCTCAAGGGTCATATAGCCACCCAGATCCTGCACCACTTTGACAATCTGCTCCGCAACTCGGCCCTTATAGAATCCCTTCTTACCCTCGGCAGCTAGGGCACGGAAGGTCTTCGCCAGGGTGGGATTCTTCATGATCTCACCCGGAAGAGGGCTGCGCACGCCGTCCTTCGCTAAAGGATCAACCTTGAGCATCTCCCGAAAGTTGGGGGACGCATTGCGAATGTCCTCCTCAGCTTCAACCCACTGTGTTTTGTTAGCTCGTTGAGCAATTCCAAATGGAGGCTACAAACTCACGCCGTGTGATGAGAGCTCAGACACAGGGAAGCCCTCCTCGCCTAGCTCAATGGCGGGCTGCAGGATCTGCTCCAAGGACAGCTTGCCACTGCCGAACTTCTCAATAGTGTCGACCCAACCGGCGGCCGCACCGGGAGTTGTCGCGGCCAAGGCATTCATCATGGGCATATTGCCTGGTGCACCAGGGGCAAAACCTAAATCTTTGCGCACCTTCTCAAGGCTGGCCTCCCCAGGATACCGACCCGAGCCGTTCAGGGCGTGCACCTTCTTGGTCTTTGCATTGTAGAAGAGACAGAACATGTCGCCTCCAATGCCGGTAGAGCAGGGCTCGGTCATGTTCAATCCGGCAGCTATTCACGCGATCAGTTCATAGTTCTGTCCGTTGTTCCACATATTGATACTTACCCACTGCAACTGCGGCATCCTGTACAAACACACCCCTCGGTTAACAACCTTCAATGCCACAGAAAAGGAGAGACATACTGCAGCATTTCCACCTTGACTCAGAATCCGATGACCCGCGGCGGCAGCCAACGGCTGCGAGCATGATACAATGCCCTTTGTGCTGTGGACAGTACTCCGTCGGCTGGGGAATGGGACGTAGTCCGCATTTTCCCGGGAGTATACGGCTTTGGCGTTGAGTGGCATGTTTACGTGAGTGGTAGAGACCAGAGAGAATATGGGGTATCGAGTCCTTATAAACCCCCACTGAAATACGTGGGATACAACGAACCATAGGCTACCCCGCCGTCATATTGGAGAAATTGGAGTCTATCTTATCGGAGTGCGAAGGGGCCTCCCCGTTGACCGAGGTTAGCCGTAAGTAAGATGACTAGAAAAGTGTTGAAGACATCAGCAATCTGCAACTATTCAGACATTCTGAAGAAAAGCAGTCGAAGAAGTCGAAGTAAACGATAAACATTGGCACTCACCGCCCTCGAAGACGGAGGCTCCATTACGCAATCATCCCACCTCGGGACTTCACATCCTCTCCTATAGCGGGCCCAGAGGTATAAAAAGGGCCTCTCCCTGGTCTTATCTGATGTGCTGATTTATCTAGGCCTCTGATGGCAGAATGGTGGTTTTTGTCGACCTGGACGATGCCTTCGAGCACGGATCGACACTGGAGAAGCCCTTCCCCCAGCTGAACCCCATCGCGTCGGAGCCGGCCGACTTGACCCCATCACCTATTTCCTCTTCCGTCCGTGAAGAACCGGATGAAAGGAACTCCAATCCCAACCGAAACGGGTTCTCGGCGGCTTTGAGCTGTTATCCGTATGTCAGGGCAAACCTTGATAACTGGCAAATTGAGTCCCGCTAATCACCCCCGCTCTATAGTATCGTGAAGGCAATCGCTCGAGCCGTTGATCTCAACACCCTCTACTCTCTTTCGACAACGTGTCGCCAGTTCCATGTGAACTTAGCACCATTCCGCCACCAACTTGTGCGGGAGACCCTCCGGTGCGAGAATGAATATGTCGAAACACTAGCAGAAATGCTACACAGCGGCGCTGTCCTCCCAAGCAGCGTGAAGTCAGTTCTGCAGCTACTAAGCCGCGGTAACGGCGAGCCAGGACGCATGACTCGCGGGAAAGTGGCAAAATGCGCGCGCGACATGGTGGCGGAATGTCGACGCTGTGCGAAGGTCGTGTGCAGAGTATGAGCTTCCCCATCCCAAATCCCTTGATCGTGTCCCTAAACCCGAGTTTGCAGAATTGCACCATCAAACCCCCTTCCCAAACAACCCTCAAAAACCGCATTCGCCGCCTCTGCCATACTTGCGGCACTGCACCCCTCTCGTCCCACCTCTCCACAAACCCGCACAACCCAGCCCCCGACCCAGGCAGTGTCGCTGCAACCGTGTTCGCCCACAGCCCATGTACGTGCACGGAGTCTGTCTGGCTTTGCACACAATGCGGGCAGACCCTGCGCAGCAACGACACGACCTACCGACGCGTCTGGGCCTGGCGCACGAGGTATAGCACATCCCTCGGCGGCGGGCTAGGCACTGGTATCGGCGAAGGCTGCCAAGGCGTGAAGTGTGGGCGAGGAGAAGCATGTCTTGCCGCACAGGGAATCGAGCTTGAGGTCGAATGCGAGGCGGATGAGGGATCCAGCGATACTAGCAGCAATAATAGTGCAGGACATAGTCCTGCCAGCCATCCGTCATACTATAATGAAGCAGCCGTCTCCACTGATAGCCATGATGATGAAGAGCCGGGGTATTTCCGGCAGGAGATTATTGGCCTTGGTGGGGTTGTCAAACATAAGGCTAAGAAAAGAGTCAATGTTGGCGCTTGTGTTGTTGAGTATGAGGATGAGAGGGAGACGGGGAACTATCTTGTTCGTGAAGAGAATGGGTTGCATCGTGCTTGGTGTGGATGGTGTTCTAGGGTGATTTGTTCGAAGAGTGAGGCTCGCTGTTAATCCTCCTTGAGTTGGCTTGGGTTTTTCACATTGGCATTGGTATTTGCATTCACTTTGGCTGGTTTAACCTTTGGGTGCTTTATATGATGCTGATTATACAAGCTTTGCATAGTAAATACGTGTATATCACATGGAGTGTGGATAACTAACTCTGATAACAATGGCAGAGTAGAGATCATAACAAGCTCATTTTGAGAGTTGCCCCTGCCAAACAATTTAAACCGACAACCTTCCCTCCTTCCTCCGTAGGATACGGACGGCTCTCTTGGGGCTACTTTAGCCAACATCTTGGCTCGGACGGTGTCGAGCAATATCTCTGGATAGCGCCTGAGATTCCGTGCAAGATTAAGTTTGGTACGATGGTCTTTGGACGAGCTCGACCACGAGCTTCCTGAGGACATAAAGTAGCACTGATACATACTAGAAAATAAGAAGAAGGCCTTTAGTAGCAAAAGATAATCTCAAATGGGTTGTGAGATTGCACTTTCCCGAAACGCTGTCTTAAACATGGAAGATACTTGTCTCATATAAATGCACATCTTATCAAATTCTGGCCAATAAGCCACATAATCCAAATACTCCTGCAATGAATCGCTCCCCAATGCAACAATTTCGTCGTGAAGCATACACTGTCATATCATATCGGGCATTCTGTCAAACCACAAACCACCCCTGCAAAGTAAAAGACAAGGTTGAAAATGAGGAGAAAGTTAAATCAAGACAAAAACAAAAACAAAACAAAATAAACAATCTCGGGCATCTCAATGGACACCAATGGCCCTGAAAAGGCTCTTCAGCTTCGACTCCTGAGGAGGGGGGACTCCTCACGCCTGTGTCGGCGATGAGAGCGGCCTTCACGAGTTTCAGCGCGAGTCTCACGGGAACTCTGGTATCGGCGAGAAGAGCCCTCAGCCCTCTTCTCCCGCTCCCGCTCCTTCTCCTTTTCGCGTTCGCGTGACTTGGCTCTATCTCTCCGTTCCTCCCTCTCCTCTCTGGACCGATGCTCGGCCGTCGACGAGCGTCGCAGCTTTCTGCCCTCAGACCGAGGAGCCTCTTCTTCACGTCGTGCTTCACGCCGCTCTTCGCGGCGCTCGTCACGTCGTGAGCGGGAGCCACCAGATCCATTGGACCGAGCACTTGAATGTCTTTCTTCATGCGAGGTACGTCCCTGGCTGCTGCCATGGCTGTGACTTGTCGAAGATCGACGCAAAGTTTTCTCGACTGGCGGAGCCGCCTTGGTGGCATTTACACGCATGATATGATTTGGATCGGATTGACCCTGAGTCATGTAGCGCAGGAAAGCACGAGGTTTAGGCGTTGGGGCTGAAGTTGCTTTCGTCGAAGAGGTCTTGGTAGAACGGGATCGCTCGAGGGATTGGTCAGGTGGCGTGTCGGAGGTGCGTCGTTCAGATGGACGTCGTCTAGGTCTACCTTCGACCGGAACGGAGACGGGGACGGCGACGGGCACGGGTACGGGGATGGGCTCCGTCGCCTTAACCTTCTCCTTGTCCTTTGAAGAGCGTCTGGGCTTTTCAGATGAAGAGATGCCACTTCTCTCACGCTCCTCGATGAGGGCACGCTGCATCCGTTGGGACTGCGTCTTCTCGTCATGCTGGCGCCGAGCTTCTTCAAGGGCCTTGGCCCAGCGGTTAGTCAAGACACCTCGCTCGCTCTTCTGGCGCTGAAGGCTGTCTTTGGGTACATCCGATAACGTCTTTGAGTACGCACGCTCTCGCGTCTCTGGGGAGCGCTTCTTCCGGCGTCGTGAGCCATGTCGGGCAGTAGAGGGCCCTTCGCCCTCAAAGGATTCATCGCGGGGAGCCTCGTCGATCATCACAACCTCAGGCGAGGTATCAGCTGGTGGTGGCACAAGCTCATCGGACGCCACGTTCTCCTCAGCAGGGGCTGGTTCGGACAAAGCTTCACGCGCTGCTGGGGCCTCGGTGGCTGGTTGATCCTCTACAGAGAGACCTCTGGCGGCCTCTGCGTCAGGGGCAGGTTCCTCTGGAGAGGCTTCAGCCGGAACCTCTTCGGGAGTTGGCGTCTTGACCGGAACTGCAGCTATATCGGGCTCTGGTGCCGCGGCTGGAGCATCCGGAACTGACGGTTCAACCGGAATTTTTTCGGGTGGCGAAGCCTCAACTACATGCTCTTCGACAAGATCTGGCTCTTCCACAGCAGCTGGTACTTCAACAGGAGCCGGCTCTTCGATAGGCGCCGAATCTTCGGGAGTTGCCTCAACAGGTGCCTCTTCCAGTACTTCCTTTGACGCCTCTTCGGATACAACCACGTCTTCTACTGCCGGTTCAGCAGGTGCCTCTTCCACAACAGGTGGTTCAGGCGCAGGAGGCTCAGGCTCTTCGGGGGCAGCAGGTGCAACTTCAGACGGGGCAGGTTCAGGAGCTGCAGGTTCAGCAACGGCTTCAACAGCTGGCTCAGACTCCTCAGGAGCTTCCTCGGCAACTGGCTCGGCAGCTTTTTCTTCCTTGACAAGTTCCTGCTCCTCAACTACAGCCTCGGGAGCTGGCTCGGGTTCCTCTACAGGGGCTTCCTCAACCACTGGCTCAGCGACTGGTTCTTCCTCGACAGGTTCTTCAGTAGCAGCTGGCTCAGGAGCAGGGGCTTCCTCTACTGGAGAATCCTGGGCAACGGGCTCTTCAGCTGGTGCTTCCTCGGGAGATGCATCTTTCAGCGGCTCCTCGACAACAGGCTCAGTGACAGGCTCAGCGACAGGAGCTTCCTCAACTGGAGTCTGATCCACTGCAACAGGAGGCTCAGGCGCAGGAGCTTCCTCAGCAGGCGCCTCCGCAGCCGGTTCCTCAACCACAGCAGGTGTTCCTTCTGGAGCACTCTGGGCGACAGGGGCGGGCTCCTCGACAGGGGCTTCTTCTTGGGGAGCTTCTGCTGCTGCTTCTTCGGGAATTGACTCAGCAGCAGTTTCCTCAGGTGTCACCTCGACAGGAGCCTCTGGTGCCTTTTCTTCCGGCGCTTCTGCAACTGCTTCAGGCTGGGGCTCGGGCTCAGCTGGGGCCAGATCCTCAGCAGACGCCTCTGTAGAAGCATCTGCGACGGGTTCAGGCTCTGCGACAGGCTTGGGCTCAGCAAAAGGCACTTCCTCCACTGGTACGGGCTCAGGCTCAGGCTCAGGCTCGGGTGCAGGCTCTGGTTCCTGAGGAGGTTCGTCCGCAGGAGGTTCAGGTACAGTCTCTGCTGCCGCGGCCTTACCCTTCTTGCCTTTCTTGCCCTTCTTCTTCTTGCCGGTTTCTCCGGGCACCTCCACAACTGGCTCGGGTGCTGCTACTGGTTCCGGGACTGGTTCCGGAGCAGGTTCCTCCACTTGTAATTCAGGCTCCACTACAGGCTCCGCTGGAGGTTCAGGCGCAGGTTCAGGCGCAGGTTCAGGTTCAGGTTCAGGTTCAGGTTCAGGTTCCGCTGGGAGCGTAGGCTCTGCCGCTGGTGCATCAGCCTGTTCGATTGGCTCGGAGGACTCCTCGGGTGCGGTATCCGTAGGCGGTTGATCGGCAGGCGTATCAGCACCAGCTTCCTCTGCCGGCAGTTCAGGTTGAGGTTCAGACTCCGCTACTGTCTCGGTGTTGGCAGTTGGCTCGGGCTCTGTTGAAGGCACGGGTTCTGCTGATGGCACGGGTTCTGCTGGTGACTCGGGTTCTGCTGGTGACTCGGATTCTGTTGGAGCTTCTGGCGCCGCTGGCGGTGCAGGTGGTTCAGGCTCCGGATCTACTGCAGCGCCCTTGTTCTTCTTGTCTTTCTTTTTCTTGTTTTTCTTGGCCTTCTTGCCGGTAGGTTCCTCAGCAGGTGGCTCTTCAGCAGGCGGTGCCGCCTCTGGCTCTGGAGGAGTATCGACGGCCTCTGGCTGAGCTTCGGGTGCCGGTTCTGCTGGCGTTGCTTCTTCCATCGGAGCTGCTGCAGTATCTGCCTCGCTTGGCCCGTCGGATGTCGGCTCCTCAGCAGCGGGCGGGCCGTCTGCTTCCGGTTCATCGCCTTTGCCTTCAGCGGGCGCTGTATCTGCAGGGGTGGCACCCTCGCCTTCCTCGGCCTGGGCATCTTCAGCAGCCTCTTGAGCAGCGGCAGCTTTCTCTGCTTCTACCTTGTCAAGGTCCGCCTCCGGGTCGCAGTCTGGGAACTCGTCATCTGCATTAATAGTTAGCGACGTGATTTATGTTGTTCTACCGTGGATACTTACCATTTTGGCCGTTGTCGTCGTTAGCTTTTGCGTCCTCACCTGCGGGTGTCGCTTCTGCGCTTTCTTCGGGCTTTGCGCCTTCTTCTACTTCAGCCTCTTTCGAGGCTTCGTCGGGGTTGGCTTCAGCCTCTCCATCTGGCGCAGGCTCATCGGCAGCGGGTGCATCGCCCGGGTTCTCTTCCTTTGCTTCTGGAGCAGCATCGGGAGCAGCATCGGCAGCAGCATCGGCAGCAGCATCGGGAGCAGCATCGGGAGCAGCATCGGGAGCAGCATCGGGAGCAGCATCGGGAGCAGCATCGGGTGCAGGCTCCTCGGCCGTAGTAGATTCTTCCGGAGGCGTTACGGCCTCCGCGGACTCTGGAATTGCATATTAATATATGATTATATGGGCGGGATGAATAGGCTCCTCGACGATAGACCTCATCGTCCATGGAAACAAGTACTTACCTGCAGTCTCAGGGGCTGGAGTCTCATCTGGTGAGCTACTTGGTTCAGCTGGCGTAGCTTCATCGGGAGCTGCGCCCTTCTCGGGTTCGGCAGTGGGCTCTTTGTTGTCCTGGTTTTGGCCCTCGGTCAGATCGGTCGAAGAATAGGTGACGGGGTAATATTTAAATTCAGAAGTGCCAAAGTCGAAAGTTTGGTACTTTCTTTCAACACTCTGATAAGTAAATCGAGGGATCGATGCATACTGGTAAGGCATCTTGAGCAGCTCCTGCCGCCTCGTCGGGGGCAGGCTCGTCGATGAGGTTTTTGCTCTCAGAATCGGGAGGGGTTTCAGTACCGACGGGGAGGCGGTTGTTGGCGTTGTTTTTATTCTTCGCCTTTGACTTTTTCTTTGCCATTATCCTCGATCAATGACGTATCATATATCAAGGCGTGGGCAATGCTGACTAGCGCGTGATGCGATAACAGTGGGACAATCGGAGATTGACAAGCCGCTTGTCAGGCTTGCAATGCAAGGGAAGTACCGGGAACCGGGCGGCAAGGGAATAAAAGGAACAAAAAGATACAAAGGTTGGAAAACTGAGGAGTATGAAATTGGCGAGGTACTCATGTATTAGAAACTGAAAAGGAAAGAAGGACATGCTTGTTTCTCTGGAGACACGGCATTGGACCGCTATGGCGAGGCAGCGTATAATCGTTCGAATGGGACAACAAACTGCATTTCGGTTTTGGGCCCTGAACGTCATCAATGAACTGCCCGATGTCACCAATTGTCATTGGGCCACGTCGGTCCTTGGGTCTCCATATCCATGACCGATATGAGGGATAGCGAGGCCGGGTGCTTGATTAGGGCCGGGTGAGAGCAGCACAATCCCCACCCGCAGGAATAGCTGCAGTAACCGGCAGGAATGGCGGGTTAGGATTGGGGATCGGGCAACACGTCGGTCAAGAAAGGAAAGGCCAGCGCTGCACCGGCATGGAGAATATGGGTCTGTTGAGGTGGGGTGCCTCGGAATTTTTTTCTTTTGTTTTGTTTTGGAGTCGGGTCCAGTAGCTACACAATTGGAAAAGGAGTTGAAGTTGGGCTAATAGAGCTCGTGACACAAAGTCACCGCCAGTAGAGTACAGTACTGTGTCTCAGTTGCAGGGAGTCGAAGTGTGCACGAAGGGATGCAGTCGAACTGCCCATTCCTACCCAACGTCCGGCAACAGCGGCAAATGAGACGCCTGCATCGAGTGGGGAGGCCACAACCATTCCAGTACCCTCACAACAGATGTGCTTTCAGTACGGAGGAATCGTCTTCATTTTTGCGCCTGGAGTGAGTCAAACGAGGCGAAACGAGTGGATTCAACAACCAAGGCTCAAGGTCCACTTTTTCCGACACCGACACTTCAGTCGCCCAACTCTTCTGTAACCTCAGTGTAAGGGGACGAACAGTTGGACAGTTGGGTTGGTGATGTAATGCATATTACTGCATCGTGGACATGAACATCATTGAGCATTGAGGAGACAAAACTCGGGTTGGTCAGGTGATTGGACTCGGACACTTCACTTCGCTAAGGGCGATCATTGATCGTCCCAGCCACTTGGAAACCACCACGTCCGTGTTCAGGTTGACACGATTATCTGATGAGTCGCTTGTGTTTTACTCACTATCACTACAGCTGTTCGTTCCAACTAACGTATCTAATTGTAGTCGCGAAACTGACGCCCGAGTCCAAAAAGAGCTGCATGCATGTCCAGTCATTGTGCCAACGGAACAACTCGGCGACAATTCCATATGCTGTACTTCCTGATCCCGAATTGGGACAACTAGTATGTACCCAATTTCATGCAACGGGCCGAGCATCCATGTTGCGTCGCTTCTGGTTGGCGAATGGCTCAATTTGTCGGACTGGTCAATCTGATTGAGAGAGTCAGTGCTATTCTCAGATGTGGGCAAGCCCCGGGCTACGATAGATCCCCAGGAACTTGTTGAATGGGTGGCCATGATGTCTGTTGATCGGTATGGTTGTGTCTTTGCCACACTCGGCCACTCAGCTGCCTGTTGGGAAATGATCAGGCGTGCGAGGACCGAGGAATGAAGCTAACTAGTAGGGCAATTTAACTCCAGAAGTATAAGCATTGAAGGAAATGACAAATTGATTGGAGTACAGCTCAAGTTAAGAGTTTTGCCATGGATTGCGCGTCTACATAATAGCGTAATTCTATGTCCGTTCCTCTACCAGGATTTGATCCAAGGCGCCGGAAGCCAAAGGTATTCCCGTGCCATACAAGTCGTGAAACGTATCCTTGATCACATCCCCGTGACAATCGTCTTGAACAAGAGATCGGTACACTCCAGTACATAGATCCCTGGATTTTGTGGCAACCCCTCTTCCCTTCACAAAAAATGCATCGAAGGCCCATAGAAGTGCTCATGATAAGGCCATTATTGGCTGCCTTGCTTTTTCATGCAAGCTAGTCAATACCTGCATCACTAGATTCAATTTTAACTCCCATAGTTCTACGAGCTACGGAATTCGTGGCTTCGGAGTGTCACCTTTTGAGATCCCAGGGGTGGGTGATTGAGCTCCTGCCTTGGTCGGGTATCTGATGTACCAACAATTGAAAGATGGCGCCTCAGTGACTGCATGGAGATTGACAGGGGCTGCATGTTAAAATTGACTATTTATACAATTATACTCTGGGGCATGCAGTGGATGTTCAAACCTCGGATACTGGTGGTTTACAAGTAACCCGGAACTCTCCGGTATATCACGCAACTGCCTCTCCCAATACTCCACGGGGATTCGAAGACCCGAAGCTATCGTGTCATCGTGGTCTGACATTCTTATTTCACCTATAATGCTGAAGAGACTCCCCAAGTCATTGGTAAACAGCTATATGGAGCTAATCGCGACTGGGCCTCCTTATCTCAATTGACCACATCTTTCTCGCCTCTTGCCACCTGCCCTGTGTGTTCTGGGATCACTGTGCACTCTGCTCTTCTCGAGAGACGGGACATGCTCGTACGTGCGCAGCGCTTGAAAAGCAGTTCCAGTTGATTGGGTAAATGAATCCCCCAAAGCAACACTTGGATTGATCGCTTGGATTCAGGACGAAGTGAGCAAAGACCTGGGCAAATACTTTTGGTCGTTTTATTAGAGCACAAGAGCTTGCCTACTAAATTTTAAGTGGGGTCCAACGCTTCCTTTCTAATAAGACAAGATAGTCGATGTTATCCAGCTTGTCGTTCGATGAATAAACTGTTGAATTAGTGGTTAAAAGTGCCACCCGAATGACAGTCCAAAATGGCTGGCATCAAGCAAGGTATTGGATCAAATAGGCATCAGTCACTGGAGAAAGCTATTTGTTTTGAGAGCAGCGAGGATTAACAAAGCGGGCAAGGCTGCTCACAAAGCAGTATTTGAAATGACAGATATCTGAGATTAGCGTCTTTCAGCACATCGGTTTGGCTAAGGGGCTTTGACGTTGTGGAGGCGGCTTTGGGCTTTTCGTTGACATCCACATAGTTCAAGTAGCTACTTGCTAAAAACAAAACGTCTAGCTAGAGAACACTAATATTCCCTAGTGGTTTAATCATTCCCTAAAGAGCTTGTCAATGGTGAAAAGGCTTTGCCCTGTCTGACTTATCCGTCAGTTCTAGTGAGTATATTGAAAGTTGCTTTGGTCGTACAACAGAGGTCAGAAACGTGTATACAGTGCCACTGGTGAAGTTTTGGACAGTACACGAAAGCACGGAAGCGAGTATACCGTTTCATTCATTGTTTTTGTTCTACTCTGGCTTACCTTTCTTCACCTTCTTTTTGTCCATTTTCAAGTGCCTCGGGCTAGTCAGGCAGGTTGTGTAAAGTTGAGGCGTGAAATGACTTATGGCTTTTGACTATAGGCAGGTGCTAACATCTGAACTCCAGTACTGACCTCAGCTCATTTCCACATTGTGATTTGGGATATGTGTCACTTCTGTTCGCGTTTTGCCTATCAAGCGTGATTCACTAGTACCGCTGAATTCATCATCAGACCCAAAGCAGCGAGCAGGCTCGGTGATTATTTACCAAAACAGACTTTATCAAGAGTAGTTGAACAGAGTGGAGGAGATGGAAGAGAGCGGGGAGTTCTTCAAGACTACTGACCCGTTCAATCTGGTCCTAGGAAAGAAGCCTAAACTATATATTACTGCAGTCTGTTAAGTCGATGTTGAATGTTGACTGGACTGTGGACCAACATGTAAGAGAAACTCCTTAGGAAGTGAAGTATTTGTTTGAGGATGGTATTATTGAAACGCCCGGTTGCTTCGCTAGGCGCGGAGAGCGATACGTGAGGATTGCTCCGAAAGCCCCGACACAGGCAAAGCAAGCAGGTTCACTGCTTTCTTCGACCCTCTTCCACCTGTTACAACGCTAATGGCCGAGTACCAGGAACCTAAGGACAAAGGCAAAAGGAAAAGGCTAGTGACGTGGAAAAGGTGTCCATGATTCAGTAGATCCTAGCCTCGGTTTCTCAATTCAGCAGGCACTATCCTAACTACTGAATACGGCAGGCACGACCCTCGTTGCTGCCTCGGGCCGTTCTCACTCTAGCACATTCGAGTACATCAAAATGATCATTCGTGTTGTTGATTCCAGATCTAGGCCAATGACCCCAGCTAAACCAACGCGCGCTCGTGTAGGTATCATCGCGTAACAGTCAACCAACTCCAAATCATTAATTGAGACGGGTCATGCTCCCCAACTAAACGGGGATTGTTCAAAGTTATGAGAAGGCGGCTGGAAGAAGTGACCAACATCTGCCAACAGGTGTTCCTCTTGCCAATACTCGACATTGTTCTCTTTTGTTAGAAGAGACTACCGAAGGAAGTAAGATTTCTCTATTTCGAGCAAATTTACTCCAACATGAGGTCCCTCACCAGATAGACAAGCCGTGACATTGAGCCCCCCAAGGAAGTGCGTCTGAGACTAGTGGCCTTTTCGTTGTACCACTAGTGTAGAGGAGGTCCTCGATTGCCTTCCTCAAGGTTAAGATGACCTGGTCAAGCCAAACCTCCTCGATAATGCTATCTGACCATGAAAATCCTACTGTCAAACATTCGTCTTCTCCGACAATCAGGGTTATGGACAGAGTAGCACCAAGTTCAGTGCCACCGTTTCCACAGAAAATGGTCCCGGCTTGCCAGTCTTGCTGCTGTTGGGAATCGGATTGCTTGTGATACCGAAAAGTTCCCATGTTCGTCACTATTACGTTGACTCCCATAGTCTCTTCCGTTGTACCTCTTGTATCAACTTCCTTGGGGCTTTGTATGTACTGGGAAGAATCAATCTGGGCTTCGTTTTTCTTTCGAGCCAGCTGCGCCTTCGTGGCTGAGTGTATACGCCGAGCCTCGTTCCAGACGGAAGCCGTCGTCAACTCCTGTCTTTTATGTGTTTCGATATATGAAAAACATGGCGTAGTATTGGTGTTTGCCATAGTCCCAACAAGGGAGTGGAATTCTCGGGGTGACATGCGGCCCTCAGCATATAGGATGGTAATTTCCGAAGGCAAGTTGGCAAACAATGATACCACGGCAACCGCTTGGATGACTCCAGTAAGATTTGTCTTACTGGAGGAAGAAATGTCTAGAAGACGGGTGGTTTCCCTGGTTCCAAGTGTTATCGTTTTGAACCGAGATTGGCCAGTTAGGCCTCTGCTGCGTGATGTAGACATCTTAGACAAAGATCGTATTGGAGTGAAGTGACTGTGTTCTTTTGTTTGTTGGCTTGATGGGTTTCCCTCATTGGCAGTCAACAATGCAGCCAAGAACGATCGATGGAAAGCCGACCCTCCACAGAACCGACCTTTAAAAGCCTCATGCACCACGAAACAAACAATCACGTCAGATACAGTGCTTTGCTTAGGTATGTATGCAATCAGCAGCCGCAAACCTTGCTCATAGGTCTGCTGAAACCCCATGTTCTGTTGTTCCTCTACCAGGGCGTCCACCTCTTCGTCCCGACCATCCTGCAGCTGAACAAGATGTATCATGCTTTTCACGATGGGTCCCAGCGGCGGATGTTGTAGTGTCACTTGCTTTAGAGCGTCGTAGATCAATGGCTCTAGCCCCTCGAGTGGTAATACCGCAGAATGGCGGTAGTAAGCGGCGGTGACGACATTGCCAGAGCGGTCGAAGGGATCGGAGGCTGTGCCTTCAGCTGAGCTCAATGTGTTAGATTTCTGATGATGAGATTAGGCACAGTCAGACTACTGACCACGTCCGCGCTTTTCATTGCATGGATTCCAAAGCATGATGGTCACCAGATGCAACCTTGGCAGCAAGCCAAAGTCGTTAAGAGTATCCGAGACGGTACTTTATCGGATTTCACCATATTCCGGCGCCACTGGCTCCCCTTCCTCTCTGCACGAGAGGCTATGTCGAGCGATAAAAATGTAGACGTCGTTTAGATGAGTCCATACATTTGATACGAACATTACATACTAGTTGTTTAAAATACTATACGGTGTGGTATGTAACATGTAACATTGTAACATACAACCTTGGAAACGTCGAAACAATACTAGTTGTATCGAGCTCAAAAAACCAGAATTTCACTTCAAATTACCAGTTCTCTTACAGTACTGCAACCGGAGGTTGGCCGGTTTAATAAGCCAGGCGCCTACCTAACCCAATTCCCTGCAAATGTTGGTTAGTTGTTTGTGATCTAGAAATTCTCCCGGTTTCAGTTCAGTTCCTGTGTGGGTGAAATCTCAATGACCGTCTTAAGCACACTTTGGGTGGACGATGGGTACATGCAATATGCCCTCCTCGTTGCCATTGCAGGCGTTGTGTTTATCAATTTGAAATCATTACCTTTTGTTTGGCACGTAAGTAAAAAAATCCTCTCTGCTTCGTTGTTATTGGCTAACAGGTACTTTTTCATGCCTCTAGTTGCGAGTGATAAAAGGTCTCTTTACCCAATTCCTCGGAGCTCGACTATCTCCCCGTCAAATCAATAGAAATGGATTACTTGTCGACGATCGATCCGGCGGAATACCTCTCATCTTCTCGTACATGGTGACCTCGCACCAGAACGCTCTCATGGAATGCGATTACAACATGCACAAGTCGAATAGTACTTTCTTCTCCGACATGGACATCAACCGCGCTCAACTGCTCTTGAACCTGTTCCCTCGTCTGCCACGCTGGGCACCCGAGATCGGGACTGATACACCGAAATCGAAGAAGGCCGAAAGAATCGTTAGCGTTGCACTCGGTGGAACATCCTGCGTCTTCAAACGCGAGATCAAGCCACTGCAGCGGTACGAGGTCTGGTCGCGAGTACTGACCTGGGATGCGAAATGGCTGGTTTTGGTGACGTATTTTGTCAAGGCTGGGACCCATAAAAACGTGATGCGGAGCTTGCAAATGGGGGAGGAGAACAAGCACGGGTCGGAAGGTCAGAAGGCAATACTTGCTGTGGGTGTAAGTCGATATGTGTTCAAGGATGGACGGCGGACGGCCCCTCCGGAGGAGGTTCTTCAGCACATGGGTCTGTATTCTTCCACCTTTACTGGGAAAGACAACCATGATATCTATGCCAGCTTAAGACAGCCGGGGTCAGATGTGGTTGGCTTCTTTGGTTCATTGGACTCGCTGCCCTCGCACTTTGGCAGTGCAAGTTCATCGATCCTGGGACACTACAGTGATTTGTAGGAGGTGTAATTAAAGTTATAGATAGACATGTCTTGGCGCCATAAAGCTTGGTGACAATTTGAATTGGATGCGACTGGATGATCCCCCAGGCCAATACAGTAAATCCAGGACCTAAATACATGGAAAGCCATTTACCGCCAACACCTCTGCTCCGTGTTTATTCCCCAAAAGGCGTATATGATCAAGAAAAAGACAAAGCGAAGTAAGAGAAAGAAGTACATATAAACATAGAAAGGGAATCATGAAGAGAGAAAAACTCAAAAACTCAGCAAGAAACTATTTCAGCGACCGGAAGAATATCTCGTGTCCCTGTAAGGTGACGCGTCTCGGTGGTGGAGTGGTACATCATCTCCATAGAAATCGTTGTCAGGCAGTCTCTGCATATCTTTCTTTCCCTTGCTGCGCTTCCGGCAGGTTCGACAGCAACAGCCTCCACAGCAGCCACAGCCGTTACAGCAGAGAAGCTTGCCGATGCCGCTGGACGGCATATTCGCGTCTGGGCCCTGTAGCACTGCGCCGGGTGGCGCAAAGTTCCAGACAAGAACGGCGAAAGCCATCGGAATGCCATCAAACACATACATATACCATTCATGGTATGGGATGGGATTGTTATCCCCGTAGCCTGATGAGAACTCCACCAAGCGGTAGAAGATACGCACAGTGATGAAAAGCAGACTGGCATATAGAACGTAGAGTAGTTTACGCCAGTTCTGCTTTTCGCCAAATAATCGGCCGCTTCGATCCAGCTTCAGCATTAATCGATGGAATTGGAAAGCTAGGACCAAAAAGCAGACGATGAAAAATTGTTGAATGCCGATGCCGGCCATGTAGACGTGGATGCCGTTCATTTGCTGTTCTGAGGTACCAGTGGCCATGAAACCTCCAATCATTTGGATAATGAAGGAGCCAAAGTCGAGGAAAACGAAGATCTTGGCCAGCAAGGAAGGTTTGAATATGCCAATGCGACGCTCCGGGACAAAGAAGTTGATCATCCGAGCCAAAACAATATAGTCAAATGCATTGACCCATAATGGGGCCAAGAGAATGAACATTTGTGTGACGGTCGCGATAGTGTTGTCTTGTTGTTTGCGAGTGCTTAAGGCGCGGGTCCCATAGCCTACAGTTTCCCACGCGGTTCCCATGAGTATTACCCAGACAAAGCCCGCTTTGTACATGGTCGCTTGCACAAAATGGGCTACTAGGATGAGCCCAAAAATCACGGTGGCAGCGATCGCAGCGTTGAAAGACGGGTAATAGAGGTATAGGGCGTTGCACTCCCCTGGCGGCACATAGCCATTCTTGTCGGGCGCAATGGTTGGCGTACATGTGTCGGATGGTAGATCCAGACTCAAAGTTAATTCAAACTCTGTTGCTGTCGTGGTTGTCGCCGTGGTGGCCTCCGCGTTCGTCGCGGATATCGTCGTAGCTTCTCGCCGGACTATTCCAGCCTGAGGAACAGCCGTTTGGACTGGAGTTGCCCGAGCCATCATGGCCGACACCAGCAACAAAAAGAACAATAAAAGTCTCATTGTCGCAAAGGTGACGCAATTTGAATAGAAAAGAACGTATAAGGATGTAAAGAGATAGTCAGTTTACTAAAAAGGAAGGACTAGAACAAAATACAGGCGATCAAGTTACTTTAAATCAAAGTCTGGCGCCTAAACAACATCCCTGCTATTGCGGTTGCCTGTATGAGAAGAGCAGCGGAAGATTAAAACTGGTTAAAAATAGCAAAAAGAGGGTAGATGAAACAGATAGGTATCTCTGTAAGTCTACAGGTGAACTAACCAAGTTAGGTTTTTGCGCTAATACGCAAAATACAGGGCTTGCTTACGCCCAGTCCACTCGTGGTGCGTGGAATAATACGCTATAGCTGCAAGTGAACTAAAACCTGCTTACCCGCCCACTTTCTTTGTTCAACAGAAAGGAAAAGAAGGCAACAATGTGTGATATTGCTGCGCAGAACGTCTTTGGTCCTACCATTGGCACCGGCTGTCGCAATGGGTTTGACTTCACTTTGCTGTTCGAAGAGTCGTTTTTTACCATCCTTCCTTGTTCGTTGTTTCTGCTATGTCTGCCTCTGCAGCTATATCGGAGTCGCACCCCTCCACTAACTCGCCGGGGGCTTTTGTTCCCCGGGAAACTGGTATACCAACCTCCCCTGTTTTGATCGTGCAGAACTGACTGGGTCTAGATTGCCCATGTGATATCGATCTGTGTGAAGATTACGCTATTGGTATTGGTGCTTCTTCCCCAGCTGCAGATCCCTAAGACACGTACGACAGTGGCAGCAGTGGCTCTAGATGCTGTCACCGCACTGGTAATGGTCATTGTATCCTATAGCCAGCATTATCGCTCTCCTCGACCATCAACGCTGCTCCTCCTTTTCCTGAGCCTATCACTGCCACTAAATGGAATCCGGGCCCGAACAATATGGGTGGCGCAGACCCACTTGTTCTGTGCTGTCTTCATCGCTGGCCTGGGCTTGGACCTGGTGAAGCTTTTGCTTGAGTCAGTTGAACAGAAACCGTTCCTCACCAACGAAGCCACAAAACCACCACGAGAGACCATTGCGAATGTGTTCAACCGTAGTATGTTTTGGTGGTTGAATCCGCTCCTGGTCCAAGGATTCCAAGATGTCCTTGAAGCCGACAAACTTCTGTCCATTGATGCCCGTGTCAACGATGCAGCAGGCAGGGATCTATTTACGCGAAAATGGGACGCAGGTCTGCATCCCTTCATGTGTTTTATTGGGCTATGCCGTGAGATCTATGCTAACTATCTCTTATCGAATAATACAGTGCAGACCAAGTCTTCCTCTGCCTTAACGATGCTCTTGATCGTTCACCATAGATGGGCCATTGCATCTGCCTTCCTACCTCGACTTTGCATGACAGGCTTTACCTTCGCGCAGCCATTCCTCCTAACGCGCGTGGTCAGCTTTGTCTCCGACGCCAATGATCCCCTCAGCCAGAACTATGGATACGGGTTGATTGTAGCCACCATGTTAATCTACTTGGGACTGGCTATTACTACCGCTAAGAGCCAACACAAGACGTTTCGTTTGATTACCATGCTTCGTGGTAGCATCGTGCCGCTCGTATATCGACACACGATGCACTTGGATGTTGGCGTCGCACGGGACTCGGCTGCTTTGACTCTGATGAGTGTAGATGTTGAGCGTATCAGCTCCGGCCTGCAGTATGTCCACGAGGTTTGGGCCAGTCCTATTGATATCGGACTCGCCCTGTGGTTGCTAGAACGGCAGCTGGGTCTGGCCGTTGTTGCATTTGCATCTGTATTCCTTTGTAAGTTTCGCGAATGACTAGAACCAACCAGAGTATGTTTTGCTGACATTAAACGTTCCTAGTGTGTACGCTCCTTGGCCTTGGTGTGGCCAGCACTATGGGTGGACGACAGCAAAGATGGCTTCAGGCTATTCAAAACCGTGTGCAAGCCACATCGGAGATGCTGAAGAGCATGAAGGAGGTGAGACTAGGTGGCTTGCAGAATCTGATGGCAGACAAGCTCCGCGGACTACGGGCAGTAGAAGTTTCAGAGTCGACACCATTCAAAAGAGCGTTGACTCTGATTGTTACTTTGTGTCAGTGTGATCGAATGGAACATTTTAGTTTCTCTAAGAGCTACTTACTAACGATCGATAGCCTATACTACCACCTCCACCGGCCCGCTCCTGGCATTTACCATGTACAGCCTGCTGGCGAAACGAAATGGGTCCACCATGCTCAACTACGATAAGGCCTATACCGCTCTATCGCTTTTTGCCCTTCTGCAGGCACCTATGGCCTTGATACTGGACGCCATTGCAGGATTAGTCTCCGCCTTGGGTGCCCTGGCTCGAATTGGCGAGTATTTGTCAAAACCCACGGGCAGCTATGGCGAAAAAAGCCGACTTCCCCATTATTCGACCTCTACTGTACTTGAGTATCCAGACCTCGACGAGAAGAAGTATCCGACCATGGTAATGGCACAGGGATTTAGTGCTGGTTGGGAACCCCAAGGAGCTATGATTCTCAGGGACCTCACCTTTGAGGTTCGACCGTCAAGTATCAACTTCGTGGTAGGCCCAGTGGCCTGTGGTAAAACCACCTTGTTGCTGGCCATCCTCGGCGAAGTCAGTCATCATGAAGGCCGCCTGGACGTGGCAGTGCCTCGGGTAGGCTACTGCAGCCAGACGCCGTGGATAACAAATGGTACCATTCAACGTAACATTTTGGGCACTAGTCTCTATGACCAACCATGGTATGACAGGGTCGTGGAGATGTGTCTTCTCAGAGATGACATTTCCACTTTCCCCCACGGAGATCAAGAATGGGTCGGGAACAGCGGTATGACTCTAAGCGGTGGTCAAAAGGCTCGACTGGTATGTGAAAACCCCCAACTAGATAATTGTTGTTTACTAATCATTGCCGTAGGCCATTGCACGCGCTGTCTACGCCAAGGAAAAGGTCCTTCTTCTCGATGATGTCTTCAGTGGACTGGACGGAAACACTGAAGAAAACTTGTTTCATAACCTGTTTGGCCAGGATGGGCTTCTGAAGGAGGCGGAGATCACGGTCATATTGGCCACCCATGCTGGTAAGTGAAAAGATAGATTGGATATGAGATCTAGGAAATACTCACATAAACAGTTCAACGTCTCGTCTACGCAGACAATGTCATCATCTTGGACTCGGACGGGCACATTGCAGACGAGGGCACTACCAGCGAGGTGATTGCAACTGCTAAAGAGATGGCATTTAGCCCATCGGAAAAGAAGCAAGGTTTTGTATCGTCCAACAACGCCGAGGACGATCTTACAAGGATACTTTCCACCGAAGAAGCGCCTAGGGGGAGGACCGTCGGACTGGCGATACAGCGGTTTACAAATACTATATCCAGACGGTTCACCCCCTCAGCGCAGCGATATTTTTCGTTGCATGCTCTGTCTTTGTTGTGGGACTCATCCTGCCCCGTGAGTATTACCTACCTCCTTGTAAGTCTTGTATTAACGAACCTGCCATGCAGAATTCCTGGTCAAATGGTGGTTGGCCAGAAACGATGAATATACTGTTACCCATATGAGGCAGTATCTCGGCGGATACGCAGGTTTATCTGCACTGGCAATTCTCTCACTTCCTTTCGCAGTCTGGTATGAGACTTTTATCTTCATAGTTCTGACTTCTGAAATCAGTTTTTCTAACTTGCGTTGATAGGCACCTTACTGAACGAATGTTGCCACGGGCGTCGATGCAATTCCATGCGTCTCTCCTCACCACCGTTCTTCATGCGCCCTTGCAGTTCTTCTCAACCACTGACGTAGGCACAACCCTGAATCGCTTTGCTCAGGATCTCCAATTGTCCGATATGGAACTGCCGCTAGCACTCTTCAACACTTCAGTGGAATTGCTACTCTGCACAGCCCAGCTGATTATCATTGCGATATCCTCCAAATGGATTGGCATTGCCTTGCCAGCACTAATGGTGGTGTTCTATCTGATTCAGAAGTTCTATCTGCGAACCGCCCGGCAGCTTCGACTTCTTGACATCGAAGCCAAAGCGCCTTTGTTCTCTACTTTTCTCGAGCTCATCTCTGGTCTCGCCACCATTCGCGCATTTGGGTGGCAGATCGAATTTGACAACCGTAATCGCGAGGTGTTTGATCGTTCCCAGAAGCCTTTCTATCTGCTATACTGCGTGCAACGCTGGTTGAACCTCGTTCTAGATCTGGTGGTTGCAGCAGTGGCTATCATGGTTGTGACCATCGGTGTGCGTACTCAGGGACAGGTTGATGCTGGCTTCATGGGCATTGCATTGGTGAACATCGTGCAGTTAAGTATCAGCATCAAAGCTTTCCTTTCGAACTGGACCCAGCTGGAAATTTCTATCGGTGCAGTCTCTCGCATTAGGTCATTTGTTTCAGACGCACCGTCGTCAGATGGAGAAGGAACCGGGACGGTTATCCATACAAGGTGGCCTGAGAAGGGACAGATCATATTCCAGGATGTGACAGCGCGATATGAAGGCTCCCCCTACCCGGTGATTCGAAATCTTACTCTGTCGATTGCGCCAGGGGAGAAGTTTGCTTTGTGCGGGCCGAGTGGAAGGTAAAAAACTTTGTCCTGTTCTCGTCACGGATTTCGTTCGGCTACCTAACTACGTGTCTTGCAGTGGTAAATCATCCATCGCTTCTTGCCTCTTCCGTCTCCTCATCCCATGTGAGGGGAATATTACCATCGACGATGTGGACATCTCTACGGTAGCTCGCGACACACTCTACGCTCGCTTAATCTGCGTCACGCAGTCGCCCCATCTAATCTCCGGCTCTATTCGAGAGAACGTCGACCCCTTTGATGCAAAAACTGATGACCAAGCAATCGAGCTGGCGCTTAAAGAGGTGCATCTCTGGGAGACAGTAGCCTCGCGAGGCGGAATTCATGCCCAACTCTCTGAAGGCCTATTCAGTGTTGGGCAGCAGCAACTACTGTGTCTCGCCCGCGCCATGATTCGTCCAGGCTCCGTGGTAGTGTTGGACGAGGTCACAGCCAGTGTGGATCGGGAGACTGACCGCCAAATGCAAGAGATTATTCGCCGCCACTTTGCATCTCGTACAGTGATCACGATTGCGCATCGCATCTCTACGATTCTGGATGCTGATCGTGTCGCCGTCGTCTCGGACGGAGTGATTGTTGAGCTGGGCCCTCCAGCGGAACTATTGGCTCGTGAGCCTCGCAGTCTGTTCCGTGGTCTCTACGAAGCTACTACAGCCTCCAACCAATCTTGTGAGACATTGCTGGAGGTGCAGTAGCCGTTTTACTTGGATCCATCCATTTCCTATACATTTCCGTCGGTTGCGCCGTCTCATTTGTCACAGAAACTTGTCATGCATGTTGCCTAGATCAATTCGAACGCTTTAGGTCTTAATAACATGATATATTAATCCTCAGCGTGAAAATAAGAATATTAATATAAGTTATGGCACCATTGCAACCTCAGTGAAGCTAAGAAAAGGATGTCAGCACTAAGGTTAACGTCAATTACCACTAATGCAGGTAAGCAGGGATCTCCGGATTCACCCCTGATGATCAAACCCCGGTATTATGCATTTGTAGAATACATCCGGTATTCTGTCTATGTATACATGTATAGAAGAATAATACTCGATCTGTATATTGTGTCTAAATGAAAAATAGCAAAAAAAACTGAGTGCTTGGTAATACTAGTTCATACGACGACATAGCCCTAGTAAATTAGCCTGTTACCATGACTATGCTTGTATACATGTATACAGCTGCACTGTATTTCAAACACACCAAGCAACAGTATTTATTACAGTGGCGTATGCTAACGACCGGAAACTCCGAAACCAACAAAGAAAAGTTTTCTCCACTCCGGACCGATCCACTGCTAAGCCTCATCGTTTTTTCAAGCTGTCGCGCTTTAAGTACGCATTGGGCAAGCGTCGGGTTCGGCTCCGTAACATATCTGCACGTTGTTCCAGGCTCATCTCTCGCTGCTCAGGACCAATAGGCACCATGCATCGGGCCAGGTGCATGTAGTCTTTTTGGAGCAATTTCACTGTCAGCATGAGGTAGTCCACATTTCGAAAGACAAGTGCCCGCTCGTCCGAGTAGCGCTTTTGGTCCTGCAGGAGCGCTACTGGGTGTTCCCTCCAATGGCGGCGGGGATGGAGATGGTGAGAGGTGTGGTATCCGTCGTTGAAACAGAATCGGTTACTCTGAAAAGGGGTTAGTTAGACGAGGTCGTCTGAAGTGACTGGAATGGGCAGGGTAAACATACAGCTACATCGATCAAGGTCACACTGGATCGGAAATCGGATGAGGGATCGCTAGGATCCACAAATGCGTGCTGGCCCCAGTTGCCGGCCATCAGTCCGGCACGAAGTGTCAAAAGTGGCAAGACAAAGACGCAAAATGTGGCCTGGGCATGGCCATATTGGTACAACAAAGCAATGGCGATGTAATTGCTCATCTCCCAGAATGCAGTCCTGAACGCTGTGGAGTATTGCCCCTTTCCCAGGAAATACAGCGGCAGATCCAGCCAAATAAGAAAAAAGAACCGGCCAACATAGAGAGCAAAGTCGACAATCGAGTCTCGATCATACCACATGGTTGAGTTGAGATCTCGGGGCCCGTTGCCTTCAACGTGATGCATCTTCACATGGTGGTAGTAGTAAGAATTCCACGTATGGCCCACGAAGGGATCGACAATATACGGGAAGAGCGTGTCGATCAGACGATATTGAGGAGCCAAGACGCCTTTCATGTGGACATATTGATGTTTCATGAGCGTGTAGCTGCCCGCATACCAGACGTGCACGATCCAGTGAAGGAGGCCATGAATCCAGCTGAAGTGGTAGCAATAGAGATAAAGCGCACTGGGGATCGAGCTCGTCAGGTAAAGCAGGAGATGTGTGATCATCACGACGTCGGTTGGAAAACGTGCGACCTCCTGAGCCCAGCGGATATATGGCTCCAGTAAGTACTTTCGGATGCGATGAGGCAGCTTTCGTCGAAGTAGATGTGTTTCCCAGAATTGGAAGACCGTGGGGTCAAAATCCGGATCGGTGACATCGTTAAGAGCCTTTAGCTTCTTGATAGTTTCTTTGCTGTTGCTGTGCTCATGCGGTCGTTCATTTTGCCCGAGTAGTTCCTTTGCTACTAAGAAATCCGGGGAAGTCAACTGAGGATCTAGGGGGAGATCCATGGTCAAACGTAGGCACTCGGAGGTTGAAGATCTTTTGTGACATTACTTCCATTTCATGCTTCCTCGAGCTATATATACTCAGAGACATGGCGTACCAAGCTGAAATGGACTAGGCAATATAAAGAACTAGACAGAGAACGATTTAGGCAGTCGAATTTTAGCGCGCTTGTACGCTACACCAACCAGGATTAAATTTAGGTTTCCATGTTTCGGATCGATTTTAGCTCCCACGGCGCAGGCTGGCCGCTGGGGGTGGAAAAGGTCGAATTGGAAGTCCTGATGTTAAGCTAGCGATCAAAAATGTAGAAAGGAGCACCATTGAAATTTTAGAGTATGTGTGGTGTGGAGGTATATTCTGGGAGGCAATGGGTGGCAGCAGTGGAGGTCCCATTCAAAAGAGGGTCGTCAAGAGCAGTGAAAAGAGTGCTAATAAAGGGAGTCAGATACATAAGTATATCATATTCTTTCCTCTTCTCCCCTTTTCCTATATGGCGAACAGATAGATCTGTCGTTAAAATTCCGTAATCTAACTGAAAATGAAGGTCGGGAGAGCCAATTTGAACAAATATATGTTGATTCAGAATAGAACTAGACAATACAAGTTCATGCAATAGAGATAATATAGTTAGCCAATGAACGCCAGTGAGCGCCTAGAAAATCATTTGAAACAGATAAAAAGGCAGATCAACAACGCGCCTGGATCAAGGTATCCAGCTGAGAATCGACCTGCGAATTATCCCAGAGATCCTCCACCGCAACCTGGTAACCCTGACGTTGCCAAAACGCGGCCAGCAACGCGATCGAGACCAGGTCACCACCCACAGCAAAGAAGTCGGATTCTAAGCCCAACGGCAGGTCGGGATTTCCCAGAACCTCCCGCCAGCTGTCATATAAGGCTGGTAGCAGGGTTACGTCCGTAGGCCAGACAGTGTCGGTGCAATCAACCGCAGAGTGTCCGTTCACACCAATAGATTTTGATGGACTCGGCAAGGGAAGAATAGACTCAGAGTGAATAAGCTGCGACACAGGTATCCGTGCGTGTGGGGAGTCGCAGATAGCCTGAATCGTGGCACAGAGACGATCCAACAGAGCAGTTGCCATGGGCTGGCCAACAGAGCGCGAGGAGGCGATGAAAAGCACCTCAATCTGGTTGCTGTCCAAGGGGGTGGTCTTGATAGCAATGTCTGCCTCGTCTGCCGCAGGACAGAAGTCACGAACAAGGTAGTTCTGGTTATTGAGAGTCACCGTCGCATCTTGGTCAATGTTTTGATGTTGCACAATACTGCTCATGCGAGTAGAAGGATGCCAGGGGCTGCAGTTTTGGACAATCTCGCGGGTTCCTAGCGATTCGTGGGCCATGTGAGAAGCATGTTGAGCCTGCACGGCTTCGAGGAGATGTTTCACGGTCGCCGTAGGATCGATTATGACACGGGTCGGGAGGATGTTCAGGCAAGGGCCGATCACCTGCTCTATGTTGACTTGAGGTAGATTGCGACCGGAAACGACATGGCCAAAGACGACATCGGAATTGCCAGAGCAGGAAGATAGGACAAGAGCCCAGGCGGTCTTCAAAATGGTGGCAAAAGTAATTCCTGAACCAATCTGAGAGGCAATGGTGATTGTTCGGGTCAGGTGCAAATCGTACACATTCCCATATTGGGGTGCGGAGTGCGCCACAATGTCGGTCATGGTGGAATTTGACAAAACATCACGCCAGTATGTTTGAGCACCCTGGCTAGCAGGATGGATGCTGGTGATGAAGTGAGAGAATGGAACCTCTGGAGCAGGCGTGCGGCCAGAAAATGCATCTTGGAAGCTCTGCCAGATGTGTGGCAGACATACACCATCATATTGGGCATGGGAGACTCGGAGAATGAGCCGATGATGTTCCTGATTACTGACAACTGACAACTGGGTGAGTACGCCACCCAAGGGCAGGTCCGAGTTGACGTCCTGCTTGCATAATTTGAGACAGAACGGTTCGATATCTTCCTCTATCTGATACCACGCGACCGGTTGCGAGATGTCTTTGAGTACCACCTGGTAGAAGCGGTCTTCGTAGGCAGCGAATACAGTCCGAAGAATTCCGTGAGTCTGAACAAAGAGAGCCCATGCTTTCTGAACAAACGCCAGGTCCCATGGGACCTCACCTTCACCATCCAGGAAGAGGTAATTCACCAAGCCATGGGTTTTTAGCATGGAGTGGGCGATTGCGGAGGATTGGAAGTCCGACGCAGGGAGAACGTCCACAATATTTTCAGGGGGTGTTTTCGTGGTCAGAGCCACCATGGGAAGCATATTGGAGATGTCGCTTATGAGGGTGAAAGGAGTATAAGGTGAAGGCGACTGCTGCATAAGGTCTTGCACTGATTTTCGTGAAATAGCAGCTGCCATTTCCTCAAGCACTGGAGACTGGAAAATATCTTGGACAGTCAAGGCCAGGCCAGCACATCGCGCATGACTAGTGAGTTTCATCGCCAAGATGCTATCACCTCCACAGCGAAGGAAGTGGTCGTTCTTGCCCAAAGTATCTTCTTGAACATGCAAGACCTTGGCCCATAAGGCGCGGAGCTCCAGTTCCATCGGTGTGGTCGGTTCCAGCTTGACACTGCTGGCCAGCGAAAAGGCCAGGCTATCTTCTCTCGAGAGGGACGTGACCAATTCGCGCAGTCGACGACGATCGGACTTGCCATTCATAGTTAAAGGCACGCGAGATAGGGGAATGAACATGGATGGGATCATGTACGATGGGAGCTGCTGGCTGAGGGTTTGTTGCAGGGCAACCAGCTCATCGCGCAAGTCGGTAGACATGTCCTTGATCTCGACAGGACCACTGCGGTTGCTATAATGTAGAAAAGCCACCACAACCTTCTGGAGATGAGTGGGATCTTGCACTGCATCCACACTCACGTGGGCGAGGGTAGGCATTGCAAGACGCATGGCATGCTCGATTTCACCTAGTTCCACACGCTGGCCACGGACCTTGACCTGAGTGTCTTTACGACCAACGAATCGGATCGTGCCGTCTTCATTGTAGCGCACCAGGTCGCCTGTACGATAAAACCGGGAACCTGGACGAGTTGCCCAAGCGGGGTTCGCGACAAATGCCTGTGCTGTCTTTTCAGAGTCATGAAGGTATCCTCGGGCAACCGTTGGGCCTTCCAGAAGAAGTTCTCCTACACAGCCCAAAGGTGTCAGGCGGTTTGGATCCTGAGGATCAGCGATCCAATAGAGGGCTCCAATGGCTGCCCCCAGGTTTGCCGGGTCACTTGTCGCAATGGCTGGAGGAGCACCGGAGCAATATATTGAGCATTCTGCGGGCCCATAACACACCCTGAGGTCGAGCACATTGTGCCACTTGGCAATGGTGTCGCGTGTGGATGCCTCACCTCCGAGAACCAGCATTTTCAGCGAAGGAATAGTATCGGTTGGGAGGAGAGCGGCGACAGTGGGCGTCAAGAAGGCCCAGTTACACTGGAAGGTGTTGATTGCCCCAGATAGATCGTTCATACGTTGCTCATCCGACGGTACACAGACACACCCACCGCGTTGCAATGTCGTGAAGATATCGGCGCAGCTCACGTCAAATGTATATGCGGCGAACTGCAAAAGTCGTGTTCCGGGGCCGATCCCCCAGCGTGTTCCATGAGCCTTTGAGCTTGAGCAAAGAGAGCCGTGCTCAATCACAATGCCTTTGGGCTTGCCAGTGCTTCCCGACGTGAAAAGCACATAGGCGGAATTTCGGGCAGTGAGGGTTGGCATAACAAACGGTAACCCTTCGAGACTAGATATGAAGTCCTCTGTCACGGTAACTGTCTGTAAAGCTGTCGAGTTTGCAAGGATATTGGCATGACGGGGATTGCTCAGAAGCACTGTTGCTTGAGCGTCCTTTACAATCGCCTCGAGACGAGATTTGGGGTGGGCAGGATCAAGATTGACGCAAGCACCGCCGGCCTTCATGACGGCCATCTGTGCGACGACGGCCCATCTCGACTTGTCAAAGCACAGAGGGACCAGAGTCTCAGGTAAAACTCCTAGAGAGACGAGGTGGCGAGCAAGAATCGTCGAGAGCCGGTCGAGCTCACTATAGGAGAGCTGGCCATCCCAAGCATCAACAGCCAACGCCTCCGGCTGCTGCGACACTTGGTCAGCGAAGATGACTGGTACAGTTGACTCGACGGTTTCCGGATACTGTCGATTCCATTGGATGATCTGCTGTAGATCATTATTACCAAAGAGCTCAATGGAAGCGAGCTGAGCTTGGAGATTTTTCACATCCGTCACTTGTTCCAGAATATGCTCGAAATGGTGCATTATGGTCTGCACCTGCCAGGCCGAGAGGATGTTATCATCATGGCGGGACTCAATGATGACTTTGTCCTCCGCTATGAAGCATTCGACGACCAGCGGATAGCTGTCGAAATCTTCCAGGGGCAGTTCGACCTCTTCCACACCTGGCAAGGCATCTCCAGTTGCATTAGGATCCGACACGGGTTGAATGACGAATAGATTCTGGAACTCGATTGCCCGGGAACAATCCAAGCTGATGCCAGCAATATTTTGTAAACCGAAATGCTCGTGTGGGATCATATCTGTCGACTGTTGCTGAACCTGAGCCAGGAACTCACTGACTGTGAGTTTCGGCGACATTGCCATTCGCACAGGCACAGTTGTAATGGTTGGACCGATCATGGCGTCGATACCAGCCACCGCACTGTTGCGGCCAGAGAGGGTCATTCCAAATACCACATCGTTGCTATCTGTGTAGCGGGAGAGAAGTATCCCCCAGGCAGCTCGCAAAATGGTAGCCCTGAGGATCGTAGAGTCTTTGAGGTTTGGCAGGGGGATCTCAATCTGCACCTTGCCACGAACGGAAGGCCGGTATGATGGTGAAGGCAATTCGGGGAATGTCGATGGTCGGGGGCCGGACATTTGATTTTCCCAGAAAGATTGCGTCAATTGAGTGTCAGTGTTTTGCAAGTGCTTGATGAAGGTATTGAATGGGGCGGAATCGAGGCAATGACCATGCTCGTATGCGAAATGGACCTGATTAAGGATCAATGGCAGCGACCAACCGTCGTAAGTGGCGTGGTGCGCAGTGAAGATGAAGTGACGGTCCTCAGTGAGTCCATAACGCAACGGTGCAGCACCGTAGATTAGTCCTTCAGTCAAGTCCTGCTCTAGGTACTGCTTCAGATCCACCGCCCTTCTCCAGTCGATACTCTCTTTCACCACAACTTGGACGAATCCTGCATCTGGGGTTGGCACGAAGCGCGTGCGCAATATTGGGTTCTTCTGGGCAACCATGTCCCAAGCTGATTGGAATCGAGCAACATCCAGAGTAGGATCCAGGTTGAGAACTTTCCGCAAAGTGTAGGACTTGGGGTTGAGCATGGAAAGGGCCATCATGCCTTCCTGAAGAGGACTTGCTGGAAATACATCTTCAATCGACTCTACCGGAATTAAACATTGACGACTAATGTCGCTCAAGAATCCAGAAATGTCTGGAATCGTGTTCAGTAGTTCGAACGGCCTCAGAGAGGGATGAGCGTCGCCGTTGGCGAAGGTCTTGGCGGCCATTGCAGCGGCCAAGTCGGACAGCACAGGATGCTGGAAAATATCCATGACAGTGATAGGGAAGTTCTCCGGCGTGGTAGCAGCCATTTTCATAGCTCCAATACTGTCTCCGCCCATTTGAAAGAAGTTATCATCCGCTCTGATATCATCCATGGAGATTTTGAGGATGCGATGCCAGAGTTCTTGTAACTTCTTTTCCGATACGGTGTGGGGTACTCGGCGACTGTCTTCACGAAGCGAATAGCCCTTCAGTTGGGTATCGCTCAGTATGGCTACTGCGTCGCGAAGTAACTTACGGTCCAGCTTCTGCGCGGATGTTGTGGGCATCCAGTTCGTGGGAATATAGAGCGATGGCTGGTATGATGGAGGAAGAACGGAGTGAAGGTGAGCCTTGAGATCCAAGGCCCAAGCTCGGGTCTCCATGTTCACTTCCCCTAGGAGCTCGCTGCCGGCCAGCCTGACAGGCTTGAAGGCAAACACGGCGAGAAGCGCTTGCTCTTGTTCTCCGTGAGGGAGCACCACCTCAACCGCGATCTGTGGATCAGATCCCAAATGACGGTTGATTTGATGTTCAATCTCAGAGAGCTCGATTCGTTGACCGCGCAGCTTGATCTGTGTGTCTCTGCGGCCCAAATATGTAATTGTCCCATCGATGTTATAACGCACTAAATCACCGGTCTTGTAAAATCTCTGAACGGAGTCATTGGACATCGGATAGAATCCTGGGTTGCGAATGAAGACTTGATCAGTCTTTGCTTGGTCGTGGAGATATCCTCGAGCCAAGGTACCGCCTTGAACTAAAAGCTCACCGATGGCCCCAACAGGTGCCAGCTGGTGATGGTTGTTTGGGCGAGTAATCCAGGAAAGAGAGCCCACAGCTCTGCCAAGATTGTCGCAACGGTCATTTTTGCCTGCAAAGGTCTTCATAACCGCGAATACACATGACTCCGTGGGCCCATATCCATTTATGAGACGAAGACTCTCTGCCCAAGTTTGGATGTTATCTTCATGTAGTGCTTCTCCTCCCAGAATCAGGGTTTTGAGAGTGGGAACTTGGTGTGGTCGAAGGAGACGCACGACCGAGGGAGTCAAGAAGGAGGTATTGGCTCTCAATCGGTTCATGGAGCCGGCAATATCACTCATTCGCTCGGCATCGGACGGGAGACAGATGCATCCACCGTAGGTCAGAGTTGTGAAGATCTCAAGAATGCATGCGTCGAAGGTAAAAGCTGCGAATTGGAACATTCGCGTGGCAGAGCTGCATCCAATTTCTTGTCCATGATGGATGACACTGGTACTGACAGCTGCATGCTCCATAATCACACCCTTGGGAGTACCAGTGCTGCCAGAGGTGAAGAGAACATATGCGACACTATGAGGAGAGACAGGGCCAGTGAGTACAGGAGCATATTCATCATGCCAGATACTGGCAGATTCCGAAACAACGAGGGTCTTGGGCACGAGCTCGGCCAGTAACGCCAGCTTCTCCTGGGAAACTAGCACCAGTGATGAAGATATCTGTTGGATTATCAGTTTCAGTCTGTTAGCTGGGCTGGAGGGATCTAAAGGCACAAAGCCTGCCCCTGCCTTCAGAACAGCAAGCATGGAAATTATCGCCCAAGATGACTTCCCAAAACAAATCGGAACGAGATCACCACGGCTCACTCCCATATTGACAAGAGCATGGGCGAGCTGGACGGCCTTCTTTTCAAGTTGTGAGTAGGTCATCTGTCCATCCCAGGAGGCAATGGCTGGTGCGTCTGGCGAGGCTGTTGCATTCCCCTCAAAGAGTCCATGCAGGGGTTCATGAACAGTCGGGGCCATAGCGGAATTCCACTCGAAGACCTTGTTCTTGGCCGATGCGCCGAAAAGATCAACCGAGTCCACTGTGGAGGAAGGATGGGAGATGATGAATTCCAACGCCGCGGAGAGAGCTCCCGAGACCTGGACTGCGTATTCTGGAGACAGTCGTGAAGTCAGATACCCCAGCTCAACTGTGAAACCGTTTAGGTCGGTGTCTGCAACATTCACCGTGATATCGTACTAGCAAAAATATAGAGTGTAAGTTACCCAAACGGTCTATTACGACACCAAACGGGAGAAACTGTCAAACTTACCTCCGTGGGATCGATTCCGTCAAGATATGTCATCTGCAGATCACCCAGTACCAGTCTCTCGACATCACGACGCTGGAAGCTGACAACTGTGTTAAACAATGGCTTGCCTGTTACTCCCAACGCATGGTGAATTTCCGCCAACCCGACATGTTGGTATGGAAGCATCTTGAGATACTCGTGGTGGAGGTTCTGCAACTCCGTAACGACAGACTTGCTACTGACTTCGGCTAGATTTGTTGCACACACCAGCATGTTGATGAAAGGACCAACAGCGCTCTCCAAGCCTGGCAGGGGAACCTCTCTACCTGCCGTGAGATAACCAAAGCAGACCTGATCTTCGCCCGAATAAGCCTGAAGGACCAGGGACCATGCCAAGCGGATCACATTGGCCAGCGTTATATTGTTCTCTTGGCAGAACGCACGCACTTGCCCGTTGTCAGGTACCATGACATCGATACTCTTCATTTCCTTTTCCACCTCACTGGAGACTACCAAAGAGGGGAAATGGCACGGCTTGACATCACGAAGATAATTCGACCAGAAATATAGACCCTCCGCAGCCGGCTGAGATCGAATGTATGCAATGTAGTCACTGTACGGTATGGCTGGCGAGACTGAAAGCTGATTGCTGTATGCAGAGGCGAGATCATTGATCAGTACTGACATGGCTGTTCCATCCATGAGAGCATGACTCATGTCGAGCCTGAAGTAGACGGATCCTTCAGCACATTCGACCACGACCAGGCGATGGGGTGGTTCAGCCATCGATGGTGACAAGTGATCGTAACTCTTAAGAAGGTCAATAGCTCCATGAGCTGACTCGGCTTGGAGAACCCGAGCCACCGCACGGTGGCTGCGAAGAACCATTTGATCAAATGGTCGCTGTGAGATTCCTTTGAGGAAAACAGTCCGTAGGATTGTGTGGCGATCAACAACTTGCTGCCACGCTGAAGCTAGGCGCGTAGCATTGATAGTCGCTCCTTTACAAGACTCAATCTTCATGATGGCGTGATAGAGGTAAGCATCCTCAAGACGAAGTTGACTGAGCAAGATACCAGTTTGCAGAGGCGAACATGGATAAAGCTCGTCGATGTCATCCAAAGTCAGGCCGAGCTCAGGTACTCTGGAACTCTGCAACTTATCCAACTCGGGATAGGAAATCTCAAGAAGAGGATAGTCACTTCTGGTTAGAGTAAATTCTGTGGAAGCCAAACTCTTGGAAATGTTCTTCAGAGAGGCGGCGTAGTTCTCAATCCACTTGTGGATACTGCCAACATGCTTCATGTGACGATTGAACGTGAAAGAGATATGGGTTGATCCACTGATCACGTAGACATTGATCTCAAACAGAGCGTAGCGTCGCACGGCCGATCCAACATCTCCCTTGTTGAACGGCACCAGATGGAACATCCCATCGGAACGCTCTAATCCTTGGTACAAGCCGAGATAATTGAAGACGATCTCCACGGGCATGTGGTCGGTAAAGGCCTTCACACCGTCCTCGTTCAGGTACCTCGATGTGAAGTAGGACCATCCGTTCGCAGGAAGCGTGCGCCTCTGATCTTTTACACTTCGAACAATATCTGTGTGGGACGTGGTGGAATCTACTCCGGATATATAGAAGGGGAAAACGGTGGTAAACCAACCCACTGAGTCGGAGAGATCGATGTCGCTGGTCCACGGCTCACGGCCATGGCCTTCGTTGAAAACCGCAGGCGGGGGCTTTTCGAAGGTTTGCGCATAGGAGGCGAACAAAGCTGCGATGAGAATATCGAGTGGCTCTGTTCTCATCGCCTGATGACAGCCAGTCAGCAAGGCTTCACTTTCCTGGGATGCCAGTACTGCTGAGACTTGGATATTGTCGCCAGCAAAGTTGGGAACATCTTCCATTCCCCAATAGCCATAGTCTGCTCTGGGGATTGTATAGGGAAGAGCCTGACTTGGCGGAAGATGTTCCGCGGCATATTCGGTCTGCAATTGCTGCCACTGCTGGAATGAGAAGGGAGCAGTGGGTGTTTGTGAGATCTCCCCTGCGACTGAGTCTTCTAATTCCTGGAAGATGATTCTCCAAGACACTAAATCAATGACCAGGTGGTGAGCCACCAGGAAGAACAGCGGGAGCTGTCCTGGAATGGTGAAATGTTCCACCGCGAACACGGGACCCTCCTGGATGTCGAGTTCCTCCTGCGCATGTTGTGCCAAATCGAGAGCGTCTTGTTCACTCTCTACCGCACGTTCTCTGAATCGGTACGCAGAGGGACTATAACCGATCAAAATTTGCTTCCACTGTGAGTTGTGCGACTGCCGGAATCGTGCTCGCAGCATCGAGTGACGCTGCACGACCTTGCCCACAGCGTCCCTCAACTGCTCCACTGGCACATCCAAGGCCAAGCGGAACAAGAAACTCTGATTGAACTGATTCGCTGTCGCTTCTTGGTATCCTTGGGATATATTTTGGAAGTAAAACTGCTGGATGGGAGTCAGGTCAAAGGGAGTGTCCAACCGGTCGGAGTGCTGATAAAGATTGATGCCTTGCACTGTCTGCACAAAGTCGGCCAATGCTGCAATGCTGGTACTACGCATCACATCCTTAAAAAGAACTTTTAAACCTTCATTTCGACACATGACGACCAGCTGCATACCGCTGATCGAGTCACCACCGAGGGAAAAAAAGGATCGCTGGAGAGACACCTTGTTGAGAGGCAGATTCAAAACACGTCCAACAATTCCCTGCAAGCGCTCTACTGCATCCGATTTGGGAGTAGTAGTTTCAGTGAGATCGGCCTCTTCTTCTTTCTCGGCTAGTGCATCGAAGTAAATCTCCTGCTGCATATCTTCGACCCATTCCTGGACCTTACGTCGGTCCAGCTTTCCAGACAGCGACAATGGAAGCCTGGAGCACAGCAGCCAGACGGAGGGTATCATGTAGCTAGGGAATACACCTGCGAGGCGGTCACGAATGGATGTGATCTGGTCGATGGCCCGCTCCTTGCCAGAGTCCTTATTGAAAGGAATAATCCCCTCGACAGAGACAGCCTGGGTGGATATTTCATTCTCAAATGCCACCAGGGCAACCAGCTTCTTCTTGCAGAGTCCATGGCTGGGAACAACAAGCGCCGTCTGGACGACCGAAGGGTTCCGGCTAATTACTTCTTCGATGTCCCAAGTGACCAGGCGTTGTCCGTTCAGTTTGATCTGTCCATCAGCACGTCCGATGAATAACATATTTCCATCAGCTAGCATTTTGACGAGATCTCCAGTTCTATACAATCGCGTTCCCTCCTTGACTTCTCCACGCCATCTCGGAGGAGGAATGAACGCTTTGGAATCCAGCTTGGGATCCAGATATTGTGTGACAATAGGACCTTCGATCAAAAGCTCTCCTGGACAGCCTACAGGGACCAGTCTCTGGCAGTCTTCGGGGTCGGCGACCCAAAACAGGCATCCATGGGCGCGTCCAATGCTGTTTGCTGGCATGGCACCCTCTAAAACGGCGAACGAGGACATAATCTTGAAGTAATCAGTAACATGTTATCGTAATTTCAAGGTCAAATATTCTTACGGTGCATTCCGCGGGCCCAAAGCTGTTGAGTACGCGGACGTAGTCCTGCCATTTGCCTGGAAGATCAGCAGGGACAGCCTCGCCTACCAATGCCAATGTCCTTAACGTGGGAACCGCCTCTGGTGAGAGGGAGAGAGCTAGAGAAGGAGTCAAGAAAGCATAGCTGACATTCAAGCGCGTCATCGCCCCAGCCAGATCATTAACCCTTTCGTCCTCTGATGGGACACAAACGCATGCTCCTACACACAAGGATAGGAAAATCTCCCCATTGCTGGTGTCAAATGTGTAAGCGGAGAACTGCAGGAAACGCGTGGATTGATCAATCCTCATGTCGGCATTGTGAGCCACCAGTGAGCGTACATTGCTGTGGCGAACCACAATACCCTTGGGCTTTCCAGTACTACCAGATGTAAAGTTGACCATTGCGGCATCGTCTGGAGAGGCCTTTTGAAGGATTCCCAAACTACCACCAGGGAGGGATGGGAAGAGTGCCGACTCAACAACAATGACATGGTCCACTAGGTCTCCCACCAACTCTCCGTAGGCTTCTGATCCTGCCAGAATAACACAGCATTTTGTAGCCAAGATAACTTGTTCAAGGTGTGATCTTGGATGAGAGGGGCCCATGGATGTGTATGCACCGCCGGACTTGAGGACTGCCAACATTGCCACCACGGTCCATGCAGATTTCTCAAAGCAGAGGGCGACTACCTGCTCAGGCCCAACACCAAGGGTGGAGAGTCTGATCGCCAGCTTGTCGGATAATGCATCCAACTGCGAGTACGTGAACGAGGCGTCCCAGCCCTCAACAGCAGGTGAGGATGGATGCGCCAGAGCTTGTTGACGCACCTCGTCGTGGATGCACCCTGAGATGGTCTCTGGAACAATCCCATGGTTATTTAGAGCCATTAGGTACTGGTGTTGCTGATCATCGACTAAGTCGAAATCCCGAAATTCTTTGGTCGGCGAGGCAAGCAAATTGGTGAGAATCGTCTTGAAAGTTGAACCCAACAGACTGGCCTTCTCGTCTGACATGAAGGTGGTCCAGTAGTTAATGTCGACGTGGATGTCAGCATCGCCAACCGTGATACTTACGCTCAAATCATACTCCGTGGGGTCGGAACCGCCCAAATACTCGACAGCAATGCTACTACTTCTCTCATCTGACTCTACCATTGATCGTTGCAGAGAAAGCGTGGTGTTGAACAGACGCTCCCCGAGAGTCGCAAATGATGCTGAACCTCTGCCAACGAGGTATGTTGATACGGTAAAGAGTTTAAGAAATCATCGTTGATCCTTCCCATAATGTCGATCAACCTGGATGAGTCATTGACTTCGATACGACAGGGCAACATGTTGATGAATGGACCCACGGCGTGATCTAGATCGAGGCCGTCGGCATCACGCCCTGATGAAAGGTAACCAAAGGACACGTCTGAATTCCTGGTGTATAGGCGCAGGACTAGAGCCCAGGCAGCCTGGAACACGTTCGCAATGGTCAATTCGTTATTTTTGCAGAAGATTTGGAGCTCAGGAAACATGTCTGTAACTGGCATGTTGACCACCCGGAGCTCCTTTTCGGACACCATGTCATCCAAGAGCGAGGGAAACATGGCTGGCTGCATGTTCTCTAAGTATTTCGACCAGAAGGACGTGGTAGCCTCGCGAGGCTGTCGCTGCCAGAAAGCGATGTAGTCACTGTACAGGGGCCCAGGGGGGATTGCATTGTCATAGGCCGCTCTGATATCACCGAGAAGCAGAGGCATCGATGCGCCGTCAATCAACGTATGACTAAGTTCCAGGTTGAAGTACAGGAGATCTTTGGCCTCGAACACCGTCATTCGGTGCGGGGGAACGGGCTCATTGTAGTCGACAGGGTGTTCCTGATCATACCGAAGCAAACTCTCTAGGCTCCTGGCCCTCTCCACTCGGGGCGTATAATTTTTGAGTACAATTTGACTGTACAGGGAGTCTCCTGATAGTCCCTCAATGAAAAAGGTACGCAAGACTGGATGACTCGCAACGACACGACTCCATGCCAGAAGGAGCCGATCCATATTGAGTGGCTTCAATGTGTCTACTGCCCGGATTGAACAAACAGCCGAGAACTTGTACGTCTCCGGGGCTTGGGCTTGGCTAATCAGGATACCCTCCTGCATGGGCGAGCACCCATACGCGTCTTCGATGTCGGGCAGACCTGTGTAACCCAGCTTTTTGACCCATTCGTCAAGATCAGATGGATGCATACTCGGTAGCAGACGGAACGCTTGGCCGTCAGTCTTGGTTAAACTGGCGGAACTGTTCATGACTGTCGCTTCTGTCGCAATCTGGCGGAGTGATTTGCTCTTCAGGATGCTCTTCACTGCACATTGAATACCACGGGATCGAGACCGTGATGAAGTCTGCATGGCTGTGATTGAATCTCCTCCTAACGAGAGGAACGAAGCGTTCATGAAGACTTCCGCCACGGGAAGGTTAAGGACCGAGCTAACCACCTCCCTCACGTCTGTCTCCATCTTGTTCATTGGCAGATTTTCGGGGCCATTGGGGCAATCAGTCGGTTCAAAGTTGTCAGCAATCTCCTGCAAGTCCTCAACCCAAGCAACAACTGACGGACGATCTGATTTTCCGTTTCTTGTGACGGGAATCGACTGCACAACAAGCCAGGTGGAAGGTATCATGTAAGAAGGCAACCTTGTTCCAAGCCAGTCTCGCATGGGAGATATATCTACATTGGAATCCCGCCGCAGCTCAATGCTAGCCTTACCTAGGGCATGAACCTGGTCGTTCAAGCTCAGCACCGCAACTAGCTTGCCTGCCAGTTGGCCTTTGGTAGGCACCATGGCTAGTGCATTCTGAACATTGGCGTGCATCAGCATCGTCCGGTCAATCTCGCCCATCTCCACACGTTGGCCGTGCAGCTTTACTTGATGGTCTCGACGGCCAATGAAGTGAATAGAACCATCCGAGTTGTATCTGGCAAGATCGCCGGTTCGGTAAACCTTGAATTGTGTAGCGGGCCCACCCGCTTGATACTGCGACCACCATGCAGGGGGATCGATAAACGCCGCCTGGGTTTTTCCATCGTCTTTCAGATATCCTCGGGCAACAATTGGCCCTTCAATCAGGAGCTCGCCGACGGCACCGACTGAGCACAGTTTGCTCGGGTCTTCCGCATTGGTGATCCACATCCTGGCACCAAGTCCATAACCAATGTTGCGTGGGGAAGCAGATGATGGGACATTTTGCAGGCCTGTAGACCAGATACTGCACTCTGCGGGCCCGTATATGTTCACTAGATTGGTGTGATTGGCCCAGGTGGCGATGTTGTCTTCTCGCAGGGCCTCACCTCCCAGGGCCAACGTGGAAATTCCCGGAACTTCAGAAGGATGCAGCAGACTCACCACCGAGGGTGTCAAATATACGACTTTGGCGTTCATCCGGTTGATGACACCAGCCAGGTCATTCATTCGTTCATCCTCGCTTGGAATGCAAAGCGTGCCACCACTCATCAAACAGGTAAACGTCTCGCCAATGCTGACATCGAATGTGTACGATGCAAATTGCAGTACTCGGGCTTTCGCGTAATTCATTGCAGGCCCGTGAGATTTTGCGCTGCTACAGATGGCATGGTGCTCGAGAACGATTCCTTTTGGTTTACCTGTGCTGCCTGATGTGAAAACGACAAAAGCAGGATTGGAAGGCGAGACCTCGGACGAAGTGGAAGGAACCAGGAGTGCTGACTGGTCCTGGAGCAGCGTATCAATGGTGTTTGCCCCGAGGATGATTACGTTTGGCACCAGTCCGTCGAATAGCGATTCGTTGCCTTCTGAAACAATGGCGGTTTGGGCCTCGCACTGCTCGACCATTTGTTCGCGTCTGCTGCGAGGGTGCTCCGGATCAAAAGCAACACATGCTCCACCCGCCTTTAACGTGGCCAACTGAGCAACGACCGTCCAACGCGACTTGGGAAAGCCAATTGGTACCAGAGACTCTGGTTGGACACCCTTCTGCATCAGCAGTTCCGCGAGAATGCTGGTCATAGAATCCAGTTCCTGGTAAGTGAAACTGCCATCCCAAGCCTCAATGGCGACAGCCTGTGGGCAAGTAATCGCTTGTTCGGAAATCAGGTCATGAACGCAGACGTGAAGGTCGGCCCACTGCTGACTGTTCCAATGTGCAATCTGAGATTGATCACGATCACTCATCATATCCAAATCGCCCAACTTGGCTGAGTGGCTATGAACCACAGCGTCGATAGCCCGGCGGAACGTGGCCAGCACGTTCTCGGCCATGGCGTCACTGAGAGCCGCCCGGTAATGTCGAAGTGTAACAGAAACCCGTGTCTGGGAGACGAATATGTTGACAGAAATATCATACTAAACCAAGTTAGTATTTCTACCATTAGCAACTGGTTATGGTCTTACCTCTGTTGGGTCCAATTCCCCAATAACCCTAAATCCTATGCTCCCATTAGCTTCCTCGCTAAAGAATACCTCTCCCAGGGCGCTTTGGAGGGACATGATTGTGTTGAACAACGGCTTCGAAGTGCCTAACGCATGCTGGATCTCGGCAACTGAGCAGTGCTGATGGGGGAGCCCTCGTAAGAAGTTCTGCTGTGTTTCCTTTGCAATAGAGGTGATTGTCGATTCAGGAGACAGCAGCATGCGATAGATCATCATGTTGATAAACACACCGACTGCCTCACTGATCTCAGCCACAGGCATCTCGCGGCCTGTGGTCAGATATCCAAATGAAATATCATTCTGCTTCGTGTAGGCCTGAAGGACCAGGGCCCATGCCGCTTGGAAAACAGAAGCGGGCGTGAAGTTATTAACGGCACACAGGGCATACAGAGCGTCGACGCCCTCAATATCCATTTTCACTTCGCCCGGTTGACCCTCAAGAACCAAATCGTCGTTGAGGGTGGGCATGTGGCAGGGGGTTGCATCCTCCAAGTGCTTAGTCCAGTATTCTAACGAAGAGTCCACGGACAGCTGTTGGATATAATCGATGTAGGAAGAGTATTTGATCGTACGGTCCCCTGGAAGATTGCCATCGTATGCTTGACAGAGATCACGTAGCAAAATCAAGATGGAGACTCCGTCAACGAGGGCGTGGCTAATATCAACAGTGATGAAATGCTTGCCCTCGTCTGTGGTAGATAGCACGAAAACCACTGGCGGCTGGAGGGCAGTGTCTGTTCGAGTGAACGCCTCTTGCGCCTGCCAGAACGCATTTACATTTTTCAATCTCCATTCCACAACCCTTGCTTTGCTTTTTTTGAGGACCAGCTGGTCGAATAGGCCGTCTTCTGTCTCGGTCTCGATCATAATGGTCCGCAGCGCAGGATGCCGAGCCGTGACATGTTCCCAGGCGTCCAACAAGCGCTGTCCATCAATCTCTTCTCCTGTGCAAGACAGCACCTCGCAGGTGATGCGAAGCTGGTAGCTTTCGGGGTTCTGCTGTTGGCTCAGAAGGATTCCTCGCTGCACGGCTGACAGTCCATACACATCCTCTACCGAGTTGAACTCGAGACCAACTCGCGATAGTCTCTCTTGATCCAATGAAGGTGAATATGTTCGAATCGCCTGGCTGGTAAAAGGGGCGACTGGACCTCGACTCTCAATCTTCTCAACGAGCTCAATCAACGTTGCACTTTGCAGAATATCTTCGAAAACAACAGAAACGCCATTACGGCGCAATTTGTCAAGGAGCTGTGTCGCCTTGATAGAATCACCAGAGTTCTGGATCCACGATCTGTTTAACCACACGTCCTCGGGTTTTGTGAAGCCCAGAATATCGCGGCAAAGTTGTTCCATTTCACGTTCTCGCTCGTTCGATGGGCTGACCCTCTCAAGGTCATCATCCATTCCCATGAGGAAACTGTATGTGTCTGGTGACATATCCTTGACATATCTGGCCACTGCCACTCCGTTTTGCTTGCCAGAGACAGTCAAAGGGATAGACCAGACCGGTGCCCAGATTGTTGGCAACATGTAACTTGGCAGCTGCTTGAAAACCGACTCTGCCACAGCTGCAAGTTGCTTTTTGGCAGAGCTGTAGTTCTCTTCGGTGAGTAACTCGAGAGTTGAGGATTGGCGTTGAAGCTCTTTCAGAGAAACCACGGCCGCCAGTTTGGCCTGACAAGGACCTTCTTTTGCGAGTACGACAGACACTTGTCTGACGAATGGATGAGCAGCAATACGGTGTTCAATCTCCCCCAGTTCGATTCGGAGGCCGCGCAGCTTTACTTGGCTATCCTTTCGGCCAATGAAGTGGATAGAGCCATCCGTATTGAACCGGGCCAAATCACCGGTCTTGTAGATGCGTGAGGACGGTGTGGTATCCGCTTTGAACCACTTGGCTGAGTCCAAGAATACAGCCTGTGTCTTTTCGGGCTCATACAAGTATCCCCGAGCAACGATATGTCCCAGAATGACCAACTCGCCGGGAGCCCCAATTGGAACCAGGGTATCGTGGTCATGTGGCTTGACGATCCAACAGCAACCACCCAGTGGATGCCCAATGTTCATTGGATTCGTTTGGAGGGACAGTGGAACATTCGCCGTTGCAGCGATCGAACACTCCGAAGGGCCGTACCCATTGGCTAGTCGCACATGCGGCGCCCAAGTTTTAATGTTTTCTTCCAGGACGGCTTCACCACCCAGTACCAGAAATTTCAGTGTCGGGACCTGCCTGGGGTCCATGGACTTCACCAGTGACGGAGTGAGGAAGGCCCAGGTGATGCTAAACTGTTGGATGCAGAAAGCAGGTCCCTGAGATCGCTCCTGGTCGTTGGGAATACACACACAGGCACCCGAGATGAGTGAAGTTATAATCTCTAGGATACTCACGTCAAAAGTGAACGATGCCAATTGCAACACTCGATCATTGGAATCCATCCCAGATGCTTTCTGTTGCGCCTGAGAACCAGTCAGGAACTGTCGATGTTCAATCACACATCCTTTCGGCTTGCCGGTACTTCCAGAGGTGAAGATGATATACAATGTGTTTGAGGGAGTGGCTGTTGATTCCAGAACTGTTCCCTGGGGAGTCGGCCCCAGGGAGTCCACAAAGACACGCTCGATGCAAATTACATCACCCTCAAACCATTCCATCTGAGCAGTATGCTCCGATGCGGTAAGGATCCATTTTGTCTTTACTTGGTCCGCAACCTCACGGTGTCGGGCCGTTGGATGTGATGGATCCAGAAACAAAATGGCTCCGCCGGCACGGATGACAGCCATCATGGCCACAACGGCCCAAGCAGACTTAGGAAAACATAAGATTACCACGGCTTCTGGTCCTACCCCCAGATTCTGCAGGTAGATGGCCAGTCGTCCACTCAGACGATCCAAGTCTTCATACGTCAGAACCGTCTCAGCTGTCCGCACTGCCTCGTTCAATGGTCTTTGTAGGACAATTTCTTCAAAGAGAGTGCCCACACAGTGATCCACCGCTTTAGGAAGGCGACTGCCCCAGGTCTGCAGCTGTCTCTCAGTCTCAGGGTGGAGAAGATTGATCTGCGAGATTTGTCGATTCGCATCAAGATGAAGCTCATTCAGTAACTGGCTGACTGTGTTTGCAACCTGCTTTGCGAATGATGGAGCAAGATATTTTGCTTTATGGATCAGACATATTTCCATCTGATCGTGCCCATCCACCACTAGCAGGGATACTTCGAACTAACACGCAAAGTCAATTTCCGGCCTTGATCGGCAGATATTCAAGCAGAACTTACTTTTTCCAGGTCTTTAGTGATTTCTTCTCTAGTGCTTGCAAAGTAGACGGCTGAATTGCAAGGCAGCTCCAATGTGTGGTCTTGGATGTGTCGCTTTCTATCTCCAAATGACCGGAGCAGCTCAATCATAGTGACTTGCTCGTCTATCTCCAAGGTCACCAGCTCAAGGTCTGCTGTTCCAATCACGGATGCTGCGCAGATAGCTCCATTTCCCGTGAATGTTTTCAAAATTAGGCCCCATAAGGCAAGAAAAACGTCGGACAGAGGGATTTTCTGGTCGCGACTGAAGTCGTGTAGCCATGGCTTGAATTCGGTTGATGGCAATTCGATCGAGACTTGCGCATCATTGATGCTCAATGCTTCTTCGTGATCCTCTAAATGCAGCTCAGGAAACTTGCATTCCATTGTTGCCGATTCGTTTGTGGTGCTCATGGTAACCGAGTTTGTCATGTTGATTGAGCTCAGAATACGCAAGTACAACAGCACTTCGTCTCGCTATTTTGGCCTTTCAATAGCCAAACTTGTCTCAAGCAGGAGGCGTATATAATAGGCGTCGAATAAGCTCCGTAAGCATCTCTCCTTCTGTCTCTTACCTCGTGGTCGCTTGACAAAACCATCCCGTTTATTATTATTTTTTCTTAGTTCCATTAGCCTTGCATTAGTGTGACACAAATTCGCCGCGTCCCAAATGAATCGCCCCCATCTTCTCCCCACTAGGTGGTGAGTGAGGGTACCAAACTCGATACGAAAGTCCCCGTGGCTGTTATGGTATGGGTACTGGTACAGATTGATCTGGTCCGAAACCCGGGAGTTGTATCGGTACATGTTTACGTTCTGTATTAGTCCTTGTATTTATTGTATTATTGCCCATCGTACCAGTATTGCTCGCGACGCCTTGCGCTAGTATTACTACTAGTGGTGCCACAGGTATTTCTATTATACAACTTACGGTCTTGTGGGCCAGTCTGCTACTATGTACCTCAGTACTGATTAATTGGTCATGCGGCTTATTCAGACGAATTGGCGTGCGTGCCCCAGCCCTAATTGCAGCAGCTGGGCGGTTGAAGTTGCGAGACTGAGCTCGCGTGGAAAGGTCCTACCACTGAGCTGATTTACTCTGACGGAAACTGGCATGAATGCCATCTAGAAGCCTGATTCATTGTATGGGCAACTCGCTTGATTGCGAAGTGAATTTTCTCAATTAAACAACTATTCATTGTGCTGTAGATATAGATACGCGCTTGAATAACTATTTTCTTCCCTACTCTTCTGACTCCTGTCCAGGGCCATTCTGTAGTCTCGGTATAAATATAACTTTCACGCGAGAAACGACGTATTGTCTAAGAGGAGCCTTTCCCGCAAGAATACATATCGCAACCGGAATTCTTGACTTTGAACAAGAAGAATTTGACGCGTATCGCATTGAACGCAACTAAATCATATTCGCGGCGTATAGCTTCGAGTGGCATTCGTACAACTTCAGGCTCCTCATATCCGGCATTTTGATCCTCCGTTTTGCGATAGCAGAGGTCTCCTTTCTCTCCCGCTCTGTTCCCCAGCGATCCTTAGTTGTGACTCGGACTGCCCGACGCTGCAATTTAAAACTAGGAACACAACCATAGGCAAAAACTTGACAGCAGCCATGGAGTGACGCGACAGTCCCCATGCAGAGAGAAGGCATCAGCGATGACACTTCACCCTCTTCCCATAACTATATACGGGGTTTGAACTCCAAGAACGGCCCCATTTTAGCAGCTGTCAGATGGTCGAAAATCTGGAATTCATTGACTCTTTGCCGCCCAATAGGACCATCCTTGTGGCCCTCGCCAACGTGACCCAGCTCCCCTGGCGCCATCTGAAGATCGAATGCCCAAAGGACATGCGAGAGCACTAGATGCAGTTCCACATACGCCAGGCCTTTGCCAATGCAGCTACGGGGCCCGATGGAGAAGGGGTTGAAGGCAGACCTAGCCAGTTCGACGTCGCTCTGGATGAGCTGCGCTTCCTTGGCAATCCATCTCTCGGGACAGAAGGTGAAAGGCTGCGGATAGTAGACGGGATTGTGATGAATGCTGTAAATGCAAGTCCCCACGTCTACTCCAGGTGGAAGGAATTCTCCATCCACGTCAGCGCCCGTGTCAGTCACCTCTCGCCACAACGAGCCTGCCGCAGAGGGGGATAAGCGCATGCTCTCCTCAATGCAGGCACGCAAAAATACACACTGGTGCATCTTTGGGCCCATACTGATCTGATCTGGTGCGTGGAACACACTGCGGATTTCGGCGGCTGCCCGTGCAAGTGCATCGGGGTGATGTGTCAGGTAGAAAAAACAAGCTGCCAAGGCAGTCGAGGTGGTATCAGTGCCTGTTTGTCAAGGATAATAATCCAGTCAGTAAATAAACCTAATCAAATCATGTTTCCCTCTTACCGGCGACAATGAGAGTGGCACTCTCTCCTGCCAGCTCCTTCATGCGAAGATTTAGGCCAGTCTCAGGGTCGATCGCCTTACTCAAGGTTGCGAATGCCCCCTTTCCCGACTTAGTGGCGCATTGAATTCCCTGGCGAAGCATTTCCTCCACAAAATGAATAAATTTATCCCGAGCCTTAATGGCCTCAGGAAACAAGTACTTGTCGAGCCTCAATATGGCCAGCTCAGGCGCCTGAGACAATGCACCAACGCGCACATTAGACTTCTCAATGACATCCGGAACAAAGCGATATTTTGGATCCCGCTGAGTAGACCATGGTACTCCAAAGATAACGTTGCTCATTACATCGAAGGTAAAATAATCACCTATTATAGCCTAGTCAGCCCTTGAATCGGAACACAATTGGACCAGAGCGTATACTTAGATGACCAATATCCTTAGTAGGGGACCAAGTATGAATAGAAACGGGTTGACCATCACTGCTCTCCCGCAGCGCATTGCACAACTGCTGAACTTGCTCAAGGATCACACTTTCGTACGATTTAAGTGTGTTATCTGAGAAGGCCTGACTAATGACTCTTCTTTTCTTGCCATGCTTGTTCTTGTCGATCACCGTCAATGTGTTGGGTGCTCGATGAACCATCGCGGCATATTTTTGGGATTTTTGGAAGTTTTTGCCGTGGCCATAGACATCTATATTTTTCCCATTCGTTAGCAAGCCATCTCGATTATGCACATCGACAAAAGCGTACCATGGAGGCCCTTGACCGTGTTGACCAAAAGACCATTTGGTGCATATCGAACAAAATCCCCATATTCCTCATGGCATCTCCACATATCTACGTGAAGATCACCTCGCCATGAGTGATACCCAGCGTAAAGATTGCTGATCTTTGCCAGCCATGGCCCTGGATATTTTGCCAAAGGGTGAAAGAAGATTCGATAAGTAACCACAACCACAACCTATATCTATAGGTTAGCCAGGTTTCACAGAGAGAGAAGAGTACAGAGATAGCTGTGAGAGTGTTTTACATGGACTACCAGTGCCACGAACCCCAGGATCAGCACCCGGACGGCGAGGGGGAAGATCCATTGAAGAAAGATCATCATGAGGACCAATATGACAGTCAGTGGCTCTTCTCATTAAAATCTCGGAGAATAAATAAAAAGAAAGGAAAGACTGGATGCACGCGGGACTCTTCTTGGTTCATGCGCACAAAGTGCAGGTCAATTAGAAATGCGTTCAACCATGCTGTCCTCTCTCCACGTGGAACGATATAACCGATGATTGCAGGGATGTAGTGGAGGTTTTCCCCTTTTTTTTTTTTTTTTTTTTTTTTGGTTAAAAAACTAAGTTACTACTTTCAAGGAAAATGGTTAACATCCTGGTATGTCTTTCAGGCTAAAGGTGAGCGAATAATCCTACGGTATCGCCTACCAGTTGTATTTTCATACGTCTTGTATGTAATACAATACAATACCACGATACATGGCCATACACATGTATATATCAAAAACAATCGTGGTAAAGGATAGTAAGCGTCAGATTAGTATGCCAGCAATCAAGCCGAAATACCCGTGTTTACGAGGCTGAAACATATCAGAAAGACTAAATATACTTGCCATTGTGGGACGACCTAATTGAATGGCGAATATGTCGGGAATCCAATTAAGTCCGCCTTGATATAAGCACTAACTCTTCAGCCAGGTGTGCGTTATTGGAATAAGCAGCTTTGTACCTGCTTGAGAAATAGTTGCATATTCCAAGTGAGTCACTGAAGTCATCCACTGTCCTGCATGCAGTCCATCCACTTTCTAGAACTGGATCATGCAATACCACATGGAAATATCCCGCATGCAATTAAATCATACCATTTGGTCACGAGTTAGGACATTGGCATCACTCAGCCGATGTCACGTAGAAGAACTACCTCGTGTCCCAAATGGGGAACGCGAAACGATCTCGTCTCGTGAGACCCGCGCAATTGTTCCCAATCATCTGGCCACCTGCGTTGCAGCCGTCTCGGCTTGGGCTTATTTGGAGCATGGTAGGATGTAAGAACTAGGTCGGAAATATCAAGGGGATTGCATTGCCCACTTTCCGCTCCTGACTTTTTGAGGGCCACAGTATCTTGAGAATTGGGGGCAATAATTGGCCATAGAGTACTGCCTGGGAGCTGAATCTGTCAGCTCTGTTTGTACATTTGGTGTGTCCGAGGGAATAGTAGATGGAGTAGCACAGTCGGGGTGAGATGTTATCGTTGACCTCAAGGAGAAGACATGTCAATGTCCCTCCTAAATTATGATAATTCGAAAGTGACTTCACTACAGCGTCTATACGTGCTGTAGTGGTGGAATCAGTGACAGTAGTACGTTAGTGGCCTGAGGTATCACAAAGACTCAGGAGATATGCAGTCTTCTCCCTCTAGAGATAGGAGCATGATCCCACCATCCTCAATATGACCACAGTCCTCCACCAGATTCTTCATTCATGATATACCTTCAAGTACAGTACGATAACCACCTACAGAAACCGCTCTCTATGCCTGAGCTGAGCATGGGAGTGGTTGGTTGCGTTCTCTCCGTTGATATTGACCCGTCTGTTATGCCAGACTGCCATCGTGCCATTCCCATTTCAATATATATATTCAAGTGCGAGTGTCAAAAGCTGTTCATGTGTTTTACTTCAAAATAAGGGCTTTGGATGATCCGATGTAAATATATATTGTGACAAGCCAAACTTAAAAATGTCTGGTAAACGGTGTTGGGAAAGTATAATAAACGCCAAAAGAAAGAGTAGAAATTGATGGAGTATGGCTTTCCTAAGGAGCTGTACATGGGTGATGTTGGTGTAGATGTCATGCAATTCTGGATAGTTATCAGACCAATTTCTTTTAGCACGTAAAGTACACCAGGGGTTATAAATAATACACAGTACCACTGATGAAGATTTGGACAGTGTACAAAGGCCTCGAAGCGAGTGTACCGTCTTATGCACTATTCTCGCCCTACATTGGCCTCTCTTTTTTCGCCTTTTATTCGCCCACTTTCAAGTGCCTGTGGTTGATTATGTAGATTGAATAAAAGTGGGATTCTAAAAGGACGTATGGCCTACTGCTGTATGAGTTACCAAGGAGTGTGCACCTGACGAGTAAAGGAGGACAATGGGAAGAAAAAAAAATATATCACGAAGCAAAAAATTGCTCTTTCATCTTCCTCATACATAGTCCACTATAGGTTTCCCACACCGAGAAAACCCTCAACTTTACAGGATAGCTAGTATTCGAGGTATAGTATATTCAATTTTTATTATAAGGTAGGTGCATTCTACAACAAAAACAAGACCGCATGACCCAATTATTACCAAGGAAACAGAACTTGTTCATCATATCCCCCATCTTCCATGGATTCCCACTGTGAGCGGGATTTATTAGCAACAGCGGCAGCTGAGTCAGAAGCACGAAAACTTACATTGCAGAGGAGATTCTCCAAGACAGGGCTCTCAGTGAGCGCAAGTACGCTTTTAACGTACGTTCTGGAAAGCTCAAACGGCCTCGCAGTGAGATTAGGAATGTATTTACCCACCAGTCGATCAGGCTGAATGGAAGACTCCGCCAAATTGCGACTCAAGAACTGTCGGAAAGACTGGACACCCGGACGGAGAAGACTACTATGGAATGGCACGTTCACCTTGAGGGGAATAGTAGCTCGTCCTCGTTGGAGAACAACTGGCCCTGTCCGAACATCCAATCCTGCCAGAGATTCCTGAATGAAGCGCTGTATATCTGGTTTGGACTGCATCCCCAGGGAACGCGACGCCAGGGCATTCATAAGCTCTGTCAGAGATGCCAGTCCCCGGAGCTATTGAATGATTAGTATATGTAGAAGGACAAGGGAATGAGAAAGGAGAAAAACTAAAGAATTACTTACATCGCCAGCGCATACATACTGGAGGCGGAGGACATTGTAATTCACAATTTCCAACAAGCCTCGAGTTTGTCGCGCAATCTCAGCTACACACCACTTCAAGTCATCTTGGCTAAAAGCCTTTGACACTCGAGTGGGGTTGACGGCACACATCGAGTATTGAGTAGCCCCTTGCCGGTCCTGCTGGACTGCATTTTGCATGCTGAGACCCCGATAAAAGACCAAGCCAGCAACCTTTTGGACTGAGAAAATGCGTCCCATTGCGGTGAGAGCTACATATTCACCGAGAGAATGCCCGGCAAATTGGCTCGCTTCTTCAACCACTCCTCGACGCCGCATGTCTTCGAAACGTGCAATTTCCATCAACGCCAGCGCTGGCTGTGTGAATTGGGTTTCATGGAGCAGGCCATCGACAGATCGGAAGCGGTGGAAGCGACTTGATCTGGTGATATTGGGGAAGACGGGCTTGCAGGTGGTCTTGCCATCGTCGTCCACTGCATCGAACGTGAGCGAGATATAGTTCTCTCGAATGGCACGGCCTCGAGATCCGCCGAAATGCACTGTTAGCTCTTTCGGGTTGTTGCGAACGATGTGTGTTATAGAAAAGCCTAGTCTTTCTCAGTCATCGAATATCGAGTAATCTTCCACGGAATCCTACCGTATGTATTCTCAAAGAATTCGTCCGCTGTTTTCCAAATCTCTTGCGCAGACAGACTGCTCTCATACAGAGCCATCCCCATGCCTGCCTGCTGACTGCCTTGTCCTGTAAAGACATATGCCGTTTTTGGTTGTTCAATGCTAGCCTGTGCGGAAAGTACTTTGATCCCAGTGATAACATTGAGCACCTGGATAGTCAGTAGCATCTTTCCTCTAGACATTCCATTATGGTTGATCTGAATGGCTAGTTGGTCTCCGGAGCAGACCTTGTTGTCAAATGTGCATGACCACGATCGCATGCGAGCAACATCGTTGCGCGTGAGATGTGATTCAACGAGACCACGGACATATCCGCTGGTAAACATGCCGTGGGTGACCCGCGTTTCATGGCCCGCGTAGCTAGCAAACAGACTAGACAGATGAATGGGATTGCAGTCACCAGATGCTCGGGCATACTCGCTGCCGGCATCAGGAACCGTCACCAGAAGCTCTTGCACAAGAGGTCGAGGAGCATCAAAAAGACAGTCTTCACCTGAGCTCAAGGACCCATGTCGTTTCAAGTAGTCTGTGACAGGGTTTAGTGCATCGATGGCAGCGGTAGAGAAAATAATGGATCCAAGTATCACCGATTCTGATGTTGAATCCGACTGCCAGATGACCTGGCCCTCAACCTCCAGCCCGAGGCCCGAGTCAGCGGCAACAGAACTTGTGCGGCTCGTGGTATGAACATCTACCGTGTGGTGGAGATGATCTAGCAGGTCGACTTTTCCTTCTGGGTGGAACCAGGCCCTCGATCGAAGAAGAGCCACATGTTTCTTCGAATCTAACGGAAGGCGCCACTTCTCCTCCCTGATCTCGAACGTTGGCTCATTTTCGGGGTAGGAACCAAGCAAAATGAATTTGCTCGTCAAGCGGACTACCGGCATGCACTCGCGATAGATGGTTGCTTCCGCCTCCACAACTTTACCAGAGCCTTTTTTGACCATCACAGACACAAGACGACCATTCGACGAGAGATGGTCTCCTCCCGCAATGGCGCGACTCCATCACAAAGTTCGAACCCGGCACTGAGATGGAGTAATCGGAGCATATCCCCTGCGGCCACATCAGGGAACACGCCGCTCATGAGGGGCTTCCAAGCTACTGCAATGGCCAGATCCAGTGGAGCCACCAGCAAGTCATCGGGACGGGAGTTATAATAGATTGGGTTCCGATTTGATAGGCTCTGCGCAAATTGGCAAATTGCCTCCCGGTCTAGGACAGTATCTCGACCCCGGAATACGAAGTCAGAAGTAACTGGGAGACCATGCTCCCCGATCCAGATTGACCGATAGAATTGCTTGATGCGCTGGTTTCGGTCTGACATCACCTCGTGAATGCTGAGAGCACCACCACATGGCTGGTAGTTGAATAGGAAGACCAGGTCAGCTGGCGCCCGACCAGCCACCGTCCGATCCGAGAGAGTCAGAGTAATCAGGCCCTCAGGGCTGCAGCGGAGTGAGGAAATTGCCAGCAAATTCTCTGCACCTTTACCGTCCCTTTCGATCTCCTTGAGCAGGATCTCTGTCTTTTCTGGGGCTTGTATATTGCAAATCTCAGCGACCAGACCCGGTTTGGCGGCAAACAATCTCGGTAGAGGATTATCCACGACTGTTCTGTCCTGGGCAATGGTCTTTTCGGAGAGAAGAGCACGACACCATGGTGCAGCAGTGGTATCAGCCAATAATTCCAGCCAAACTTCTGGCGATGGCGGATTCTCGGAGACGATATACCTCACTATCTTTCCGTCAGGCTCTGCATCCAAATGAACCCCCGTAACAGGCCAACAGGGGTCGCTGCTGTGTTGATCTGCCGAGGGGATCCGTGCGAGATCCCCGCGTAGTTGTCGCGCAGGATCCACGCGACGTGTTTGTCGTGAATGCTATTGAGAATATTTTGCACCGGCTCATCGACACTTTGCGTGTATTTAGCGGCTACTGGCCCATGCAATATACACACGCGACCGACATCCTGTCCAACAACGGCTTCCAAGCGCTCCGACTGCCACAGAGAGTCTTTCTTGAACCAGTATTCGAAATCTTCGTCGAAAAGCGTGATGAAGGGGACTGGCTTCTGTCCTCGGCGACGTGAAATCAAATGGATGTATTCCACATCGGCGGCTGTCAGCACATCGGCGTGTGCCTGTGGATACTGGCTGAAGAGGAGGTCTCTGAACAGATCGGGCTCATCCAGTTGTTCCACGCTTTGGAGGGCAGGGTGTTCCTTTCTCCCACCCAGTCTCTCCTCTAGCCGATGAGTGTAGTCTCGTACCAATGTCTTCCATGAGGGATCGATATACTGTTGGGCTACTTTTAGATACAGCAACTCGACCATACGGTCCCAGACTTCAGCGTAGGTCATCTCGTGCAGATCGATTACTTCACCACGGGCATTTTTGCCAAACCAGACCTTTTGGAAGTCATTATTGAGACGTGTGATGTAATATGTCTTGCGGGCGAACAGAGCAGCCTTCTGTTCATTCCGCGGCAAAGAGAACACCGACTTGTCCAATTCGGCCCACAACATAACCCCGCGTGTGGCTAGCTTATGAATCGGCTCGCCCATTTCGGAGCGTACACTGATAATTCCACCGGCAGCGTGCTCGTATGTTTGCTCCCAGTCTTCATTTGGAACGCCCGCGGTGCTGCAAATAGCTTCTTTCACGGCTGGACTGGTGTGGGCTTCTTTAGCCGCCATAACACGGCTACCCAGCAGGATGCCATCCACCGGCATGGGCGCACGTCCAAACTCCTGGGACCAGGAACCAACCAAGTAGGGATAGGTCTGTCCGGCGTCACCGAAGCCACTACCGACAACAAGTATCACGTTGCGATGAGAGCGAATCTGTGCATATCGGTCTAGTAGCGGCTCATGGAAGTCTTCAGAGGAATGATGGCCACCACCCCGACCGCCTGTCCACTGTAAGATGATTGGGAATGTAGGGTTGGCCCGCGCAATGGCCAGGACACCATCGATGCCTTCTTTGGAACCTGGCTTGAGAGCCAAATGCTTTAATGGCAGATCGGACAGATAGCTCTGGATAATTTCCAGTGAAGGAATGCCGGCACCGATGGTCAAGCCCGTGATGGGGACGCCGGACTGGCTAAGCTCGACCAAGAGGGGAATCTGCCAGGCCATGGCTCGGGGATTGGCATATATGACATTGCATGTAATGCCACGGCCAGGGGAAATCTCTGCCGCTGTGGCAAGGATACCTCGATGCATGCTGTCGCGATCGGGAAATCCTCCACAGGCTAACTCGACATGATATCCAGCGTTCATGACAGCAGCTACAAACTCTGAGGCGGTGGTTGTCGGAGTCATGCCGGCAACCATCACCGGAGGGACCCCTAGTAGCCGGCTGAACTTGGTGTCAACCAAGTGAGACTCGCTATGGAACTGCATGAGACGCGGAGAAAACTCAGCATTCCAGGCAGAGTTGTAGAGAGCTGCCACATTGTGGGCATACAGCTCGCTTGAAAATCCCAGAGCGGAAGTGTTACTATTGGTGGCTCCCCGAGCGGCACTCATGATCAAAGTGCGTAGTCCTGTGCCCTCGCGCTGATGGTTGACAAGGCTTCCCATGCCAACCTCACCACCAGGACCGAAGTCAAGGACATGCGTTACTCCAATCAAGGTGTTGTTTAATACCTTTTCAAATTCGACTCGTCGAGTACAAATCATCTTGATGAGGTGGGGGACAACATTCTCAATTTCTTGTAAATTCTCGGCAGTTTCGGTGTGAAACACAGGGAACGCCAGCTGCGAGCCAGACAAAGAGAAGCCAGCAAGGTCATTTTGGAGCTTATCTTCCGCTTCCTGTAGATAAGGCGAATGAAACGGCGCCGTGATGGCCAGGAATCTAGTGTGGACGACAGGAAGGCGTTTCCTGAACGGGATTCGCATCGCAGACTTGGCTTGACTGTAGCCTTTGCTAATTTTCTGGTCCAGTGCCCGCAATGAAAGAGGCAATCCGGCAACGACGAGCTGCTCTGGTCCATTTATCAACGCCAGGTAAACCGCCTCCTTGGCTGACAAGTGGAGGTTGAGTTCATCCAAGTGACGCTGAAGCTCGGGTTGAGTGAGGCCCTTGATGCCGAGCATGCAGTTGGATGGACTGGAAACAGGGCATACGCCCTGCAACTGCTGCCGGCATCGACAACCAATCCAGAATAGCAATTCCAGTGCCTGCTGAGCTGCACTACAGAGCGAATCCCAGGAATCGGCAGCGGCAATGAAAGAGGCCACCACGATGCCTTGAGAGTGACCAATAGCTCCAGCGAACACATGGCGTAGTTCTGCCGGGGACTGGCCCAGGTTGATACATGCAATAGCATATTGCACAAATTGGGAGAGCCCTATGAGCGGGAAGCTCACTGGGGCGCTGGCGAGGTAGGAGGCATTTGGACGAGACTCCGGCACTCGGAGCCATAAATCCACATCCAGCCCATGTGGGAACAGTGGCTTAAATTGAGCTTCCTGTGCCAGATGGATGAGAGGTTTGGAAACCGTATGAATGAAAGAAGCTAACTGGGGGTGATAGATGTCGTAAGCCGCCAGCAGCTCGTCAAAATAGGACTCGACGCCCTGTCCATTGAACAGAGCAAAGATCTGTGCATGACCTTGATCAACATCGGCAAGAAGGCTACTGGTCGTCACAGTGCATGGTGATCTTGTTTCCCTGCATGCTTGAAAATAAGCCTGCAAGATGGGTCGATCCCGGCTCTTGTCCTGGTTCATCGACGCCAGGACAGTGTGGATATTCTCATTCTGGAGGAGATCAACATGCAGCGTATTTAAAACTTGGTGGAGAACGGATATGTCCAAATCCCCATGTCTCTCCTGCGTTATACCCTGCATGACATATTGCATGAATAGGCAACACAGTTCCAGAGGAGACGAGGGCTCCAGAGTGGCCGCCGTTGAAACGAACTGCTGCACAAGCTCCTGACCCCTGCGAGCGATCCCTCGTGGCACCCTTAAAGTGCATTGGATGTTATTGACGTGGAGAACGATCTCCTCAAACACCGGGGAACATGGCTCAACCTCCTCCCATGGGGTTGGTGGAGTTGATGCCGGTGACACTGAGGCTGATGCAGACCATTGGCACTGCGTGGCTTCGAGCTGTGGTACATCCATTGGAGCTATGAAATTGAAAAAGAGAGAATGGCCCAAGGAAGTGATGTTGATGAGAGATTTCGTGCTGTCCTGTGTGCAACTTGCTACAGCAGCAGGGCGAAATGGACATGGATATGTCTCACCGTGCATGGATCTCCGGCTCTCCCAGCTTTCTTGCTCACTATGCACTCTGGAACAGGGCTGGAAATACTACATTAAATTTTCTGCCCCCATCTCACTGTCTTCCTGTTTGATGCCGTTCTTCCAGTTTACATACATGTCTTGTATCCTATGTGTTTCGTGTAAGCTGGTAAGTTGGTAATATACGTAATACGTTCAGTTAATAATTTCAGTATGTATACCACCGTGTATGGTACAGAATGAAAAACCATACCTATATCCCATATAATTAATTAATTCTTCTTTTTCGTTCCTCGCTCGCTCTGGATTCTGTTAGGGCTAGTTGAGATTATTTGCAGAATTTTCAGCCTCAAGATGCAAACCCCGAAGGAATTAGACTGGTGGAATTAACTCAGACCAACCAGGCAGTGTCTCCACTGGACAAATGTAGAGGGCATTGGCACACCATGCAATCCTAATCAGTCGACCGAGCAAATTTCGTTTCCTAGCTCCTTAATCCCAATGCAACGATGTAACACTGGCCAGGGCTGTGCATCCTTAGAACATTGTAGATGGACCGGCGCGAATATCTTCATGACTTTCAGACCCACGCCCAGCAGGTGAATATACGCGAATTGCGCAGCCAGTTCCAGAATAGGAAAAAGGACCAGAAACGAACAGATATACCTATGGTCCCGCCTTCCTATTATTGATTGTAACTATAATCGGCATCTTCGTCGTCTTCATAATTTTGAGCTTCCTTGTCCTTCTCGTTCCCATTCTGCTTGACCAGGATATCGTTCCGATGGCTGCCTTTCCCCCTCCCCCTCTCGCATCCTTGGGTACGTATCGCCTTAGTCTACGTTCACTCTCGGTGTCTGCTAGGTGTCCGCTAGTACTAATTGGCCTCCACGTTGCAGAATGGAACAAGCTAGGCCTTGCTCCTATGGAAGGTCTGTCACTCAAGTATCTCTCTATCTACCCCCTTGACTGACCCTCGACTTAAGTCAATGGCCATGTCGAGTCAGAGTACTCAGTTGCGACTGGAGAATGGTCGAAGCCTCATTTTGTGGAAGATCCATTGCTGCGTATTCACGGATTATCACCGGGGCTAAACTACGGTGATTGCAACAATCTTGAGACCATGTTCCTAGTAATTAACTTATCCAATGCAGGCCAACAAGCCTTCGAGGGCATGAAAGGTTTTGGTCGTCCTTGTTCTGCGTTTAAGCAGCTTGCTGATGTTCTCCGCCTTTAGCGTACCGCGATCCTCACGGCCAGATCCAAGTCTTTCGACCCAAAGATCATGCAGCTCGTCTAGCACTTTCCTGTTCGACCATTGCCATTCCCACAATCCCTGAAGATGTCTTCCTGGCTAGCATTAATCTAGCAGTGGCCCGCAACGCCGAGTATGTCCCTCCTCATGAATCCGATGCCGCGTTATACATCCGGCCTCTAGTGTTTGGGTCAGAAGCATTCTTTGCCGTGTCTGCTGGGACTGGTTACCGGTTCTGCGTGTATGTGCAGCCGTATAAGGCATACCATGGAGTCCAACCCTTGCCGGCACTTGTACTGGAAGAGCTCGATCGGGCTGCACCCCAAGGCGTTGGCCATGTTAAAGTAGGGGGCAACTATGCGCCTGTGCTGAAGTGGAGTGACAAAGCCAGAGCAGAAGGGTTCCATATCACACTGCATCTCGACAGCCGAACACAGTCGCAAATTGATGAGTTTAGTACTTCCGGGTTCTTGGGACTGAAGAAGACTGGGAACTCATACACGCTGGTCGTACCCAGCTCCCCCTCAATTCTGAAAAGTGTTACCAGCACTTCGTGCGTGGAATTGGCACGCTCATTTGGATGGGCGGTAGAGTTGCGACCGGTATGTTTTATCTCTTTGGCTGATCTTCTCTCTTACTAAACTATATCTTGTGTGTAGATTCCGTACCTAGAACTGCCACACTTCACAGAAATTTTGGCAGCAGGAACAGCGGCGATGGTCGTTCCAATCAAGTCGATCACCCGGAGATCTACCGGAGATGTCTTTTCGTTTTCTGCTGACGGTCCTGGTGAGGCTTGCCAACGTCTCTCGAAGGCGTTGTTGGCGGTGCAAAAGGGATTGGCTACCGATGACGGGGACTGGCTTTGGCCCGTAGCGCCAGTAGCAGACGCTGAGAAATGAGATCGGTAGTAACAGTGCTCGAGCCTCTGCTTACCTACTTCCGCACTTGTCAAGGAATTACTCTTACAAAAGAATTCATGAATTTATACTTGCGCCTGTGCAGTAAGCTGCAAACTCTGCAGGATTAGTGTAAAGCCAAGATATTATATTAGCATGGGTTAGAGTAAATACTTGGCTTTCCCCTTCATAATTCAAAACAAATTAAAAAAGAAAAATATGATATAGTCAATAGGAAGCCTCGTAAATGATCTGACATGAGTGGAACCTTTGCTAGATACAAAAACTCAGCACTATCTCTCTCAAGAGAAGAAAGGGGAAGTCAGACTACACTTGCGGGTGGCCCGCTAGCGCTATTGTTGGCTTTTGGCCCAATTCTGGAATCCCTCCTCGAGAGTCCACGGTGGCTTGTAAGCTGAAGCACCGATAAGACGGTACTAACTCATTCAGGTAAAGGCGACTAGTTGTACCAATACCAATACATATGTCTCGATACCAGAGAACAACACAAGTTTCCTTACAGAGATTCCTTACACACTTACGTTACACGCTTACACCAAGCTCAGAATACCTGTTGATATACACAACTGGGCAGGTCCACGGGGTGTTCCCAAGGAGGAAAGGTTTTACATGGATAATAGATTAATATCTAGCCCTGAACAGCATATGGGCCAGCTACCCACGTGTAAGCCGGCAGATAGCCTGCAGCAAAAAGGGAAAAAGAAGAGGCTCTCCTGACGAACTCCGACAACAGGTTCCCTTCACGGTGGATTTCTAGTGGAAAAGTAGAACCAAGGCAAAAGAATATTTGCAAAGATGATGGACGGCGATACAGAGCGAAAGCTCGCTCGCACGCTACTGATGGAGTTGATGGTGTGAGTAGCCTCGTTTTTCCAGTAGACAGAGTCTTCAACTAACCTGTAAATCACCCGCTCAGGTATCAGTTTGCCTCTCCTGTGCGATGGATCGAAACCCAAGATGTGATTTTGTCTCACACCGAAAGCGAACGCATCATTGAGGTCGGTCCTAGTGCAACGTTGCTGGGTATGTTTCGAAAAACCATCGATACCATCTATCCGACGCAAGAATGCACTTTGCCAGCTCCGCGACAGCTCCTTCATTCCGAAAAAGATACCGACGATATCTACTACAGTGGAAAACCAGATCAGATTGAGCCAGTGCAGACCCAACCGCAGACACAAGCACAAGCACAAACGCAGTATCTCCCGCCAACACCGGATGTATCAAGCCCAGCGGTCACTGTGGAGGTGACAACCACGGCTCTTCCCGCACCAAGGGTGCAGGTCGAAGTTGTGAGCATCGAGGATCAAAGCATACAAGCTCAGGATATCGTTTTCGCTATTGTCGCCAGAGCATTGAAGCGAGCCGCCTCCGAAATTGACGGTAACAAGTCCATCAAGGCTTTATCCGAGGGTAAATAGCTCAAAATTCCGATCATGTAACAGTCATACGTGCTAATCAATCAAACCCAATCATATAGGCAGATCAACCTTGGAAAATGAAATCATCGGCGATTTACATAGCGAATTTGGCACGTTGCCCGATCGAACCGAGGACCTCCCTCTCGGCCAGGTTGGACCTGAAATTCAATCCAGCCACAAGGGTGCCCTTGGCAAGGTCACAACCGCCATGATTAACAACCTATTTACTACCAAAATGCCGAGTAATTTTACTGCGGCCACCGCTCGAGAGCAGTTGGGCACCCAGTGGGGACTCCAATCGGGTCGCCAAGATGCCTGCCTCTTGTGTGCAGTCACTTTGCAGCCCACAAGCCGAATCACCACTGAATCTGAAGCCCGTGACTTCATCTCCAGCGCTGCTCAGACATATGCCAAACGGGAAGGACTTACTCTGCTCCCACCCAACGCATCAGATGTCGTCGGTACAGGCAGCGGGGTCATGATGGATCCAGAAGCACTCCGAGCCGTGACCGAGTCTCAAGAAACCTTGTCGAAACGCTTGCTGGCACTTTATGCTGGACAATTAGGGCTAGATCTGGAGGCGGACCGGCAGGCGCTGGACCACTTACGCGAAGAAGTCGTTACCGGACTACATGCCGACCTCGATCTCTGGCATGCAGAGCACGGCTCGGACTATGCCAACGGTATTCGGCCACGATTTGATGCTAAAAAAATCCGCAGTTATGATTCGGCTTGGAACTGGGCACGGCAGAGTTTATTGGAGCTCTTTGAGTACACTTCAAGTATCACAGATCACAGTACGCTAGATCACGATGCGTTGATAAAGAGGTGTTACCATATCGCCAACGCCGCCGACGAGACCATTCTGCCGATGTTGGATGAGATTATTTTCCGGCTGCAAGATCGTGATCTGCCACAATCTATCTTTCACACGCTGAAAAGCGATTGCACAGATAACTTGCTGTCGGGACCGGTATTCAAAGGCGCTCCCCGGCAGCTGGCGCCATTCACAACCATCGACAACCAGGGGAACCTTCAGTACAAGGAACATCCTCGGAAAAATTCGTCACGCTTTGCCAATCTTTCCCTTCCCAGGTCGGGGCTTGTCCAAAACCCACTGCTGAACACCGAACCATATCTCCATCTGAAAGAGCGAAAGGCTTCTGGATGGGAATACTCCGAGGACCTAACTCGTCATCTTTACCAGGTCTTCCATAATGTAGAGACACAAGGTGACTCTCTCAGTGGCCAAACCGTATTGATCACAGGTGCTGGAATCGGGTCCATCGGAGCTGCGATGATTGTGAATCTTCTGAAAGGGGGAGCTCGAGTGCTTGTCACGACTTCATCCATGTCCCCGGAGGTGGCGGCAAAATATCAAGCCTTGTATATGGAGCATGGATCCCGCGGTTCACAACTTGTTGTTGTACCGTTCAACCAGGGAAGTTCCCAGGACATTGCTACCTTGGTACAACATGTGTACGATGAGAAGAACGGGCTCGGGTGGGACTTGGACTATCTTATCCCTTTTGCGGCTATCAGTGAGGCTGGCCGGACCTTGGACTCAATTGACTCCAAGTCGGAGCTGGCACATCGCATCATGCTAACCAACTTGTTGCGATTGCTGGGAATTGTGAAGACCTACAAGGAAACCCACGGCCATCGCACGCATCCCACACAGGTGTTGTTACCGCTGTCCCCCAACCACGGCACGTTTGGAGGAGATGGTCTCTATAGTGAATCGAAGGTGGCTTTGGAAACCCTCTTTAACCGTTGGCATTCAGAGAATTGGCAGGATTACCTCTCCATCTGCGGAGCGGTTATCGGCTGGACTCGCGGCACGGGACTGATGAACCAAAATGATCTCGTAGCCGAAGGGATTGAAAAGGCTGGTATGCGCACCTTCTCTCAGGAGGAGATGGCTTATGCCCTGGTTTGCTTGTGCGTTGGGCCTATGTACGAGCTCTGTCAGGAGGCTCCGGTCTATGCTGATCTGACAGGTGGCATGGCCCAGGTCTCCAACTTGCCAGAAGCCTTAGGCGAGCTACGACGTGAGATGAAGGAGCGCAGTGAGATCCAAGCTGCTTTATTCCAGGAAGATACCATCGAGTCTGGCTGGTCGAACCTGAGAGAGCTAGGTACATCTGTGCTTGAGTTAGAAGAGAGAGCCCACGTCCGGCTAGACTTCCCTAAGATCCTCGACTATGATCGTGACATCGCCTCCCTTGGTGAAGACCTGCAGGGGATGGTGGACCTGCACCGAACGGTTGTCATCACCGGTTTTGCCGAACTAGGACCACATGGCAATTCCCGGACACGATGGGAAATGGAAGCGAACGGGCAATTTTCGCTGGAGGGAGCCATCGAAATGGCGTGGCTAATGGGCTTCATTCGTCACTTCTCCGGGACTATTGATGGCCAACCGTACTCCGGCTGGGTTGACACCAAAACCAAACAGCCGGTGGCTGACACCGCGGTCAGGCCAACCTACGAAGAGAAGATCCTGGCCCATTCTGGCATTCGCTTCATTGAGCCTGAGCTCTGTGACGGGTATGACCCTAATAAAAAGCAATTCCTCCATGAAATTGTTTTACAGGCGGATCTCGAAGCTCTTTGCGTGCCTGAGTCGCTCGCTGAGCAAATGCGTCGAGAACATGGCGCCTTCATAACGGTGCAGAAGTCATCAACTCCCGACCTGTATCAGGTGCAGCTGCATAAGGGAGCCCGGCTGTTCGTTCCACGTGCCATGCAATTTGACCGTACTGTTGCCGGCCTAATCCCTACCGGCTGGGACCCTCGAACCTACGGGTTGCCTGACCAAATAATCTCTGAGGTGGACCGATTAACATTGTATACGCTCGTTTGCACGGTGGAGGCATTGCTCTCATCCGGCATCACCGACCCATATGAGCTCTACCAGTATATCCACGTCTCCGAGGTGGGCAATTGCATCGGCTCTGGCATGGGAGGTAGTACCTCTCTAGGCAAGATGTTCAATCACCGATTTACCGGGCGGGAGGTTCAGAGTGATATCCTGCAAGAGACTTTTGTCAACACGGTTAGTGCCTGGGTTAATATGCTTCTGCTATCGGCTAGCGGCCCCATACGAACACCTGTTGGGGCCTGCGCAACAGCTGTCGAGTCTATGGAGCTTGGTTATGACACAATTGTGACTGGGAAAGCCAAGTTCTGCTTGGTGGGAGGATGTGATGATTTCACCTCGGAGACCTCATATGAGTTTGCTAGTATGAAGGCGACCACTAATTCACTTGACGAAACCGCCCGAGGGCGAGCACCCAGTGAGATGTCGCGACCAACCACCACTACCCGCAATGGGTTTATGGAATCGCAGGGTTGTGGGCTGCAAGTCCTAACTACTGCGGATTTGGCGCTGAAGATGGGGCTTCCAATCCGCGGTATCGTTGCTTTTGTCAGCACCTCCAGTGATAAGGCTAGTCGCTCGGTCCCAGCTCCTGGGCAGGGCGTGCTTGTCAATGCTAGACGCACAACGTCGGCTTCAAATATCCCTTCTCCATTGCTGAAGGTAGCCAATCGTCGACGCCGCCTCGAGTTCCGACGCAGGCAGATCGCCGAGGCCCGAGTGGTGGCCCTTGAACAGCTAGACTTCGAAGTCGACACCGTACTAGAGCAGGACCCGGACTTGGACGTGGCTGCATATCGCAAGGAACGCCACGAGCAGATCCTGATTGATTTCCTCCAAGAGGAGCGAGATGCTCAGTATTCACTGGGCAATGAATTTTGGCGCCACGACTCATCAATCGCGCCACTCACTGGGTCTCTCGCGACCTGGGGTCTGACCATCGACGACCTACAGGTCGCTTCGTTCCATGGAACTTCGACTATATTGAACGACAGAAATGAATCCAGCGTCCTTCAACAGCAAATGACCGCACTGGGGCGGCGCAAGGGCAATGTGCTTCTGGGTGTCTTCCAAAAATACTTGACAGGTCATTCCAAGGGTGCTGCCGGTGCATGGATGGTCAACGGGGCGTTGCAAATGTTGGATTCGGGCTTAGTGCCAGGCAATCGCAATGCCGATAATATCGATTCAGCGCTGCAGGAATTTGATCTCATTGCCTACCTAAGTCGGCCAGTGCGCGTGCCTGATCTCAAGGCTGTGTCGATCACGTCGTTCGGCTTTGGGCAGAAAGGCGCGCAGGCCATCTGCGTGCATCCCCGGCATGTATTTGCCACTTTGACGCGACAAGAGTATGAGGCGTATCTTGCTCTTCGCATGGCTCGCCAGCGGCGTGCTGATACATATTTCTATGAGGGGATGAGCTCTAACTCATTGTTCCGAGCCAAAACAGCTCCCCCATTTCCGGTCTCTCAAGAGAAGGAGACGTACCTCAACCCCTCCGCTCGCTTGTTCTGTTGATTCAGTATTGCTTTTCTGTCGTGTTATCTCTTCCATAGCGTTAACATAGTGTCCTTAAGGAATATATATGTATTCGAGCTTGCATGTAGAGAATTAGTGGTAAATTTAATGATAGAAACCCATGTCGTTGTCGATGGAAGGATCGAGCATTGGCGAAGTCCATCAGAGCAGCGGATCTGAGGAATGAACTGGAGCGAGCCTGATCAGCCACGGTACAGGGAGTGTAGCCCACATGAATCAAGGCGAACTATGGTGGAATAATGCGACCGAGTCTTCGCGCTCCCAGAGTGCCCTCATTGCCATGGGTTCAGTGCAGCTGCTGTTGCTGGTGGCGGTGCCGGGGGCTAGCTGGTGGTGCTGCTGGGGGGAGGCGCGACTTTGCTGTTGGCATGTCATTTCCTACTTCCGCATAGTTAGCTCATCAAAAACCTGGTCAAGTATCGTGTACCATAGCCGTAGTCACGTTCATCTGACCCGCGAATCGTAAAGCCATTTCCTCTGGCCGCTCTTGTCAGCTTATACCGTAGATTGGGAGGGGATAGGCTTACCACTCATTGACACATCACCGCCACCTCTCCCAGACACCGAGCCTGGCGGGGTCTCAGTGCCCGGGGTGGAGCCGACGAATGCCGGACAGAACCGGTTTGCTGCACCCACTCCGGTGGTGGGATCCTCCAGCCAGTCCCCCGCGTTAAACCCACAACAGAATCTGTGAATGCTGATGCGGAAAATTGCGGAAAATTTAATTGAAGCTTTCCAGCTTGTTCGATTATACCACGGGGGGGGGGGGGGGGTACCGGGAGAAGTAGAAGGAGGAGATAATATGGTATTTATATTAGAGAAAACGAAGTATTAGACAGTGCGCAAAAGCCTGAAAGCGAGTGTATCTTTCACCCAACCTCAACCTCACATTTTTGCCCATTTTCGAGTGCTTCGGGCTTATCATATAGATTCTATAAACGTCGGGGTATAAAAGGGGCTTATGGCGTAAGGCAATATATTCTTATGGAGGGTCTGTATATAACATCAAGTCCTATATGAAGCAAAATATTATAATTTTAAGTTCCTTTAATAGAAATACATATCATTCGCGTAAATAAAAACTGTTGACCGGCGTTCTATTGGTCAGTTACATAGTCCTCTCCGGGATATTTAACCACAGGCGCGCTTCATCAGGGCTAAAATATCACGTAAACTAGTCTAAAACACCCTTTGAGATGTATGTTCTTATTAATTTCATGCAATAGCATAGCATATCGTACTCAAACAACCATATTCTGTTTGTGGAACATAAAAATACAAGGTCAGGGTCATATTGGCCTTAGCTCAGTGCGATCGAGATATATAGAGATCAAAAATAATCAGTTAGAAGGAAAAAGGCCACATAATATGGCTTAGGCGTAGAAATTATATGTACAAACCGTGAGGTTTAAATCAAGAATCATGTGCGGGTGCTTCCACCGGCGCGGGCGAAGACAAGGTCTTTTTGCAAAAGCAAAGAAGACCCTCCATTGGCAGAATTGGCACTCAATAGGTACCCAACTTCCCTCAAATAGGCAATACTTCTCCTGAGAGAAGCCTTCACTTCATCGTTGTGCTCATCCTGCCGCAGATGGGCTGGCATAGGGACGCCCAAGCGCCCGCCAGTAGCTTCCAGCAGATGGAAAACTGGCCACAGGCGATGCTTCTCACCGCTCGTTTCCACTTGCCTTCTTAACCGGACCAGCCACTCTGTGGCATCAACGGCTTCTAGCTGGTAGCCGAAATCATCACGTAACATGTCCCATAGCTCCCCGACAGGGATACCATATCGAATGGTAGTTTCCACACTATGCCCGTGTGGCTGAGGATGAAGAACATCTGCCAAAATGGCGGTAGCAACCTGGTGGGAACCAGAAACCAGAATAAGTCCGTCTAGTCCTGTACTGTTGAATGCACCAATGTCAACCACACTTGCCACAACTCGCCACAAGAAGTCATCTGTATTTGACACCCCGGACTCCGTAGTACCGACGATCAAGCCCGGTTTAACAATTGTTGCAATTGATGTGGTGTATCTCCGAGCAAACTCCTTCACGACCTGATCGGCCACGTACTTGGTTTGCGCGTATCCACCGGCTGTCTTCATCATCTGGGCGTACGCCCGTACTTCGTCGTGGTTATCGTCAGCTCCGAAGAAGAGCTGGCCACCCGAAATGAATGTGAAACGTGGTGGTCTTGGGGACCGGGTGAGAGAGGCCAGGAGAGATACGGTGCTGGTGACATTGACAGCTTCAAGCCCCTGATAGTCATATCCCCAGTGGACGGTGGCTCCATTGTGGATAATTGCGTCGATGGAAGAAGACGACTCTGACAGAGCCTCGATACAGCACCATTGAGCGGCATTCAGTCCCAGATCAGGCCTCGACAAGTCGCCAACCCACACTTCCAAACGGCTGGAATAGCTATCGTGCCACCATTTGCTTTTCTGAGCGGATTCAATGACTCTGGTAGTAGCTTTGTTATGATCCGGTGCACGCACAAGGGTAATAACTCGTTTTATGTGTGGTAGCTCTAGCAGATGCCTGAGAATTTGACTGCCCAGGAACCCAGTAGCGCCGGTCAACAAGATAGTTTTAGGAGGCTGGGTCATAGGTAACTGGGGAATTTGCAGTGGTTTCGAAGCGGCTTTTTGGTTAAAATCAGCAAGTGCCCTCTCAATCTCGAAAGATAAATCCAAGGCAGAAGACGTGTTGGTAGCAGCAGAGTCATCTCTGGCACTGTCTATCATACGGGCGATACCACATACGGTCATGGATACTTCTAGCAGGTTGTCAATCGAGATCCGGACATCAAATTCCTTTTTGATGTAGGCCGCAAGAGAGACAGCACTGATGGAGTTCAATCCTGCCGGCGCCAGTGCGATGTCTCGGTTGCGAATGGCCAGCGTATATTCCTCATCATCCTTCGCGAGGAGCTGCGTAATCTTTTTGCTCAAGATATGAGCAATGGTCTGATCATTAGGTATTAATGATGCGGTATGGGTCGCCGGGATGTCCACCTGGGCTGCGATCTGCTCCTGCATCTCGATGCTCATTTTATCTAGCCACGTTTTGATCTTGGGACGATTGATCTTGCCTGATCCCAACAGTGGAAGATCATCGACCACGATGAAAGAGCTCGGTACCATATATCCAGGAAGCTGCTGAATTAAATATGACCGTATATCTGGAATACATTGACGAACTGCATCCAGCTGTTCGCCAGACACTGGCACAGGCTCGTCGGCCAGCACGTCGGAAGAGGTTGAGACTATCTCACGCAGTGACAGTACAGCGACTAGGCTATCTCGGTACCTGCCGGATATAGGAAGTTCGACTGCAGCATGTCTCACAGATGGATGGGCAGATGTATGATGTTCAATATCGCCAAGCTCAATCCGCTGACCCCGGAGTTTGACTTGCCTGTCTTTGCGACCAACGAAATGCAAAGTTCCATTATCGTTATATCGAACCAAGTCTCCGGTCAGATACAGTCGATTCTCCGTGGTCAAGCCTGAGTCGAAACGATAAAGCCATGCAGGAGTGTCGACGAAGACGGCCTTAGTTTTCTCTGGCTCGTTTAGGTATCCCCTTGCAACAATGGGCCCCTGAATGAGGAGTTCCCCGACTGCCCCAATCGGCAAGAGAGAGTTGTAATTCTCCGGATCGACCACCCAGGCATTGCAGCACATCGTGCTCCCGATATTGGCCGGATCAGTATCCACGGTGATGCTAATGTTGGCTGTACAAGCGACGGAGCATTCTGAGGGGCCATATCCATTGCCCAGATGGACATGGCTGGCCCATGTCTCTATATCCACGCGTGATAGTGACTCTCCGCCGAGAATGAGTGTTTTCAGACTGGGACAGTCTTTGGGGTTGATTGTTCGGGCGACCGAAGGGGTCAGGAAGCTCCAGGTGATTTGCAAATTGTGAATGATCTGGGAAACAGGAGCATTTTGGTGCTCTGTCCTCGGTAGGCAGACACAGGCACCAGAGATGAGACCCGTTAGTGTTTCCAAGATACTGACATCAAATGTGTATGGTGCCATCTGTAGGACCCGAGTGTCAGGAGTTAGCCTGCTCTGTCGCACGTGCTGAACAGCACCGCTCAGGAAAGATGCATGCTCGACCACACAGCCCTTAGGGATTCCTGTACTACCAGACGTGAAGATCACATATAGTACATTGTGTGGTTCCACTCCAGTCACCGGTAGTTGTTGCTGCGTAGGAAGTGTATCTATGAAAGACTCTGTGATCTGAAGGGGGTTCAGGGCCGTCGACTCCCACGTTGATGAGAGGCCTGGAATTGTGATAATGAGGGTTGCCTTGATTTGCTGTGCAATAAATATCAGACGATCCATGGGATGTGAGGGATCCAAGAAAACAAAGGCGCCACCCGCCTTCATGACGGCGAGAATTGAGACAATAGCCCAGGCTGACTTGCGGAAGAACAGAGGAACGATCTTCTCGGGGCCTACCCTATGATACTCTCGAAGATAGTAAGCGAGTTTAGTGGAAAGCTGGTCCAGTCGAGCATATGTGAATTGACCTTCTGCGGAATCAATGGCCACAGAAAGAGGTTGGACCAAAGCGCGCTCGTGTATCAGCTCATGCGCGCATTTGTCGACCCGCTCAGCTCTGCGTGGTCGATTCCAAACCATCAATTGGCGCAAGTCGTGGTCCCCAACCAGTTGGAGATCGTGCAGGGGTATGAGAGCGGACTGGGGATCATTTACTTGCTGGAAGAAATGCCCAAACTGCGCCAACAGAGTGTCCATCATTGTCGGAGATATCAATTTTGGGTCAAAGGCAGCTTGAAGCATGACTGCACTCTCAGTGAGGTCGCACACCAAGACAAGTCCGTAGGATAGAACATCATTCTCTACTACGTCGAGGCGCTCAAGACCTAGAGGGAGCTTTGCCTGCTGCCGATGCTGTTGTGACTGGATCACGAGTAGATTCTGAAATTTAGACGCAGCCTGGCACTCCGCATTGAGCTTCGCAATATGTTGAAGACCGGCATGCTCGTGAGGAATCATGGCAACGGTGTGTTGATGAATTTCCTGTAGAAGCTTGGCGACTGACATATGCTTCCCAACCACAGCATTGAAAGGCACGACAGTAATGAGCGGTGCCACGATATCCGTGATGTCGGGCACGGGAGCATTGCGGCCGGTCTGCGTCATTCCAAACACCACATCTTCTGAGCCGGTATGTTGGCTGATGGTGACAGCCCATGCTGCCCTGAGGAGTGTCGAAACCGTAATATTGGTGGAGCCCCTCTTAGGAGATGTAGGGATAGAGTGCTTTGCAACTGCCGTGGCTCTCGAGCGATGGCCGGGCATAGAGCGAGGGAATTCCACAGCAGATGAACCTTCAAAACGTGACCTCCAGTACTGATCGGAGGCTGCCGGGTCAAGAGAGCACATCCATTTAATAAACCCGTTGAACGGCGGCGTAGGTGGTAGTTTTTGTGACAAATAGTGAGACGAGAGGCGGTCCATCATCAGTGAAATTGACCAGCGATCTAAGATGGAGTGGTGGGCGCTGGAGACAGAATATGTTTTGGACCCTTGGTGCACGATGCCAAATCGATACAGAGGCGTCCCGTAGCCAAATGATAGTTTCTTGTCTTCGCCAAGGTAGGCTTCCAGCGACTCACCATACTTCCAGACAATTGGACTATGCTCGGGCTTGATAATAACTTGGTAGGTCCCGTGGTGATCCATCTGAACAAGTCGCGTGCGCATAATTCCTAGCTCATCGACTACTGCTTGCCATGCCGAACGGTATCGGTCCAAATCAATCGAAGCAGGAAGTGCGAGAACATCTTGCCAACCATAGGAGCCTGCATCCCGGGTCGTAAGTGCCATCATGCCCTCTTGCAAAGGTGTGCAAGGAAATATGTCTTCCACCCAGTCGTAATGAATGTTAGTCTTCTCGGCGGCTGACTTGAGGAACTGGGATTGATTCATTCCGGGTTTCAAAAGTCTGAAAGGCGTCACAAGTCCAGACCCAGGAACCTTGTTCTTTGTCTGTGATATGGGAACTTTAGCAGCCATGTCAAGCAAGTTGGGATTGTGGAAGATATCAGCCACTGTAAGTTGAATTCCTGCCTTGTGTGCTGCCGAGGCAAGTTGCATGGCACTGATGGAATCACCTCCTATTCGGAAGAATGTATCTTCCCGGCCTATAGAAGAAACGTTGAGTATTCGCTGCCAGAGCTTTGCTAGTTTGCGTTCCATCCCAGTTGAAGGCTCTTGCTTGGACCCAGTTCCTAAAGCATACTGAGTCACTTGCGCTTCTGAGAGCGAAGCACCTAACGATCTCAACACTTTGCGTTCTGTCTTTCCAGATGTCGATAAAGGCATCCGGGAAATGGGAAACCACAGCCGGGGAATCATGTACGGCGGCATAGTCTTTGTCAAAACAGTTTCGATCTCAATCATCGTCGCGTGACAGCTTTCTGTCATGGGCAAAAGAATACCAGTTGCATCTTGGGCCTGGTTGCCCGCTTCCTCCACATGGATGAAGACTGAAAGCAATTTCCTCCCACCAAGGTGAGCCGGACTAACGACATCAGCCGCAACCTGCAAGATCCCTGGACAGTGAGCCTTAATGTGGTGTTCAATCTCAGTGAATTCAATGCGTTGTCCGTTAAGCTTGAATTGCGTATCCTTCCGTCCGAGTATGGTGAGTGTTCCGTCCGAATTGTAGCGAGCAAGGTCGCCGGTCTTGTACAGGCGGTGCTGCCGGCTGCCATTGTACTGCGACAGCCAGGTAGTATTCGAGAGGAAGCTTGCCCCTGTGCGCTGTGGATCATTGAGGTAGCCTCTGCCAACGATCGGTCCCTGAACAATGAGTTCTCCTACAGCGCCAACTGGGACTAGCTTGTCATGATTGTCGGGATCCACAAGCCAGGCCACTGAGCCGACGGGGTATCCAATCACCTCTGGCCGGAAGTCGTTGGTGCTCAGGGGATTATAGGCGGAATAGATCGTGCACTCTGCTGGCCCAAACGCCCCAATCAAGTTCACTTTCTTCGCCCAGATATCAGTGGTGCCAGTCCCTATGAGTTCACCACCAACCATTAGGGTCTTTAACGAAGGAACATCTTCTGGTTTGAACAGTTGAGCCAAAGTCGGGGTCGTAAACATCATATTGACTTTCATCTTTCGCATGGCATTTGCCATGTGGCTCATCCGGTCATCGTCTGAAGGTATGCAAACGCACCCACCATGATACAGTGTTGTGAAGATCTCGAGAATGACCGCGTCAAATGTGTACGAGGAGAACTGGAACGTACGAGTGGTGGGACCAAATCCCATCACTGCACCGTGGTAATGGATCGAGGAACATGCAGCAGAATGCTCAATCACGACACCCTTGGGTTTTCCAGTGGACCCAGATGTAAATTGGACATACATGATGTTTGCAGGTGTGACTGCCGTTGAAACTTCGCCGTTATCACCCCCTGGCAAGGAATCAAGAACTGCCGGCGATACGACAACCACCTTTTCAATCACAGTGGCACAATATTCTCGCGTACTTTCTGAAGCGATGATAAACCGCGCATTGAGATCCTTCAACAGCCCCTTGAGGCGGTCGGGCGGATGCTTAGGGTCAAGCAGTACAAAGGCTCCGCCAGTTTTGAGAACAGCTAGCAATGTAATGGCAGTGTAGAGAGACTTCTCAAAGCAAAGTGGGATGCAGTCATCCGGTTTTATCCCGTAGCTAGATAACTGTTGTGCCAACCGAGTTGAGGCACAGTCCAGCTCAGCATAGGTATAGTCACCTTCCCAAGAGTGAAGTGCAGGGGCATTTGGTGTATTGCGCGCTTGCTCCGATATCACATCGTGGATGCATGAATTGATTGTGGGAGGTATGTTAGCAGTCCACTGTTGCAGATGGTGTTTGCTTTCGGTGCTCATCACGTTTAGATCTGGTACCAAGGTTTGTGGACTTTCTAAAAGAGAGGCAATTATGGTTCGGTAGACACTGGCGATGTTGGTGGCTTGTCCACTTGATATTCTGGAAGTCTGGTGGGTGAGATGGATTTCTGTTCCTCCAGCGTCCATGAGGACGTTTACTGCGATGTCAAATTCCGACGGATCATATTCGTAGACGGAAGTCAGGGAAAGTTTCGTCAATTCGGTTGGAGAGGGTCGCCTTTGGAAGGAAATGGCCGTATTGAAAAGAGCCTGGCCCGACATTCCAATAGCACGTTGGATTTCACCAAGTGAGACGTATTGATGAGGAATACCTCGCAGGTAGTCGTCTTGAATGATCTGTAGAGTATCCAGCGCAGAGTTCGAGTGGTTAAATTCCATCCTGCAAACCAGCATGTTGATATATGGGCCTACGGCATCTTCAATGCCCAGAATTGGAGCATCGCGACCGGATGTCAGATATCCATAAGCGACACTGTTGTTGTTTGTGAAGGTCCGCAGAACTATTGCCCAAGCAGCTTGCACGGTATTCGCGAGAGTCATGCCGTGCGTGTCTGAGAACTGGCGTATAACAGACTGAGTCGCTTCCGGCACATTCATTATGACTGTCTTCCACTGGTGGACCTGGGGACGGCCATCATCAAGTATTGGAAATTGGCATGGCTGGATGCCCTGTAGATATCCTTTCCAATATTCCAGGGAAGTTCTTTTCCGTTGCTGTTGGAGGAAAGCCACATAATCACTATAAGGCAGCGATGGCAACATCTGACTAAGTTGCCCGCTGAACGCAAGTTTGATGTCCCTTAGGATGATTTGCATGGATGTACCATCAACCAGTGCATGGCTGAGTTCGAGTTTGAAAAGGAGACGGCCGTTAGTGCCATGGCACAAGGTGAAACGGTGCGGAGCGACTCCTTCCACGGCCCTCGTTGGTTCTGTCTTTCTCAAAGCCGAGACTGGATCTTCATCGATGATTTCGCAAACGGACGCTTGCATCTGTTTTAATACAAGCTGACCCCACAGGGTATCAGATTCACTGCTCCGAATGAAAATGGTCCTTAAAGCTGCATGGCGATCTACAACTTCTTGCCACGCCAGCAAAATCCTTTCAGCATCAGCATCGCGATTCCCACCACGAGCTGCTTCTTGGATGGTGTGAAATTCGTAGGCACCAGGCGACTTCAGTTGGCCCAGCAAGATTCCAAGTTGCATGGTCGAGCAGGGAGGACATTTTCAATCTGATCAATGCCTGAAATGTTGATGGCAGGCAGAATTTCTTCCGTCAATCTGCGAATGCCTGAAGGTGTCTCCAACAGCGTACTGAAATCGTCAAGAGTTGCGACGTCAGGTTGCTCCATGAGTTGATCGATGCCGTCTTCCAAAACTCGGTGACACTCTGTCACCCAGTGCTGGATATCGGGCTGATGTTGCATATGCTTGTTGACTGCAAAGGTGAAGTGTAAACAGCCATTCTCGACAGCCGCCGAAATTTCAAACAATGCATAGCGCTCCATGGACGGGCTGAAGTCCTGGAGAGCTTGTCCGGCAATGCCAGACGGTTGAAACAAGGAGTCCGGCCTCTGGAACTGCTGATACAAGCCAAGATAGTTGAACAAAATTTCCATGTCGGAGGTTTCAACCAACTGTGACGCCCGCGGGTTGAGGTGCCTGGCTGTGAAGTATGACCAGCCGTTGCGAGGCAATCGTCGACGAGCATCCCTCGTTTTCCTCACCGTCTGGAACCAGTCATTGTCAACTCCCAGCTCCACACTGACTGGATACATAGTGGTAAACCATCCCACTGTACGGGTGATGTCAATCGCTGGATTCCAAGACTCGCGACCGTGGCCCTCCATAAACACCGCTGGAACCTGTCGATCATGAAAGACCTTGCGAAAAGAGTGAATGAGGGCTGCGACCATCACTTCAACTGGCTGAGTGCCTAGAGTCTCCTGGCTGTCTCCCAGCAAAAGGCTCGTTCGTTCCTTGTCGAGAAAAAACGACGTCTCGATAGCATCTGCTACAATATTAGACAGGTTCAGCATTCCCCAGTATTCAAATTCTGGGCTCAGAGCATCTGCATGCAGTACATCTTCTGGTGACAGGCTGCTTTCAGCGTATTGAGCCTGTAGTTTGGCCCAGTTCGCATAACTGATGCTGGGCTCCGATTGAAGTGCCCCATGGATCAAGAGCTCCTCCAGTTCTTCCAATATAACACGCCAGGACACGAGGTCAACTACCAGATGGTGGACTGTCAGGAACAGATATTGAGCTTTGTTGGCATAGCACGTCGTCCCAGCAAGTATTGGTCCTTTCTCCACATCCAGCCGGGTTTGCATGTCACGGAATGTCCCCGTCATTTCATCATAACTTAGCCGCTGTGAGGGCAGGAACAGTAATGACTCCGCTACTTCAGATGTGACCCTCTGTCGCCAATTGCCATCTCTTTCGCTTTTACTGTATCGGCAACGAAGCATGGAATGTCGGTCAATCAGAGTCTGCAATGCCTGCTCAAGCTCGTTGTCTGAAATGCTTTTGGCAAGCTTGAGCGCAAAGCTCTGGTTGAAATGCTTCTGTCCATTAGGTTGCTTTTCGAAGAACATTTTTTGGATCGGGGTGAGGTCGAACCAGCCGACGATTTCTTCAAATTCGAGCGCATCATCCCTTACTTGATGACTTATGTGTGCATGGGACACCAATGCCTCGACGGTACGATAGCGTAGGATATCCTGCACGCTAAGGTGGATGTTCATGATTCGAAGACGTGACATCAGTTGCATCGCTGAAATTGAATCGCCACCTAGCCACAAAAAGCTATGTTCTAGTCCAACTGAGTCATTTGGCAACGCGAGTACAACACTGATCGTGTTGCAGATCTGCTTTTCCAAGTCTGTGGTGGGCTGCCTGGTCGCTTTGAGATTTGACACATCGGCGATGGAGCGATATGTACTTTCGTCAATTGTCTCGAGCCAGTTCTTCAGAAGTTTCCTGTCCAACTTGCGGGAGGCATTCATGGGGATGCTTTTCAAAACTGCCCAGGCCGCAGGTATCATGTATCGAGGCAACTTTGCTTCCAGGTAATTGCGAGTCATTGAAACCACTTGGGCGGCGGTAGCTTTCTTGGAACTGTCAATCAGTTCAATATCATTTGATCTTCTGCTTTTGTCCATTCCAGTCGCCTCACCCAGGGACAACAGGCAAACAAGTCGTCCAGAATAGAGTCCAGAGCCCGGAACAGCCAACAGTGCATGCTTGATTTGTGAGCTGTAGGAGAGGTGGGCCTCAATTTCTTCAAGCTCAACCCGTTGGCCATGCACCTTCACTTGAGTATCTTTGCGCCCAATAAAGTTTAGTGTTCCATCTGCATTGTACCTCACAAGGTCTCCGGTTTTATAGACCCTCCGATGCTCTTCGGGGAAATTAATCGGTAGCCACGCTGGATTCTCGATGAACGCAGCATTGGTTTTGTCAGGATCATTGAGGTAGCCGCGAGAGACTATTGGACCCTGAACGACTAACTCTCCGATGCAGCCAACAGGACTGAGCTTGTTGTGGTCAGATGGGCTGACCACCCAGTTGATCGATCCAACAGCGTAGCCTAACACGGCTGGATCACTGTCTGAGGTTCGAAGAGGATATGCCGCGCAGTACACGCAGCATTCTGCTGGCCCAAATGTGTTCCAGAGACTGACATGATCTGCCCAAACTCGAACGTTTTCTCGAGTCAAAGGTTCTCCTCCAAGTATGAGTGTCTTCAGAGTTGGAACTTGATCAGGGCAGAACATTGCTGCGACAGTTGGAGTTAAAACTGCGGAATTCGCTCTCGTTCGGTTGATTGCTCCTGTGATGTCGTTCATCCTCTCCAAGTCGGATGGAATACAAATGCATGCGCCTCGAATCAAGGAGGTGAAAATATCCGCAAAATTCACATCGAAAGTATAAGCAGCAAATTGAAACACTCTCGAATGTGGTCCAAGACCGAGAAGCTCGCCGTGTGCTGCTGCACTGGAAGCAAACATGCTGTGCTCAATCACAATACCCTTGGGCTTCCCAGTACTCCCGGATGTGAAGGGAATATACAGTGCATTCCAAGGTTGAGCACGATGTGGTAAGATCGGATCTTCCCGCGTGATATGATTAAGGAGATCCTCGCTCAAATGCACGACTGCGGGTACAATGCCTTTAAACTTGGTACTCAGCTCTGGGGTGGTAATGAGGACCGTTGCACCGGCATCCCTAGCAATGCCCTGGGTTCTTTCAACGGGGTATTCGGGGTCCAACGGCACACCAGCACCTCCAGCCTTGATAATGGCCAGCATGGCGACAATGGCCATAGCAGACTTGGGGAAACAATACGGCACAAAGACTTCCGGTCCAACCTCCAAATCAATCAGATGACGAGCAAGACGGTTTGACAGCCTATCGAGTTGTTGATATGTGAAATCTCCATCCCAAGAGCAAATCGCGGGAGCGTGTGGTTGTTCACGCATTTGGGCCTCAATCAGTGCAGTCAGGGTCCGAGTTTCTACCTGGGGTAATTTGTCATTCCAGTTCAGCACCTGCTTCATGTCTAGCTCGCTAAAAGCATGTAGTTCACGAACTGAACGTGGTCCACCAAGAGAGAGCTGACCCAATACACTTTCGAACTGGCTGCAAATGTGTTTAACCTGGAATGAGCTGATCAGAGAATTATCAAACTCAATCTGAATTTTGACCTTGTCGGCACTGAGCATACACTGTGCACTAAGCGCATAGGCATGAAGCTCAGTGGCCTGGAAGGATTTGATTCCAGGGAAGACTTGCTCAGCGCCATTCTTCTGCTCTGGTTGGATAACGAGAACATGTCGGAACTCACAAGCGAGGCGGCATTCAGAATTGAGTTTGGATATGTTTTGCAACCCAGCCTGCTCGAATGGAATCATTTTGATTTCTTGGGCCTGTATTCTGTGAAGGAACGTGTCCACGGACTCGTCAAGATCTATCTGCACGCGAAACGGCACGGTAGTGATGGTGGGAGCGATCATCTCCCCGATTCCAGGCACATCAGCATTCCTTCCACTTGTCGTCAACCCATAAGTAACATCGTTGCAGCCCTCATGATATTCGTTCATCAATATCGCCCATGCTGCCCGGATAATTGTGGACCGGGTGACCCCCGCCCCGTCCCGATTAAAGCTTTTGCATTGATGGGCGAAAGTCTCATTCACCTGTGGTCGATAGCCCGTAGGGAACGCATGTGGGAATCTTGACGGCGTCGAGCCGGACAGCTGTGTCCTCCAGTACTCATCCACCAATGTTTGGTCCGCTGTTTGTAAGTGGCGAATGAAATAGTTGAATGGAATAGTCGGCATTGAGCCCACGGCTCTGTGAGTATCGGAGTGATAGTTTTCTTCAACCTTCTTCCAAATGAGAGGTCGGGACCATCCATCATACAGGGCATGGTGAGCCGTGAGGATGAATTTTATTGATCCATCGTCGGCTTTGAACAGGGCATATCGTGCAAGAGGGCCTCCATAGACCACACCCCTTTCCAAGTCAGACTTTAGATAATCCTGCAGATTAGATGGAAATTTCCACTTGATCTCTCTTGTCGTTACAATTTGACAGGTCCCCGCGGATTGAGTTGGAACAATAGTTGTACGGAGAATTACGGTGGTCTTCACGGTATCTTCCCATGCTTTGCAAAATTTCTCCACATCGATAGCTGGAGATAAGTTGTAAACATTTTGATAGGTATAGGTACGCGGGTCACTTTGGCTGATCACCATAAGGCCTTCTTGGAGAGGCGTGCAGGGATACACGTCCACGACCTCGGAGGCACTCACCGCCCAGTCGCGAGTTATTTCTGCCAGCAGATCTGAGACGTCAACTTGGACCAGTGAGAATGGATCGATCTTGATATCTTCTTCGCCAACAAGTGGTTTGGCTGCCTGTGCCATGTCGACCAATCTCGGGTGACCAAGGATCGTGGACACGGGGAGAAACAATCCCTCTTGTCTTGCAGCCGAAGAGATATTCACCCCTAAGACGGAGTTACCTCCCAGGTGGAAGAAATGGTCTTCGGTACCTATCAACTCATCATGGACACCGAAAGCCTTGCACATTATGCGGTGGAGGATCCTTTCATTTTCTGTCTTGGGGGCTTGTCTCTTGGAGCTTTTGGTCGGAGGACGAGTCGATCTCCGCCATCCTCTGTCAGGCTGCAGACGTGCCATTTTTGATGGGCTCTGGGATGCCGCAATCGGCTCCTCATCCACTATCGAAATGCCGTTCTTTTGGGCAGAACATGTTGAATCATAAAACGACCAGTCAGGAAGGTCTTCTACAGCTTGCGAGTCAATTGCGGGAACCGCTAGCTGTGGGCTCACGGAAAACCCTTCAAGAAACAGTATTCTCAGAGTATCCAGCAAACATGTCTCGGCGTCGAATCCTCTTCTCAAAGTGCCGGTATAGGATATTTCAGGGTCGTCACCGTAAAGCACCTGGAGAGTCTGCTTGATAGGTTTGTCGAGTTGGAAGTGTGGCCCAATCTCTAGTAGGAGATCAACTTGATTTGAACTAGAAGACTTTTGGCACAGTGTCTTGGTTGCCTCCATGAAGTGAACAGGGGAGGTCAGGTTTTCCACCCAATAATCCTTTCCCAGGATTGTTTCTCCCATAACACCCCCTGTTAACGAGGAAATCATTGTGACGGAAGGGTCAGTCCGAGCTCCCTTGATAGTTTCTAACTTCTGTGAGAGTTCGGCTGCAATCTGAATCATTTGGTGCGAATGATACGCAGCGCCGCCTGTGTGCAGCTTTTGGTTGAAAATCCCTCTAGTCTCCAATTTCTGTTGCAGATCTAAAATGGCACTCTCATCCCCAGACACCGTGACACTAGAAGGACTGTTAATGCAAGCTATTTTGATTGTTCCAATGATGGCAGCACTTGCGTCTGTATCCATCAAAGCATTGACCACATCGCAAGAGGCGCCAACCGCTAGCATACCACCGGGCTGCTCTCTCCTTTTCCTCTTTAGGTCACTGATCAGCCGGCCACTATGATATGCCACCGTTACTGCATCTTCAAATGATATTGCCTTGGCGCAGTACGCGGCCGCCAGTTCACCACTCGAATGTCCCAAAACAAAAGATGGATTTACTCCAAGCTCGGCGAAGACTTCTGTGATGGCAAGCTGCACAGCCACAGTCATAGGATACGAGAATTCCGCCTCCTCGATTTGAGATCTTTCGGGGTGCTTGGTGATTTCGGTCACCAGGTCCCATGGGCAACCGATTGCAGCTAGATGTTGAGAAGCACGAGCAATTGACTTTGCGTACACAGGGCAGACATCAAGCGATTCTCCCATTTGCGGGTATTGTCCACCTTGGCCGCTGAAGATGAATGCCATTCTGTCAAAACTCTTTTGTTTTGTCGAATGATGGGTTCTTGCTCCAGCGTCCGAAGCTGTCCCACTAGGTCGTCCAGTGCATATGCCAGAAAGGCCACCCGATATTCAAACACCGGCCTCTGGCTCAATTTCCCAGACAGCTGGTCGAGCAGAGCGTCGGCATGAACAGATTCACTTTGTCCTATGACATGGCTTGCAATACTTCTAGCCAGCTTCCTACAACCATCTTCGCTTTCAGCGCTAAGAACAATGAGCCTGGGTCTCAATGCTCTCTCTTCAGGTGTAGTTGGGGATGCGTGATTTTCAGCAGATTCTAGAGCGTCTGATGCTGGTTTTTCTTTGCCCTCATCTGCTAGAGGATTAGCTAACGCAAAATATACGGAGCAAGAAATTGCAGTACCGTTCGTTATAGCCACTGATGCCAAATCTTTGGTGTCGTTCAAACCCTGTTCGCTGTCGCGTTCCACCCTTGGAGACATATCGAAGAGAATGATAAACTTTTCAACTGTTTGCAGTAAGAACTGAGGGAAACAGTGCCGTTGAATGTATGCAAAGCAGCAAGAGATGAAACACTCTGCTGCGATTGAAGAGTCTATAAAAACGAATAGAAATTTTATTGAAACAAGCTACAAGCAATCCCTTCATCTATATCCCACCTTCCCTGCAATGTACCATGTTCCTAGTCAGCATTTAGGCCTCTCCGTTTCTCCCTTACTGCTTTGCGTCCACATCAAATTCTACTTTTACTTTAGTCTGGATTATGATAGTACTAATTGCCTGCGAAATCAGCAAGCAGACACTGTTGCATAGCCAAGAGAAACAATGATCCACTTTCCTGTCATCTCAGAAATGTGGGAAGTAATATCATCCACATTGCACAGTATGCTGATTGTTTGTCGAGGGAGAAATGCCAAACGCCGGCATCATGCCGTCAATACCCCGTCCTGTAGCACAAGGTGATTCGGCGTACGTTGATTAGCCACGCAAGCATGACGTCCTAATAGCCCGTGTTGCATCTATTAGTTAGGAAAAAACGTACTAAATATCTTTCTTCTTTCCCTCCTCAGTCAGCTGAACCTCGTCAGACTCGTGGCTTCACCAGTGCATGATGGTGGCGGACTGCGCGATGAGCGTTGTGATCTAGCCCTCTGCATTGCTTATAAAATGACACTATTACGTGACATCTTTATCATTATAAATCACTCAAGCATGCCAAAGCCATCAGCACTAGTGATTTAGCTCAGTTTTGATCTGGAACTAAAGAACACTAGAGGCGGATGTGGCCGGTACGGTACGCCATGACTGACATGTATGTAATGTATGTATGTATGGTACTCTTCGTAATTCGTCATATACAGATACATATCATTAGTACGCAGCCAATTACCATACAAACTTAAATACCGCCATACAACGTATGGTATCTTCCGATTACAAAGTTTCGAGTTAATATAACATGCATCACACTATGTACGCTGCGCAGTATGTACAGTGGCATCTATTACGAACGTACCGATGTCTCGTATAGTGCTGAGCTCGTAGTTACACAAATACCGTCGTACACATACACATACTCACGCGAAATCGTATGCATGTACTGTATCCCGAACAGTATGTATGTCCGATGATACAGATTAAATGTCTCATTTTACGCCGCAAGATGGGGTGACATATAGACTCTGCGTTGGCGCCCAAATGTGGCACCCACAAGGTTGTCTTTTCATCTGGCCCTATTGACGGTCTACAGGAATCTTACATGCTCGGGTATGCATGTGTGTCTATTGAAGGAAAGTCTCCCAATGCGGAATATGGTCAAATCTATTCTAGTGGATCAACGGTTGACGCTCCTTTGGCCCACAGTTCCGCACACTAGTCATGTAGTCAGCATCAGCTAGCGGAGCCGTTTTATTGTGGACGCACTAGAATCGGAAGGATCCCGTGGTATGATTTACTGTACCTGACAAGTGAAGTAGTGGCTGTAATGCACTATATTTTTATTTCATGGTCCCCACATAAGTCATGCGGAGAAAATAGTAGCCAACGGATGAAATTGAATATCGGAAAACTCGCCTAGCAAAAGCCAAGTGTTGTATTTTCCTTTTCGTTGTAGAGGACGCCGACGGAGCTTCCGGTCAGCATGAGAGCATTTTGGCTAAGGCGTACGCTAGAAAACTCTGATATTGCCCTAAATATCGATCTCCCGTTTAGGCTATCTTGACGGTAGCATGGGCTTGAGGCTGAGTTTCCGAATTAGTTCTGAATTTCTGGCGGTCGAGAATGAGAAGTGGAATGGACGAGTGCCTAGACTCCTCGCCAGTCTTCTCACTGACCTGCTGAGTTGCCACGCAGCTGCAGATGGGCGGAGCCGCGTTGAACGTGCTTGTCCTACTGTGTTGTCTAAATTTTCATAGTTTGTGATGGTTATTCCGTCCGTCGACCAAACACGAGAAGGATTTGTCTAGCTGCTCGCCTGTAGCACATGACAAGCAAGGGATTCCCATCCACCTCATATCACACCATCTAGTGTTTTTGCTCGGAATATGGGGCGTTGTTAGTGATCCTGGAGTAAGGAGAATGGTCCCTGATCTCTCTCAATCTGAATACTTTCCATTTCCGGTGATTTGTGGGCACCCAGGCTTACTAATGCAACATTTCATAATTTATCCCCATGGTAGGCGTTAGTTGTTGGAATTGAAGACATCCAAATTCCCGATTCATTATAACAACTCTAGGGTTTTAGAAATCACCTGAGAGCCGCGGTGTTCTGCCGCGTCACACCGACTACAGTGGGTAAATTGCAAACAGGTCAAACATCCAAGGCGTGCGAATAGTGAGAGCGCGACCTACCAATAACTACTACTGACGAAGGGTGGTCGGTGTTGGGGAATTAGGCTGGAAAACACGACACTTGCTCGGCTCGGTGGATTTATTGTGACTCGTTCTCGGTAAAACGTGAAAGACGTTGACGCTTCCTAGCCTTCCAGACTGTTGCGCTGGTAGAATATACATTCTCCTGGCAAGCAGTTGAAGCATGGATGATAGAGCAAACGTCGATCGGAGACACCTCAAGAAATTCTGTAACATGACTCGGACGTTTGAGAATTACTAGTTTAGAGTGCATGTCGCCGATGAGATAAACCGGGCATTCCAAGCTAGAGGGCGTTATTGTCGGATTCCACATGACGAAGCTGCGTGAGATCGAGGTTCACTACATGCTAGGATAGCCCCTTTATAACACTGAAGGAAAGCAGCGAAGCAAACAGGCCTGGAATCCCAGGAATCGCAACCTTTATTCGTAACTTGTAGCCCGGGAAGCCCATGGCGAATATGTCCTAAAAATAAAGGTTCAACTTAAAATTGGGTATCATTTTTGACCATGGGCAGATTTTGGTCCCTCGAAATAGGAAACAGCCGACTCTAAAGACTATACACGATGAAAATGGAAAAAAAGGTGGCTAAAGCAGGCTCAACATAGAAAGTGGGAGACAGGTACGAACTTGGTTCATATCCAAGATTCATGAGAAGTATGTGCAGAACAGAAAAAAACAAGAATCTCGGTAGCTGTAGATGTGCAGACCAGACCCCTCAAAATTATAACAATAAAATTGAGCACCGGATATCAAATGCAAACCCCAAAATGCAGATCATCAAACGTGCAATCAACGCATGTGAGCATCCATGGTCTTTCTCCAGCGAGGACCATAGACTCGCATCATGTAAATGACAGAGCTACTTACGAAGCCAACGAGACCAAGGATAGTGAAGAGCCAGCCGTTGCCGATGGCGCCGATGATTGGGGCGGTGACAAGGGAACCCACGCAGGAAAAGATGTTTCGCACAAAGTTGTTGAGGGCGACCCCCTCGGAAGATTTCTTTGGCATGAATTCCGTTAGCATGGTGGTGACCATGCTGAAGATGAGCATCGAGCCCACGCCGAAGAAGAAGTTGGCGATCATCTATAAAATGGATGTTAGTGGGATTACTGGAGAATTGTCGCATTTTGGATCAGGCGTGACACACCGGAACCAGCCAGAACACTCCCTTCTCTGCTGCCCATCCATACCAAATGAATGCGGCGGGGTACAAGAAAGCACCGAGCCAAGCATTCTCACGCATGCGATCCTCAGGGCGAAGGATTAGTTTACCCTTTTCATCGTAACGGTTTGCCTTCTTTGCCTCGCGTTGCATGATTTTATCTGTCCATTTTCCACCAAAGGTACTGGTCACCATGTACCCCAGTGAGTTTGGAATGTACAGCAAACCAACGATGATGGTTGAGAAGTTATACGGTTCCTTGCCGAATGTCTCTTCGACGCTGACATTGAGAACGTAGAGGGAGCCAAATGTTATACTGGCATAGTAGACAGTCAGGAGTACAGGAAGGAAGCGCAGGTAGAGGATGATTTTCAGCGGGTCAATGAAAACCATCTTCAACATCTTCAGCCAGCGTGTGGTGGACCGAACGACCTGTCGTGATGAGACTCGACTGAGCGAGCGACTAACAGCTGGATCCTCATCATCTTCCAGTTCAGGCAAGACGGGTTTCTGCATAACCAACGTTTCTGGAAGGGCGAAGAGGATAAAGATGAGAGTTACCGCACCAAAGGCTGCACTAAACCACATGGTACTGCGCCAACCCCAACGCTCTGCCAAGAGACCTCCAATGATAGGTGCCAGTAAGGGACCACAGAGCGGGCCCAGGTAGAAAATCCCCATGGCCCGTCCTCTCTCCCTTGGCTCCCAAAGATCGGCGATGGTACCGGCACCGACTGCCTGAACGGAGGCAGAAGCACCACCACTCAACATACGCATGACAATCAGCATCGCGATAGAGCTAGAAATGGCGCAGAGACAGTTGAAAACCGCGAACAGGGCGAAGGAAACCAAGTAGATTGTCCGTCGTCCGAGTCGCTCACTAAAAGAAGACCACCACAAGGGGAAGATCGCCATAGCCAGCATATACAGCGCGATCGTGAGATTGGCAATAGTAGTTGTCGTATTCAGTTCTTTGGTTACTTGGGATAGTGAGGCTGTTCGATTGATTAGATATGACCCAGGAACAAAGTGAAGAAGACTCACGGAAAAAGATCGCGCTACCCAGCGGCGCAGTAGATCCAGCCAGAGCGACGATGAATGTAATGAACCACTTCATCTTCCGGGGGTATGTCTTTGGATTCTCAACCTCAGCCACCAGAGCGAGTTGACCGAGCAATCCCCTCCGCTTCAACCGCGCGACTTTGACAGCTGGGCCGAGCTCCGTGGACCGACGCTGTAAACGAGGAAGTGTATTCTCCGGGTCATCATCTTCAGTGGGACCATCATCATGAATGCTGGATGCATCCGATCGTGAGTGAGTGTCATGGTCGATTTCGGATTTTGCCTCGGCTGATATGGTCGAATGTTCTCCACTACCCGCTGAGGATGTCGGCAAAGTCGAAGCGACAGTGCTTTCCTTGTCTGAATTCTTATGCATGTTGAATGAGCACCCCAGTGGACAGTATCAGTCAATTCAAAGTAGGCCGAGAAAACGATTCAAATAAGGATAGCCCGGTGGCGAAGTGAGGCATGGACCAAATGAGAAACAGGGTCCTGACGATCACTTGTATGGAACGTTGCGAACTGCGATCAACGGCCACAACTCCAATAAGATGCGCGCCTGAGTGACTGGGGGAGAATTCAGATGCAAGACCGAAACGAGTCCAAGTAGACAAAAGAGCAAGAGCAACCTTGCGAGCCCCGGAGGTGAACCTGATCCCAAACGTGGATCCCTCCCCTGATATGCGCCCGACTGAGTATCAACAGTGCAAACCGATCAGGCTATGAAGATCGGCAGGTTCAAGTCGTAGAAGTCTCTTGGCTTCCCAGAAACATCAGAAATGCCTTCGAAATCTGCATGCGGAGCACATTCGGAACACCGACAAGCACCGACGACGACCGAGCTAAATATGCACCTAGCGACATCTTTGGCTTCTGGATACTTATCCGTCCAAAGACCCATAACCTTTGAATCCTGGTTGACCGTGGGGACCAGTCAGCGTTGAGCGCGAATGTGCCGTTCTTCCGTCGGCAAATATGAGGCGGACCATCCCGCCCCTGGAGAAGCCCAGATGCGAGCAAAGATGCAAAGATGAGATGGCATCAGATAACGTCGCGATAGACTCATTTTGGGGTTTGACAGCTATTGCGTGATCATATCCACAGTTTATTAAGTGTTGAACGTGCCCCTCAACCCGATCTCCCTTGATAGCTTGGCAAGGTCCAAGACAGGGATGTATACAATTTTATACATCACAGAGCTTCAAACATCCCACTTCGCACTGACAATCACTAACAACAGGTCTGCAAGGAGGTGATTAATAAGCCCAAAAAGACGGTGAACTCTAGATGTCGTCTCGAATTCTCCCATCTCGAACCCACTCACTCCCGAACCTCTCCCCGCACACAACAGTTCAACGTACCACAACATGGCAGCCCCAATGCAAACAAAGGACCCCAAGAAGATGCAAGCACACCTCGCCCAACTCCAATATAAGGGCGACAACTACGTCGAAGGCTGGGCTTCCCTCTGGGACAAGGGTGACAACCTCCCCTGGGACCGAGGCTTCCCCAACCCAGCTCTGGAAGACATTCTCGTGAAGCAGCGGCCTACCATTGGCGCGCCCCTGGCTACAGACGCACAGGGCCAGTCGTACAGACGCAAGGCTCTAGTTCCGGGCTGTGGGCGCGGCGTGGACGTCCTCCTGCTCGCGAGCTTTGGCTATGACGCGTATGGACTGGAGTACAGTGCGGCTGCGGTCGAGGCGTGTCAGAAGGAGGAGAAGGACAATGCCAATTGGTACCGGGTTCGCGATCAGGCTGTTGGGGCTGGGTCGGTGACTTGGCTTCAGGGTGATTTCTTTGATGATGCTTGGTTGCAGAAGGCCGGCGTTGGGTTGAATGGGTTTGATATTATTTATGATTATACGGTATGTCACGCGACTCACTATTCATATACTATATGTTCTCGGTCTGACTGCAGGCTAGTTCTTCTGTGCTCTGGACCCATCCTTGCGTCCTAAATGGGCGCTTCGCCAGACCCAGCTTCTGGCTCCTTCGCCATCGGGTAACCTGATCTGTCTTGAGTTTCCCCGCCACAAGGATCCTCAGGCTGCAGGTCCCCCATATGCCTCCCCTTCGGAGGCTTATATCGCCCACCTGAGCCACCCAGGTGAAGATGTACCCTACGACGCCAAAGGCGCCGTCAAGTACAACCCCCTGCAGCCCACCAGCCCAGGCGGTCTGGAAAGAGTGGCATACTGGCAGCCTGAGCGCACGCACGAGGTAGGCCAGGGCGAGAACGGAGCGATCCACGACCGAGTATCAATCTGGCGCCGTCGTAACTAGATTCAGTCCGACAAACATCCAACCGAACCGAATAAAGAACAAGATCTGCGTATGTGACAGAAACCACAACCTGACACCACTGAAAAGACCGAGACGAAATGAAATGACATTATGAGTGTCCAGTATCCTAGACCTTCTTATCCTGACTTTCCGAGGTAGTGGTAGTTCCATGATCAGGGAGACATCACAACCGCACCAAAGACAATAACAGCACCGTCCATATTCCAAGGGTTGTGGTGCATTTATTACGGGACTCGCCCGGTGAACCTAAATACGTGGTTGATATAGCCGCGTAAAGCGGAATAACCTCATTTTACTAGTGTACCGCAATAACTGTCTCCCTCTCTTAATCCTAACATGTTTTCAGCAAATTGTAGTGCGATCCCAAGGAATATGTATGAGAATAATAAGCAAGCCAAATAACCCGCTTATCCTTCTCCCTATCATCAAGACTATCCCCATCCCCAGACTCAATCTTCTCCATGCGCCCATCACCCTGCACAACATTGATTTCAACCCCATACGCCCGTGCAATAGCCTGCAACTCCAACTGCCCACCCCACTCAGCCGTCAATTTAATCTTGCGCGTATAAGAATCAATAGGCTCCTCCATAAACGCCTCGAAATCCTCTTTATGCTCCGCGATAAAGTCAGCCGTGACTGCGCGCACGGCTCTATACCCGTCATGCTGCGGCGAGGCGACGGTGTCGATGCGCGATTGTGTTGAGGGCTGGAGGATGATACGGCTTGGATCGGGACGTAGACCTAGACCAGATTCGTCGAGTTGTGTCGCGATTGCTGAATAGAGGCAGTGTCCGTCTGGGGTTATTTCCACTTCTTTTAGGTTGAGCTTTTTGAAGACTGCGTCCATTACTTCTTGTTCGTTGCCGCGGTAGTTGACTTGCGTTTTGGCTTCTTCTGCGGCGGCGGCAGAGGCAGCTTCTTGCTCTGCGGCGCGTCGGGCAAGGCGAGCTTTTTGGCGGTTTGGCTTCTTGCCGTTTGGTGTGGTGGTGGGTTCGGGGGTTGGTTCGGTGGGTGGTGCTTGCTTTTGGGGTGGTTTATCTTCGTTTGACTCGTCGTTTGTTTGTTCCTCTTCCAGGTTGAGATCTTCTAGTCCTTCGACTGGATCCCCATTCAGATGAGCGACCTCGGCCTTGTGTTTTTCGGAAAGCTCCTGCTGCATCCGTTCGCATTCATCGTTGACGCCTTTGCGAGTTTTCTTGGTGGCGGACTTTTTCTTTTGAGTGATCTTTCCTTGCAGATCTTTTTGCTCTTTGCGATGCTTGGACAGGAGTTCCTCCATGGTGAAAATTGAGAATAGAAAACAATAACTTCAAACAAGTCTATCGGGGTATATACGTGTACAATGGATGAAAACAAGAGCAACTCGACCCCGCGAAACCCTGACAATATTGCCCTAAGTCAAGCCCTGAATAGGCCTAGTGTAACTTTCTCGGCAGAACAATGTTCCAGACCTGTGAGCCTCGGCTGATCACTCTCGGCCTTCGGGTATGTCCAGTAAGAGCTACAAGTCCGTTGATATAATAGAGTAGCATCTGTTCTTTTTGTACTGTCTGTATCACAAATTAAAGCATATAAACAATGGATTCCGAAAGTCTTTTCAACGTCAAGGTTAGATTGCCGCGTACTCTACTCCGGCAACCACTAACACAGCACAGGGCAAGGTGGTGCTGGTCACCGGCGGAGCCAAGGGCATCGGTCGCATGATCTCTGAAGGCTACGTGACAAACGGAGCCACAGTCTACATCTCATCCCGAGACGCAAAGGCTTGCGAGCAAGCGGCCAGCGAGCTTAGTGCCCTGGGCAAGGGAAAGGCCCACGCCATCCCGGCCAACTTCTACAAGTATGAAGACGTGAAGAGGCTAGCCGAGGAGCTGGGAAAGCGCGAGAGCAGTAAGAAAGCCCATGCTTAGCGGAAATACCAACCCAAACTAACAGCCATCCGCTCCCCCAGAGCTCCACGTCCTGGTCAACAACTCCGGCTCGAACTGGGGTGCCCCCTACGACGAATACCCCTCCGAAGCCTTCACCCGAGTCCTCACTCTTAATCTCCACCGCGTCTTCGATCTCACCCAGCTCGTTACACCGTTGCTGGAGAAGGCCTCGGCGCCGAATGATCCCGCCCGCATCATCAACATTGGCAGCATTGACGGGCTCCGTGTTCCCTCGCTCGAGACATTCGCTTATAGTTCCAGCAAGGCCGGTCTGCACCACCTCAGCCGAGTCCTCGCTAATCATCTGGGCAAGCGTAATGTCACCTCGAATACCTTGGCCTGCGGTCCTTTTGAGAGTAAGATGATGGCTGCTACGCTTGAGGCATTCGGCGAGACTATCAAGGCTGGTGTGCCTCTGGGCCGTATTGGAACCCCGCAGGATGTTGCTGGTGCATGCTTGTTCTTGAGTAGCCGTGCCGGAGCGTATATTAATGGCGCGACTATTCCGGTTGATGGTGGCAGCGCTATTGCCGCCAAGCTGTAGATAGTAGCTTGTGGCGTTTTTCCTTTTCTTAATTGCAGATAGTTTGTAAATAGAAGTATATGTCTATGTCTCACATGACCATTTCAATTTCTCCTTTTAGATACAGTAGATATTCCAATCCCACCTGATTCGTGGGGTGCATATCGGCATCGAACCCTCACATTCCACCGCGTGGCCGGGCGGCACATCGACCGCAGCCAGAACCCGCTTAAAATTGAGCCATTCCTGGGCTGCATCCGGGTAGTTTGTAGATATTACATGTTATTATATGTCAGTGAAAAAGAAGCCAAAAAGTTCATCGTCCTTCAGTAGAATTCTCTTATCACCTTATCGGCGGCAAAATCAGTGGAGCGGCGACATCATCGGTCTTGCCGTCATTGTCCCACTTCTTCTGCCAGGTTCATTCTTGAAACATATCTTATTCATCTCATCTCATCTTGATATTGTATCTTACAACTTACACTTACAACCTACAACCCATCTACAGTACTCTTCTGGACCGAGACAGTCTCGCCCCTGACTCTGATCCAGACCGCACTGTACAATAACAGCCACACCCCCACCACATTCCCTGTACGTGGCTGTCCTAAGCTTACAGCTCGAGCCTCCAGTCGGTGTGGACGGCTTCCTTGCGTGACGCACAATCTCAGATTTTGGCTTTTGGCTTTTGCCCTCATTTTTTATTATTTTGTTCACCATGAGCTCACCAAATGACCATTCCCGGATGGGCTCCGTGGATCCTTACTCCAACCCTGATGTCTATTACGGAAAAGAAGATCAAGTTGATCGTTTCAAGACTCGCAGACGCGCTTTCTCCGCGGTAAGTGACTACTTGCTTTCGGGGGTATACCCCGCGGAAGTACATCCAACTTATCTCGTTTGATCTACAGAGCTTGAACAACTATACTCGTGACGATATCAATCAATTCTTTGGAACTATTCCTTCGCGGCGAGGTAGTCATGGTATGTCGACCACTTTTTGGATAATTGCGTTTGGTTCAGCCACTAAGTGGGAGAACAGATGAGGCGTCAGGACAACCCAGAAAATTCCTTATCAACGTGGATGAGACGCTCGAGGCTCTCCTGAAGCAGGAGGATACGGATAGCAATATGCAGATCACCATTGAGGATTTGGGACCTAAGGTGGGTTCATTGGTGTCATTGGCCCGGGACAACCACTAACTGCTGTAGGTGCTCTCGGTCGGGACTGCTGCATCATCTGGATACAATCGAGTGGATGTGCGAGGCACATACATGCTCTCCAACCTTCTACAGGAGCTTACAATTGCTAAAGACTACGGTCGCAAGCGTCTGATTCTGGACGAAGCACGCCTGAGCGAGAACCCTGTGTCGCGGCTCTCCCGTATGATCAAGAACTCATTCTGGGACGCGCTCACCCGACGTATTGATGGTCATAACATTGAAGTGGCGGGCAAGGATCCGAAAGACTGGACTGCAGATCCTCGTCCTCGGGTCTATGTCCCGCCAGGTGCTCCGGAACAGTTCGAATATTATCAGGGCATTGCCAAGGATCATCCCGAGCTGCGTCTCGATGTGCAGTTGCTGCCTGTTGAGATTACCCCGGACTATGTGATGAAGCTCAACGACAAGCCCGGCTTGTTGGCGCTGGCTATGGAGAAAAAGACGAATGAGTCAACCATGAAGGAAGAGCTTGTCGGTGTGCCGTTCGTTGTGCCAGGCGGTCGTTTCAACGAGCTCTACAATTGGGACAGCTATATGATGGCTTTGGGACTGCTCTCCAATGATCGCGTTGATCTTGCCAAGGGCATGGTCACCAACTTCTGCTTCGAGATCAAGCACTATGGAAAAGTCCTCAACGCGAACCGATCTTACTATCTGACTCGTTCACAGCCTCCATTCCTGACAGACATGGCCTTACGCGTATACGAAAGAATCAAAACGGAGCCTGACTCGAGGGAATTCCTACGCAACGCCGTTCTCGCGGGCATCAAGGACTACAACAGCGTCTGGGTGTCCGCGCCTCGCCTGGACCCCGAGACCGGTCTCTCGCGGTATCGCCCCGAAGGCTGGGGAGTGCCACCAGAGACCGAACCATCTCACTTCTTGCATATCCTCACACCCTACGCGGAGAAGCACGGCATGGCATTCGAAGAGTTTGTCAGGGCATACAACCACAGAGAAATTGTCGAACCCGAGTTGGACGAGTACTTTTTGCATGACCGAGCAGTCCGTGAGTCCGGCCACGACACCAGCTACCGACTTGAAGGTGTATGCGCCAACCTCGCCACGGTAGACCTCAACTCCCTCCTGTACAAATACGAAGTCGACATCGCACGCATCATCCGTGTCCACTTCAACGACAGACTCGAAATTCCCACCGAATTCCGCACGCCCTTAACAAGAGACATCGAGTTCGAGACCTCCGCGGTATGGGACAGACGTGCACGCAAGCGCAAGGCGCGCATGGACCAGCTTCTCTGGGACGCGGACAAGGGCATGTACTTCGACTACGACACTGTCAAGAAAGAACGCACAAACTACGAAAGCGCAACAACCTTCTGGGCAATGTGGGCCGGTCTCGCATCCCCAGCCCAAGCAGCAGCCCTAGTCTCCAAGGCTCTGCCACGCTTCGAAGCATTCGGCGGTCTTGTCTCCGGCACAGAGGAGTCCCGCGGTGCTATTGGATTGACACGCCCTAACCGGCAGTGGGATTATCCCTACGGCTGGGCACCGCAGCAAATCCTTGCCTGGACGGGTCTCCTCCGGTACGGATACCAGGAGGACGCGGAGCGGTTGGCGTATAAGTGGGTGTACATGATCACCAAGGCTTTTGTTGATTTCAATGGTGTCGTTGTCGAGAAGTACGATGTCACTAGGCCTTTTGACCCGCATCGGGTTGATGCCGAGTATGGAAACCAGGGTACAGACTTTAAGGGCGCTCCTCGCGAAGGGTATGTTCATGTTCCTCTCTTGAAGACATTTCATTTTTTTCAAATGTCTTGAATTGGATGCTAATTGTTCGCAGATTTGGCTGGGTTAACGCCAGTTATGTTTACGGACTGGAGATTCTCAATGCGCATATGAGACGGTCGCTGGGAACTATCACTCCATATGACACGTACCACAAGGCAGTTGTGACCCAGGATGCTTTTTAATTGAGTTTTCGTGCTTTTGTGATACTGGCGTCCTGGCATACTCGCACGGAACAAAGTGTGGGGTAATAAAAATGAAATGCAAGTAGAAGTCAGATAAGTTACCTGATAATCTGTGAATCTGAGAGCTTATTGTCATTAAGAGCTAGGAATCTATAAAATATGGAGTAGACGATATACGTAGAATAAACTTGCAAATACTGAAGCACGACAAATACGGCTCACTGTCTTTAGCCTCTAGCAAGGTCAGCTATATAGTCTACAATAGATTAAACGGACGACTCCCTCCCCACCCACCCCCAAACTTCTTCCCTCAGCTGTTTAACTGAATTGGTAAGGAGTAGCAGCTGTATTTCATCGAGTATTAATTATTTAATGAATTGTTGATCTCTTAGCACTGCCAATGAACCGAGAACCACGAAGTCGTTTGTCTACCTAAATACTGTCCGCCCCCTGATCTGAGCTCGATCCTCTATATCTACAAAGTTTTATAAAATAGATACTGATTATCTCTTTGGGGCTAATACGATTATATGTCTAGCTAGTGATCAGTTTGAGGAATGTGAGGTATAAATGCGAGTATAAAGAAGACCTTCGTATAACACAAAGGACTTCGAGGTCCTCAGGGTTGAAGTCATATGAAATTGCCTAATTAGGTAGATATATAACC